TAGGCGATGGGAGCCGTGTCCTCCGCTTTGGGACCGCTGCCTAACCAGGCGCCTATTCCCGTATCGCTAGCGTCGGTGTGGAGATATAATTTGGTCTCTCCTGCAGCGATAGCTTTGAAGTCGAGGGGAGTAAGGCTGGTGATATTTGCCACGAGATCCTTGAGCGTGACAAAGGCGCGATGGGCCTGGGGAGTCCAATCCCAAACCCAAGGCAAGACAGGGAGAGAATGGGAAGGTTTCCCACGCGCAAGAAGACGTTTTCGAACGTCATAGGCCTTTTCCGCAGCTTTGTTGGGGGGAAGGAGGCCTGATAACACCGAGGAATGAGTAGCAATGTCGGGGATGAATTTGCGAAGGTATTGGAGCAAACCCAGGAAGCTACGCAGCTCTTTGACGGTATGGGGGTTTGGCCATGAGCGTAGAGTAGATACCTTCTTTGGATCCGGGCCAATAGAGTTGTTGGAGATGACATGGCCAAGAAACGTGACGGAATCGGCAAAGAACACCGATTTTTCCTGGGAACAACGCAGCCCACTCTTCCGTAACGCCTCTAAAACCTCTCGAATCCTCCTTTCCAACTCTTCTTCGTTGTCTGCCCACACTAGCACGTCGTCAACGTACGCTTCACATGTCTCTCCAATCAATCCCCTCAGCGCTTCGTTAACGCGTCGCTGTTGAGTGGCAGGGGAATTGCGAGCCCCTTGTGGCATGACTACCCATTCATACAACCCCCATGGCGTAGCAATAGCTGTCTTCTCGATGTCTTTCTCCTCCATTAACGTCTGGAAGAACGCATCCGTCATATCCATCTTGGCAAACACCTTGCCCAAGGCAGCGCGTTGAAGGATGTCCTCAATAAAAGGGGGGGAGGTTTGATTGGGTATGGTGACGAAGTTCAACCCACGGTAGTCACAGATGAACCGGAATTTCCCATCGGTCTTTTTGATGAGAAAGGCAGGAGCAGCCCAGGGAGTACTGGAAGGTCGAAGACGGCCTGCACGGCGATGCTTTTCGATCTCAGCAAAGAACGCCTCCTTCCAGGCAAGAGGGACGCGAAAACCAGGACGAGCAACTGGCTTCACACCAGGGAGGATGTCGATACGATGGCGTACTTTGGATGTGTCAGAATAGACAGCCGGGTAGTTCTCCACATTCCCTATGTCACTGGGGAGGACGTCGGCGAAATCGGTATGAATGGATGCTATGCGCTGTTGGCGTCCAAGAGAGATAAGAACAGTAGGTTGAAGGGTGGGATCGTCAACAGCGAGAGAGCAGACGTTGGAAAACTGGGGATTGGCATGGACAGAGCGACCTTCAGCCATGAGTTTGTCAAGCCGAGCAGCACCCTCCAGTAAGCGGTGGTGGAGGCAGAAGGGGAGGCCAAAGATGATGTCGACACAATGAGGGGTAGGAAGAATGAGAAATGAAGAATTCTTGTAACAAGTTGGACCAATAAAAACATCCATCCTGACTCTGGTATCGACAAGTGGTCCAGGCCTGCCATCCGCTGTAAGCAGTGGCCTGACGCCTAACTCTTACATCCGCCATACGGGTCTTCAACGGCTTGACATTCTCCTTCCTCAACCCAGCCGCCTGCACGAAACTCTCACTAACTGTATTGATGGCCGCACCAGGATCAATGAGACCTGTGGTGATAGGAGAGTCAGCCGAAAGACCAATGTCGACAAGGATAAGGGGGACTGACAAAGCGTCGGTGCAGTTGATATCGTGTTCAACCATGGCAGCAGACACATCACCATCCTCGTCGGGATCGTCAATAGAGAGATTGGCGACAGTGGCAGCCGCTTCATGAGCAGAGCACTCGCGGCTTTTATGACCAGCCTTACGGCACCAATAACAGAGGTCGTTTCTGTCAAGGAAAGCCCGGGCACGAGCGCCAGCATTGGTAGACTTGTCTGGGAGTTTCTTCTCGTTGATCCATCGGACTTCTTCCGCCGTCAGAGAACGGCCATTGAGCTGGGCAGGCGGAACAGAGGAAGGGTTGGGGACATTCGATGGCGCCGAGGGACGAGAGGTCGTGGCGGAAGACTGACGAAACTGCCGAGTATAGGTGGCAGGGGGAGGGGCTGTGAGCTCCGTGGTTCAGAAGATGCAATCAATAATGTCACGCAGGAGGGGAAGAGAGATTGCCAAACGACTAAGTCCTCGATCGTCAAGACGATCCTCAACTCGAGTAAGGATGTGGGAGGGGAGACCGAACAAAAGCTTTCGGCGCATGTCGGAATCAGTGATGGCGCCGAGACAGTCGCCAAGAACCATCTGACACTCTCCAGCTTTCTTCTCAAACGTTTGCCAGGCCGTCAAAGTCGATCCCTGGCACTGAAGCCCTTCAAACACACGTCGAGTCTCGGACTCCCAATTGGGCTTGCGATGCATTTCGTTGATAATGATGCGGAGGTTGTCATACCCAACGCTTTGACTGGACGTCTGACCGTCCGAAGCTGGGGCCTTGGGGGTATGACCGGGCAGCTGATGAGGGGGGGTGTCGTAGGCGATGCGCGTGCCATCGGCGGCGCGAAGAGGGGTAGTGACGGCGACAGCAGGAGGGCGGGGACCAAGAATGATAGTGCCGTCCTTGCCAAGTCTGACAATGGGACGGCTAGCGGCGTCGGCAGAGGTGATAGCATTTCCATCCTCGTCAAAAAAGACAGAGTGAAGCTTGGAGGGGGATGTGCCCTCGGCGTTCTTCGTGCCATCGGCGTTCTTTGGTTTGTTGGGTTTGTTGTCGTTCATTGTGATGGGTATGGGGTGTGAAGTTTATAAAAAAGTGTAAGCAGTGTGTGGGCTGCTTCACTGACGACAAGGGAGCGGCGAGACGAACGGCGATGATCTCAGCTATGAGGAGCTGGACTGGAGAAGGGCGAGAGAGCGGTGAGGAACGGCGGAGGGCGGATGGGGCGGCGCAACCTGTGAACAGGACCCCAATGCATATACTTGTCACACAGACAGACAAAAAGGCGGTGACTCTGGGCAGAGATCAGTCCTAACTCTAACGAAACGCACACACAGGCACCTGAGCTGTATAGCAAAGGGCAACGGACAGGGGAACGAGGACGGGTATATACGTACCTGGGCAGAGATCAGTCCTAACTCTAACGAACTGCCCAGGTTTTAGCTATGCACTCTAATGTACAAGAAAAGGGGAACTCACACGCACACACAGGCACCTGAGCCGTATAACAAAGGGCAACGGACAGGGGAACGACGACGGGCAAGAAAGAGAAGCCACGTCGACGTTCCACCAAGTCCTGCCTGCACGTGCGGCGAGCTCCACAAAACTCCAACGCTGACGCGGCATTACACATTATGTAAACACCAACGGAAGCGCTTCTAATTTGTCTAAGTTCTTTCTGCTCTTTGTCCCACAGCTTTATCAGGCCGCCTCCTGCATGCATGCATAGCAGGAGCGCTTCTCATTTGCTGAGTCCAAGCACTCAAACGCAACAGGCTGCCTTCCGCTAATGCTCACTCACATGCAGTCCAACAGTCAAGGCAGAGAGTTGCAGCCAAAAGGGTTGTAAGCAGTGGCCTGCTTTCCACAACTTGGTTGTTTCAAGTCGCGGTTCGGCGATCGCTGCCTCTCGCGACTTAACCATTTTCAGCCGCGTTTCGGCGAACGCCGCCTCTCGCGACTTAACCATCTCCAGCCGCGTTTCGGAACCAAATCTTCCGGAACCAATTCTGCTTGCGTCTTGGCTATCGCCAACGCTCACGACGCCACTTGTGTTATTGCTGTTTCCCCGCTTGTCTCTGTTACGTGTTGTTTGCCACTTTCGGCTCTTCGGCCAAAGGTATCTTGTGTGGTTCGTTCGGTGAGATTGTGTGTTTCGTTTGCGACTGTCCTTGCGCAGGGACAGAGTACTTGGGGGCATGGAATTGTATCTCTTTCTCCATCGCCCTTTCATCTCTGTCCCAGTGCGTATCTCTTCTCGTTCTCAATGGTCACCTGGACTGACTTGAGCTAGTTCCCATTTCCCTTATCTTCTGCGTTCCTCAGTTCATATATTGATCGTTCTCGTCCAGGTGAGCCTTGTCCTTATTGTATCTCTTTCTCCATCGCCCTTTCATCTCTGTCCCAGTGCGTATCTCTTCTTGTTCTCGATGGTCACCTGGACTGACTTGAGCTAGTTCCCATTTCCCTTATCTTCTGCGTTCCTCAGTTCATATATTGATCGTTCTCGTCCAGGTGAGCCTTGTCCTTGTTGTATCTCTTTCTCCATCGCCCTTTCATCTCTGTCCCATTCCCATTTCCCTTATCTTCTGCGTTCCTCAGTTCATATATTGATTGTTCTCGTCCAGTTTACATGCACAAGGGGTTTTGTTTGCTTCTCTCGACGACAAGTAGACCACCGACGCCGACCCAGTGAAGAGTTAGACGCCTAACTCTTACAAGGGTCAACGGGTTGTATGTTTAGGAAGGGTATGAGGCAAGCCTCTTACAGGACAGGGACCGCGGGCGCATGGGATCTTTGGGTCTTTATCCATTCCTCTTTTCCATTGCCCTTGTTCCCCTGTCCCTGTACGTATTCATGCTATTCCCTGTGTCTTCCTTGACTGATCCTGGCCAGTGTCCTCTTCGTCTCTTTGGTGTGCTTTCGCGTACATATATTGACGGACATTGTCCAGGTGAGCATTGTCCCTTGTTGTTCTTTATCCATTCCTCTTTTCCATTTGCCCTTGTTCCCCTGTCCCTTGTCCTCTTCGTCTCTTTGGTGTGCTTTCGCATACATATATTGACGGACATTGTCCAATTACATGCACAAGGGGTCTTGTACACTTTGAGCCTCAAGAACCACAACGACTTAGTGAAGGACTGCCCACACAGCCCTTACACTTTTTTTTTGTACTCTACCACCCCTACCACGGTCACCCAGAACCCCCAGAACCCCCAGAACCCCCAGAACCCCCCAAACACGGTCACCCAGAACCCCAGAACACGGTCACCCAGAACCCCAGAACACGGTCACCCAGAACCCACCATGTCCCAGCCCGAGGTCCCCACAGACAAGCCCATCAACCCGGCCCCTCCCATTGGAGGTGCGGCCTTACAGGCGAAGGAGGAGTTGAAGGCAGGAGATGATATGCCAGGAGCAGAGCATGGACAGAAGAAGGGAAATGTCGTGCCCGGAGGAGAGTACAGAGAGAAGGTTGGCGGACAGGAGGACAACGATCAGACCAAGTCGGAAGAGTCCGTCTCCGTCAACAGCACCAAGCGTCCCCGCGAACGACAAGATACCCCATGGCCCAAGCCTTACCCCGAGCTCATGGCTGTGATGACTCAGCTTGCAAACATCCAGCAGCAGTTTGCCGACTATGTGAAAGAGCAGCGGGCTTCTGTTCCTTCTCCAGAGCGCCCCAAGCCATTCCAGCGCCCCAACAAACTGCAGCTCCCAACTCTGAACAAGTTTACCACAGATCCATTTGTCATCACCCAACACCTCTATGCTCTAGATATTTACCTCGTCAGCGCACAGGCATTGATGGACCCCGAGTACTTCGAAGTGTGGGCACTCGAACAGTGCAACCTTTTGATTGCCAAGGTTGGCAAGTGGTTTACTTGGAGCCATGACACGGGTAGATTTGCCCCCAACACCACAGTCTGGGGCTGGTGGTGGAAAGAGAAGGCCCTTGACCCCAACTGGGTCCGCCAGGCGCGAAACGCGGTCAAGTTCAAGCGAATGGAGGGCAACACCCCCCGCCACTTCGACGCCTTCGCATCCTCCATCCGCGACTATCAACATCTGCTTTCCAGTTCTAGCAACCCTCTTGACAACAAGGAGGTAAAGCGCCTCCTCATGGATGGGTTGAGCTCCCACATGCTCGTTCTTCATGTTGAGAACGCGTTAGGACGCCGCCATTTGAAACCCCAGACCGTCTCGGTCGTCGAGCTTATCTCAGTCATGACCAAGAGTGTGGTTGCCTGTGCTGCTCAATTGGAGGCGATCCAAGCGTCTCTACCTGCCCTCCGCCCTGCGCCAGCCCCAGCCCCTTGCCCAGCTCAAGCTCAACCGGCACAGGCCCCAATCAAAGCAATTTCTACCACCCCTGCCCCCATACTCCCCACCGCGGCAGAAGCCCAGGTCTGGCTTGACTACACCACCCGTCTCCCACCTGGGCAGGAAGGTATCCAAGCCCATGACTTCCTTCGGCAGCGAGGTCTCTGTTTCCGTTGCCGTCAACCAGGGCAAAAGAGGATACCCACCTCTTACACTCTTCTCAAAACTTCACACCCCAAAGCTACAATATCTATGATGTCCTTGGTCAACAAACAAGAACCCAAACCCAACCCTGTGCCCATCCCCAAATCTACGCCCGCCCCTCTTGTTCATGTAGACAAAGACAGACACACTCTTGACATGGCTGAGGCGGTTGGTCAACCCTTCATTGGCGTTAACCCGGAAGGCATGATCATCCTTGGTGCTACTTGTAAAAGACCTAAATTTAGGTCTTTTATACCAAGTAAGATCAATTAACCGGATGAGCAGCAAAAGCCACTGCATCACAATTCCAACCCTGGAATCATGATGCATATGTTGGTATTTGGACTTGTTAACTTGCGCCCTGGGACCTGACCACTGGATCCTTACATGGACAAGGAGGCTGGGAAGCTGGTCACCAACCCCAACTCTGGTTTCTCCAACACTTCCATCATAAACAGGTGGCTTTTGGAGGCCGTTGACCCTCATATCTGCCCAGCGGCAGACAACTCATCATGGATGGGCACAAGTCTCACATCATGGTCCACTTTCTTGAAGCCTGCTGGGACAGGAGCATCACTGTCCTCATTCTGCCAGCCAAACTGAGTGGCAAGTTCCAGCCATTGGACATGGACTTCTTCAATCAATTGAAGTTAAGCTACCACCAAAAGCTGGACAAGCACTCTTGAGGCTCCCAAGGAAGGTGGGTGGCTAAGGGTATGTTTTGGGCCTGACATCAAGAGGCAAGGACAAAGACTGCCACTGATAGGCAGGTCAGGTCCGCATGGGCAAAGGCAGGTCTCTGGCCTCTCAGAGCTGATATTATCCTTGGCAATGTCAATGATCCTTCCACTCCTCCCCCCCAGGCCTCCCAACCTGTACCCAGTTGTGGCTGTTGCACAGGCCCAGACGGCCACAGAGGTGGCAGAGTCAAAGAATGTGCTGCTGAGAAAGGAGTTGGAGGAAGCTAGAGCAGCAGTGGCGCTGGAACAGGCCACAGGGGAGGCCGCATGGCAGTCCAGAATCCGGGTGGGGGTCTCTATGATCCCAAGTATACGGATGACAACCATGAAGCGCTGGAGAAGAGGAAAGAGAGAGAAGAGAAGAACAGGGAGGGTTGGGCAAAGCGAGCTTATAATTGACGCGCTGGTGCGCAGTCAAACGAGCAGCAAGCATGCCTGCAGAGCCAGCTAGGACTTTGTGAGATTTGTAGTGCATATGCATCATAGAGTACAAAAGGACCGAGATCTGGTGCATCTCTGGTGTACCTTCTGTTGGATAAGAAAATCTGGCACCGAAGGGTAGCTATATGCATAATGGATAAGAACTGAAAGCATCTAAGTTCGAAGTCAACCTATTATTTAACAAGACAAATGGCTAGAAGTAGACTACTTCTTGATAGGTCATATGTGTACGTACTGTAAAGTACTTAGCTAAATGATACTAATAGCCCAATTACTCACACCTACCATATAACCCAAATTTTATATAATCCCCTAATATCTAGTTCTAATCCTTTGCATAGAATATGTTTATAACTTATGGTATGACGGATCCAATAGCCTCTAACAGGTAATAAGTGCAGAAGATATAAACCATACTGACTCACGTCGTATTGACTTTATCTTGTTATTAATATCTGTAGTCAATTGAACATTTATTCTTTTTAAAAAAACGTCTTATGGCACATTTTATCGCATCTCCTCTGTATTGGATATTCTGTATAAGAAATAAGAATAATATGTACTTACAGCTATTCTATTCCTAGGTGGTTATAATATGCCTGAACTATTTATTAATGATACATTTATTAATCTTCAAAGTATTGTACTTGGAATTAAGACATGTCTAATTTGTTTCTTCTTTGTTTGGGCTCGTGCAACTTTCCCACGACTTCGTTATGATCAACTTATGGTGTTTGCTTGGACAGGAATGCTACCACTAGCTATTGCATTTGTAGTTCTATCTCCAAGTATTCTTATGGCTTTCGATATTATTCCAACTCCTCTTTAGTAATAAATCAAATATTCCCCCTGTAAAAGCCTTCTTTTCGTCGAATGAATTGAAACGCCTATAGGGCGAATTTCAGTGTAAAGTCCAAGAATTGTTACCCCAATAAAGATGAATACAGAAAGACCAATAGCTACCATAATTGAAGTAGTAATTGTCCCTTGCTACTAAGAATAACTCGCTACCCCATTATGCAAAAGGTACGTTATTACTCTTGAATTATTAAGAGCTTTAACTGCTTATATGATTGCTGATTCAGAATCTATTTCACTAGTCATCAACTTTCTTTTCATCTTTCCCTCACGGTACTTTTCACTATCGCTACATAATTCATACTTAGCCTTAGAGGATGGTTCCCCTATATTCATGCAAGTTATCTCTCACATTACTAAAATCGTTCTTATTTATCTGATCTTAACTGATTATCATACGTATACAGGGCTATTACCTAATTGAAAAAAAAATGTCATATTACACTGAATTTCTTCACCACATTTTTGGTATATGAATCAGACATGAAAAAGTTATATCTAAAGCCTTCTTTTCGTTGAATGAATCGAAACGCCTATAGGGCGAATTTCATTCTCCTATAGCAAGAAGTGCATTACTCTTTATTACTCGCATTGATATAATAAATCAAATTCCATAGAAGAAGTCCGTTAAGATATGTGAAAAGACCAAGAGGTAGTTCACCAACATCAGATGTAGTTTGAGGAATTACAGATAGAATTTCAAAGAAGACTGATCATCATATAGATAATTGTAATGATTGTCTATTTAATTGGGGGATCATAGATTCTACCTTTCATAAGTCCAGCCCGCCCGCCTAGACCGCGCTGAAATTGCGGCGACGGCGGGTATGAGGAAACCGTACCTCAATACGTTTCGAGGAGTACCAGCTATATCGTGGTCAGAGTTGTCTTTCACTTACCACTCTTTGCTCATCGGACAATAATGCAACATTGACCCGTTCGATCTCTATTATTATACAAAAACACTTTCTATTACAATTATACCTACATTTTTTGCATATTAAAAAAGTCTTATACAGCCGAATCTTGTTGCCTAATATCTTTATCAATTTAATGAAGACTCTTGAGAATTTTGGATATAAGAAAGAGTAGAATAATAATTGAACCGAGTAAAGGGTTAATTTAAATGTCATACTAATTCTGCATAAAATAAAAAGATTAGTAGCAGTATAAAAAGATAAGTATATAGTGTTCGATAAAATCGTGTAAAGGGGATTATATAAGATTTATTAATCAGCCACAAGTTCCCTTACGGCTACTATGTTTCGACTTCAGAGAAATCAGCCTATATTGTTTCTAACGAGAACATTATTCAACAATATTTGCCTACCCCCCCGTGACGAGCAATTAGTACCCACCCAGAGGTATACTTCACCGCGTCGTTATGATACGCGATTACTCGGAATTCCTACTTCATAAAGGCGAGTTCCAGCCTTTAATCCGTACATTAATATCAGTTGATGGTTAACTCCACTTTTCAGTATTGTATCACATTGTTGATATTCTAGTGGCACGCGTGTAGCCCACTTCATAAGGGTCATGAAGGCTTGTCATAGTCCTCCTAAACTAGACTTATATCAAATCTAGACTATAAAACATATATATTCATAGCGAGGTTTGCGTTAGTTATACGGAATCAACCATAGGTCTCACGAACACTAACTGACGACAGCCATGCAACACCTGTCATATCTACTGATTTAGATAAGATGCAAGAAGTGGTAAGATTTTACGCGGGCTATCGTATTAAACGGCATACTTCACTCCATGTGCCTGAGAACGGTCTAATCATTGACGTTTCGGTCTTTCGACTGTACTATGCAGGTGGCAGACTCTAGCGTTAGCAACGAAAACCAATAGTTTATCTACTGATCTCATAGTCTGCATCGTTTACGGCAAGAAGTATCCGGGTATCGAATCCGGTTCCATGCTCTTGGCGCCCTATTTGCGGTATATCCTGATCTAATTCTAAATAGCACTACTCTACTGGCTCTAACACTATTTGGTTACTAAAAAATGTCTGCAATTACAATTCTATTTTTCTTTGTTCCAGGATACGGAGAAAGCATAGGCAGAGCATTCTTCCAGTCTTGCCAATACTTTGAGTTAAGATGATGTCATGGAGTTATTGCATGATACAGGTTCATTGACATAATGGGCGGTGTTATCTGAGATTGCCATGTCGCTGAGATTGCCATGTTGCTGAGATTCCCATGTATACAAGTACTCGTATCCGCGGCAAACTCAATGGCATGGCAATCTTGAGTGCCGCGCGCGTTTATGTCCATGAACCCGTATCATGCATTAACTCCACAACTATGATACATATGCACTACAAATTTTACGAAGTCCTAGGGGGGTCCTGTAGGCATGCTTGCTGCTCGTTTGACTGCGCCCCGGCGCGTCGATTACAAGCTAGCTTTGCCCAATCCTCCCGGTTCTTCTCTTTCCCTTCTCTTTCCTCTTCCCCAGTGCTTCACAGTTGTCATCCCAATACTTGGGATCATATAGAGAGAGCCCCACCAGGATTCTGCACTGCCTTGCGACCTCCCCTGGTGGCCTGGTCCAACGCCATCGCTGCTTGAATTTCCCCCCAACTCCTTTCTCAGCAGCACGTTTACTGACCTCAGCACCTCTACATCTGTCTGAGACTCCCCAAGAGCCACCACTGGGTCCAGCTCCCCTTTTCGAACTGCAGTTTTGACCTGTCGGGGGCTGAGAGGGGTTCTGGGGGAGGGTGGCGCAGGCTGGGAGGCCCGGGGGGGGAGGAGTGGACGGATCATTGACGTTGCCGAGGATGATCTCAGCGCTGAGCGGCCAGAGACCCGCCTTTGCCCATGCGGACCTGATCTGCCTATTGGTGGCAGTCTTTGCCCATGCCTCCTGGTGCCAGCCCCATAACATACCCTTAGCCACGCGACTTGCTCGGGAACCTCGTGAGTATTTGTCCATCTGCTGGTGGTATCTCAACTTCAGTTCATTGAAGAAGTCAACGTCCAATGGCTGGAACTTGCCACTAAGTTTTGCTGGCAGAATGAGCACACTGATGTTCCGGTCCCAGCAGGCTTTGAGAAAGTCGACCATAATGTGAGACTCGTGCCCATCCATGATGAGCAGACTAGGATGACGACCGTTTCTGCTGCTGGGCGGGTAGAAGGGTTGAAGGCCTCCAAAAGCCACTTCTTCATGATGAAAGTGTTGGAGAAACCAGAGTCGGTGTTGGTGGCCAGCTGCTTAGCCTGCTTGTCCACTGCAAACCATGTATGCATGAGTTTTGCCCCTTGATAGACAACAACAGGTGGTACGGGAGCGGAGGTCATGCCGATGCAGGTGAGGACAGAGATGTGGTCGCTAGTAGGCAAGGATTTTTGTGCATTCTTTGGGTGGTGCTTCCCAGCAACCCTGCGCATAATGCGCCTGGCCCCCAGGTCGAAACTGCACTTGTCCATGTTGTATATACACAATGGATGATAGACTTTGCTATCATAAATTTCTTGGAGCTATAGATGCATCAGAAATGCTTCTGGACCAGCCAAATCACTCACAAGTTTAAGAAAGGCACTACAGTTCGCGCTCATATTTGCATCTTGGTGGCCAGCTTCAATGTAGCGGTAGAATCTCGAGCTCAAGTCAGCGCAATGTTGCTCGACAAAAGTTGAGCCCCATCTCTTGCCCAGGGGATGGCCATGGAGAGCTTGCCCAAGCTCTCTTACGTGCCCCGGGGTCAGGAGGGTACCGCGGTTGGCATACGTGTTAATTTTGTCGATCAACAGCTTCTCTTGAATGATAAAGAGCTTGCGAGGGTTGTTGATGGCATGTGAGGCGTGTCTTTTGTGGTATCGATCATTGAGAGTGGTGGGAGCGACCTTGAATCAATTGGCCACCTTGGCGAAGCTCTCTTTGGGATGCTCTCGCTTGTATTGGACTGCCGAGTCGATTGGATCGGCCATTGTCGAGGTACATGGAATGAAAGTATAGAGATGTATGGGAAAAATAAACACGTGCGGCGCTCAAGATTGCCACGTCATTGAGTTTGCTGCGGATACGAGTACTGTATATGTTGTGCTAGGGGCTGGGGCGGGAGCAATAAGAGGGTGTGTTGATGAAAGGAGTACAAGGACTAGATAGTAGACCCAATAGACATACTGTTGCTGATCAGTACAAAGAGGAGCAGCGCTGTTATGAGATGGTAAAAGGGGATGAAGATAATTCACATGAATCTATAGATGTACCTCATGCATGTGACCCTATCTGCTTCTACCTCTGAGATTGTGCTGAAGCACATCCCTCAGTCCGCTCTCCTCACTCCACTCCCAAGGTCCTTTTTATGGGAAGAGAAATTAATCAACATGCAAACACCCATGTCTCTCCTTCCTATCCTAGTAGTCGCGCCGAAGCAGCAGACTTACATAGGACGTACTAGATTGACAAGCCAGTAAGCAATAGAAAGAATGTTTGAGCCTATCACGTACTATGAAGACATGCCTGCATGCTTCAATTCCAATGGTCTACTGGACTTGCGTCCCATTCTTTCATGTAGTAGGAAAACGCGCCAAACAGGTCGTTTACTGAGAAATTATTTTCCGTTACACCAAATTTGGCGCGCGCAACCAAAAATCTCCGTTTTTCGCACATTTTGGCATTTTGCAGGCAAATCGCGCTCCAAAAAAGCACAGATGATAGGTCATTTACTGAGAAATCATTGGCCAGAGCCGTGTATGTATAGTGCAGAGGCATACACCTTGGTAGGACTCTAGGCAAGCACTTCAGTAAGCTGTAACATACATATGGGGCACTGTGTCACCTCTTGCATCCGCCTGCATGGCCTGGTACATGGAAGAAGGAAACAAAAAAAGTGCAAAACATGTCCAAATTTATTGGACAATCTGGCCACCGTAGCCCTCTGAAATTTACTATGAATCTCTCAATCTAGGGACTATTTTGGCCTGGGTACCAAACAACATGGCTGTGGACTTGCAGCAAGCTCCGCCTTTGTGCTTGGTCTTCCTGCTTTTCTCCTCTTTTCTGCCAGCCCCTCCCATCCCTTGCCACATTACCCAAACCGCCATGAAGTTGCTTATGATCATGCTCTTCAAACCTCAACGCCCTTTTTGTCTCTGACAACTCCATTCACAGCAACCTCCTACCAATGAACCCAATTACAATGAATATCTTCCCATCAAATCATGTAATGCCAATGAACAACAATACAAAACACCAAGAGGGATATGTTGACCATGCTTGAATGAACAACACAAGCATTGACTAGATGCTGTGACACACATCTTTTATTAGCCAACTCATTCATACCACACTCATATCAATGCCTCTTTTGGAGACAGCCCCACAAGCCCATGGACTGGCAGTCCCTGAAGCCCAGTATTCCTGTTCAGCATTACTGCAGCAGGATACTGTTGTCTGCTCAGGAGAAATCATTGGAAGGAGGAGTCAATGAGAACTTTTTTTTTTAGATGTGCTGCTGATCTGTGGAGATATACCCTCTTCAAGACCAGCATTTCATACAATTTGAGGATATTGACTGGTGATAGTAATGGTCAAGTCACTTTGTTTTGCAAGAAGAGCTGTTGCTGACCTCCTCCATCTCTAAAGTGTGTCACTGTAAGGGATTGGTACAGACTGGTCAGTAGGAGGAGATGTTGTGAGACATGTACTAGTGAATGCAGGGTATGGTGACTAGGGTTGCTGCTATGGTCTCAGAGATGCGTAGGCGGGACTGCAAGATGAGGTCCCCATATATACATTGTGCCGCATCTCTGTAACCTTCTCCCCACCAATGTTTTCTTGTATAAACCATTCTACCTATATCCATTCTTCATCCATCCAGTCTATTCCAAAGTCACCCTCTGGCGCCCCTGGTCAGATCCTCCACATAACTGCCTGCCACCTATTTGCCCTCATACAGTCACTTCCAAAAACAAAAAGCATATATCATCCTACAACAACTCCAAATTTCCCTGCTGCAGGGGTCAAGATCAACCTTATTGGTCTGACAGTGGCTGTCAGTGGGTGTTGATGCTTTTCAATTGAGGGGAAGATAAGTTGTTATATGGGATCTTTGATTTTACCAATTGGGAGGCACCCAAATTCCTCCAGGTGGGTCCGTCTGCATTTAAGACCATCTTTTCCAACACATTGTTGAGTCTATATCTTTAACAATACTGTTACACACAGACAACAATGCAGCTCAGCTGCCACTAAGCCTGAGACCTTGACAAAGCTGTTCTCAAATCTCTCTAGCATTCAATCTATACTCCTCCAATATAGTAGGGGTATTCAATTTGGCGTTTAAGACCGCTCTTAAACCGTTTTGCTCGCTTAAGGTGGTCAGGACTCAGGGACATGTAGATCCTACCCTGAGCAGGGTCCATTTTCGCATCTTGACAGCTCCGAATCAGGCCTTCCTGATGAGGCAATTTTGCCAGTTTAAGAGCACCAAGTTTAAGAGTGGGTCTGAGCCACTCTTAAACATACCGCTCTTAAACTTGAGGACGCAACTGACAGAAAAACGCAACGCATTGACAATTTTATTTCTCTTCTCTATCCATCGTAAAATCCCCTTCCACTCCCCTTTCTTCAACATCCACTGTCAACATGCCCAACAACGCTGCTAACAAGTCAAAAGGCAAGCGCCGCTCCACCAGCCAAGGCGCCCCGCCCGCCCCCAAGCAGACCCGCACTGTCAACTGGAGCAAGGATGTTGGCACAGATGGGAACTCTGCCGAGTACCATCTTGTGCAGTGGCTGATCATGCGCAGTGGGCCTACCATGAGAAGCAATTTTGAGTGTTGGAAGACATTGCCCAAAAGCGGCAACAGGGGTCACCCCAACCTTCACAAGGCTGCAATTCAGTACCTCGTGGAGAAGGGCTGCTCCAGTGAGCGGAAACCGGACACTGTCAAGCCAAAGGTGAGCTTTCATTCAACCGCCATAGCCTATGCAGATTATCACTCTGACAACCTATAGATCCTCTCATTGAAAAAGAGGTATATCGAGGCCTTGCAGTTCAAGAACAGCACTGGGGCTGGACGGCTCGATGGGGAGGAGCAGGACAGTGAGTCACAATCAGCCATCTACCTCTGCCGGTCTAGAGTACGCTGAAACTAATTGCACACACATTCACTTAGGCGGCATCCTCAAGATGTGCCAGTACTTTGACGACCTAAACGAAGTGCTATTCCACCAAGCGGCTTCCATGCCAAAGAACGGCGCTGATACCCTCAGCATGGGCGATGCGGACCCTTCTTCTGTTCAACTCGACCTCATCATGCAAAACATCATTGGGAAGGATGATGAAGCTGAGGGCACCAAGGAAGAGGATGGCAAGGACGAGGATGAGGAGGATGAGGAGGACAAGGATGACAAGGATGAGGAGGACAAGGATGATGGGGAGGAGGATGACAATGATGATGACGATGGGGATGGAGAGGAACGCCCTCCAATTGCCGGTATGTGCTGCTCTTTCCCGTGCTGTGGATGTCTGGGTCTCCGCTGATAGTTCTCGCAAGTCATTGCGACTCCAGCTCGCCGATCTGTTGCAGGCTGTCATAAGGCGCTAACACTCCCAAGACCCCTCTCAGTCTCCATAACTCTGTTGGTAAGGGAAAGACTGCGGACAATGAGATGGAGTGATTGCAGAAGATTGCCAAGGAGCATGCCCAGCGCCGCCACGATGAGGTGATCCAGTTGGAGACAAAGAAGATGGAGGCTGAGAAAGAGAGGGTCAAGGGCAAGAAGAAGAAGGCGGAGCAAGAGGTGTTGGCCTCCAAGCTAGAGATGTGGCACAAGCACATGTCGTTCAACATGGAGAGACAAGGTATGTCGTATGAGGCTGCCGCGGCGGATGCAAGCGCAATGATGCCTTCCTTCATGAGCTAGATAGACAGACAGAAAGATAGATGGACCGCCCTATGTAAATATGCTTCCGCTAATCCACATTTGCATTTCACCCCTTCTTCCCCGCATATCTACAATCATCGCCTCGCCTGTCGGCCCCTCGCCTGACGCCGCACTGTTAGCTCCAACCCCATCTCCCTCATCACCCTGTGTCGAGTGTGAGTCCCAAGACCCATCAGCTCAATGACTTCTCCTTGTTCTTCTTCACCTGCCCCATTGCCTGCCCCCCTGTTCTGGACCCATTGCGCCCGATCTTGCTCCAACTCCCATCTCTCTGCGTCAGTCAAAGGGTCATGGTTGTTGTCCTGGCGGTACCAATCTCCTGTAGCAATGTAAAGGTTGTGAAGGATGAAGCACGCGCGGATCATGCCAGTGGCGATAGCCTCGTCCGTCTCGTTCTTCATCCGCACACATAAACCTTGTAAACACTGCCAGCAAAGCTTAGCCATCCCAAAGGTATGCTCAATGAGTACGCGGATTGATGAGGCGCTGAGGTTGAATTCCGCCCATGAATGAATGGCCCCAAGTCAGTCAATTATCCATGTGAATGACTGCAAGAACAATGATCACCCCGGGTGGCTCAAGGTGCTGTGCATTACACTGGAGCTTGATGATTGGCACGCAGTAGTCCCCAGCAGGGAAAGCAGAGTCCCCCAGGAGGTACTGTCCAGGGGTGAAGTGCTGTGCGGCGTTCTGGATGAGGCCTGACGCGTTGAATACTTGAGCATCATGGCATGATCCGGGAAAGTTGTACTGAGCGTACACGATCCGTTTATCTGCGTCGCAAACCGCTAGGACAGAATATCCGTATCTTTTCCTACCGTCAGCGCTGTCTAGGAATATATGTGACCACACTCACCTGGACTTGTGGGAAAAGAAATCAGCAGCGTCTGTACAAGCTGGGGTTTGGTAGAACGGAATCATGACTCCGTCCACAACGCCCACACACCCTCCAGGGATCCCCTCCTCCACAAACTTCTTGACAAGGGCAGCCCTGGTAGCCAAGTCTGGCCAGCGCATTGCCTGCTTCTCAAGGGAGATTATAGCAACCACAACATGTTTGGTCCACAAGGTTGCTGTGCCCTCTGTCACCAATAGAGCCAGCTAGTGCTATGCATCTGCCAGAGAACACAGTCACAGTCAACCTACCAGAAACTCCAAAAGTATGGCTGACACCGTTCATGTTGGCACCACTACCATTGTGACCCAGACGGTACAATGCGACCGAGAGCTGGTACATTGGTGGCGCCTGCTTGCAGGGTCCACCAGTATGGAAGATCGGGTGGTGCTTTATGAGTTCCAAGAGCCCTGTGAACTCACTTGGCGTGAGACGGAATCTCTGGTGAAAATCCGTTGTGTTGGTAAAATTCTTTCTAGCTGTAGCATGGATTTTGTCGATGGTTTGTTGCCAGTCACAATCATGGAGGTGGCCATATGCTTTGGGCCTCTTCCTGTATCGAGACCAAGCAAGTGCGGTGTACATGTTGATGAGAGAGGACTTGAAAGGAAGGTGGAGGGCAATGGCCAAGCAGGCCATGCGGCGGTACTTGGCAAGCTTTCTTTGTTTTGGGTTGACGCGACTCATGACGATAGGGATGTAGGTGCGTGTTCATGGAGACAAGAGGGGAAGTGGATGGAGAGGATAGAGGGCAAGAGCAAAAGCAAATACATTCAACATGTCACTGTCGGACATGGCCAACACGTTCGAGACAGATGGGATCTAATTGGGTCCAGACCTCTGCAGGGCCAGCCACGTGCTTATCCCTATGGCCCTGAGGCTGCCAGTTTAAGAGCGCAAGTTTAAGAACGCCAAATTGAATACCCCTAGTGAGTATGCTCTCTGCTTCCAATTGCTGACACTACCTAGCAATGAGTGTCCATGGCTCCAACAGTATACAAAACATCTGTCATTGCCAACATGGTTTCATCCCCCAAAGGCATTAATCCATCTGTGCAGTAGTATGTTTCAAATAACAAAAAATTGTCCCAGGGAGAAGATGTGGGATCAAGATGATGTTTTTTGAAATAACATTTGTGTCCTGCTGATCTTTCACTTGCCATGTATTTTTGACCACCCACACAACTTGTGGAACGGAGTTATGGGGCTTCTGGATGTAGATTTGACAAAACTACAGATGAAGTGCAAAGGTTGCATAGGCTGGTGCAGCACACCTATGTGTGGGGGCAAAAAGTCAATGACAAAAAGGGTAACCACGTGGTAGACATGTGGTATGCACGTGGTATGCATGTGGCGTCCTGGCAAAAACCATGTCTGGTAATTTTTTGTAAATCAGTTTGGCCTGAAACCCACAAAATGTTTTTTGCTTTTGTCTGCAACATTTTTGCTGCCAGCCAAAAATGCCAGAAGCAGATATTGTCCAAGATGACAAATCATCTAAGGTGATTTTTTGATATTTGAAACATACTAGTATATGTTGACTCTTCAGCTACCAATGCGTCTATCATATCAATCTTGACATAAATTACTTTGCCTCCAATCCCTGTGGCAAAATGAGGTTGTTGGCGCTTGGCATACTTTGGCCCATGATGGAAGCTGTTCAGGCAGGTTGGAGATCTTAGTGTCAGCCATTTAGGAGCCTCCCTGGGCAGAGCCTGATGGTAAACCCTTTCCAACTCCCCTCATGGCACAAACAAGCTATCCTTACAGTTGACTACCTCAAGAGTGTGCTGTCATCTATTTCCTCTATACTCCCCAAAGGCACCAAGGTTGAGACCAAGGAGGCCAACCATACTCTTGTTGTTCTGATGTGTTCTAGCCTGGTGGCAATTGGACTGTCAAGCTTGGTGTCTACCTACTCTCTGCCGCCTGTTTTGCCCAAAGTCCCATTTTCTTGAAAGGGCAGTACATTGTCATGACTAATTGTGGGGGACAAGCTTACCAGAAGGAGAGCCTTCTGGCTTATACAACTCAAAGATCTATGAATGGTTGATGGATATTTGTTGGTGACATGCAAGGCTCCCACTTCCCTTTGACTTTGACTGTCCCACCTGCCACCACAAAGGTCAAAGGAAAGGTCAATCATATGGAATTGAAAATCTAAACAGATGGAAGGCTATGGAAGGCTCTGATGTTGATGTTGCTCATGGGTTTCCAACCCCCAAGCCTGAAGGGGCAGGGTCTTCTACTGGCCTTGACAACAAGGCCGCTAAAGCTGGTAAGGGTAAGGGCAAAGCTGCTTTTGCTCTCAAGACTTAGAGGTTGCAAAGGGCAATCAGTTTTATACTATAATTCTACTTACTCTCCTTCTATGAATGATCTAACTTCTAGTCCAGTTTGCCCTTCTATCCTCATTGCCCCTTTAGCACCCTTGGGGCAATCAACACTACTCTATTGCTGAGATCTTGCTCTTTTCACAAATATATGGCTCAGTAGTCAAGAGACAACGAGACAACCTGACTTCAACTGTAAAACCACTCAACAAGAACCTCTCTTCACAAAAAGCTCAACTCTTCCAGGACCATCTTTATTGTCAGAAGTAAGTGATTGTACTTGAAACACAGAGACACAATATTGGTAGCTGGTTCAGTATGCTTGTGGGTATAGATCTGACATAAGTGAAGGACTTTGCACAGGGAGAGTGGCAAATCTTACATATATAATGGAGCTGAGCCTGTAAAGGCCAAACTCCATGCAGTGGCAACATGATGCTTAATAGACAAAGTGATTCTATAAGGTGTGAAGGGCCCTAGCAGATGAATGCCTTAGATATGTCTCATTATTGGTGTTGAAAGGGTTAAGAGACTATTGGAAACAAAGAATAAAAGAACTTCTGTGTTTGCTTCTGTTCTCTTCCAGCGCTTGTCCCAACCTTGTCTCTCTGCATCTGTCACCCCAACCCACTCTGAAATAACCTACCCTTCCTCCCTGTACCGTTTTCAACCCATGCATGCATAGTGCACTCATGTCGCACTTGCATAAGGTTTGGAATAAGGTTTAAGGGTCCACCTGTCACTCATCACCGCTGCACGTCATGCCTCTTTGTTTTCTGTTTCTCGCTTTTATCCTTGCTCTTTTTGCGCTCTCACACTCTCACTTTCATGAAATTGAAAGAACCTGCACCTGGAAGCCGCTCCTCAGCTGCAAGCCCTACCATGCACAAAACAGTGGCCGTTTCATCAACCATCTTCCAGCCCTGCAGCCTTTGTTGCGACATTCTCCGGTAGTCTCTTGGCCCCCTGCACGTCCTTCCTCTTCTTTGCGCATTTCTCGCTTTCATTGTCGCTCTTTTTGCGCTCTCTTCGCAACAGATTGTAACGTACATGCACAGTATCCAGCTTGCTCTCACACTCTCACCTTCTCGGAACGTTTCCTGGCTCATTGTTGTCTACATGCACAATATCCAGCTGCAGAGCTCATCATCCGCCACACATCCTTCCTCTTCTTTTGCCGTTTCTCGCTTTGATCATCGGCATTCTCTGCGAAAGACATCTTCATCTGCATGCACAGTATCCAGCTCCAGCGCTGATCATAATATGATTCTTTTCACTCCCCCCACCACCTCCACCAGCACCCAACAACTTCCGACTTCCAACCCTTTCAAACAACCTTGCAACGCTGCTGGGAAGCCCATCGGTCTCATCCGGAGGGTGATGTCCCCAAGTACTCTATTGGTCTCTGCAACTATGTACAGCATTGATACAAGCCATCAACAACTTGGACCACCCCGGTGTCAAGCTCTTCCAGTCTATAATTGACACTATAGATGGCAAGAACCCTCTCACCATCCTCTCCTGGGTTGCTGATGACTCCCACCATGACGGCAACACCTCTTCTGCCCTGCTCATGCACTCTGCCTCGGAGGCACATATCAATACTCTCCCTCCCACAGGCACATGTCTCTACAACCAGAAGCCCGTAACATTCTAAGCTTATTGAAGATCCCATGTATGAGACCCTCCTTCCAGGAATTGCCTGGTATATTCAGTGCGTGGGCATAGTTTGCAATGCGGAGAAGAACAATCGCTCTTTCGAAGTGAGCGGCACTATTTATATGGTAAGCATTCCATCCATCAAACATGCCAAGCCTAACCTGTACACAGGGCAAGAGGGGGCACTTGGCTGCTTTCATCTGGCATGTTGAGGTGCCGGGAATGGCAAGATGGCTGTACTGGCCTTACAAGAATGGTCAGCACGTCTTTGTGTCTGGCCCTCTGGAGAAGAGGGTAGATGATGTCTACTGCATCAACCTGCAGCCAATGCACTCCATCAGCAACTTCGCTTCTTCCGCTCCCTCCCCTTCCCCGCAGCACGCCACCGTTGTCCACCCAACACCCAAACATTGCCTTCTCTCATGAGCCTCCAGTCAAATCTTCCTCCGGCCCCACCAAGGAATCCAGGAAGTAGTTGCCTCTGCCTTTGTCAGTTGTATGATATGTATCCTTCTCGCCCGTCTGCCAAACTTCATTGCCTTCCCGCCAGACTCACTTCATGTACTTTCCTGCTGCTATCGGCTGTACATACATACTTGTCATGACGTCACACCGGGACACACCACTCTCAGGGACACTTTACATCTTTTTGAATATGTTTAGAAAATCTGCATTTGCGTGACAACCATAGCATGCATGGGTATAATAATATACAGTTCTAGGGGGGCTGGCTTCTGACTGCTTGCCAGCTTTTGACTGAGCTCCGGCCCTCCTGACTTGAGCAACACGCTTTCGTTTCTCTTTATTCTCTTCCTCTCTTTCTTTCCTCTTTGCCAAAGATTATCTGTTATTCTCCTGATATTCTGGGTCATAAAACTCGCCTGAAGGCAAATTCACTTTCTTCCTCCCCCCTCTGGTCTTTTTGTCAAGCTCTTGAGCAGCCCAAACGCACTCCATCTCGTCCTGAAGGAGCTTGCGCCTCGCCAGTAATGTTTCAAACCCCTTTTCGGTCTTTTCAAGTACCTCAAAAGCGTCGAGCTCTCCTCTTCAAACGGCATGATTGTTGAGGCGGATGACGCGGACAGAGTCGGGTGTAAGAGGCTGACCTTGGGGTGTTTTTGGAGGGGGTGTTGTGGGTTGGGCGCCAGTACCGCTCATAATGATCTGGCGATTGGGCGGCCAGATTCCAGATTTGCGCCATGCACTTGTCAGCTGCCTGACATTGGCCGTTTCTGACCAGGCTTGCTGGTGCCACCCCCAAAACATCCCCTTAGAAACCCTACTGCGGTCGGAACCGCGCATATAATAAGCCAACTGCCGGTGGTAGGCATTCTTCAAAGAATTGAAGAAATCGACATTGAGTGGCTGGGATTTTTCGCTCAATTTGGCTGGGAGGACGACGACAGAGATCTTACGCTCCCAACAGGCCTCAAGGAACTCCACTTGGTAATGGGATTCGTGCCCATCGAGGAAAAGAAGACGCCAGACACGCCCGTTGTCGGCAATCTCTCTTGTGGACGGGTCAAAGATGGTCTTGAGCCACACCAACATAACGTAGCTGTTGGAGAAGCCCGAGTCGGTGACGAAAGCCGTTTGCGGGATGCCAGAGACATGGTCTTGGAACCACGAGTTCTGTAGAGAGGCTCCTTGAAAGATGATGGCAGGGGGAACGGGTGCGAAACTCGTCCCAATGCAGGCAATCGATGTGATGTGCTCGCTAGAGCTGGGCACTGCCTGGCCATTGCGAGCATGGCCTCTAGGGGCGACCCGGCGTGTCTTGCGATGGCTGGTGAGCTTGAAACCCGCTTCGTCCATATTGAAAACGCAGTCACTTCTAAACTGCCCCTTGTCATAGATGTCTTTGACCTGTACATGCAATGAGTTGAGCTCCAGGGGTCTGCCATGCACTTACACGTTTGTAAAAGGCTTCACAGTTCTCTTCTGTATTGGCTTGGAGCCGCCCGAGCTCACTATAGCCATAAAAGCGAGACGCAAGTCGATCCTTGTGTCGCCGGATGAAGTGGTCACTCCAATGAACGCCAAGTTCTTGCCCACTAAGCCTCTCTGCTAGCTCCTTGACATGACCTGGGGTAAGAAGAGTACCCTTGCTGGCGTAGTCATTGATCTTTCAGATCGATTCCTCCTCCTGGGCTTTGCTGAGGGCGTGACAAGCGCCTTCTGAGCGTGAGGTGTGGATGTCTTTTTGCCGGTTGGCTAAGGTTGTTTTTGGGACTTGAAACTCTTGAGCTATCTGTCGTATGCTCTTGTCGGGGTGCTCTTTGATGTGTTCGAGAGCGGCAGTGATAGGGCTTGTCATTTTGGATGCATGGTAGAAAGAAGTCTCTCAGGTATGGATGAAAGAAGTGTCCCGGTGTGTGGCGTGTCCTGGTGTGACGTCATGACAAGTACAGTATGTACATGTATAGTACAAGTAATTTGCATGTTGTAATCAGTCTAAAAACTTGCCCAAAAGTTGTTGAGCAGGTCTGATAGTTGTGATAGAATAGAACAAATCTCATGTTTGCTTCTGTTTCAGTCCGGCGCTTGCCCCAACCTTGCCTCCCTGCACCTCTCGCCCTGACACACTCCAAAAAAAATAGCTCTTCCTCCCCATACCGTTTTCGACCCATGCATGCATAGTGGACTCATGTCAAACACAATGAAGGTTTGAAATAAGGTTTAAGGGTCCTTTGCGCTCACCCCAGCCTTTCCTTCCTTCATCCGTTGCCCCAACACACTCCAGAAAACCTAGGTCTTCCTCCTCATACCGTTCTTTTCTCATGCATGCATAGTCCACTCATGTTGAAATTGACAAAAATGGGAATTAAGGTTTCAGGGTCCACCTATCGCTCATTGTCGCCGCATGTCATGCCTCTTCTGTTCTTGTGGCGTTTCTTGTTTTTGTTGTCGGTCTTTTTGCGCTCTCACTCTCTCACTTTCTCCAAATCGCAAGACTCTGCGCCTGGAAACCGCTCTCATCTACAAGCCCTACTGTGCGCCAAACAGCCACCGTTTAGTCAACCATCTTCCAGTCCTGCAGCCCTTGTTGCAACGTTCTCCCTTGGTCCCCCAAGCATCATTCCTCTTCTTTGGGCGTCTCTTGCTGCCATTGTTGCTCTATTTGCCCTCTCACAATCTCACTTCTCGGGGTGTCTTCTCCCTCACTGTTATGTACATGCACAGTATCTAGCTGTAGAGCTCATCATCCGCCATGTGTTGTTCCTCTTCTTTGGGAGTTTCTTGCTTTGCCACTGCACATCATTTCTCTTTGGGCGTTTCTCACTCCCCGCAACAGATCGTCATGTACATCATACATGCATAGTATCTAGCTGCAGAGCGTGTCATTCAATAACCCCTTCCAATCTCCCCACCACGTCCACCTGCACCCAACAACTTTCAACTTCCGACCCTTTCTGACAACCAATCAACACCGCCTGTCACTTGCCTCTGCCTCTCGATTTCCTTTCAATTTCCTCTCAATTTCCTCTCAACTTCCTCCCATTGTTGCTACCATCTTGCTCTATCACTTGCTCGCTCCTGAACCTTCCCTTGAAATTGCCAAGATCTGCCCCATCAAAACCCCTTTTGACTATGAAGCTGTAAGGTGAAGCAGTCCAGCCACTGCCAGACACTCTCCTTCTCACCCGGTGTCAAGCTCTTCCGGCCTATAGTCAACGCTATCAACATGCAGTCAATGCATTTGGTCAGCACCTTCTCTTCTTCTGCTACCTCCTGTCCTCCAACATTCCGACGTTGCCTTCCCTGGATGAGCCTCCAGTCAAATCTTCCTCCGGCTCCACCAAAAAGTCCAGAAGGTAGTCACCTCTGCCATTGTCTGTTGTATCAGATGCATCCTTCCTGCCTGTTGGCCAACCTATGTTTCCACCAGACTCACTTCATGTACTTACCATCTGCTATGGGCGGCGGCCGTACATATGTAGTGTTTGCATTTGAAATTAGTCTAAAAACTTGCCCGCAAGTTGTTGGGCAGGTCTAATACTGGTATGTGTTATACTAGGCCACTGTACCAAACAAGGCTTCAGACTTGTGAGGTTCTAAGCTGGGGTCTTACAAAATAACATTGATAAGGTTCTTGTGGTGATCAGGTGTCACGGCCTAGCTGGGACGCAGCAGGGAGTTGACTGGAAAAGGTGTCTTGAGAGGAGAAAAGACCTTTTTGGTATTATTGCATGGGAAGAGTAGAACAATATGTATTGAGTATATACACCAAGAGTCCTTCAACCATCCACACAACTCAGTGCTGATGCCACCTCAGGAATTTACTAAGTGTGACATCAGGCCTGCGCTGGGGTGCAGCTGAAGTTATCATCATATGTAATCAAGGGTTGAGTCCAAGTACGTGACGAGGAGTACACAGTTGTGCTTGGATGAGGTCTTGGAAGGAGCAGTAGAGGATAAAGAAGAAGAGGAGGGAAGAGAACAGAGTCAAAGAGCCTTGTGTTTGAAGTCTCTGTCCCAACACCCAGCCTTTCTTATATACATGAATGAGTGACGAGATGATAGACGGAGCGACTACGTGACATGACTACGGCACAAAGCGAAGAAGGGTACAAGTCAACCAGCAAAGCTTGCAAAAAGGCTAAAGACAATAAGAGAGAGGAGACGGGTGGAAGAAGGTAAGGGTATTGAATATGGGTGTGTCGATGTTCGTCAGACAGCCTCACTAGACAAGAGGAAGAGAATGAGAACAATTAACAGTAACAAGACGGAGGCGAGTACAGCTAAAAGATCTATGCAGCATGCAGGCACCTGTAAGGCTCCAGTGGTTAGGTCCCGGGGCGCGAGTTAACAAGTCCAAATACCAACACATGCATTACGATTCCAGGGTTGGAATTGTGATGCAGTGGCTTTTGCTGCTCATCTGGTTAATTGATCTCACTTGGTAGTTAGGTCCTTTACAGCACCTATCACGCTACAATTCTAGCTGTCTATGAATGCTCTCTTTTATACCTTTCTGGCATACCCAATGGACACTGTTTGGCTGCTCTTCTTATCTCCATCTTTGTCTCTGTCTTGATTTGTTATACCTGTTCTTGTTGCCATCTCCTCTTCTGGTAGGTGCTGGCAAGGAGGATTCAGGGAAGGGAAGTAAGAAGAGGTTATGATAAGTGACATAGGAAACCATCTCTACTGTCCAGCAGCTCTGGATGTATACCCTTGGTTCCTGGCACTCCTTCAACAATTGACTACAACAATGACAGACATCAACATATCCAACTACAGTACAACTAGTCCCCAGCCATGCCAATAGGCACTTCCCATATACACAGTTCCTAACCTATCCCTACCCCATCACACCAACACCGCACATGCCTCTGCTGAGACTCTTTCACTTTCTTATTATTCTCTGCTGTAAGAGCTTGTATTGAGAGAGTGCAGCTTCAATGAGGAAACTTGTTATACAGTCAATGGAGATTACAATAGTTTGTGGGCTCAAGTATGAGTAAAGCATTCTTATTGTCTTTGTCACTATTACCTAGCTACACAAGGCGCTACAATTGGTGCCCTGTCATGAGCTGGCCCACTACACATAAACATCCTAATTGGCAGTCTAGGTCCCACACAAACATTGCAAGCAAAATGCTTGACCAACCAACCAGTCAGCACACCAAAAGAGTACCAAATTCCTTGGAGTCAAATAGACTTTGGCACCTATTTGACTTCTTACTTGTCTGATAAGATATGGCAAGACATCCTGTTACTATCAATACTTTGCAGCAGAGGAGGCATGCAGAAAACAGCACACATAAGACTAAGTGTAGATTGTACTTGCATGTTTCCATATTACACAAGGGATATGTCTTAAGCTCTTACTAGCCTTCATTGCAGACTTCTATTCCAAGCCAACATACCCTGCAGCCCTTCCCATCTATGAGAGTGTTAAAAGATTGTTCAAAATGATATGAAGGGGCTCAAACTCACAGTTGTCTTCTCAAACATCTCAATAGTGACCTGCGCCAAGAACCCAGGTACACTCTGTCTCTCCACAACCCAGAAGTGTCTGGCCTCCTCCAGACTTCTTGCCATCATACCACTCATCTTCATGGACCCAAAATGCCCTTCTCTTGATGTCATCTTGATTGTGAGGCCAGATTTGCCTTTTGGTGCGTACATGCTGGTCAAGCGGATATCAGAGCCAGATTCCTCAAACTTGATACGCCAGCCGAGGACTGAAAACACTGCTTCAAGAAATTCCAATGTTTTGGCAGCAAAGACCTGAGAGAATTGATTAGCTTTGGTAGACACGAAAGGTTGAACAGAAAAAATACAGAAAACATACCTCTTTCAAGCGCGTCAATCTCTTTTCATGCGCCCTCCCCATGTCTTCTTGGTCTTTATTCAGTCTTTCATAACTTGACCGGGGTACCATCCCCTCTTTGACATCCCCACTCATCCCTTGCTGACTCAGTATCCCATCAAGCTCCGCCAACCTCTCAAGCAGTTCATTGTTCTCCTGGCGCAGAGCCGTCAACTCTTGCTTGCGAATGAATTGTATCTTGGCTTCAGGGTTGTTGCGCAGCTCAAGACATCGCTCAGTCAGGGGATTGAACTCGCCTGAGGCCACCCGACACATCAAAGAGCTGACCTCAGCATCAAGGCGAGCGTTGGCGGTTGTAAGTTCCTCAATGGTCTTGTCAAACTCGACTACATCTGTGTATTGTCAGACCACTTGTCACAACTACAAGGGATGAGGCTTACCAGACTCCAACTGAGATATTCTTTCCTGAGCATTGGCAAGCTCGTGGGCCTGAACCAATCCTTGCCCCTGAGCAACCTTCTCCTCAACTAGTCTCGAGTCACGCTGCATTGTTTCGACCATATCCCTGTAGGTTTGCAGGAGTCGGTCCATCTCTGCTGCATCCACTCCACCCCCAGCACCTGACAACCTCAGTGTGTCCACTTCTTGCCTGATGAGAGTCTCCCTCCGTTCGGCGCTTTGCCTGCCTTCCACAGCCCAACGCAGCTCGCGCTCAGTTTCCCGCAGCCTCGAGGAGATTTCGCTGACAGTCGCTCTTGAGCTCTCTGCCACGTCCGCCAGCCTTGTGCGCAAGTCTCGGATAGTACACTCTCTTTGGGCAAGCTCACTGGTGGCTTGAGTATGCAGTGTCGAAAGCGCAGAGATTCGAGTTCTGAGTTGGGTCAACTGCGCCGTATCATCTGCCAAGGGAAAAGTTTGCGTAAGAGAGTCCATATCTCGGCGCGCACGTTCGAGCTGCTCTTGAAGCACCTTGATTTCTTCCCCAAGGGACTGTTCGGTCTCCTTGTGGGCACGCTCGACGGATTCTATAGTTTTACGGTGGGAGCGGAGTTCAACAAGCTCGGACTTGAGTGTCTCATTGGCTCGGTAGATGGTCGAAAGGTTTAGGGATTGTCCTGTAGAGTTCTGTCAGTTATGAACTGTCTTGAATGTTATCTGCACTCACGTTTGACCTCATTGGACAAAGTCTCGTCGGGCTTGCTTGGAACAGACTCCTTTTCCCCGCCCTCGATCCTCCGTCTCCTCTCCTCTTCGAGCTCGATACTCAGTCCCCTTGCTCTCCTTTCCCACCCCTTGAGAGACTCTCGTTCCTTTTCCACCTCAGCGATCCGTGCTTGAAGCAGAGTAATTTCGTTTGAGGTAGATGAAGACAAGCTGGTATGTTTTCCATAGAGAAGGGTGTGTTGACTTCGAAGTTCTTCCAGCTCATTGACCAGCGCTGTATTGCGCTGCCTGAGCAAGGCGACCTCATCCGCATACCTCCTCCTCTCCTCTCCCCACCTCCTCTCCTTCTCCTCACCCCGATTGACTTCATCCACCTTGGCCTCATAGAGCCCGTACCGTTCCTCTTTCAGTCGCTCGATCTCTATTCTCTGTTCCTCCAGCTGCAAGTGCAGCTTGCTCTCATTCGATTTGTATCTCAGATTCTCTCTCTCCAAGGACGACAACTGGAGTTTGAGAGAGGAGGCGGACTGAGTTTTGCGCGAATGGGCAGGGTCGTCGATGTCGGTGGACGAGGAGGGGCGTTTGCCGAGGTGGGTGCTTGTGCTGGGGGCGAGGACGGGGCGGGAAGAGGGGGCTGGGATGGCAGAGCGGGCGGCTGACGGCGGGGGCATGGCTGGGCGACGAAATTTATGATTGTACGTGGAAATGCTCGCGCGCAAGTGGTGTTTACATCACTCGCGATATTTGATCCCGTCGGGCACCTCACGGCTCAGGCCTCAGACAAGCTATCAATCTTCATGTATGCAAGGTTGAATTCATTAAATACATGATGCGTCTGTTCTACCAAAAATTCCCTGAAACTCTACTCTGCAAATAACCCAGGATTCGTAAGATAAGCAAGATCTATAAGCGCTTTGCAATCGTTCCCCAACTTCAATTTCCCCGGAAAGCGGATATGGTATACTCAAGACCACCGCGACCTCCTATTGGCCCAAGGTCTCTTCGAAGAAATCAATGGGTGTCTGACCTTTGAGCACCGTACTAAAGTTGGAAGCCTGTTTGAGAGCCGTTCGACAAGTTTCCATAAGACCGAAAGGTCCACAGACTAATGTCCAAAATCAGCAAGTGTTTGAAGATCGGGCAGAGACAGTCTCACCTCCGTACGCCATAGCCTCAGGACATGTGCCGACATCTTTCTCGATGATAGTCTTCAAGTCGGGTCGGCCCTTGTGGAAATGAACGAAGCTCATTGCTTCGGGGGACAAGAGTTGTCGGATACTGTGATGGGATGGCTCGTCGGCAAGGGTCGAAGAGAGCTCCTTGGGAGCGGCAGGGAGGTGGACGATAGCGTCGTGGTCGCCCTCGGTAGGTGTCGACATTCCACTCTTGGTAGGCGTGGTTTGACCGCTCTTCTCAGTATAGTCGCCGCCGACCAAGGTGTTGTCGGTACAGGCTGTCCCCAAGGCTTCTCTCTCGTGTCCCCTCTTCTCTTGTTGGGAGCTGCCAGAAGCGAAAGAAAAGTCGTCGGTGCTGGTCTTGCGGAAGACGGGGATGGAGCCTCGGGTAACATAGACGTCGAATACAAGCTGGATATTCCCGGAGTTTGCTTTGAGGAGCTCGGCAGCCTGGTTCAGGATGGGAGCGACCCAAGAAATAGCGGAGGCGTCTCGAACAATCCAAACGAGGCGGACGAGCTGGGTTCGGGCGTGCTTCTTGCCGTTGACGAGCTCGAGCATCTGGGCGGTGAAAGGAGCGATACCAGTACCGCCTGCGAAAAGTCAGCATTGAACATCCGGAGGGGCGGACAGTCTCACCAGAAACCATCAAGACATGGTCGTAGGAAGCGAAACTGTGGGGAGAGCCGTAGGGACCATCGATGTAGCATCGGATAGTTTTGTCAGAGCTAGAGGAGACGGCCTTGAGAAGATCATTGGTGAATCCTGCAAGACGAATTGGTCAGCATGGTTGATAACGCTGTGTCGGCTGTCTCACCTCCGTAAACTCGGGGAAGAACCACGACCTCATGTTCGTCGTTGGGAGCATTCGCGATGGTGAAGGGATGAGTCTCGACGGGACCCATAGAGACGCGAGGGGCAGATACAAACCTATGTCATAGGTCAGTATTGCAATAATTCAAGTTGACTGGGGAGACATACATGTGTTGACCGGCCTTCCATGTGAAACCATACCGCTTGAAGGTAAGGCGCATGCAATCCCCTTCTAGAACCTCGATAGTACACTCGCCGCGGCCGGCAGTCCACAATCTGTTGGTCCAGATTGTGCGGACCCATCGAGCAGCTCGGTCGAAGCCCCAAATGATGAAGCACATATAGATCCATTTGCCCATACGGCCCCAGTGTAGGTAGGCACCGACCATATAGAGGCTATCATATCGTTAGCTGCTAGATCAGGAAACGCAAATGAGCAGACTCACAGAGCAAAGATGATATGACAGGTAAAGAAGAATTGGTGCATGCGACGTCGGATGATGGCGAAAGATGACAGCCACAACAGCGTGAAGGAGGAAATGGCGACCCAGCCCCAGATGATGTAAGTGGTAGACCAGCTGTCTTTACCAAGGTTTCTACAGACATCATCAGTACGCCATATGACATAGACTTATCATGGGTTATAATACTCACATCCTGATAGTGGAGATTCCGACGTGTATCCAAGACCACAGGAAGATGCAGCGAGTGCCAGCCCTATGCAGATAATTGAGGTTTTGGTATGGAATACCGGTCAACCAAGAGATGGGATTGTTTTTCATGACGAGAAACATGATGAGGGGCATTTGACCGAAAGCCTGTGATACCGATCAAGATATATACGACGCTAAAGATATCAATGGACTTACCATGATGCCAAACACATTGGCAACAGTCTGCTTACTCTTGGCAGTGGGCCCTAACTTTGGTCAGTAACGCACCACTCTATTATCAAACACTACTCACAAGTGTCGGCTTGATAGAAGGTGAGGGCAAGAGCTACGACCAGATACGCACAAGTCCACAGGGCGTCGGCGACTGTCTCCGGTGCGTACAACCAGGAAGGAAAACCAGTAGCAACCATCCAGTTCCTGGCCCCTGCCACGGTGGCCGCCCAAGGCTTGAGTCTTTTCCTAGCAGCCTCCTCCTGACTGAGAGGGGCTTTCCGCTGACGGCGCCACCTCTGAAGCAGCTGAAAGGCGGAGTAGATAGCAAGGAGGCCAATCACGGCGCACACCGTACACCACATCCAGACTTGGTAGTCTTTGTAGAAGGGTTTGACCTTTTTTTTGGTACTTTTCGAGCTTTTGGCGCTTTTGGCAGAGGAGCCATGGCCGGAGGTTGTAGAATTGGCGGCAAAGTCATCGAAGTAGGCGGAAGCGGCAGTGCTGGCGATAGCACTGGCCACACTGGCTACAGTGACAGTTGCAGACATCGTGATAGTGGAGTTGTATCGAATGAATGGCGGATGCTATCTGGCGACAAAGTCAGAGCGTTCCGGTATAAATGTATATATCACTCACAGTCCAGGGATTCCATTTTTTCTCGCATGCTCCCCAGTCCGGGCGTGTTCAGAAAGCAACTATTGGCTGTCGTGTTCGGGTAGCGAAATTATCTCATTCTGAGCTGTGGATTGATGGAGAGAACGTCTTCATCGGCCGGTGATGGTCATGGCCCCGTCACAAGCATACTTGCGGGATATTCTCCATCTCCCCGAAAACTCAGGGACGATGGGATGCTCGCTGTTACCGATGGGCTTACCGAATGATGGCTGGATGGGATTCGATGGGAGATAGCAGAAGCATGTGGGATGGAGAATGGATAAATTTCTCGTTAGAGCTGCGTTAGAGCGAGGACGTCCCTGGCCCGTATCTGATTGTCTCTTTGTATCCGCAGGCACAGGCACCAGGCACCGTCGGGCGACGAATCTGACTCCGGCTGGACGTCACTTGCATCGTCTCTTCGGCCTATGTACTGCATGTGTGTGCATCAAGTCGCAGGCCGCAGATCCCCAGACTGCAGACTGAGCGATTTTGAGAGGCACTGCAGTTCGGTGGAGGAGTGCCATACGTACATACGTTGGTCCGGACTTCTTTGCTGCAGAAAATGCCTCAAGGTTTCGACTGGGCTATGTACTTTCTTTCATATATATGGTACTGTGCGGCATGACTGTGTCGTGAGGTGAGCACACACATGAGCTTACTTTGCAGTCATCACAATGAGATGAGGATGCATGGCCAGAACACACGTTGCACGTCTGAACGCTAGGAGACTGGAGGAGAGGAGGGGACAAATCAATCTAATCGACCTGTACATCAAATAGAGGTGAGACCGACGGGCCCGACGGCTCCAGTCTGGAGGCAAGACACTTTCGGTCTATGGCCGACGTACGTGAACGGGCTATGATCCATTTGGACGACGGTGCCACCAGCCCAAGTAGCGACACACAGATTTTACTATGTAGCCATCACCACCAGAGATTTCAGCCTCGCCCAGCCTTCCAAAATAGCAATGCAGATGCCAAGCAGCAAGCCAAGAGCAGGAGGCAGGAGGGCAGCTGCGAGGAAGGGTTTTTCGAACGTGTCTTTGTTCCTGTATTACTTTTCAGCAGTCGAGATGATCTCGCTACGATGACGACGAGGTACCTGAACTAATTATATAAATTGTTTTGGCCTTCAGCTCCTTCAGATCTCTTTGTCGGCCGGTTATCTAGAGTTCATGTACACATTGTCTGAGGGTTTTCTCATCTCTCCAGGTTCTAGAAGATCAGCGGCCACTGCGATTTGCGCCTTATCTGATCAAAATTTCGCTTGCAATGCCGCTAAAGATTGCAGGGGCCCGGGTTCGGTTTTTTTGTGTTTTGGCATCCGCCATTGCCAGCAGCCACACCGCACCGCGCAGCTATGCATGACGCACGTAGCAGCATACTGTACATAGCAGACTGAGGCTGTGGTGCACGCACATACAGCCACACCAATAATGCCATCAATCGGCTATCGCTTATGTCTATGCATAACTTTCAGGAACATCTTAGAAACATGCGGGATGCAAGTCGGACTCCGAAGATGATTAGGAGACATCTGTATGTACTGAAGGACAGATTTCTGTCTGCAGATGGACACGGTGCGTGTTTAAACAAGATAGAGTCTATAGCGGTATAGCCTAGCGTTTTCACTTCTAGTCTGCTCATGGTCGGTGGTCGGTAGACCGAGTCGTGAGACGACTGGTAACGGCGGCTGCCCATCGCCATGTGCAAAACTTGAGCAGACATGGGTATCAATCCAGCACTTGTTCTGTAAGCCCCAAAGCTCTGTATCGTCCTTCTTATGTTCACAACTGGTCATCGTAGAGCAGAACGCATGCTACAGCAGATGACGTTGGCAGCCTAGTGTATCTCAAGGAAGACAAGTGTCACATGAGGAGCCCTGCACCTCTGACACAACACATGAAGTGCCAGCAGCATCGCACCAGCCGAGTGTTTGAATGCCCAAGGGAGCAAATGAACTTACAGCTGACTTACTCAAAGTACCGTCCAAGTCTCCCGAAAGCGGCGATTACCGCAAGATGCTTGGTGGAGGCGCGAGTGGAGGCCTCTACTTTTGTTGGGTTTTCCGTCACCGTGATAGTCTTGTCATCATTCTCTGAGCGTTCCAATTCCGTACCGACCATGTCCAACGACGCCCACAATGCCGTCCTTATGCCCTCCGAAGCCCTGCCGGAGAATGCAGTTCACATCAAGGGCCCAGATTTCAACAACGCGATCGATTTGGAGGCTCTCTTGAAAGGGTATGAGACTATTGGGTTCCAGGCTACAGGATTGTCCAGAGCCGTGCAAATCATAGAAGAAATGGTGAGCCCACATAGCCTCATTGAACGGATGATGATGCTTACAAGTTTTGTTAATATAGAGACAACGTCGCAAAGACCCCGACCAGCCTCTCACACTTTTTCTTGGCTACACCTCCAATCTCATTTCGTCCGGTCTTCGCGAGATCCTGAAGTTTTTGGCCCAGAATAAACTTGTGGACTGCTTTGTGACGACGGCTGGAGGTGTGGAAGAGGATTTCATCAAGTGCCTGGGGTCGACAGTATTGGGAGATTTCCACCTGGACGGAGCGAGTTTAAGAAAGCGAGGGTAAGTTGTGACTATGAAGGACGAAAATAGGGCTAATATGATTTCAGATTGAACAGGATCGGAAACCTGCTGGTGCCCAACTCCAACTACTGTGCTTTCGAGGACTGGGTTGTTCCCATCCTCGACAAGATGGTAGAGGAACAGGAGCAACAGGGCACAAAGTGGTCCCCGAGTTCGATCATCCGCCGTCTGGGAAAAGAGATTGACAATGAGGAGAGTGTATATTATTGGTGCTACAAGGTGAGTTTGTATTGTATGCGCAGCAGGAACGCACTTTCTGACACATCTCAGAACGATATCCCAGTTTTCTGCCCAGCTCTGACGGACGGTTCCCTCGGTGATATGATGTACTTTCACACCTACAAAACATCCCCTGCTCAATTATCTGTCGACATCGTCGCCGATATCAGGAAGCTGAATGACATGAGTGTCAAGGCCAAGCAGGCTGGTGCCATCATTCTCGGTGGAGGTGTCTGCAAGCACCAAATTGCAAACGCGATGCTGTTTGTAAGTGGCCCTTAGCTTCCGATTAGCCATGAGTGCTAAGCCTTCCACAGAGGAATGGAGCCGACTACGCCGTTTATATCAACACTGGACAGGAGGTAAGTGCTCCTTCGCACCATGAGACGTGTACTCACCATGACCCCAGTATGACGGTTCAGATTCGGGAGCTCGACCCGATGAGGCTGTTTCTTGGGGAAAGATCAAGGCTGGTGCAGAAAGCGTCAAGGTAGGCCGCCCAGGCGTATTGGCCTATGAATGCTGATTACAACATAGGTGTACGCCGACGCTACCCTTGTGTTCCCTTTGGTGGTGGCTGCCACGTTTGGCAAGGCTCACTGGGCAGAGCAGGCGAAGAAGGCGGAGCAGGCGAAGGAGGAAGGGGCTTCTGCTTAAGCATGGGCGCCTCAGTGGATTAGCATTATGTCTGTACAGGAGCATGCCGTCAGAGCGGCCTAGAAATTGTATGCATCGAATCCTCTCTCAACATGAATCCAGGATTGATCCAGGATGTCGCAGTACATACGCGTTGAGTACGTAATGTCGCTGTGGCTTGTTGTCGACGCGACTCGCTGCTCTTCTCGTGCTTTTGCCATCTCGCGCAGACCCCATGAACCTCCCCCCCGCCCGCAACGCCGCTGTCCAGATAGTCCGCCCCCCCTCCCCCTCCTCGGAGAAGGCCAAGGACAGGGACAAGAAGCCCAGCCCCGAGAAGCGCGGTCAGTCATGCAGCCGCCTGCAAGCTGCTCCAGTCCGGCGTGAAAAGCATTGCTGACAGACTGCACAGATGCCCCGCAAAGAATATGTCGGAATGTGATGATATACGGGTGAGCATTGGCTTGGAGGGTCACTCAGAGACACCGCTGATCGTCTTACAAGGCATTGCAAATACCAGGACTCAGGTGTATGTGTTTGTGAAGATGAGACAGTATATGCAGACTTGGCTGACTTGCTATTCTTCTGCAGTGTATCTACTACCACCCGCCCGTACGTTGTATTATCGAAGAGACGTACTTATGCTGATGAGCCCATCTACAGCCCGGAGTGGACCCCACAGCGTCTCAGAATGGCAGCCCCGTAGCTAAGAATGCCTCGCCATCTCTGGCCGCTTCGAAGCTGCTGTCCAAAGATAAGGCATCTGGTATCAGCGCCGAACATCTAGCAGCGCCCGTCTTCGTTCCCAAATTTGAAGGCTCCTCTCCCAGGTGAGTGGCTTCCAGGCATCTAGGGCGCTAAGAGCTCACTCACATCAGGCTGGGAACCCCTGTGTCAGCTGCAGCGGCCACATCGACTCCCCCGGCTTGGCCGCCGCTGCCTTCCCAAGGCGGTCTGTCTGGATTACCAACTTTCCAGCCAGATTCTGCCCCATTCACGCCCCAAGCATCCCTGCCTGTAACCCAGGCCCCCTCAAGTGCTGGGGTCACACCCAATGCCATGACTTACGACGAATCTCTTTCGATAATTGACCCTAACGCTGGTTTGGATCAGAGTGGGCTGTACCTCCATCCGCGCCAGCCGCTTGACCAACACCTGTTCGCTTCAACTATGCCTAGCTTGAGCAGCAACCCCCTGCATCCTGCCCACCCACACGCATTTTTCGTGGACGACGAGATAAGGAGAACGCTACAGACGAGGCAGGAGGCAGTCTATGTTGGGGCGAACGGGGGATCTGCGCCGGGTCTGCCGCAGGAACTTGGTGTCTACCATTCCTTGGTGCCTCTTCCTCTTACGTCGAAGAACCCAATTGCCTCGGGGCAGAACCCTATCTCCAAAGTCTACGGTCTCCCCGCTCCAGTCTATCGCGCTACGTCCGAAGTCGACGGGAGCACGTATTGTTTGAGGAGATTGGAAGGGTACAAGCTTGTGAGCGAGATGGCTTTTGGGGCGATCGACACCTGGCGGCGAATGAGGCATCCAAACATTGTCGGCCTGAGAGAAGCCTTTACCACAAAAGGTTTCGGGGACAACTCTCTTGTGGTCGTATATGACTACCATCCCAGCGCGATGTCTCTTTATGACGAGTACATCGCCACTGGCATGTCATCACAAGACCCCACCAAGCGTCGAGGGCCCATCCCCGAGAGAATACTTTGGTCGTACATCACTCAGATCGCTAATGCCCTGAAAGCGATCCACAGCTCGGGGCTTGCAGTCCGACATTTGGACGCGAGCAAGGTGTTGTTGACAGGCAAGAACAGGGTAAGATTGAATGGGTGTGGGCTGTGGGATGTGCTGGCGTTTGACCAGCAGACGCCGATCTCCGTTTTCCAGGTAAGCTGGCCGCTTCAAGTGTTCTACATGCTCTAATTCTTCAACAGCAAGAAGACTTGATGCAATTCGGCAAACTCATCGTGTCCCTTGCTTCGGACCTCTTCCAGCCCTCGATGCCCCAACAATCTCTTCCCGCTGCCGTCGACCAGATCTCCCGCCAATACTCTCCCGACATGCGAGATCTGGTATTGTGGCTGATAACCAAAACCCCAGGGTCGGGGTCTACTGGAAAGACGATCGATGAAGTGATCAAAATGATGGGACCAAGAATCTTGAATGAGTTGGATGCAATGCAGAGGTGAGCGAGCACCTTGGACTTTAGTGCACGCATCGACTGACCGACTCTATAGCTACACAGACACTTTAGAGAATGAGCTTGGTTCCGAACTTTCCAATGGCCGCATTGCCCGCCTGCTCACCAAGTTGGGCTTCATCAACGAGCGCGCCGAGTTTGAGCTCGATCCCAGATGGTCCGATACGGGCGACAGGTATATCTTGAAGCTGTTTAGAGATTATGTTTTCCATTCGATCGGGGTCGATGGGAAGCCGATACTTGATTTGAGTCATGTGCTTGTATGTCTCAACAAGGTAAGTGATCTCTTGTCTTGTATCCATCCAACTCGGACTGATGGGCTGGCATAGCTGGATGCGGGACTGGACGAGAGAATCATGTTGGTGTCGAGAGATGATCAGAGTTGCCTAGTTGTGAGCTATCGAGAGATTAAACACTGTATTGAAGCTGCTTTCAAGTGGGGTCCCTTCTCCATGACTGTTGATTGCGATGACTGATGTCATACTCAGTGAACTGAGAAGTTCAAATGACCCTCACCGAGTCCATCGGTGATGGTCGGACGATGGCAAAGCACCTCGGTTTGGGTTGATTGTCAGAACGAACCTAGGACATGCCCAGAGAGGTTATGGCAAAGGGGCCATTGTATCTCAATACTATTATACACATACCGGAACAATATGAAAATGCACTTGCTATCAGCTTAAGTATTGTGTCGAGGCTAAAGGAGGCGCAATACTAACATTATACAACTATGAACTCGTATACAAGTACGGGCTCGTACTAACCAGCATCTCTAGTCCTCTTCTTCTTGCCTTCTGATCTCCGCTTCCAGCTTTTCCCTCTCCATCATCCTCATCCTCGACAGGGTCATACTCTCAGCTTCTTCCCTTCTCCGCCTCACGTCGTCCTTCGACAACCTCTCCTTGGCATGCGACGCGAGCAGATCGGCCATCGAAGTAGAGGATGAAAACACCGGAGCTGATGTGAAGGATGGCGGGGTAGCGGCCGACGACGGAGAGGAAAAAGGGAAGGAAAATGAGGTGGCGGTGGCGTCTGAAGGTTTCCGCCGGCTCGGCAATTGCGTCTCTGCCCACGCAACCCAGCTCGGAACCTCTCCCACAGCCCATTTCACTTTGGCTCCCTCTACTCCCAATTTCCCGACGTTTCCATCTTCCACGTCTCTACAACACGAGTAGCATCCGCCCCAATTCCCTTTTGCAAATTCAACCACAGCTTTCCGGCTCTTGCTCTTCTTCTTCTTTGTTCCTTCCGTCAGAATGGCGGGGGTGGAAGGGAGCGGATCGGGAAGAATAAGATGGTTGACGGCACCATATGAGGTGGTCAGACTCTTGAGAAGCTGTGGCTGGCTAACGGTGCTGGTGGAGGGAAGGATAAGGATCAGAGTGAGGCTTTCAGGTGTTATGTCTGGACCACTTTCCCCGTTGCTCGCAGCCTTCTCAGTGGAAGTAGTCGGCGCCGGGGATGGAGCGACGGTAGCCGCAGCAGCAGCCATTGCCTTTTTCTGGGCTTCCTCCAGCATGCGCTTACCAGCGTCCTTGATGGCTTCTTCGTCGGCTTCCTGTCGCCGCCTGTGTTGCTGCTCTACTCTTGCTTTCTTGGCCTGTTCTTCTCTCTCCACCAGATCCTGCGTATGTCGATCAGCCACAGCCCATAGGGATATCGTGAAAAGTGAAAGCTTACATCGACCATCTTCTTCCTCTTCTTATCCATTTCAGCATATCTCGCTTTCTTCTTTCTGTCATCCTCCAGTCTCGTGTCCAAATAACTCTTCTTATTTTGATCTTTCAGTATCCCCACAGCCAATGACACCTGACGGAAAATGGCAATCGCTTCCGGGGCCGGATTCTGATGAGTTGTCAGCTAGAGTCCACGTAGATGAGGGATGGAGAGTACATACCTTGTCTGGATGGTATAGCAGAGACTTCTTTCGATACGCCTTTTGTATATCCTTGGCGGTCGCGTCGACGTCCAGCCCGAGAACGGCGTAGGGGTCTATGGCGCTCTCCTCTTCCGTCAGCAGGGGGGCCATTTTGTCGTTTTGCAGTGTTAAGCACAAACGAAGGAGAAGAAAAGTCGACCTTTTGCCGCCGCCGAGCAACTGGACGAACGAGCAGTTGTTCATTACATAATCGACGGTGCCTCGGAACCAAAGAATATAATAATGTAATGCGCCCCTGACATACATTCAACTGTCAAACTCTCAGGGGATAGTCAGATGTTGGGAAGATAAGTATCCCATGACTATGCTGTGGAACACTCCGGAATTCATGAGTATCATACGTCGTAAACAACAAAACAAAGATAAGAAACATCACACTATCTCCTTTCATCCCTAGTCTCTTTTTCAGCCCTGCTGCGTTTCCGGCCCACTTGTGCGCGGCCTGGGACTGAGCAGCGCGTCTGACTCTGGCTTCTTCCCGGAGACCACGCTGTGAGCGGTCATGGCTTGCTCATCCTCCTTGTTAGATCGAGTATCCACAGCCAAGCCTCTGGCAGCAGCTTTGGCCTTCCGCACAGCAGCTGCTGAAGGGTAGCTGGGCTCGGAAGATGCAGCTGCAGATGTTGATGGCAAAGATGAGTGGGAAACGGAAGTGTCCGAGGGTTCCTCTGGCCCGAGGTCATCATCTGACTCTGAGGAGTCTTCTTCAGCTTTGGCCAACTCAGCTTTTGTCTCTTAACACATATCCTCAAAGAAACTCACTCGAATCGAGCTGCCTCCCCGTCAATCCCAGCATAGTGTCTGCACCACCAGCCTGATACAACATGCTGTTTCTTTTCCTCTTGACAGTCTCCTCAGCATCCTCGAACGCAGACAGGCCTGCACCGGCTGTAGCCGAGTTACTTTCCCCTACGGGTGCCCGAGTATCCAGCGCTTCGCCTTCGTCATCGAAAATTGGTCCAAAATTGCTAATCAATTCCGAAAAGATACCCGCAGGTATACCGAGTGTCGGTGAGAAGACAATGCCGATATTACGCAAAGTCATTTTATTGGTTCCGGCATTTTGAACAACCAGAATAAGATGGGCGGTGAGGGCTCGGAGCAGAGCATAATTAGGAGGCGGCAACTCTGACACGAGACGCCCGAGCTCAGATATGCGAGCAGATGAGTCCACAAGGTCTAAGAGAAAATTAGATCGTGTCCAGCATCAAGTCAAATCACGTACCCATGACAGCCAAAAATCTCGTGTGCAGCTCTCTGGTCAACAAGCTCGTTGGCAAATCTCTCAAAAACGTTTTGAGCAACCCAGCGATAGCATGCGGATCCCAATACTCATCAACCGCCAACAAATTGACATCCCCCTCCGCATCATATCTCTCCTTCAAGCCCTTGATCACTGCCGAACTCCCGCTCAGCCTGTAGATGCCCTCTTCGTCTTCCGCCTTTTTAGCTTCAAGATACTCGATGCAGCGGAAAACGATGGCAGGAAGATTTGCGACGCTTGCTATCGCTAGTGAATCAGCCAAAGGTACAGCAAAGACCGGTCGGGCGATCTTTTCCGGTGTCTTGCCAAAGCCCCAGAACATCCGACTTTTAGCCTTCCTATCCCTGTCTTTCTCCCCTGTGGGGCTAGGCGCGGGTGCACCGAGACTTTGTTGGCTGGGAGTGGTCAAGAACCCAGGTGCCTTCCCGGGCATCATGCTTTGCCTCTTACTGGCCTTTGAAGTAGGTTCAGTAACGATGGGGCCAGAGGTGATAGTTTCTGAAGGAGGGGCGCTTGCGCTGAATGCTTTCTCTGTGGATTTCTGCTGCTGAAGCGGCTCCTGGGACGAATTGGAGCGGCACGGTTGGGAGACCGACGCCTGGTCTCTGGCAGCATGCACGTGGGGCACTGGAAAGGTCTGTGTGGGTGCAGAAGAGACAGGCGATTGTGTAAGAGCTCTTTGGGTCTCCATACTATTGAACAAACTCGGCGAGGGTGCACCAGCGAATTTGGCGTTGTTTGCAAAGCCAGACAGTGGTTGCGCGTTGGTGATGACAACTCCGTCCTTGCTATGCTTTCGCAATTGACTCGCTTTCCGTCGCAACTGTTGTCCTTGCTGCTGCGGCTGAGCTGGCGCTTGAGGAGGAGTCACAGACGCAGGAGCGTGTTGGGAAGGAGGTTGATGGGGTTGTTGGGGTTGAAAGACGGGGTCAGGAGCCGAAGCCGGAGCAGGGGCAGGTTCTGGATCGACATGTTTCACCAATATCTCAATCCACCTATCCCTCTCCACGTCGCTTTCGGCACATAACACGTGTCGGTGAGACGTCCCCTTTTTCCCAGCTTCGATGACAAGGAAGGCATGACGAAAGTCTCGCTCATCAGACGAGTCTATAGGACGATTTTGTCTGCCTATCTGGGCATTGGTAATCGTTATTGATCCAAGGTGATTTCCGCCACGCTGCAGAGGTGTCAGCGCTATTGTCAATGTATATGATTTAGACGTACGGATTCGAAATACTCCATCACAGGTCCATCAAGCACAAAGTACCTCGTCTTCCAGCCTCCCAACGTTTTTCCTTTTTTGGTAAGATACCCTTCTTTCTTGAAATCGTGTCTCTTGGCTTGCACAGGATCGGTACTCAGGAAGTGACACAGATCCGCTTTGTCGCTGATGGGCGCCACTAACAAGCTCTGCAGATACGCTTCCAATGCCGCTTTTCGCTGGTCAATCTTGCTGGGCGCAAAGTCCTTCCAAGACCGCCCTTCCGGTAGAGGCATGATCATCTGCTTCCACTCTTTCCTGTTCTTTTTTGACGACACTTTGATCCTGGTGTCGAGATCCAAAAACGCGCTGAACAACTTGGCGACATTCCAAGTCACCGGCTGAGCATTCGGCGCCCGGATGACAATCTCGACGATAAAGCAGAGAACGTCTCGACCAGATGTATTAGGGAAGACGGTACTGCTGGGGATTGTGATACGAGCGTGCGGAAGTAGAGCGGGGGAGAGACGGGGAGCACTACTCGGCGCCTCTTGTTGTGCAGACTTCTGCTGATGATGGGCTTGGGGAGTGTGGTCAATCGACTGACGAGGTGTCTTATGGTTGGAGGACTCTGCAGAAACCATAGAGTCCAGCGACGGTCGAGACAGCTTGTCAATCGATGCGCTTGATTGCATCGACTCGGAGATGCTCGAAGCAATCATCTCTGACCGGATGGACTCTGCAGGAGATTTCACAGAGCTTGCTGACGTCTCTCGCGAAGGTGTCGGACGCGTTGCAACAAATTCGGCAGAGTTGCCTCTCGTGACGACGGGAGGAACAATTGGCTTTGGAGATGGCTGTGAGGGCTCAGCCGCCATAGTGGCGGCAAAAGCCTTGGACGACGGAGGGGGTACAATCCCACAGTCCTCGTGCCCTTCCGACTCTGCGCTGGCTACCGCCTGGGGAGCTACCACCTGAGGGGAAGGATCGGCAGAGGAATAAGTCGGCTGCGTCGATGTATTGTGCTTTCCCTCTTTCGGTGAGTCGACCAGGGCCATGTACGACGAAACCTCGGGCGGGAACGCCATCCGGCTTTCTCTTTTTGCCCTGCGGTCGGGGATGGGTGAGGGTAGTAGGCCCGAAGACTGTTGGGTTTCGGGCGGTGCCGACAAGTCCCTTCCTCCTTCCTTATTCCTCTGCCCCTCGCTCTCCTTGTCCTTGACAGTCTTTTCCAGTCTCACTACGTCCTCCCTGTCGGAATGGTTTCGCCGGATTTTGGGGGATTCGTTTGCGAGTCCTCCCAAGCCAGTGGCGCTGGAGGACGTATTTATTTTTCGGACGTAGCCCTCTGGGTCCAAGCCGGCGGAGACCAGCTTGTGGTTGGCGCGCTCTCGATCTTGTCGGAGGCGGTCGTTGTCTGATGCTAGTGATGCGCATTGCGAGCGTTGCCTCTCAATGAGTTTCCAAAGCTGCGAGTTTTGGGCTTGCTACAAGTGACAATTGTCAGTGACAATTGACAGCTTGATACAAAACATACCAGATTATTCCGGTCGGAAACAACGACTTCCAGCGCTTTTCTACAGTCTCCCCTGTTCACTCTCAAGAGTCCTTCGATGTCGATCATGCCAGACGTTCCCCCTCTCGGACTTGTTCTGGGACTTGCGCTCTGTTGGGGAGAGCCTGTGGGCGACGGTCGAGAGCGAGATGTCGGGGAGAGGTTGGAGGATATGAGGGGCGGATTGAGATGAGGGGGAACGGAGGATGCGGGAGACGACATGGTCTGGGTCTTGTGGGTAAGGGTCGCCAACCCATACGACGACAACAACACAACAAAGGGGTCCGAGCGGGTGACCTGAAGGGTAGTCAAGAGATGGACGGGGTCGTGAGGGGGAAGGGGAGAGAGGAGAGTACACAGATGGGCCGGCGAGGATGTGGCTGTTGATGGAAAAGAATGGAGAGATAGATGGACGACAACGAAAGATGGACGACGCTGCGGAGCCAAACTAACACGGCGCGTCGGGCGTCGGGCGTCGCGCAGGCTATGTACAGTTATCATGTATGCAGTGGGAGAACCAACACCATTGACAGGCTGCAGGGTATCGACTCATGCTTTCAGCTGCGGACCCTGGCCAGCGTCGTCTGGTTGCAGAAAGAGGAGAAACCGCTGCGTTGTTTGTGCCAGCTCCCGAGGAGCTATTCCTCATCGGCACCGCATCTTTATTGTCTGCAAGCCCTCAAAGATATGTACCAGCAATCTCCCGGCTCTTTGACAGAAAGTTCGGTGTGATGGTCTACTGTCGAAGGACAAGGAGACAGCTGGCAGTGATGATACATTGGTCAAAGCTTGTCCTCCAAAAACTGTGGGCGAAATATAGGTTACAATACTCCTCCTTCGTCAAACTTATGGCCCCGACCTTCACTAGAGAACAGCTCATGGCTGCTACTTGAATGTTGAGTCGCGCATGCAGTACTGTGCACGTAACAGACGAAAGGAGCAACAGAGAGGTGACTTGGAAGAAACAGGGGAGCGTGACTCGATGCAAAGATCATATTTTCTGCTACCAAGGTCAAGGTACTTTGTCGGCGTAATGCAGAGGTTAGCATATCACATTCCGGTTTTTCTCGCGCAAGGTGAAAACTCGGGTTCGAATCCCGACGTCGATTAAAGCGGTCAAACAGCTTTTTGGTTTTTGAAGTATAGCACGCGTACATGGATTGAAAGACGTTTCATATCAGCTTTTTGAGGTCTGGGATCGAGATCAAAGATGAGCAGACGAAATCGGTGAGATGAAGAATCGCTGATGAGAAAACGAGAGGGATAGAGCGATTTTTGGCGAGAGTCGGAGAAACATGATGGGCGAGTCGTTGAGCTTGGCCGGGACGCTGAGGAGTCGGCTGTTTACTTAATTTTATTCGGCAGATAAGCAGCTCTCTAAACACCATACCGGTCTATACAATGGTAGAAAGAATTTTCATGAAAGCAGGCAGGAACGAAGGCCAGCAGGAGGCGATCTGTTGAGAGATGACGTGGAGTTTTCAAAGACGTTGCGATATCAAGCAACTATTCGGTCTTCCGTTCATCTGCTGCCTGCTGTATTCCAGCTGTTGTCCAGCTGTCTTTTCACTGACTTGTCCTGCTCCCGTCAGTCTCCTTCTCCTTATAAGTTTACATGTACAAAGTGCAGCTATCTATCATAATCATCTATTAATCATTTCAATCAAACCCGTCCGGCCCTTCAATCAACAGTTGTGGAACAGGCGTCCGTCATCATTGACGCCGACCACGTGCTCCAATCGAACGATTCAAGATACTGCAGATCCCAGCTGAAGCTCCCCCAAACGTCCTCCACCGCTACAGCATCCGTTTGTCCGTCGAGGATCGATACACCCTGTCCCGTATACGGATTCAGCAACCCTTCTCCCGACCCCAGCTCCTGTCCACCATTTGCCACTTTTGACCTCCAAGTTCTCAGGGTCTTCAGAGCCCTCTCATTCAACGTCTCCCCTTGGTTCTCCTGTATCGAAAACGCCAGAGCTCCGATCGCCATATCCACCAACTCCAGTCTTTGATCCGGGTCGAGATTGAAGCCTTGATCTCGTGGCGATGAAAGAAGACTGCACGCCAGCATGATGCCGGCGTTGAAAACCTTGGAGCCAAAAGTCCAGAGGTTGAGAGGAGTAGAGTCAGGCCAGCGGAAGAGCCGGTGGTCCACGTAGGCACGGGCATTAGTGACAAGAATCTGCGAGCGCTCAACAGCGAGGGACAGGGCAAAGGCCCGATCATCCGGCAATCGCGTAGCCATTGCTTGCTGGCAGAGCTGGATGACAGTGTTGCAGATGCCCATCGACACAACACATGCTTGGGCGTAGACCCAGGGAGGTTCTAGTCTGACAGCACCTCGATTGGCGTGGAGATGTGGCTCGAGGTTCTGCTCGTATGTGTCGATGATGCTAATGCACTGCCGTAGACCTTCACGAGGGAGTACTGTGCCTTGGGATTGTTTGATTTCGCCCAAGCGGGCGAGAACGGACGTAAAGGCAATTTTGGAGTTGATGTATGACCACTCAGGTATACCTGACTCGAGACTAGGATTTGGGGATTCGAGTGAGATGTCGGGAATGGCGGCGGGCATTCTAGTACTGGCAGCAATTAGGGAGATGATCGACTTTGGAATGTCGAGGGATTTGGTGACAAAACTGTCGCCGGTTAGCCTATACCGCTCAGTTGACCGACGGACTCACGTATCGCTGATCACCACTTGCCACCAAAGTCGTCTTCTCATCTCAGCTTCAAAGGTCTCCATTGCCGGACCCAACTCTGATGGGTCCCTGTCCAGCTTCAAGAATAACGCCGCATTGGCTACCTTGCCACTCAGTATCCACGATTGGGCGACAGTGATGTCTTTGTCATACATCAATCGCAACCCTTCCAGAGAAAGCGCGTGGACATAGTCGAGGGTGATGTGTTGGGTATCGGATTTGTTCTCGGTGAAAGAGACGAGTCGACGGTAGAGATCGTCCAAGTGCGAAGGAAATACTGTAGGCGACGCAATATCCACCGCAGACCTCGAAGGGAGACAGCGCACCCCTATTGATAGGGCACCGGCTATACAGCACACGAAAGGCGATTCGGTCTGATCGAGAGCTGGCAATTGTCGCAGGATGCAGGTCGCGCGCCGTCTAAAAGAAGGCATATGCGTAGATCGGAACATGATATCGAAGAGCTCGAATCTGTCCAGCAGATCCTCGCAGATGTCTCTAGGAGGGAGCATGTCGAGAAGATGTCTCCACTGAGTCTCGCAAGGCGCGGGAGGGGCGAGAGCAGGGCGAGAGGATTGTAGGGAGTGCAGCTGATGGACGAGGTCCGCCACAGTGTTTTCGAGCTGCTCCATCCGGTCCTCCAAAGGAGAGTGGAGCTCAGCCCTAAGCTCGGGGCTTTGGGCACTCAGAGATTCCCTTTTAGCTCTGCTTTTTCGTTTGGCAGGTCGGATGTCACTACAGAGAGTTAGCTCCGCCCCAAACCGTAGAAGGCGGCTCACTCTTCACTCGGCCAGGGCTTATACACACAGCCATCCTTCAGGTTCGCTCTTCTGCAACTAGCACAAGGCTTCTCGAGGTCGCACTTGAGCTTGAGACTCTTGCATCTCATGCAGACAAGCACCTGGCGGGTGCGTTTCCTGCCTGTTTCTGGTTGTCGAGGGGCAGAGGAGGGTGGTACGCCGTCGCCATGCTGTTCCGTCATGGTATGCTAGAGGTCGGCAATGTATTTGAGGACTGACAGTGAACAAAAGTGCATTTGTTTTCGGGTCGGACGTCGGCGGCGATAGGGGATAGCGATAACCGGCGTTTATCGGCGGTGAATTGAGATTTGTAGTGTGGCTCGCCTGATGAGGATTGCGATGCAAACAATACCTGGGTCGTAGTGGCAGATGTATATCCCTATCCCAAGGCTCTGCATGGGGACAACGAATCTGCAAAGAACCAAACACAGCGCAAGATAACTGCCGTGTCCGGGCAGGAATCAAAGGCGGACTTGGGAATTTCAGCAGCTCCGGACGAATTATCTCGCGCGCAATTCCATCACCCCTTTCATCTTCAGCTGTCTGTCCCCCGCCCTTCAGATGCGCCCCCAGTTCTTCTCCCTCATACCCCTCTCCAGAGCCACCCTCACGACCGCTCGCGCCGCCCCTCGCTCAGCTCAAATCGTCAGAAGAACTTATATCGCCTCCGGCTCGCGAAACATGTCTGCCCCCTCATCGCCTGGTGGGCGATCAGCTGTCCGTATTCCTGGACCTGTTGAGACTTCTATTCAGCAAAAGGTGTGACAATAACCATGTTCACTCGAGAAGAAACAGACTGATGCAAATCTCAGATCATTCAGGAGTTCAATCCCGTGCTGTTAAGAGTATACAACGACTCTAGCAAGCATTCGCATCACGCTCCCATGCGGGCCCAAGGGGGAGGTAATGGCGAGACACGTGAGTCCTGTGGAAATACTGCTGTAGGACACAGTGCTCACCTAGACACCAGATTTCGCCGTCCACCTCGTCTCGGCGTCATTCAAAGGCAAGACCACAATCGCCCGACACAGGATGGTCAACACGCTTTTGAAGGAAGAGTTCGACGAGCGAGGGCTGCATGCTTTGAGCTTGAGGCTCAAGACGCCTGAAGAGTGGGAGAAGGAAGGCGGTGGTGAGATGAGGCAATAAGTCTTGTCTGATTTCTGAGCTTATCATGAGGGGAACCGCGTACTTGTTCTATAATGCATGACATGTTGTAACGCATGGAACCGTGGCACGTTAATGGCATAAGCGAATATAGAAGAGTACAAGATTTGATGAGGTCTATGATAGAAAAATATAGATAGAAAGATATATGATATACAATAGGATATACACTCGAGACCCCTTCTCTTCCTGACATCCAGTGTCCGCATTCTTCTTTTCCCTGCTGACCAATCTGATATGTCGCAGCTAGTGGTCATCACATGATAATGCACTTGCACCCGCCGACTTCATCATCGGCCGCCCTCACGCTCTGACGGCTGAGACTCCGGTGTGCTGAGGGTTTTTTCGGTTCTGGTCGTATGTCAGCTACCGTTCGACTCTGGTAGAGACAAGACGCACCGTCATCACCTTTGATAGAGAATGATCTGACGGAGATATGGACGACTGTAGGTGGAGATGAAGAAGGACCGGCCGGAAGTTTGTTCGCTATTGAAAGACAAGTCAGAGATTCCGTCTATGATCGGCATTGAGCAACAGTCGGCCACTCACATGACAAGCTGGTGTCGTCCTGTAGTATTCGTCCGCTATGCAGAATTCTCAGGTAACTCGGGGATGGTGGCTGAGCAGGATCCGTCCACTCTACAAGACGCCCCAAGAGTCAGGACAAAACACTATCATGTCGATCTCAAACGCACCTTTCGGCCACGAGCTCCATACGAGCTCCTTCACTCTCCCAACTGTACAATCCGGCTCGAAAGAGTAGAAGCGATTTTGCCCAGAGATGACAAGAACTTTCAGGTGCACCTGTGCGCCAGTGATCGGTCAGTGCTAGCCGCAAGCGGGCGAGCATAAGGACGCACCTTGTCAGGTTGGGGACTGTCGTCCACGGGGGGCACCTTCGCCAGCGAGGTCGAGGATGCAGATTGCAGTGGCTGTTGGGTGCTCATCGTGATATGCGATGTAGATTTGTCTGCTGAAGGCAGGATACGGTGGTGGCGCTGTTGTTCTGCATCCCACGGGGTATTTATGAGCGCATACTTCCCCACCCTACAGCCGGACCAAACTCACCACGCTGCTTCTGGGGATAGAGAGTAGTATACAACTGTGACCTATTTATTGCCCTCGTCGCCTTTTTGAGCGGAGATCAACAGAAATGACGTAAAAGGTCGTTGGGCGCAAAGGAGTAGGTGTTGCTGTGGCGATGGGGGTGCGCTGCACGGAGGGGGGTGGCCAGGGGGGTACGGGAGGGTACGGGAGGATGTAGAAGTACAGTTGGGAAAAGGAAATGCCGCCAAGAGGCAAAGAGCGGCGCTGGCTTGGGCTGACGGCGACCGGCGATTGGTGTCGAGCAATTAGCGGTGAATGGGATTTCAGAGTTCGCGGGGGTTGCGCAATTCTCCTGCTGCAGCTTTTTATGGCACCCCCTATGTCCTCAAACTCTGCAGAGCGGCAGCCACGTATGCATGTCTTGCACTGTACCTCGCGAGGAAGCGGACCGTCTCGCGCGCTGAATACAGTCCGTATCGACCCGAGCGAGACCCGAGCAGCTGCCGACCAACTGACGTCGTATCCTCGTCGTCGCCGTCTTTTTGTCGTTCTGATCCCTAAACGCACGCCCATGAGTGTGACCTCCGTTTGAGGCCTCTCTCGTGACACCCAAATTCACGTTTCTAGGAAGTATGCACGCACAAGGAAGAGGTGAAGCTGCTAGGAGAAGACGCCCGCCGCCAGGGCTGACCCTTACGCGCGCCCGGCGAGGCAATCACATGCACACACTTTGCTGGTGAAGCTGGTGAAACGATCTTGAGACATGGCGAGGCCACTAACCGATCACAAGGGAGATAAGCTAATTACTGTGAATAATGATCGTCTTGTCCCTGTGGAGAAGACCCCGGCCGAGACGCTTCCATATGTATCTACTACCACACCTCTTGTCACGCAGTCGTGGTACCGCTGTACTTCAAACAAGGTTATTGAGCATATACGCAACAGATACAGCCTACCCAAACAATCAGCATCGGTTCTGTTCTTATCCTGCATCATCTCGTTTGTCTCATGACTGCAAGCAGCAACCCCTCAAGATGCTCGATCACAAGGAGGTACCATCGCCCTCAAGATACTTTGTGCATCCTGTGGTCTGGGGCCCATAGTGGAGTCAGCTCTCAAGATCCGTAAGAATGGGCGTAGCTCACCTCAAATGCCAAAGTGCATGTCCGGACGCTGTAATTACTGACTCGCTCGCACCCCCTTTCCCAACCGCTGTGTTCATTGGAGCTTGTAACGTATGTGAGGCTTTCTGCACCATCCGAGCCTTTACTGCAGCTGCATGAAGGTAACACAATGGCAGAGACATACTGGTGTGTAGCTGGCCGATTGCAACCAGTCAACGACGGGATCAAATTATGCGGAGGCCCGAGATAAGCAACGCGACTTTTAGAGACAATAAGGACTTGATAAGGACAGGTCATTCCCTCAGAGTATCTCTGCATCCACCACTCACAAAAAAGCCTGCATAATGTCCCAAAACTCCGGCCTCTACGATATCTGTGGGTCCACAACACCACCCAACTGAAGAGGCGCTGCTGACAGTCGCTCGTACAGCTAAACCCCGGTTCGACTTGGAAACTTATGGTACAGTGTCACTCCTCTCAATATGCCCATGCTGATGTAGAGTCAAGGCGGCCGTCTCGCATACTTTTACTCTACCACCTCCCCGTTGACACTCCTCGCATCCTCCTCCCAGCTCGCTCAGGCCCAAAAGGATGCGACCCATTTCGAGTCGTCCATCAAGGAAAATGGCAACAAGGGTACTTGGGTCACGAAGGAGCAACGGGATACCTACTGGAATGCCAAGCAACGTGAGCATCCGCATATTCAAGGCGAAATATATAGCTAACGGTACACAGTGGTCAATTCGTCTATTCACCCTGACACCGGCAAGCCTGTGCCCCTGCCCTTCAGGATGTCCGCCTTCGTCCCTACCAACTTGATGTACGTCTCCCTCGTCAACCCCCTATTGTTGTGGCTGACGTCAATCCAGAATATGTGTACGCTCGATCAGATAGCCACTCACTGACAAGGCTAACGTCAATCGCGACCATACAGGCCGGTATGCTCACGCCCAACGCTTCCCTCAAATCCATCATCTTCTGGCAATGGGCCAACCAGACACTCAACGTTGCCGTCAACTTTTCCAATGCCAACAAGTCCATCGAGATGACTCCCCAAGAGATCGGAACTGGTATGTCCATCGCTTCATCAGATTGTGCCCTTGCCTGATCGGATGGATCTTCTAGCATATACCGCCGCAACCGCCACTTCCGTCCTGCTTGCCGTTTCCCTGACTCGCCTGGTCCCTCGTCTCCGGGTCTCCCCTACCGCCAAGGACTTGCTCGCCAAGCTGGTCCCATTCGCCAGTGTGGCCAGTGCCGGTGTTGTCAAGTACGTCTCTTTATCCAGGCTCCCGGTGAGCCACGCTGACACGGCTGTAGCATCTCATGTATCCGATGGAAAGAGATGCGAGATGGTGTGGAAGTGTACAAGATCACCAAAGACCCCAGCGACGGTCATGAGGAGAAGCAGACGCTCGGCAAGAGCTCCAAAGCTGGGCAGATGGCCGTCATGCAGAGTGCTGCTAGCAGGGTGTTTACCAACATGTGCGTGCCTTCTCTGACGATATTGACCATACTGATGGCTCTATAGTCCCACTTTGATCATCCCTCCTATGGTGATGACCTTCCTCCAAGCCCGGGGTGCCTTCTCCGGCCCGCGTGGTAGATTTGGTTCCACGCTGGCTCAGCTCACTCTCATCGGTCTCTCCCTCGGCCTATTCCTTCCTCCCGCCATCGCCTACTTCCCTCAAAGGGCAGAGACGGATGCTTCCAAGCTTGAGAATAGGTTCTTTGAGGAGGGTATCAAGGGCAAGGTGTACTTCAACAAGGGTCTTTGAGCCCGAGGCGATGAACGAGAGCCTTGTATACGAGTGGCAGATAGGCAAGAGGTATGCATGTACATGGGGCATCAAAGCTGACTGGGATCTTCTTGCACACGCGCGCCGCATTTGACAGTATCTAATCATGGACCCTTCTCCTCTACCTCGACAGTATCTGTCACAACGACGATGTTCAAGTCACGGGGCGTTGGGGGATCAGTAAAGTCTGCCGGCGAGCGGAAGTGGTTCAGCTATCGCTATATCAGCACTGGATCGATCAGACATTCAATACGTGGGACTACTCACAAGTGTCGGTTGCTCAATGTTCTCCCCATCTCTCAACAACCTCTCTCCCTTGTTCATTGCGAATGGCTTATCAAAGTCCGACACTGATACCGACGCCTTTGAAGTCTCGCCAACCCTATCGTTGTACCCCATCTCGGGATCTTGTTGCTCGATATTGAGCGCTTCGCCCAGTGCCTGCCAGGGCTGGGATTCACGGTGCGGAGCAGCGCGAGGGGAAGGCAGCTGAGTAAGGTGGATGGCGTCGGACTCAATGTCGTCTGTAGGAGGCAGGGTGTACGGCGGGAATTTACGGTCGATAGTCGAAGTACTCGGCAACTCGAGCTCTCTCTCCTGCCCCCTGCCTCGCGTTCTCAAATCCCGCTGCCTCACGTTCTGTCGGACGAATACCTGTTGGGCCTGGGTGAAGCCCGCTTCGTCGGCCATGTTACGGGGGAGGAGGATCATGAGTGACAGCGAGTTGGAAGTGAAGACAAAGAAGAGGCCAGAGATGTAGAAACAATCGAGCCAGAAACTATCCCAAGGTCAACACAAACTGGGAGATAAGAAGTGGGAGACATACTGGTTCGAGTTGACGATCTTGCTTTCAGTCCGACCGTCGATAGCGAGAGTGAGGATGGAGACGCAATACAGGAGACGGAACAACGTCCGCACACTGTTGAGTTCCTATCCATCCGTCAGCTTCAATGCGGTGGTCCGACCGATTATCGGAACTCACCTTGAAATACTGCAGCCGTGCAATCACATCCAAAGTGGCCCCCTGACGTCGCTTCCCACAAAAGTCAACGCGATATCTTTGAGAGAAGTCGCAGGAGTACTCACAGACTCTTGAATGAAATTGGGGAAGACAAAGAGAAGCCAGATACTCCCAATAAACAGGATGAAAGCCGATATCGACCTTCAAACAAACGTCAGTAAACTCTCCTCGAGGCACCACGGAACTTACCCAACGAGAAAGATGTTGACTTCCATCGTAATGAGGTTTTGCGTCTCAATGTTTGCCACACCAGGTACGACCCCAGCCACCTACCCACATCAGCTCATCACTACCTTTCATTAGGTATTGACTCACAAAGATGCAACAGGCGATCCAGACCTTGAAGTGGACGCTCCTAAACCAACTCTTGGTATTCCTTCCCCTGATCGCACCAATGAGATAAGCCCAGTAAAGCGTCTCTTCCGAGTGGATGGCGAGGACAAGCAGCCAAGCAATAGAGAGGAGCTGGTAGGCGGAGCGGACGAGGAATTGCCGGGAATCTGACCACTGTGGAAAGTCAAGTCAGACTCGAGGAGATATGAGAGATAGAAGAGGAGGTTGGACGTACGGCGCTGTAGGGGACTGGGATGACATCGCCATCGTAGACCATGTACCATTCTTGGTATTTGACGTAAGTGAGAATGATCCCCCAGGCTTCAAACTGCAACATCGAGTCAGTATGGAGTTTAGGTTCGCGGGAAGAGGGCTTACCAGGAGCATCGATGAAATGAACATCCACTATGGATCCGTCGGTAAGTTCCCTACTCGACTTCGAGACACTAGACATACCACAATTACTATCAATGTCGGTCAGTATCGATTCCAGGAGACCGAGGCGTTCACTCACACCATCTGAAAGCAGTCCTCTTGGTGAACTTGAGACAATTCCCCTTGTCATACGCCCAGATGTGGTAGAAGAAGTAGAAAGTACCGATAGTGGTGACGAGAGTTCCTATGAACTGCGATGTCGGAGATTCGTGGCACATCTCTTTGACAGCGACAATGACAAGAGTTACAAGACAAAGAGCGTCGAGGACTTAGAGGCTGATGAAGCCAGAAGAGATCTATGAACTAAGTTATGTGTCGCCGAGACAAAGATCTAGCAGGGGCCGATATTGGAAACGAGGGAATGAAACCAGGAAAAGCAGTGACCAACCTGGCGAAAAGCGTTGTTACGATCAAGGTGCCCTAGACCCTCTCTTTGACCGAAAGAGCGCTTTGCTTATATAAGTCTGCATCAGCTCCATCTGGCACTCCGCCGGGCCGAGAAAGACATAAGATCTAAGGACGAAGTGTTTTTTCCAGTCGAGCTATAGATTATACCCACTGCTTGGGAGTGAGAGCGGCAGAGGTGTGTAAGGGAGTGACTGGAAACAGATGCAATCAATCACCGATGGCTTTTTGATGGTTGCAGATCCGGAGAAGCCCGGGAAAAGCGGCTTTTGTCGCCGAAGGATACTTTGGCTGACGGCAGCAGCAGTAAATCTCAGGAGTCGAGGACCCCACAGATTGAGGGTCGCCCATGAGGAAGGCCGATGGACAGTCCCACCTGCTATCGTGGCTCCTGGCTCAACATGATGCGGCGTATCTTGCTTGCTGTTAGTGGGCTTGTCCATTATTAGCCACTTTACCATTACGCTGCGGACTGCCCAGGTCTCTTTCATGCCACGTTTCCCTTTTGTTTTCCTGTATTACATATGTCTTGTCTTCCACTACCGCCCGGAAGAAATGACACTGTATGTATATGTATATACATACGTACTATAGCTGTGGGCAGTCGTAGACAATGGTGTGACCGGCCCATTGACCGGGGTCCTTTCACGTGCTCTTCCCCTTGTTTCATCTCAGAGTTGTCTTTGGTGTTCGGAAGAAGATTCAATGTACCCTGCGCCTCTTCGTCGGTTGTCGGTCGTCGGCCTCACCGGAACCTTGAGAGCACGGACGAGATTGGGCATGTGTGCGATGGCTGAGGTACATACGTAAATTGTATGTACTGCTGAGGCCAAAGGGGCTGAGCCCCAAATGCAGCAGGAGATCCAGGAGATCTAGGAGACAGAGGACAAGTATCGTATGGGTCCGAAGCAAGATGCTTATTACTTGCTGATGTTCATAAACCCCATCATCTGATGGTGGGCTGCAAGATTGAAACCTGGCCGAAACTTTAAGAACATGCCGATGGCAAATGCTCGGTTTTCAATGTGAATTTCCAGACGCATGAAGACCGTGCGCGATGTGAGATTGTGTAGTAAAGGATTTTTGCTGATGGCGTGCACACATTTGGACCCTGTACGCTCTGATCCTTCGGAACGGGAGACGCAGAGTGGGGGTCATACCGTCCCGATTAGAAAGGTGATGGTACACTTATGCGTCAGGATATCTCATAATCCGACAGAAACTACTACGCATGCCCAGCAGAGGATCCAGATAGAGGAATACATCATGGCTTAGATATGCTAGCGCTACGACGAGAATCGCTCAACAACACGCCGCCGATGGTCTTGATGTACTCGAGAACATATTCTCTACGTAATTTACGTGGCTATGGTTTCTGACTAAAAGACACCTGAGTAAAAGGCTCGACACTTAGGATTCCCACTCTGGTACTGACCAAGTGATAAGCGTCTTGTCTTCCTTTACGGTGCGACGAGCTTGACTGCCAGAGTTGCAAAGAGGACCCGGCACATTCCTCAAGAGCCAAGCAGAGATTATTGTCCATGCACTTCCTCCCTGGTGCTAGACAGAGCTGTTCGCTGTCCTCATTGGACATTGGACCGATACCCATCGCTGGCCATCGCACCGCTGCATGCATGCCCGACGGCCATACCCCGGCCGATGATAAGGCAAAGCTACCAGCGGCGACCTCCACCTCGCTTGTTTTTGTTCACGCTGCAGTAGGTGGTCGAGTGGCCAAGTCGACAGGTAGACAGGGCGCATCTCATCAACAACAATCCCCAGCGTCTACCATGGGCGCCTCCGTATCCCAATACGCCGAGCGCTGGCTTCCCGCCCCTTCGAATTCCTTGCCAACAGCCCCACCGCCTCAGACACTCCCAGCCTCCTCCCCTCTCTCCCAGCCGAAAGGCTTCATGTCGTACTTTATCCCTTCATCGGAGCCCACACATAAACACCGCCACCCAACAATCCACGATGTTCAGCTCATATATGCCTATATTGCCTCCCGACTGCCAGGGGAGCTGGTAGGGCAGGTGATGGACGAAGCCGAAATCTGGCCAGTGTGCTGGAGGGCACAGCGGGCGAAAATGGTCTGCCCGTCGAGGGTGAAGGGAGGGATCAATATGATGGACGGTGGCTTGTGGGAGACGGGGCAAGAAGCCGAAGTGGGGGAGGCTGCATTGGAGAGAGGTCTCAGATGTCGGAATGGGGAAGCTTGGTATCTTGTCTCATCGCCGATTGGGTGTTTCGGGGAGCAGAAAGAAGGGCAGGAATCGGAGACAGAAGAGCATGAGAGGAGACGGAAAGCTTGGGTGAAGAAGGTTGTCATTGAAACATCCTCTCGGGATCAGGGTTGGTCAGATCACAGACAGCATTACGGTAAGCCGCTTCTCGTCGGATTATTTGCCAACATGCTGATGATTTGCAGGGACTTATAAAGGTAGTCACTCATGGTTTGAGATCTCGCTGCTTAGGAATGATCTGGAGGTGCCGGGATCGCGAGCAGAAATACAGTTCAACGTCCATGGTGCGTCTGTTCCGAAATCAACGAGCGTAGCTGATACTTTGAACAGCCGGACAGTTCTTCAAGGAGCACACGAATGTCCTTCTACGTGATCACCCGACGTTGAGACTAGCAAAAGACGGGGATAGGGTGGTGCTGTGGGCGAAGGCGTTATACCCGGGCTGGGTGAATGCAGTCAAGTACGCGCTCCGTCTATGACTGAGGCTCAGTAGGCTAACATGCGCCCAGAGAGGCTTCGATCACAGTCTACAGTGCCCCGTTCCCGTACTGATCATGATGGCGTTAAACATCGCGGGGGCTTAAGGGCGAGAAGACTTATGTCTTTGCCATGCTTGTCCTGTACGAGTACATATGTAGCATAATGATGTCAATTGTAGGCTCCATTGATATGGAGTGACGTGTATCTGTATATAATCCTCACCCATCTCGGGCACGGGGGTCGTAAAAGGAGCGACGCTAAGCGTGGTAGTGCGGTGCGTGAGAGATGAAGAGTACATGCCCACTCTCATTTTCAAATACTCCCCGAGTAAGGAAAGCAAGGGAGTGGCGTGCACTCCTAGATTTGCTGAGCATCAGAGCCATTTTTGTGATGAGATCTGCTGGGGACAAATGACCCATCGATGACCCCCAACAGTAGTCTCACCCGCGCTTTGCTGCTGTTGTTCTCGATCTCACACAAGTTCTCTTGGTAGACCACAGAGATAAGCGCTGTTGGAAAAACCTATGCATAGGAGCGTAGAGCACAGCAGTATATGAGCCAGCCCCGGGCTTCAGGCGCAGGAGGCCGAGGGTGTGAGAGTCGCTCGAGGGGCACTACCTCATCCATCCTTTGGCTGTCTCGCGTCTGTAGACCGCTGCAAGAGGGGACCCTTAGCGCGTGATTCTTTCTTTTACACTTCAGCTAGTCCATTTCGGTTTGCGAGCTACCCCCAACGCATCTACCCGAGGCCCGGCTGACGCGTATCCGCCCAACTGCCAGCGACATATAAAAGAGGGGCAAGTTGAGTCAGCCCGCGCACCAACCACCTCCCCACCTTCACCCTTTTCTGAGCAACCCGCATTTGTATCGTTCCTTAGCTTTACCATACACCCGTTGTTTCTCTACCACCCCCATCCCAACCCCCATCCTTGTCTCTCCATTAGACCATGTCTCGACCACAGCCCACCGACTCCTACGACGAGGTGTTTGTCGACTCGGAGCCCAGCGAGCCGGATGACGAAGCCGATGAAAATTACGCCCCCTTTTCAACAGCCAAACTTCTACGACGGTCGAGTAAGCGCCATTCCAAGCCTATTGCGAAGGGGAGGAAGAGCGATGGCCGGCGAGTCGCGAGGGAGGAGACTCGTAGCGAGGTGAGTCAACCACCGTCAACCTCCCGTGCGCGGCTGACAAACAAACAGCCCAAACACGCCCAGAGGGAGAGATCTACCTCCGACAGTCATCCTTCTATCCCACAAGGCCCGTCCACACTCTACAGTCAGACATACCTCGAATCCATCCTCAGACAGGCCAGCAAAGGAGAGGCTTATCCGCCCCACCCACCCGCCCTCCAGCTGAACGCGGCCAACTATGATGACGAGGCGGCTGTGCAGTCAGATATGTATGACTGTCGCCCAAGCTTACAGATTAACACAGCGTGAGTGTTCCCTCTCTCTGGTGATTCAAGCTGACGGGCATCAACAGCGAGCCCATCATACGTTCAGCGCCCGTCAGCTCCATTCCTTCGAGTTCCTCGAACCCTTTACTCAGCAATCAGAGCCTCTATGCCTTGCAAGATGGGCAATCAGCTCGCGTCCCAGTCCATCATCCGATGGAGACGACCTGGGGCCAAGCATGGCCTCAGCTGGGTACCCAGGCGGTCGGTGCGCGCTCGAACCCGCTCAGTGTTGATCTTGCTGCCGAGTCTCTAAAGCGACTCACAAGCTTGCCTTCTCGAAGCATGTTTCAGCCCAGTAAGAAGGTCAAGGAAGACACGTCCCCATCTGAAGCCTCTCAAAGCGGAGGGGTGAACCCAAACGATTTGAAGCTCCCTTCGGGATCTTCGCCCCTCGATGGCCCCGGTTCGACTGGCAGTATGGTGGATCACTCTGTCATGCCTGGCTCTCAAGCTAGCGTGGGCTCTGTTTTCTCCAGTCATCCTCCAGTGTTGGCCGAAGAGGCCTTGCAAAGGCCTCGATTGTCTTTGCCGCTGCTCTCTCGTGACCCTTCGTCGGAGACCGCCGTTACGCAGAGCGACGACGACTGTTTCGACATGCAACAGCGCCACCAGCCGTTCGCTTTCTACAACTCTTCTGCATCGTTGCAACAATTCTCTCAGCTACAAAATGCTCTCCTCTCCAAGCCGGTCCACCCGCTCTCTTCCGTCACTTCGACAAACTTTGCTTTCGACTTTCGCCCCTCCACCGCCAACAGCTATACCTCTTTCGGCCCCTCTGAGGCGAGTTCTCTCGCCGGGCCAGAATACGCTGCCTCTCCAATGGCTAGCATGCCGCTCCACCACGCGACGGGTCAGCACTACAGCCCCTACGGTGTCGTCTCTCAGTCTATGTCTGGGCGCCCGGCAACCTCTCATGGGCCGTATATGATGCCGTCCTTCAGCCACCAGATGGATCATTACGCTCCATCATTCGCTGCCCCTCTCCCGTCTTGGATTCAGCCTCGAGTGCAGCAACAGGCTCCAAGTCCTCACATGAGCCGCCCTCAGACTTCGCTCCCGCTCTCTAGCACTGTCAGCGGTGCCGACTGGCGCCAACGGCTCGGCAAGAGACGTTCTCAAACGCTCCCTCCCGAGCCTACCGCCATCCCAGGCTCGGGCACCTACTCGGACATGTATGGAACGCCCTCTATGTTTCAAGCACCCTTCCCAATCGGTGAGAGAAGAATGTCTTATCCCGGATTCGGGGGTGGGGCCAAGTACGGCCAAGGTCTGGGGTGGGCGCCGGATATCTTGTCTACGAGCTTCATGTCTCCCGCATCGGCTCCAGCTCAAACGCCTGGCCAGTCTCTCAGCTCTGCTTTTGACAATAGATCGCAATCTTTAAGCCAGCAGCAGGCCACGATACTCCACCCCCCACCCTTCGCCCCTCCCTCTCATATCAAGAGGGGTCACCGCCGACCGGTGCCAGGTTCCAATCAGCAGACAGCCTACCCTCCATCTTCCCAGCCCTCTGTCAAGCAGGATCAACCTCGCTCCTTGTCATTCTCGCAGCCCAAAATCCCTACATCTGCCCAGCTTGATACGCGACGACGAAGCATGGGCTCGGGCCCAACTCCCAAGAGCGCGCTAGCTCGAGCCGTGTTCTTTGATGGGCCCGAGATTACGGAGACTGAGGTGGCGGTCTCAGAGACTGAGAGGGAAGATGACGAGGGCGAGAGCGATCAGAATGACGATGCCGAGTACGAGGAAAAGTCTGGCCATGTCAGTTCCTCGTCTGAAGACGAGCCTCTTCGCCTGTCTTCCCGCACTTCTCGAGCGAGCAATTCCAAGGCAAAGTCCAAGGCCACATATTCCTTTTGCAAGCGCAACCGCTCTTCCAAATCTCGCTCCAAATCCACCTCTAATGAGTCTCGCCCCAAGACTCCGATGGACATGTCGGAAACGCACAGTCAGATGGTGTGCGCTTGCCCGTTGATGCATATGGCTAGGCCTGCGGATGGAGACAATGCAGAGCCTCATTTGTGTACCACGAAAGTGACTGCCAATAGGCTTTTGGTGCAGGGGCACAAGCTGTGTTCCTACTGCGTGAGTTCATCTTGTTCTGATTGTGTCGGGGCTAATGGTCAGTAGATAGGGCGTGATGGCCACGTTGAAGAGTATGTCAAGGAACGCATCCGCACCAAGACTGTCGACAGACTTTGCTTTATATACGTCATCTACCGCGAACTGAAGATCGACCAGACCCACGGCGACGGCCAGCGCTGGCAAAAGTACTGGGAACACCACCGACGCGAGCAAGTGGATGAGGAGTATGGAAAGAAGATGATGGCGTCATGGATCGAGAGGATGGAAACGGAAAAGCGCAACTGGGAAAAGCATCAAGAGAGAGCTGCGCAAAGGGCGGCTCAAGCTGCCAAAGCTTCCGAAAGCACTCGAGCTGCCAAGGCCAAGGCGGATGATGAGGACAAGATGGACTCTATGGAGAAGGAGGTCAAGGCGAGGGCAAAGTCGAGGTCTATTGCGTCTTCTCTCGAGCCCGACCCTGCGGATTTTGCGAGCATCCCCGAGCCCAAGTCTGTCTCGGATAGCGACTCGTCTACCTCCTGCGACGACTGGGCGCCCAACCCTCATAGCCACTCCTCTACTTCCCTTGCGATTCCCAAGCGACCTATCAAGCGAGGACAAATCAAGTCGAAAGCCCAGCCCCACCGTCCGACACACCGCAGCGTCTCTACGCCAGACCCGGCCATCAAGGATTCCACAACCAAGGTCAACATCCTCAACTCATCCTCCCCCGACTCTAGGATTCCGGCAAGCCCTTTGAAGGACAAGTTTTGGAGCATGCGCAGCGCTGCGGGCCTTGCGGGTGTTGCGGATGTGGAAAAGTGGGATGGGAGAGTGAGCTTGTCGCTTACGCCGCCTCCAGTGGAAGAGAGGGTGGAGAGCAAGGAAGTGCGGGACTGGGATGTGGATGAGGCTGTATGGAGGGCGTTATCAAGCTCGCCTCGGGATTAGGATCGCTTTTTCGAATCACCATCATCGCGCTGTGCCTCTTCTGGCAGACTCTACATTGCCTCTTCTCGCCGCATTCGTGTATATCACCGACTCGCCCTCTCAAGTGGAGTCTCGCAGTCATTCCCGGACTTCTCAATCTTCTTTGTGTAAGTTCAGAGTTGTAACTTCTATGTTTGTTTCGGTGTATCGCGCGCCACAGTCACCTGTCAAACTGTTTCTTACTGTCTTTTGCTTCTTCGTTCTATTTCTGATACCTTGTTCTTTTCTAAAGTATACCCGGGTCTCGAAAACACGATTGTTTCGGTTATATATATCATTCTTCGCACTGCAGCTTCCATCCATTGTCATGGGGGTTCTCGGAAGCTTCAAGCTGGTCAAAATTGTCCCATAACTCATTGTCTCGATGTATTCTCCTGTCTATCTACGCGAAGCATCTCTTATTTCCAACGCAGTCAAAATGAGCACCACTTGAGAACGATGTATACAGAGCAGCAGATGACACTGTACGTCTTGGCCGGGAACTCGGGACAGCTATTTCTGGCGGCGTCTTCTGGTGGCGCTGCTTCCGTTGACCCAAAGACACAACCTCAGAGTCAGATGTCCTAGCCGGACACCTGATAGCACACCTTCTTTGTCAGCCACACATACAGCTTCCACGAGTCAAGATTGTCTTCATTTGATGCGATGGTTTAGACAGGTTCTTATCGCTGACGGAGTGGGGTACCGGTAACCCTGCAGGAGTGATACGTAGTGGATAGTTGTATGCCTGATGCTACTGCATATACGAGCATACCAGCTATGCTCCTAGTACATGCCATCCACTTGCGCCACCTGACTACTCCTGACTACTCCTGGCCACTACCCCGCCACGCGCGATGCACCTGAAACGACAGTCGAACTTCCGCTGCTTCTTCCGGCCCTTTCGGCCATTTTCCCGATCTTATCGCAATCGAAAGGGGTGACATGTGTTTGTACCTGCAGGATATGGATTCTGGGGTGCTTTGGGGGATTGGGGCCGCTGCTGAGCGAGTAATACTGCGAGTCAGCCAACACTGTTCAGCCAACATGCCCCGTGTCCAGTGACTCGCCCCCTCGTGAACCAGCCGGCTATGTCCGCTGGCCGGATCGCCGAAGTTGCCGGCTTATCTCTGGATCTGCAGCGAATCAGATCCCGCGAATTGGCCCGATCCAGGCACCCCTCTGCCATTTTCGAGGCCTCCCGTTGGCTGGTCTTCTGCGTGCGTGCGGGGGCGGGGGGCGCCGCACTGCCACCAGCTGTGTGTATACGGGATGAGGGCCGCCATTCCATTCCTATCTCTTTCTCTTTTGCTCTTATATCTTCCCAGTCGCTCCCCGCCGCCACCCCAAATACCCCTGCAGCGCGAGACACCCCTGCACCGCCCCTGCCACAAGAAAATCCCTTATCAGCCAGCTTCCCCGCCCCGACTACTCAATGTGTGGAGTCGGCTTCCTCTGCTCTGTCAAGGGAGAACCAGCCCACAAGATCGTCAGCGATGCCAGACACATTCTCTGTAATATGACCCATCGGGGTGCCAGTGAGTGCTTTTCTCAGCCGGTCATAAGATACGTACTGACTCGCCGTATAGCCGGAGCAGACGCCCGGGATGGCGACGGTGCCGGTGTCATGACGGGCATTCCGCACGATTTTTTCGTCCGCGAAGCCTCCTACTACTTTGAGGCCAAGCTCCCCGCTCCAGGGCACTACGCTGTCGGCAACTTGTTCTTCTGCAAAGACGCGTTCGAGGACCAGAAGGCTATCGTCGAGGAGGTCGCCAAGTCTCTCGGTCTCAGAGTACTCGGCTGGAGAGAAGTGCCTACCGATAATACCATCCTCGGACCAGCGGCAAAGAGCAAGGAGCCCAAGATCCTCCAACCTTTCGTCGTACTCGAAGACCATTACGGTGCGGGCCAGGACAGCCAAGAGGGAGAGTTCGATGAGCGCAAGTTTGAGAGGCAGCTGTACATTCTCCGAAAGCAGGCTACCCACAAAATGTAAGCTCCCCATCTTCACCTCGTGACGTATGCTCACTCAAAGTAGCTCTCTCAAGGACGGGTTCTATGTCTGCTCCCTCACCACCTCCAACATTGTTTACAAGGGCCAACTTTCTCCTGTCCAAGTCTACAACTACTACCACGACCTCAACCACGCCCTTTACGCCTCTCACTTTGCCCTCGTCCACTCCCGTTTCTCCACCAACACCTTTCCTTCTTGGGACCGAGCCCAGCCCATGCGATGGGCCGCTCACAATGGTGAAATCAACACTGTGCGAGGCAACAAGAACTGGATGCGCGCGCGCGAGGGCAACCTCAAGTCGGACCGCTTCGGTGACGACCTCGAGCTGCTCTATCCCATCGTCGAGAGCGGCGGTTCCGACTCGGCAGCATTCGACAATGTCCTCGAGCTGCTCGTCGTCAATGGCGTCCTCACTCTTCCCGAGGCTGTCATGATGCTCATCCCCGAGGCTTGGCAAAACAACGACCTTATGGAGCCCGAGAAGAAGGCGTTCTACAGCTGGGCTGGGTCTTTGATGGAGCCTTGGGATGGTCCTGCTCTCTTCACCTTTTCCGACGGCAGGTACTGTGGTGCCAACCTCGACCGAAACGGTCTCCGGCCTTGCCGATGGGTTCTTACCTCTGACGGTATCATGGTCTGTGCTTCTGAAGTTGGCACCATCTCCATCGAGCCCGAGAAGATTGTCCAGAAGGGCCGTCTCAAGCCTGGTAGGATGCTCTTGGTCGATACCAAGGAAGGCCGTATTGTCGATGACAAGGAGCTCAAGATGAAGACTGCTCGCCGCCAGCCTTTCGCTTCGTGGGTCGAGTCTCAAATGCTTCGTCTCCCCGACGTCCTCCGCCGAGTCGAGCGTTTCGAGAATATTGGCGTCGAACTCGACGACTCTCCCCTTTCCACTGACCCCAAGCTTCTCGCTTTTGGCTACACTATCGAGCAGCTCAACATGCTCATGCTGCCCATGGTACAAGAGGGCCACGAAGCTCTCGGGTCTATGGGTAACGACGCTGCTTTGGCATGCATGTCTACTACCCCTCGAACGGTTTATGACTACTTCCGTCAGCTTTTCGCCCAAGTCACCAACCCTCCCATCGACCCTATCCGAGAAGCCATCGTCATGTCGCTCGAGACCACCGTTGGTAACGAGGGCAACTTGCTCGAGATCAACCCCAAGCAGCTCCACCGTTTGCACCTGAAGAGTCCCGTGTTGACGATTCAAGAGATGAACGCCATCAAGCATATGAAGGTCGCCAACTCTGGCTGGCCTTCTATCACAATCGACATTACCTTCGATAAGCGCGAGGGTCTCCCGGGATATAGAAATGCGTTGGAGAGGGTCAGGCAAGAGTCTTTCAACGCCGTCAACGCTGGCTTCACCTCCCTCATCCTTTCGGACCGCGCTACCGGTCCCGATAGGGTCCCTCTTTCTGCCATCCTCGCCGTTGGTGGCGTCCACCACTACTTGACCAAGGAGAGGCAAAGGAGCAAGGTGGCCCTAATGGTCGAGACTGGAGAGGCGAGGGAGGTGCATCATATGTGTGTGTTGATTGGATATGGCGCGGATGCGATTTGCCCGTGGCTGATCATGGAGATGATTCACAAGGTTGACCGAGAGGGATTGTGAGTGTCATATTGTCTTTGAGGGCTTCACTAACTCGACCACAGAGCGAAAGACTCTCAGAACGCTGAAAAGCTCGTTGGCAACTACCAAAAGGCCACCGACGAAGGTATCCTCAAGGTCCTCTCCAAGATGGGTGTTTCGACTCTTGCCTCTTACAAGGGTGCGCAGCTTTTCGAGATCCTTGGTCTTCACGAGGAGATTGTGAGCGAGTGCTTTGTCGGTACTGCTTCGAGGGTGCAGGGCGCGACCTACGAACTATTGGCTATGGATGCTTTCGAGTTCCACGAGAGGGCGTGGCCCTCGAGGGATGCTATCGTCGTCCCCGGTATGGTGAGTAATCGAGTTTCGTTTCGTAATCACAGCTAAAGGATGATGTAGCCCGAATCTGGTGAATACCACTACCGACAAGGGTCAGACATGCGCGTCAACGACCCTGTCTCTGTCGCTCAACTCCAAGACGCCGTTCGACAAAAGAATCAATCTGCCTACGACACCTACTCCAAAAACTCCCACGAAGCCATCAAGCGAGGCACTCTGCGAGGTCTTCTCGACTTCAAAGTGGAAGATGCGACGCCTGTGCCCATCGAGCAGGTTGAGCCGTGGAATGAGATCGTTCGACGATGTGTCACTGGTGCCATGTCTTATGGGTCTATCTCCATGGAGGCGCATACCACTCTTGCGCTCGCTATGAACAGGCTGGGCGGAAAGTCCAACACTGGTGAAGGTGGTGAAGATGCCGAGCGAAGTCTTCCCATCCCCGGTCCTGGCGCTGACCTCGACGGACAACCTTTCACCCACGCCATGGAGCTCAAGCCCGTGTGGGACTCTCGCAGGTCGGCTATCAAGCAAGTCGCCTCTGGTCGATTCGGTGTGACTTCCAACTATCTCGCCGACTCTGACGAGCTCCAGATCAAGATGGCTCAAGGCGCCAAGCCTGGAGAAGGTGGTGAGCTCCCAGGTCACAAGGTTTCTGCTTCCATCGGGCGAACCCGTCATTCGACTGCCGGTGTCACCCTCGTCTCTCCTCCTCCCCACCACGATATCTACTCTATCGAGGATTTGAAGCAACTCATCTATGACCTCAAGGCTGCCAACCCCCGAGCGCGTGTGTCTGTCAAGCTCGTCTCCGAGGTCGGAGTTGGTATCGTCGCCAGTGGTGTCGCGAAAGCCAAGGCTGACCATATCACCATCTCCGGTCACGATGGCGGTACTGGTGCTGCCAAGTGGACTTCCATCAAATACGCCGGTCTCCCTTGGGAGCTGGGTCTTGCAGAGACCCATCAGACTTTGGTGATGAACAATTTGCGAGGGCGAGTCACTGTTCAGACCGATGGACAGATCAGGACAGGAAGGGATATCGCTATTGCGACCTTGTTGGGTGCTGAAGAGTGGGGGTTCGCGACTACTCCGTTGATCGCCATGGGTTGTATCATGATGAAGGCTTGTCACAAGTGAGTAGATGGGTGTTTCAAGGGACCATCGCTAATCAGATGTAGGAACACTTGCCCCGTCGGTATCGCCACTCAGGACCCCGCTCTCCGAGCCAAGTTTGCCGGTCAGCCAGAGCAAGTCATCAACTTCTTCTACTATGTCATCGAAGAACTTCGTCAGATCATGGCCAAGCTTGGTTTCAGGACGATCAACGAGATGATTGGCCGAGCCGATATGCTCAAGGTCGACGAGTCTCTCCGTACTCCCAAGACTGCCCATCTCGACTTGTCCCCCATTCTCCAGCCCGCTCATCTTCTCCGAAGCGATGTCGCCACCTACCGAGTCAGGTCTCAGGACCACAAGCTCTACATTCGCCTCGACAACAAGTTTATCGATGAGGCCGAGCCTGCCCTTCAAAAAGGTCTGCCGGTCACGATTGACTGCGATGTTGTCAACACAGATCGAGCTCTTGGTACGACATTGTCTTACCACGTCTCCAAAAAGTACGGAGAAGAGGGTCTTCCTCGGGACACTATTCATATCAACATGAAGGGTTCTGCTGGTCAGTCTCTGGGTGCTTTCATGGCTCCCGGTATCACCGTCGAGCTTGAGGGTGACGCGAATGACTATGTCGGCAAGGGTCTTTCCGGTGGTCGACTCGTAGTCTACCCTCCCAAGGCTTCACCCTTCAAGGCCGAGGAGAACATTATCATCGGAAACGTCTGCTTCTTTGGTGCTACTTCTGGACAAGCCTTTGTGCGAGGAATTGCTGCCGAGCGATTCGCCGTCCGAAACTCTGGTGCCACTCTTGTTGTTGAAGGTACTGGCGACCACGGTTGCGAGTACATGACTGGAGGTCGTGTTGTCGTTCTTGGTCTCACTGGCCGAAACTTTGCTGCTGGTATGTCTGGCGGTATCGCCTACGTCCTCGATATGGCGCACAGCTTTGCCCCCAAGGTCAACATGGGCTCGATCGAACTTGGCCCTGTCAGCGACCCCCATGAGGTTGCTGAGCTTCGAAGCCTCATCGAGGAGCACCGACACTACACTGGCTCCGAGATTGCCGACCGAGTGCTCAAGAACTTCCACCATGTTCTTCCCATGTTTGTGCGAGTCATGCCTCTCGACTACAAGCGCGTTCTCGAACAGGAAGCTGAGCGCGTTGCCGATGAGAAGAAGAGACAGTCTGTTATCGACCTCATTCCTTCTCAAACCGCTTCCCAAGTGGACCTTGTCGCTACCGGTTTCGACCCTGTCCTCCCCCGCGACGCCAATGCCCTCACCATATCCACCCCTAACCTTCTTTCACCCAGTGGTTCTCCCAAGGCCAAACCTCAGGAGCCCTCAATAGTCGACGTCGAAGATGCTATGATCGACGAGACCGCTACCAAGGAGAAGCTCGCCAAGGTTGACAAGGTCCGAGGCTTTATGAAGTACAAGCGTCTTAATGAAGCCTACCGACCTCCTCGTAAGAGGGTCAAGGACTGGAAGGAGATCTCTGCCCGACTCAAGCCCCAAGAGCTCAAGGTCCAGTCGGCGCGTTGTATGGACTGTGGTATTCCCTTCTGTCAGTCTGACACTGGCTGTCCCATCGCCAACGTCATTCCCAAGTGGAACACCATGATCTTCGAAGACAGATGGCAGGATGCTCTCAACAGGCTGCTCAAGACCAACAACTTCCCCGAGTTTACCGGTCGAGTCTGCCCTGCTCCTTGCGAAAGCGCGTGTGTATTGGGTATCAATGAAGCACCGGTCGGCATCAAGTCCATTGAGTGTGCTATCATTGACAAGGGTTTCGAAATGGGTTGGATGACTCCCAACCCTCCCGAGCACAGAACTGGCAAGCGTATTGCGATCATCGGTTCCGGACCGGCTGGCCTTACCGCTGCCGACCAGCTCAACAAGGCAGGACATATCGTCACTGTCTACGAAAGGCAGAATCGTGTGGGTGGTCTTCTCATGTACGGTATCCCCAACATGAAGCTTGACAAGGGTGTTGTCCAACGTCGTGTCGATCTGATGGCGGCTGAAGGTGTCAACTTCATCACCAGCGCTCATGTTGGCGTTGACGAGCGATACGACCCCCTTGCCATCAAGGCGGAGAATGATGCCGTTGTTGTTGCTACTGGTGCCACATGGCCTCGAGACCTCAAACTCCCCCACCGAGAAGTCGACGGCATTCACTTTGCGATGGACTTCCTTACTCCCAATACCAAGGTCAAGGCTTTCGGTGATGATGCTCCTGGCTTCATTTCTGCCGAGGGCAAGGATGTCATTGTGATCGGTGGTGGTGACACCGGTGAGTCTAGTCATCGACTCTGAAAGGTCACGCTGACATTTGCATAGGTAATGACTGTATTGGAACTTCCATGCGACACGGTGCCAAGTCTATCGTCAACTTTGAGCTCCTCCCCGAGCCTCCCAAGTCTCGTGCTCCCGACAACCCTTGGCCGATGTTCAACCGCTCTTTCCGAACCGACTACGGTCATGCCGAGGTCCAGGCTCACTTCGGTCACGACCCTCGCAGATACTGCATGGCCACCAAGAAGTTTGTGCTGGATGATGAAGGCAAGTTGAAGGGTCTCGACACGGTCAAGGTCGAGTGGACAAAGATGAACGGACAATGGAAGATGGAGGAGGTTGCTGGGTCCGAAGAGGTGAGTAACATCTTCGTGGAAGCGAGAATAGTGCTGACTCCCTCCAGTTCTATCCAGCCCAGCTCGTTCTGCTTGCTCTTGGTTTCCTTGGGCCTCAGCAAGAGTGCCTCAAGGCTCTTGGTGTCGACACTGACCCTCGAACCAATATCAAGACCGCGCCCAACAGCTACGTCACCAACGTCCCTGGTGTCTTTGCTGCTGGTGATTGTCACCGTGGTCAGTCTCTTGTTGTCTGGGGTATCCGCGAGGGTCGACAAGCCGCTGCGGAAGTCGACTCATTCCTCATGGGCCACACCCATCTCGCTTGGCAAGGGGGTATCGAAAAGCGGCAATACGTCGTGCCCCCCGTGACCAAACCTCTGCACGGTCTCGATGAGAAGATCATTTCCGACTTTGAGACGAGTTCGCAAGGAGTGGATTTGGAGAGTCTCTCCGTGGCTGCTAGTGCCTGAGTTGTGCTCGTACAGGGCGAAGGGGGACGTTGAAAAGTCAAAAGGCCAGTAAACATGTGAAAGGCAAAACTGAGATGCTGGAGTCAGAGGACGGGGGCTGCATCGCCGGTTTCATTCGATACTCTATCGCGTCCTTTCCCTCGATCTTATCACATGGGATTGTAGCCATTATCAAGAAGGTTTCGAGGTGCTATTATTATTCTGCTGTAGTGTTGAGTTGTCTATATAAGTTGTGAATTTATGCAAGTTGTCCCAATACTTATAATTGGGAAGGCAAGTGTACATATATTGAGTTCACACAAACGGCACATCAAAAGCTAGATAGACTAGATTGACGAAGAAAAGCGTCGGTCAACAGTCAAGACTTTGTCGCAAAGCGAGCTCTGTCGGGTTCCCAAGAACGAAGTTCTTACCCTCTTCTCGGAAATCATCTTTGAAAGGGTCGTGTAATCTTTCTCATCCAAGTTGACTATCATCGCTGAGCCGTTTCTCTAACTCATGCATGCAACCAGCGGGGCTCCCCCCCCATACACATTCTGTGGCGTTGGATGATCTCTTTCAAGTGACTTTGTACGATATGTCTATCTCAGCCCCGCTCCCCCGCTCCAAAGACTCTTCCATTGCCCTTCCGTCACTTCGAGGTGCCCATCATCATCCTCTGGATCGAAACCGCCCCGCACATCTCGATAGCGCTCTCCCACGACCTCGATATCGCGACGTCCCCCTGCACTCCAGCTCCTCACATCTCTTCCTTCGTCCAGATTCCTCGACATCGCGTACCCCCTCGCGGCGACTGCAGGGTAACAATAGGGCTGTGGACTCGGCAGCTCGTACATCCTTGGCAAAGTGCTGTCTGTCGAGATGAAGCTTCGATCGAGAGTATTGTTGACTGTCGGTGGTGCGGGCTGAGGTGGTTGGCGGCGGACAGCATTAGGGGCGTGGAAGATCGGGGGTTGTGGGAAGTCTCGATGATCGTATGGCATACGATGGTGGTGGCGGGGGTATGCAAGCTGATCCGGGACGTTTTGAGAAGAGTAAGGCGCGAAAGATGGTTGTCGGTCATACATAGGGGTGGAGGTGAAGCGATGTGTCGGAAACTCAAGATCGTAGTGGCGGTCTTGCTGGTACTCCTCGTCCTCTCCGTATTCTTCGTACCCGCTTCGTGGTACCTCAATGTCATCTTTGCTCTCTTCGTGCATCCACACGGGCTGATACTCCATATCATCTTCGGATCGGAAGGGCGGGGCGTGACCAAAGACAGGAATGGTGGTCGACTGTGGCAGCGTGTTGTGGGGACGATATACATCTGGAGCGGGATCAGTCAAGACGTGATGCGGTGGGAACGCTGATGAAGGCTGATGATAGCGGGCGGGAGTCTCATCGTGGGCGGTCTGACCGAACGACATGCCCATTCCTCGATTCTTTGGCCACACAAAGCTTTCGCCGCCGAACACTTCTCGTAACGCCCCGGGACTCGGCTCTTCTGGCTGCGGGCGTGGTATTGTCAAAGCGCGAGGAATGTGGGGTGTAGAGACCGGATTGAGCGACGGAGCCACATTCTGAGCAGGGCCAGGAGTGGCTGCCTGCCCCCCCGACTCTTTTTGTACAGAAGACGCTTGCTCTTCAGTGATCTCTGTATGCCAGCTAGGCGAGTTGGCGACGCCAGGCGGAGGCATTCGAGAGTAAGAGTTGTGAGCGGAAGGAGCGTGCTGTTGGGCACTGGAGGAAGGGAGAGACGTGTGTGAGGGGGCACGAATTGGGAAACGAGTAGATCGTGGCCGGGAATTCTGACGTGCAGGAGCATTATCGACATCGACAGATGGAAGTGATGACAGAGGTCGCTTGTGAGGGAGCTTCCACCCAAAGGTGTCGTCTTCGTCGTGAGATCGCCGCAAAGCGCCTTGGGAACCCAGGAACGCATTTTCCGAGAACGGTTGAGCTGCAGTCTGTCAATTGAAGCAGATGTAAAGGATATAACCCGTACCAGAAGACAGTCGAGGCTTTTCTGAAGGCAAACGTATGGGCATAGATGCCTTTCCTTGATTGAGGAAGCCTTGCTTTCTCTTCACCGGTTTAGCCTACAGAATATGTCAGAATAGAGCTCAAATTCAAGATTCACGACTCGCAGTGATCCTCTCAACAGCTGCTTGCACGTTCTTGGCCTGGTAACTCTTGACAAATTCTGGGATAGCCTGCCTCCTTCGGCCCTTCCGTCTGTCGTCCACTTCCTCCTCCTCCTCCGAGGCTTGAAGCGAGCCGTCAACGGAAGGAAGCTTGGACTTGCGCTTTTTCTTGGCTGGAGGCGGAGTGGGAGGCTTTGGCTTGGTGATGGCCGCCTTCTCTTTTCGGCGAGTCTTACGTTGAAGACGTCCTGCAGGAGCGTCAGCTCTCTCCCTTGGTAGATAATGAACTTACTCTGGGCACTCTCGGTTTCTGACTCCTCGAAAACATCTTCTTTGGATTTGGCCGCTTCCGCTTTCTTCTTCTTCACACGATCTGTCTTGCCCTTGTCAAGTTTGTGGACAAGCGAGTCAAGTGGCAGCTTGAACGACGCCGTCTGGACATCCTTGAGCGGCTGTCTCCTCACTGGCTGTGCGGGCTTAACACCGCTTCCGCTCAACTTCGCCACCAGCTCTGCTCTTGTGACTAGCTCCTCCCCTTCCTCTCCAAATATATTCAGCTTTCCCTCTATCTTTGGGGCGCCTTCACTCTCCGGCGGCGGCTCGCCGCGCAGTGCTTTTTCGAACGTCGAGACGCCGGCGTGCGCGTGTTCGTTGACGTACGGCTCAAGGGAGGAGAGGTATCGCTTTATGTGCGTCTCTGGAGACGACTTCTGGTGCGGCACTGCGAGGATGGGGGGGTTGGCGGACATCTGGGAATTCCAAGAAAGTTGACTTAAAGAAAGTTGACTTGCAACTGACGATCTGTTTACTTTTTGACCGCGATAAACAAACAAACGTGTACGTAATCAGCCGTTGATTTGATAAAGATTGCTTCCGTGCCTGGATGGCCCAATTCATCTTTCGGAGCATCTGGCTTTTGTTTTGCCTTTCGTTCGTTTCCACCGATCGCGGCAGATAATCTCATAGTCGGGTAAGATCAACAGGGCTATGCACAGAGAGGGGTTAGATCATTGACAATAGAGGCGCAGATATGAGCGAAGGATCAACGGAGACGCCTCAAGTCAAACCGGCCGACACTTATCAGATCGATAGCGACGAGTATGATTCTGACCAAGCCCGCGATGAGCTTTCCGAGGTCGAGTACGATAAGCTGGTAGAAGAAGGTAAGACGATTATTCTTGCAGAAAGACCGATTTGGGGCTGATATTGAAACTAGCGGAGAACGGGTACAACTCGGATGAAATGGATGACTTTGCGCACCAATTGAAGGAGACGGGTATTGTCAACTTTTTGAGGAGCTATCTAGTTCCAGACGCTTTGGGAGAAATGCGGTCGCTTAGAAAGTTACTGCTCGGATTTGGGATTATCCCTGTGAGCTCTAGCAAAGTCGCTGCAGTACGAGGCTGACAGCTATCAAGCCCCTCCCACTCTGCACTCCTTCCACCTCTAATCTCGCATTGCTCCCGTTTGCCAAAGTTACCCTCTCTCGCATCCTACGCCGCCGGTCACGCCTCCCCGACCTGTCCTCGCTATCTGACGCTCTCGACTTGCTAAAGAACGCAAAAAAGATCATCGTCCTCTCTGGCGCGGGTATCTCCACAAGCTGTGGCATACCAGATTTCAGAAGCAGTACCGGTCTTTATTCGCAGTTGCAGAACGAGGGCAAGTATGAGCTGGACGACCCTCAGCAAATGTTCGATATCCGGTACTTTAGAGAAAAGCCGGAAGTGTTCTAGTAAGTGATTACATGCGGTTGGTAAACTAGAGCTGACGTCTATAGCTCATTTGCCAAGCAGATTTACCCAAGCAACTTTGTGCCGAGCCCTTGTCATAGATGGATAAAGATGCTGGAAGACCGTGGTGTGGTAAGTTGTTGCCACTCCGAGTCGCCGATTGTATGCTTATGCCATCTAGCTTCTGAGGAACTACACCCAAAACATAGACACATTAGAGAGCCTTGCGGGTGTCAGCAAGGTCCTGCAATGCCATGGATCATTCAAGACTGCCTCCTGTCTAGTGAGCATTCCAGTTTCTCATCCGCCACTTGGTCTCACCCATGTATAGCGCTGCAAAACCCGGCATCCCGGAAGCTTCATTGAGCCTCACATCATGGCCCAGACAATACCATATTGCGAGCCATGTAAGGCGCAGTGTGCCCAAGAACATGCGGCCAGGAAGACGTACAAGGAGCAGTTGAAGAAGCTAAAGGCGAAAGCGAATGGAAAGGGGAAGGCGAGTGCGTGGGAGCAGGAAGAGAGTGATGATGAGAGTGGGGATGAGTGGGGCGGCGGGGAGCCAGGTATCATCAAAGTGAATAGGCTCTTAAGAAAGATTTCCCAAAGCTGACTGGTGAATAGCCGGATATCACATTCTTCGGCCAAGCTTTGGATTCAGAGTTTGACGAGTGTCTGTTCAAAGATAGAGAGGAGGTGGATTTGTTGGTGGTGATTGGGACGAGCTTGAAGGTGGCGCCTGTGAGCGAGGTCTTGAGTAAGTCTTGATGGTTACAGCACAGATGTCATTCAAGCTGATGGGCTCCAGCGCATATACCGCACTCGGTGCCTCAGATATTCATCAACCTTACGCCGGCATACCACGTCCAGCCAGACGTACGTATCACAGTTATCATATCAGGTTCAATACTAACGTTCCGCAGATCTCCCTACTGGGAGATGCAGACAGCATCGTCACATACATCTCGGACCGACTCGGCTGGTCCATCCCATCCCCCTCCGCATTGCCTGCTCCCAAATCTGAAGCAGAGGATGCCAAACGTCAGGTCGAACGCGAATCACCGACACCGGGCCAGAAGGACGAGGAAAAGATGGAAAAAGCCAGCCATGTTTTGATACCACCGGAAGAGGCAGAGTGGCTAGAAGTTGATGACGAGTGAGTCTAAATCTGCCTCGTAGCAGTCCTTAAGCTGATGTTGCGGTAGACGTCGTTTCCATCTGTTACGACGCAAGGGCGATCCGCTCCCGACAAGACCGCTAGTAGACGTGTCCGACGAAGATCCCTCTACCTCCCCTTCCGTCCAGGCCGAAACCAACGGCGCATCCAGCGTTCCGCCCAGTGTACCTACCAGTGTACCTTTCAGCCAGGCAGCGGCAGAAGATGCAATCATGTCTTCTTTGGGGCACGTTCCTACCGCATTGGGGAACGACATTGAGGAAGGATATGCGTCGGATGAAGAAAGTGAGGAGGAGGAGAGGCCTGTGAAGAAGATGAAGAGGCAGGAGAGTGATTGAGCTGTAGCAGAGTGAGGTGAGGTGTTGTAGACAGTGTATAGGGTTGTAGAGCATATTTGGTGGCTTTGTATTACGACGGCCGTAGAGATGTAAAGCACCTTCGGGTCACGTCAGTGGTCTCAAGCAAGGCTTACAAACATGATTGTACATTTCGGCTTTACCGCAGCACCAAGATAAGGGTCATTTATATACTATTTGCCCACAGTACGAGTACAGTACGAGTACAGTATAGAGGCGATCAAGCCTTTGGCTTCTTCGCATCCGCGCCGTTCCCTTCGTCCGCCTTTCGCTTCAAGGATGTAAGACCGGCCTCTTCGTCGCCCTCAACGACGTCTCCGTCATCGTCTTCATCTTGTTGCTCGTTCTACAGCGCTTTGTTAGTACTGATAAAGAGCGAATGAAAACCGACGCACGTTGTAAAAGTCGGCCAGAACACCCTTGTGGTCGACCCCGTCATCCTCGCTATCCTCATCCTCATCATCCTCGTCCTCATCCTCCTCCTCTTCATCATCAAAGTCTTCATCGTCTTCGTCTTCATCTTCATCTTCCTCCTCTTCCTCCTCGTCGACCTTAACTTGAGGGATCTTCTCGCCCGCCTTTGGGGGCAGAGGGACCTCTTGGAGTGGGTTAGCTGCGCGTCATTCGCCATGAGAACGTGGATACACTCACGAACTTGAGCGTTCTCGGCAGACATTGTGAGAGATCGTTGAGACTGTGAAGGGGTTATGGATTTATGAATGCTTCTGATACTCGCGCCGGATGCAAGCAGAACCAAGTAATTGACCCAGGATGACCGGCAGCGAACCGGTAATGTAATGTTCTCAGGGGACGCGGAATCCCCGAAAGCGGCGACCACCGCTGCCGCCGCCATGAGTCAACATTTTTCTGTGTTTGTGTCGCAGGATGCACCAAACAGTCAAGTCATAGGCTTGGAGGAATGCGAGACTCATGCACTGGTGGGAACGATCTACATACAAGTTTTTCTCCCACTGCGAAGAGTAGGGAGTTGAGAGAAGCACTCCACGTCGTCTCCTTCGCAAGGATTTGTGGCGGAGGAAGGGAAGATCAGAAGCCCGGTGTCGCGCACATACCGCCCTTTGTCTGGTCGAGAGGAGGCTAGTAGAAGACGATATGTTTACGCAGAACGGTTTTCTTCCGTGATGAGTGTCACGTGGCTGTCGCCACTTGACCAAACACCCGAGCCAAACACCCGAACCTCCACCTCCCACGTCCGCGTCGAGCCCACATCTTGCCACCATCTGACTATAACATCCATCCATCTACCTCCGCGGCCGAGCTATACCAGCACCGCCTTCGAGATCAAACCTTCACGGGCAAGAATGGAAATACGCGGAGATAGAGAGAGCAAACCCATTCCACCACTTTCGAGAACATTCTTTCGCCACCAGGTTGGCCGATGTAGTTGATTCTAGAGGTTTCGACGGAGGATACGATGAGTAAGCAGACTTGAGGTGCCAGGGTATATAAGGACGTGTCTCCATAGCTGTAGATACTTCGTCGATCCACTATTGTTGTCTTCTCTAGTACACACTTTTCTCTCTCGCTCAACACACTCGTACAAACGCTATCTTCCTTCGGCATTGGTCTGGCCACTCACTTCGAGTTCTCAGACCATTTCGTCTCTACCCCTCGGCGAGCTCTGAAGGCATAGCCTAAGGAAGGTAGCCCCTTGACAATGAGCAAGTAATGAGGCGACCAAGCACACGCTCGCATACTGCATGAATTGACTCTCCATACCAGGACTCGACGCGTGGCATCATAAGAAGGCATCGTGCATATACCTTGACATACCTCGGTATGGTATATGGCCCGTATATCTAAAAGATGATAGACTGTGGAATGATATGCCCGCAGATGTGCCATGGCTGACGCGATGCTGCCGGCTTGAACAAACACGGCGGTGGCCGACTGTGGATGATGGTAGACACGCCCCAACTCGCATCTCGGTTCCTCTTTTGCATCTCTTCCTTCTCCACTCGTCGTTCCCTACAGCCTCACCCCAGTCACTCGTTCAAAAACCACCCTCTCTTCTCCCCCACGCTTCCCTCCACATCTCCTCCCCGTCGCCACTGTACCACCATGCGCTGGTCACTGTCCCTTGCATCGCTCGCCCTCCTTTACCTCACCACCGCCGCTCCTCTTCAGAGCAGACAGAACTCTGACCTTGATTCTCCCAACGATTCTGCCGCTGCCGCCCCAACAGCGACTATATACCCAGACACCGCCGGTGGACAACCTGTGAACATTGTTGGCTTCGCCGACGACAGATTCGGCGCGGATGTCTACCTTGGTGTGCCCTATGCACAGCCTCGTAAGTCGTTATGCTATGGGTAGGTAGTGAGACTAACGCGTTCACAGCTGTCAACAAACTCCGTTTCGCCGCCCCCCAGTCCTACGTCTACAACACCGAATCCTACACCGCCCAGACCCAGCCTCCCATGTGTTTGCAGAACCCTCAAGAGAGCGAGATCATCTACGGCACCGAGAGCTCTGAAGACTGTTTGTTCCTCAATATTTTCGCTCCTGCGGGCTCAAACCTTGCCGAAGAGAAGGTCCCTGTGATGGTATGGGTGTGAGTCGCGTCGACTATTATAGAACCACGCTAATTCCTTTGAAAAGATATGGGGGCTCTTTTACTTCTGGATCTGTGTACCCCTACAACGGATCGGCATTCATTCAGCACTCTACTGAGACTGTGCGTCGTCTGATCCCCAAGTACGGCACTGACAAGCCTGCAGGGTAAACCCGTCATCCACGTGGCCCTTAACTACCGTCTTGGCGCTCTCGGATGGGGTGTGGGATCAGGCTTCGCGGAAAACAACGCTACCAACCTGGGTCTCCGAGACATCAAGAAAGCTCTGGGATGGGTACAAGAGAACATCTGGGCTTTCGGAGGCGATCGCGACCAAGTATGTGACAAGAGTGTCTAGTGATTGTAGCTGGCTGACGCGAAACCCTAGGTGACGGTGTTTGGAGAGTCTGCCGGAGCTATCTCTATATCTCTCTTGTACCTCGACCCGGGGACTACGCTCTTCAGCAAGGCCGTAAGTTTCGGAAAGATACAATGAGATGATGTGGCTGACGTAGGTATCAGATCATGGAAAGCGGCGGTCCTAGTTCCATTCCTCTGGGCCCTCAAGACTCCACATGGGAAGATGCGTACCAAGCTCTCCTCAAAGCTGCTAATTGTGTCGACTTCGACTGTTTGAGAGACCTCAGCGTGGAAGCTATCCTTGCGGCTCAGATGAATGTCAAGAACCAGACCGCCTTCAAAGCTGGCTTCATATACTGCCCGACTATCGACGGCGATCTCATCCCTGATTCCCCTCATCAGCTCGTTTTGGATGGCAAGGTTGCGAATAAGCCGTTCATCACGGGAAACACCAAAGACGAGTACGTCTTTCTATGTAATCGTGGAAATGTTGCTGATCGCTCTGCAGAGGAACGAGGTTTGCGCCTACTTCCATCAACAGTACTCCATACGGACTCTTGGTGCTCAACCTGTTCGAGCCAGACGACCCCGATCCCATGACTACCAGCAAGCTCCTCCAGCTCTACGTCAACGACGCGCGCGCGGGATCGTAAGTGCCTCTGCTAAGTGTAGCTCATGTGCTGACAGCTCTCATAAGCCCATTCGACACTGGGAGCCAAACGTTCGGCCTTACTGCCGCGTACAAGCGCTTCGCCGCCATCTTTGGCGATCTCTTCTTCCAATCCCAGCGACGATACTTCCTAAGGCAAGCCAACGCCCATGGTAATACTCAGACGTGGACATTCCATTTCGAGCAACTTACTCCCGGATGGCCTGAATACCTTGGCAGTGAGTGTCCAGCTGAGTTTGCACATACGAGATCGCTGAAAAGTGTGGTAGTCTCTCACTCGACTGAGATTCCTTACGTCTATGGTGCCGCCAGACCCGATATGGGGCAGCAAGGTTTCTCCTTTACTTATACCGAGGCTGATCACCGCCTCTCCGACGCCATGATGAACTACTGGTTGGCATAAGTCAAACTGTTTCCAAGACACCACTGACCCAACTCATAGGATCAACTTTGCCAATTACGGCAATCCCAACGGCCCCAACGACACAGCCAACTCCTCTTCCAACGCCGTCTACTGGCCCCTCCATGACTCCGACAACAAGAAGATCCTTCGTCTCAAGGCCGACAACATTTCTGTCTTCAGAGACGACTACAGGGAAGCCGGTACCGATTTCATCACCTCCCGTCCCAAGGCATTCAGCTTCAGGCGATCCCTGGATATCGGGGTCGGCCCCGGAGTTGGAGTTGGTATCGACGGAGAACTCGGGGAAGGTCTCGATGCCAGTGTCAACGTTGGCGTTGACGGTCACGACGGTGCCGAGAAGAAGCGGGCTTCTCTGACCGCCGATATCGAAACGGCTCTTGACGAGATGCCCGTCGTTGATCTCGACTTCGCGACCTCCGAATCCAAGCGAGACTTGAACCTGGGCGTCGGCGTTGGTGTCGACGGCGAATTGGGCTTGGCCCTCAAGCGAGACCTCGATATTGGTGTTGGAGTGGGAGTTGGTGCCGCTTCTGACTTGCAAATCAAGCGAGAACTCGACCTTGAAGCTGGAGTCGGTGTTGGTGCAGGAATTGATCTCAACCTGAAGCGGGATTTCGACCTTGAAGCTGGTGTCGACGTCGGTGCTGGGCTCAATCTCGCACTGAAGCGAGAATCAGACCTCGAAGCTGGTGTCGGCGTTGGTGCTGGGCTGAAGCGAGACCTGAAACTCAAAGTTGACGTTGTGGCAGCCGGAAATGGTATTCTGGATGCCGAAATCAAGAAGCGAGATGATTTGAACATCGGTGTTGGCGTTGGTGTTGGTGTTGGATCATGATAACTTTTTCATCATTCTTCTTTTCGAACGGAAGTAATACGGGGTCTTCGTTTATAGTTATGTAGCATAGTTAGACTGGACAATCTATATATATCGCCATTGTGATTTCCCGCCCGCACCTCCTCTTCTGCCCAGAATGTAGATTATTGTGTTGATGTGATAAGCGTTCTCCAGCCGCTCGCCGCCTTCGTTGGATTACCAGGGTTTGGCAACACATCCATCGCATTCGGCAACCATGATGCTGTGCAAGACTCGTGCAATGCTCGACTCGCGAGCATGTCGAGTCTCTCATCCATGAAACGTCGACGACCTGTAGAGATCTGAAGCTAGTCATCCCTAGATTACGCCAGAACCTGGCAATTAGAAAGATTAGACCTAGATTAGGAAATGAGTAGAAAGTACGTCATGGCGCGGGTCGCCGAGCCCGGGTTCCTGGGACTTCTTGTCGAGATCTTCTGCAGCTGACCACATTCCCTGCGATCTTTTCCAAGGGCTGCCAGACCGAACGACGCATGCGATGGGCTCCAATGTCTGATACCTTTCGTTCTTGCCATCAATCACATACAATCTTTCACTTATTTCTCTCTACGCACTGCCACCATGCGTCTACAGCACTCATTTGTTGCTCTAGGTCTCCTCTGCAGCAGCTCTGCAGCACCTCCTCTCTATGCGCGACAGAACGAAACGACATCCAATGCTACATCAGTCGCCGCAGCCCCTACAGCAACCATCTATCCCGATACATCCCAGGGTCAGCCCATAGAGATAGTAGGCACCACAAATCCGAATTTCAAGACCGATGCCTACCTCGGGATACCCTTTGCGAAGCCTCGTGAGTATGGTCTCTGTGGGATTGATATGGTGGGTGTCTAACATTTTCCCCAAGCTATTGATGATCTCCGATTTGCCCCGCCCGAGGCATACACATACAACACTAGCTCCTACACCGTCCAGACCTCGCCGGCGGCATGTATGCAAGACCTCAGCTCCGGGACATTCTCCTACGACACCGAGATCTCCGAAGACTGTCTGTTTCTCAACGTCTTTACTCCTGCTGGTGTCAACATCACCGATGAACAGTATCCTGTCATGGTATGGGTGTGAGTCAAAACTTGCGTTTGATGGTGGCTGTTGGACGCCATGCTGATACTGTACATCGCCAGTTATGGAGGATCCTTCACTTCCGGGGCTGTAACTCCCTATAACGCTTCTCTTCTCATCGCATACGGGCAGGAAATCGTACGTCATTGATTGTCCGCAAATGATGCAGCAGACTGACATCGCTGCGCCTCAGGATCGACCGATCGTTCACGTTGCCCTCAACTATCGCCTTGGCGCATTTGGATGGGGTGTCGGATCTGGCTTCGCAGAGAACAACGCCACCAACCTCGGTCTCCGCGACATCAAGTTGGCTCTCAGCTGGGTTCAAGAGAATATTTGGGCCTTTGGGGGCGACCCAAAAACGGTACGTTGGCGAGCAGTATGATAGGCCATGCAGCTGCTGACGGTTGGACAGGTTACTGTATTTGGCGAGTCTGCCGGCGCTATAGCAACTTCACTGCTATTCCTCGATCCCGAGACCGAGCTTTTCAGTCAAGCAGTAAGTTGGCTTGCCGATTCGTCAGCTGGCGCTGAGCAATATCCAGATCATGGAAAGTGGTGCCCCCTCGACCTCGCCGATTGGCCCTGAAGCCAGTACTTGGGAAGGCGCCTACGAAGCCTTGTTGTTGGCTTCAAACTGCTCCAGCAATTCTACCATCTCTCCCAGCATAACGACATCTGCCAACGGGACTAGCTTGTATGCGACTGGCTCGTCATCCCCCTTCGACTGTCTCCGAGCCCTTCCGGCCGGAGATATCCTTGCCGCACAGATCCTTGTCAAGAACATGACGGTGTTCCAGACAGGCTTCATTTATGGCCCGACGATAGATGGCGATCTCATTCCTGATTCTCCTCATTCCCTCATCGGGCAAGGCAAGGTCGCAAACAAACCGTTCATCACCGGTAACAACAAAGACGAGTAAGCTGTCCGTCCTCAAGTGTCGATCCAAAGCTAATCACTGGGGCAGAGGTACACTCTTTGTACCATCTACGATTTCCGACACTACCCAAGGACTTCTGCTTCTCAACTTGTTGGAGCCTATCGGCCTCAGTAATGAGACTTTCGCAAAACTCTTGCGCTATTATCCAAATGACACTACGTTGGGCTCGTAAGCATATCCCACTACTTCCAGCATACGTCACTAACAATTCTCGCTAGACCGTTTGATACTGGAAACGAAACCTTTGGTCTTGACCCCTCTTACAAGCAGTTCGCTGCCATCCTCGGCGATGCCCAATTCCAAGCTCAGCGCCGATACTTTTTGAGGCAGGCAAATCAAAACGGCAATGCCAAGACATGGACCTACCAGTTTGAACAGCCTACACCCGGAAGCCCTGGGTATCTTGGTGGTAAGCATCCTTTGTCTCAAAAATTCCACCCGGCTTCAGGATGATGCTCATCCGACGATGATACAGTGTACCACGCTAGCGAGATCCCATTTGTCTACGGTGCGGCAAGGCCAGGGATCGGGCTGGCAGGTTTCTCCATGAATTACACCGAAGCCGACAGTATACTTTCTAACAGTATAATGGAGTACTGGTGAGCATTGTACCCAATACCACACTCGGTCGGAATGTATACTGACGCAGTACCAGGCTCAACTTCGCTCATTACGCTGACCCCAACGGCCCTGACGGCACTTCGTCCTCCAACGCTACTTACTGGCCCGCCCACAACATTGACGATAAGCAAATCCTCCGTCTTGTTGCGAACAACGTGACCGTGTTCACGGACGATTATCGGGAGGAGGCGATGTCGTACTTTGTGAACAACCCTACTGTGTTCAACCAAAGGCGATCCTTTGATTTCTGATGTCGACTAATTAGCTATGAGAATGCGTTGATGATCTTGATCTTGCAGGAACATCAGCGTTGATTGAAAGTTCGTATATTCGCTTGGTCTTGTCATCACACTCATCTTCAAGTCGGTCAAGTTTGATAACATCTTCTTTTCGATTTGTACGAGTACTTGCACTTACAGTATGATGTTCGAAAACTGCATTATAACTGGATGTCCGCAAGAATGTTTTGATCTTTCTCGATTACTTTCATCTCAATGCAGGGTTGTATTCATCCAGCCAAAGATCATTTCTATCTATCTCGATTATTTCTATCTTGCTCTTGGATGCTATTGATCGAGGCGAGATTTGTGTGCCCGGTTGGTGATCTTGGTTGTGTGTGTTCAGCTGTTTCGGAGAGATCTTTGTACTGTAGCCATAAGAGAGTAGAATTGAGCCTAGATCAAGATTATGCCATATGCAACATTTGATCCAGAATTGAGATTGAAATACCAATCCTGAACCAAGTTCAAAACAATCCCAAACTGAGATCAAACAGGGTATAGATCGGTTCTATCCCGATTCAAGATTTTGTTGATCCATCCTGGATCGAGACTGTTTCTGTACATCTCAATACAGGATCAAAACATCTCGCTCGGGCCCTGACTGCGACCAACTCACGGCCTCAAAGGTCATTGTTTCTAATCATACATGTCAAAGTGAAATACCAAAATCACAAATGTTTATGTGTCTACTATAAATCTACCCATCGCCATCCAGATTACCCAGCCCCTCAAAAGAAGAGACCATCCCTCAACATCGTTCAGTTCACCTCAGGCACAGCCACCTTGCCCCTTCGCTCCTTCTCCGCATCCTCCACAACCTTCTCAGTCTCCTCAATCGACTGTGTATCGGGCAATCTGAGATTGTCGATGAGGAAGAGGGATGTGAGGAGCGAGAGGACGGAGATACATGTGCCGACGATGACGATCGTGCGCTATTCCCACTCGTCAGTTTCATCTCCCTTGGATGCTCCACCCATGATGACAAGAATAAGGACCCACCTGAGCTTCATCCTGAGCCCTCACAAGCGCATCACGTTCGAACGTTCCCACAGCATACTTTGTAGCATACCCGATAGGGTTCCCATAAGCTGCTGTGATGAGGGCGTCGTCGCCGTTGAGATAGTTTTGTAGTTTGTTGGGGACGATGTTGGTCCACATGGCGCCTCCGATAGCCGATCCGATACCACCCTATACTCTCATCAGCTCCACTCAGGGGAATTAGAAGAGAGAAGACCCACAGCAAGGTAGTAAACAACCAACCACCCGGCGGTGATAGCAGCCAAATGCTCATGCGGCGCCGCAGCCTGGATAAGCGCTTGCGTAGGATACGGGATGAACCCATTCGCTGCTCCTCTTAACAACTGCACCACCGCCAACTCTCCCTGACTATTCGTACTTCGCCTATACCTGATCATCAAACCCATCGACAACAGCTCCATGACGAAACCGAGGATGATGATAGGTTTGAGCATTCGGAAGCGGGAAGAGAGAAGGGCACCGATCATGGCGGTGACGGTACCCGCGACAGTGGGGAAGGAGGTGATCCTCGTGGCAGACAGGACGGATTGGTCGGCAGCGACGAGAAGGAAAGTGTACAGGTAGCCCGAGACGATTCGGCCTGCCACTGGGTGGAAGAGCGCGATAAGGACACAGCCGATGACGGTCTTTCGCTTCAAAAGGACGAAAGGCAAGAGAGGGTGCGGCGCGTAGAACCTCTCGTAGCAGACGAACGCGGCAATGAAGACGGCGCCGACGATGAGCTGCGCGATAGAGTGCGCATCGGACCACTTGGCGGTCTTTGAGTTGGCGAGAGTGATGGTGACGAAAAACAGGCCGAAACCGATGACAAAGAGGATAAGGCCGATAAAGTCGAGTTGCCAGAAGAAGCTTTTGGCTTGATGAGAGAAGCGAGCAGCTCGGGACTGAGGTGCACGAGAGGCTTTGGCAGCTTTGGCATCGGCGCGGGCCATTCGGGTGGGACGAGTGTTGACCCAGAGGGTGGTAATGATGGGGAGTGCGAGAGCAGGGGTGAGGATGATGAACATGGCTAGGGAGAGATATCAGTAGGCGCAATTTTTGGTTGTGAAAACGTACCGAAACCCCATCTCCATTGTTTGTCTGCGGGACCATGGGCCATCAGACTAGCGACGACATTGGCCGACACGAAGGCGTTGATAGCACCGGGGATGGAAGGGAATTGCGACCACCAGTCTGGCAGTAGTCAGCTCCAGCTTTCGTAAGATGGACTCTCAAACTCACATCGGTTTTTGAGACTGGAGATATCTCCAATGATGACGTTCTGCAGTAAAAACAGACCGGTTATACCCACAATATAGATTGTGTTGCCGACGGCATACGCGACAATGTTCTGCGAAGAAGCCACAATGATCAAGCCAATGCAGTAGAAGATGACACAGCCAATGTAGGTCTTGACTCGGCCAAAATAGTCGGCAAGCTTGGCGATGGGTGGCTGAGCCATGGCCTGAAAGACAGCGCCAACAGTGCTGATGGTTGACTGAAGAGAGTGGGCTTCGAAAGACTCGGATACAGCAAAGGTAAGGTAGGCGCTGCTCGTGTATTGATCTTCAGGGATAGTGAGTAGTGACACGATGGTATCTGGAGGCGATACTCACTGAGAGACAGACTGTAGGACAGCAGCATGAAGGTCGCGTACAAAATGACGAGCACGGTTCGGCTGAGGCGGCCTGTGAGAAACTCCATCTCCAACACACCCTTACTCTTCTCCTCAATAGTACCGGCCTCGCTCTGAGCACTGCTCCCTCCATCCTCCTCTAGGGACAGACGGTCCTTGATCTCGGGGTCTTCTGCGATGCCATCGGTGCGCTTGACGCCTTCCTCTTGAACGGCGGAGTCAGCAGTCTTGCCGAGCACTGGGGCGACGAGACTGTCGGTCATTTGCTGGGGAGCAGACATGGTAAGTCACTTGAAGGCAACTTTTGGGACGTGAAAAAGATGGCGAGACATCCCATCCGTCATTATATAGAACGTGAACGTATCAGCGAGTTCAGTGAGCTCGCACCACTGGCCCTGAGCCTCACCCGTCTCTGAAAAGGTGCGATAACATAATTGACTGGGGTTTGTTAAAAGCTTCTTCATGCAGTCGGCCGAGTGGTAATTTTATCCGATAGCGGGTATGGAGATGGAGAAAGTCATAAATGGAATCGAAAGCTGCCAAGAGGATGGATGCCGCACGATTTCGACATCCCGGCGCCTGTTTCAAATGTCGCCTGTGCCGCATTTTGCCGTTCTGCACTCTTCTACTAACCGTAAACCGCCTGCATGTCAGTGTTCATCCATGAGACAAGTGAGTGGGCCACTTACTGGAAGTTGGTTCAGAGAGAGACAGTGAGCTGCAGTGGCCTCTTGACAGTGACGAAAAAGGCAGAGAACGCTCTGGAGATGATGCATGTATCTGGGTTATCTGAGGCACAAGGCACACCCTGCACTATTTAATCTGTCGGCCCAGTCGGTTGTATTCGAGCGCTCAGTGCTCAAAGATCTCGAGAATCGGCGGCTGACAGCTTGCTCGTCCATGTGACGAGCCATTTTCAAGTACAGTCATCCAACAAGAACGACCTCTCCATATCTTGGCTTTGGCGCACTCCTCGCTTGTCTCAACCTTCTTCTCGTCACCACGGCCGACGCTTGAGGACGAATGTCCAGCATCACTGGGTCACACGACTCGAGCGAGCCGACCCGACAGCCGCTGAATGGTCCAGAAGGGTATGAAGGTCGAGCCTGTAGACAGATGAAGCAAGAGTCGGGCGATCTTCAGACGGTGCTCTATGAACTGGCGCTGGCACACCGCGTCTGTGGCGGCCGCCGCCATACCGACCGCTGATTTGCCGCTGATGACTGTCGACTTTCACCAAGCTTTTCATGTCAGGGTGTTGGCCGACGAGCGGCGGGACCCGTAACGCAAAAAGTCAAGCGAAGTTTGAAGATGGCAGATCCATAGTATACATTATTGAAACTTTTTAACACTCAACTTTATAAGTTTCTATCCTATAAAATCCTCATCCTGCTTTTCCTTCCCCTTCTTGGAGCGGCTGTTCTTCCTCATCGGCTCAGGACCTCCGAAAACGTCGCCTGAGTCGGAAGCGGAAGAGCTACCGGCGGCCAAAGAGTCCGCAGATGGAGTCGGCATGCTAGTAGAACCTGGTTACATTATCATGTCAGATATGATAGCAGAAGACGAACCTTTTTTGATCATGACACAGCAGCGACTCGCCCTGGCCCTAGCTATGCAGACCGTTTCCACCCACGTGAGGCCAGCCAGCACGACAGGGATATCGCCAATGACCATGCCATTAGCACGTGAGAGAGAAGGGACCTTGGTGAAGGCATGGGAGAAGGAAGGGTCGTCGGACTCGTCATCAGAAATGCAAGCAGAGCACTTGCGACAGAAGTGTGCCCAGTTGTCGATGATAGTAGAGGAGTCGAGGACATGGGAAGGGATGATGGGTGACGGGCATTGCCACGCGTCTTGAAGGATGTCGACCCTCAGGCTCGGCACAAAGATTACTTGTGTATTTACCCTCGAGCACTGCTCTGAGCAAGCAGCGCAAACGACTTGACCCAGCTCATCAACCGAAGTGGCGTTTCGATATGAATTATCTTGTCGATGCTGTGGTGGAGAGATGACTCCTGAGGCCATTGGTCATGGTCGAAATCATGGAGACACTGGTAAGAGGATGAGTGAGTGAAGGGGCAGATCTGTGAGAAGGGAAGGAGGTGGCACTCACGGTGCGTGGCTCCTGAAGAACATTCCTCAGTGCAAGGACATATGGCTGCCCGTTGGCTTCTTCCTCTTCTTCTTCATCGCCGCCCTCGCTGCCCACAACACCCACACGGTCTCGTTCTTCATCATACTGGAGGTCAGACCGTCAGCCATGGAAAGATGAGGAAGACCGAAGGCGAACCTGTACGACCTGATTGCGCCGGTTCTAGAAGGACACACAAGTCAGTAAGGACGGCAGAAGGGCAAAGATGATGTAGCACTGACCCTTGTATGTGGACGATGATGGTCTTGGGAATTGCCAAGCATGTGGTGTCGTCGATTTCGAGGATTTGGACCGGAAGACAATGGAGGATCCGGGCGTCCCGCAGAGCGGTCGGGTGTGCTACTAGCTCGTGACTGCTGGCCTCAGGTCAGTCGATGTCGTCATTTCACAGACACAGGGGAATAAAGGCTACGAACAGGACCAGGAGCCGCTCGAGAGGGATTGCCGTTTGACTGATGAGATCTAGAAGAGTTAACATTCAGGCCAGAGTTCAGGATGGCGGTCAGGATGGCAGAATGGTTCAGGCGTCAGGATCCTGTACAGGACCAGCAGGATAAACAGGATTCATAGGAGGCAGGTCGTCTCGAAACTAACATCGCAGCCCGAAACTGACGTCTATCGACATGACATTCAGGAGTGCACGTGTGACCTGCAGCCAGATGCTGAAAGGCGTGGGCACCTCTGGCGCGTGCGTAAGTCGAGGTGTTCAAGACGGGGAGAGGGGGGAAACGGTGGCTAGCGGCGAAGTCCTGGCGAGATCGGTAGGCGGGAGGGCCCTCTGCCGAAGTGGCGATCAGAAGAGCGAAGGCTTCGGGATAGAAGGGGAAGGACATGTTCAAGCAGGGGAGCAAGGGGCAGAGATTGACGGAGCAGAAACAATAGGTCAAGGCCGACGTGATTAGTAGGGGGAGAAGAGGACAGGAGGTAAGGCAGCAGCAGCAGCAGCAGTGAGCATCAGCAGCTCCTCAGTTGCTCCTCAGGCGGCTGAAAGAATAATACAGTTATGCATGACGTGTGGGAAAGGTTGGAGAAAGGGCAATATGATTGATACCGAACAGCACGTGCCGGCGGCCGCGGACCCCTACACTTTTCTGGGTGGGAGAAAACAGCTGATAAGACCCTGACTGCGTTACGGGAATGTCGTTTGTTGTTCTTTCGTCCGACCGACAACAGCCCACTCATCTGGTATGTAGCACGTCCAACCCCCTAATACTATGGACTCTCTGTAATACTACCAAACGCGAGGACATCTCCTCGCACCGCCCCTCGTCGTCAAGACGCACCCCCGCCAACGAGTATCCGAGCAACACCGCCTCCCGACCCGACTCTCTCCTTGCACTCTACTGGCACCAACACCACAACACGCAAGGGCACTCAAGCTCTTGACCTTGTCCGCCTCGAGATGGTCACTAACACGATCTGCGCGGCGCCAGGGAGGCCAGCAAGGAACGGGGAGGACGTCTGGGAAACACGATATGGTCAAAGACATCTCATTCCCTTTCCCTTTCCCTTTCTCTTTTCTTCTCATACTTTACTAATTCAAAGACTGGCCGTATACCTGCAAGACAGTGTCGTTTGTGACGACTCACGCCCACTGGCTTCTTTCTTCCTGTCCCATTCTTCTTCCGCCTGGCGCGACCTTTTCCCTTCAACACTTTAGAGCTGGTCTCTTCTGTCCTCTTCGACTCTCCCTAACACCCATCTTCTTGTTCCGGTCCGATCATCTTTTACTACACCATCCCATAATCAAAAACAGCAACCATGCGCATCCTCAACATCGTCTGGGCCATCTTTGCCTTCCTGCTCCTGGCCGCGGGCGTCATCTCTATCGTCGCCTCTGTCATCTTCAACAGCGCCGGACACCCTTTCCTCAACATGATCGCCACCAAAGTGGATTTCAAACGTGCGTCTCCATCTCCCATTCACCTTGGTTGGCAAGTTTCAAGAGCTGAACTGGGGTGTTTGTAGTGGGGATCGGCTTGGGTGTGATCTACATCATGAGCTGTATCGTCTCCGTCCCAGCCTTCATGGCATCGTTCGAGAACCCGGTGATGCTCAAATTCCTCAACTGGTGGCTTGTCGGATGTATGGCTGTCACCCTCGCCGTACGCCCCCTTCCCTCTCTCTGTGATTGTGAGGCTGATGACGAAGGACAGTTTGGAAGCATCTTCTGGGTCCTCTCACTGGAACAGCTCAATACCTTCTTCAACGTCTGGAAAGCGCAGACATCCACCATCCAACAGACTATTCAAGATCAATTCTCCTGCTGTGGCTACTTGTACGTCCAATCTCAAAGGCGCGAGAGTCGAGCTGAACGACGGGGGTCAGTAATGGCACCGCAGAAGGAGGGTTCTCAACAACAGCTGGATTTTGTTCCGACGCGACATTTGCAGCTGCTCAGACCGGTTGTCAAAATACCAGTACGTCCTTCTCCCCCTCTCCCTTTGACAACAGTAAACCAATACCAGGCTTCATAGTCACATCCGCCACCTCCCCCGGAACAGATTTCACTCTCGAAACCATTTTTTCCACCGTTTATGGTTTTGACATCATTCTCGTTTCGTTCTTCTTGGCTACTGTCTGCTTGATCAACGAGGTATGTCTTCACATCCTCACAGGAGGGGTGGAAAGAATAAGCTGATATGCGGGCAATTGTAGCGAGGGATAAGTGTGAGGTTCAAGAGGATCGATGCCAAGCGCGGTGGAAGTGGTTTCGTGTAGTCGGATTGTCGGGGGAGAGGCTGCACTGGACGTACAACAGTTATGCGCAAATCTCCATGAATGTAACAGAAACAAACCAGAACCATGAAACATGCCAAGTCCCCACCGCATCCCAGCAGTACATAGCTCTAGAAGAACCGTACACCTTCTCCAGCTTCGCCTTTACCTTCAAAGATCTGCGCTCTATTCCGTTTGACCAGGGATTCGAGGGCTTTGCGTAGTATAGACACTGAGAGTTGTCTGAACTCTGCTCAAACTCGTCAGCTATTCAAAGTGGGTGAGAGGTCGTTGAGGCTTACCAGTCGTCTCCGAAAGGTCTCCATCTGTGATCTCCCAAAACGTCATGATACTCGCATTCAGCCCATTCTCCATGACCTACACAGTCAGACCTCATGAGGTTCCCTTTCACGAGAATACGGAGGAAAAAGACTTACCCAGTGATAGATGATATCTCCCCATTCTTCGGGTTTCCGCCAGTATATGAGGTAGTGGGTATCTTGTTTCGGCGGATCGGGTGCTGCCTCGCCTGTCGTACCATAACAGTGAGCGGACTACTAGGAGGGTACTTTGATGAAGACATACCATTCTTGACCAGCTCACTCATCAATGTCTTCACACTCGGCGGTAACAGTCGCCCTGACGATCCTCCATTAGCACCTACACCCCGCGGACTCGGGCGAAGCGACTCACGTCCTATACCCTTATTCTCGAACACCCCCAGCACATCCTTCCCCGCGCTATCCACATTCACCTCAAACACCCTCTCATGTCTCGCCCATTCTAACAAGAGGTTGCGCCATAGGAGCAGCTGGTGTGCGAGCGTTTGGGGGTTTGGTTGTAAGCTACAACAGTTTACTTCAGTCAGCCGCTGTACCTTATTCTCCCCTTATCATCCATGACAGTCATGTCAAGGATAGCTAGTCAAGAGGCTCACGTGAAGAAGGGAGGAAAGCTCCACATGGCTGGAAACTCGAAACCACTCGCGCTCTTAGTCGGCCGGAGAGATGTCGGCGGGGCACTAGATCCCTGGCCATGGGCAGTGGGCTGTGTTGTGACTGACTGGGACGAGGATGCTTGGGCCGACATTTGAATGAAAGATGCAGAGAGAAAACGACGAAAACAGCAGCGATGATAGCGAGCCACGGCGGAGGTGGAGGCAGTCCACTACTCTCCTCAATGTTTGTGCGAGCGGTAATGAGCGGTACACTTCTCATGCATTTAGAAGCTACATTCACGCAGAACAGCGTTGGATATACCTACTATACTATCTCTACCAGAATCCCCTCATCGTACACCCTAATCAGAATCTTATATAACCCCTTAGCTCCTCACGTCAAAGCTCCAAAGACCCCGGCTCAGCGTCCTCCCGGCACCGTTCTGCTGCTGCTCCCTCTCCCTCCTGGGCAAAGGCACCCCAGCCAAAACCGGCTCTCCATCCCACTGACTGCTGCCTTCCCTCTTCAACACGCCATTGACAGGCAAAGGGCCATTCGTCTTCTCCCTCTCACCGGCCGGTCCCTCGCTCTCCCTCTCCCTGGCAATCCCAGCGTTCCTCATGGAAAGGTTTGGCGACCTACCGGGGCCCGCAGGTCCAGGCGAGATGGCAGAGACTCTACGACTAGCCAAGATCCGATCCCGATTCTGCTCATGCTCTCCCTTCTCCCTAGGCCTGCCCCGGTGCTCATCAAACACCCCAGCAGCAATCGCCGCTGCCGCCGCCCTATCCCTCTCCCTCTTCTCCCTGTCGACCATATCCATCTCCCGCTCCTGCTCCAAACGCAGAATCTCCTTCTCCCGCCTACGCTCCCGCTCTTCGTACTCCCAGTCTTCTTGCAACCTGGGCTGGCCTGGAGCAGCATTGGGGCTCACATTCGGCGGCACGGAGGAACCCGACACATGCCTCTCTTGCGCTGGATGACCATGAGCGGGCGGGGCGGACGGCAGATCGACAGTCAAGCCAATCTTGTTTTCCACCATGTTCAGCATCTTTTCCGTCTTGGCCAGCATCGCTTCTAACCAGCGTTTGCCTTCTTTGAGCTGTTCGCGGTGTTCTTGGAGCTCGCGTCGGCCCATAGAGTAGTGGCCGTACGCGCCGGGGACGGCGCCAGCGGCAGATGTGGCGGTGGCGGTGGCGGTGACAGGGCCCGAAGCAGAAGTATTGCCGTAGAACCTATCCCTCGGATCAGACCCAGGAGCAGGCGACGCTCTCCTAGGGGGCGAGACTCCCTTCCCTCCAGCGCCAATCGAAGGCGACATATCCCTCCTGACATGCAAATTCGAATACCTTGACGCATTGAACGAGTACGGCGAGTTACCAGCCATCGGATCCCTCGTCGTCGGGCCATAGACAGAGTACCTGTTTGGGGCTCCAGGTTGGCCGGGGGGGTACGCCGGGCTGCCGTGGGTCGGAGGTTGGCCGAGCCTAGAGCCGGGAAGGGCATGAGGGCGTTCAGCGAGAGGAAGGGGCGAGTTGGAGTATTCCTTCGACCTGTTTCTGTCCCTATCCATCCCGTGCAAGCCGAGGCTCATCGCAGGGTGTCTCGGGTCGCGCTCCCTCTCCCTTTCTCTCTCCCTCTCCCGTTCCCTCTCCCTCTCTCTCGCATCATCTACATCAGACTTTCGCTTCACCCCCCTCTGCTCCGGCTCGCCCATCTCCACATCCCCGCCTCTGGCTGGCGTCGCGCTCACCCGTTTTTCGGGCGAAGCATTGCTGGCAGAGGGAGCCATGGTCAAGAGCGCTTCAGCAGCAAGCTGATGGGCCATCTGATCCCGAGTAGGCAGCGAGGAACGGCGTAAGAGTTCATGATCATGGTCATTGTCGATTTTCGTAGTGGTAGATTTGAGGGGGACAGAGTGGCGAGATGGGTATGGTGATGATCGGACGGTGGACAAGGGCGATTTGGAGAGAGGAGAAAGGGAGGTTCTCGTCAGCTTTGGTTCGGGCGCAGAGGTGGGGCGGTCGGGCATGAATCGCGGAGGCAGAGGAATTGTATCCGACATTGTCACGAGCAAGGAAAGAGCGCGAGATGGCTTATTATTCCTTCCAAGGCCCGACGACCTCTGAGAGAAGACACGAAAGGACAAAGGGCATAGACACAAAAAGGAGGGGGATTGGGCAGAAAGGATGTGGACGCGTTTTCCTACGGGAAGGACCTCGACGACCCGGGAGGAGCACAAGAACAATGGGACACCCGGATTGACTCTTATCAATCCAGACTTTCCGAGTCATCTACGGTCCACCCGACCATCTCCAACGCCGAAGAGAATGGACACATGCCCAAACGCAAAAAAGGAAGAAAGAACCCCTGCCAAACCGAAAGGAAATACAACTCACGCCTTCTCGTTCCCTCGCTTCCCTATCCTTCTCCTCCTTCTCCCGATCCCTTCCATCACTCCACCACTTCTTGCCCTGTCCCGGGTTGCCCGAATTCGAGCTCGGCTTGGCATACCGACCCTGGATAAACTCTTGCGCATGGGGATGATGGCCCCGGTGATCGGTATGGTGCTGCGAGGGCGGCGCTCGATGGGCATAAGGCGGTGAGCCCACGCGCATCTTGTCTTCGATAGGCGGCGGTACATGCGGTGGGGGCGCGGTGACGCTGGGCATTTGGGCCGTGGTGGGTCCGGGCGAAGGCTGGTCGGGCGCGGCGGTGATGGCGCGGGTAGTCGACGAACTCGGAGTCGCTGTGGCCCCGCTGCCAACAGCGGGCACACGTTTTCGGCGCTTGATGACGGTCTTTTTCATAGCGACAGGGCGCGGGACACCGTGAAGTTTGTGATACAGTCCTACATCTCATCAGCCCATTTCAAGACGTTAAACAAAAAAGACCCACCACAGGCATTGCACTGCGGCCTGCCTTCTTCATCACGTCGCCACAAAGGCGTCGTACTCGTCCCGCAATTCCGACAACTCATACCAACAGGCGTAGCAGCCAACCCGGAACCATTCGTCGTGCCCGCCGGCGCATCATCGCTATCAGGACTGAACCTCGAGGGCGTACCCTTGTCAGACCCGGGGTGTTGCAACGGCTGGGTCGTCACCGGGCTTTCATGCTGACGCTGTACCGCATGGTCGGGCGAGGGGGACGGGAGAGAAGTAGGTCGGCCGAGGTTGTGGTTGACGCCTTCCATAAACCTGTCCAATCCGTATGGCTTGCCTTCGCGTTCATGATATCGCGGGCGGTCGATACCTTCCGACAAGGGGGCGGAGTGGGGATGGCCGTGGGTCGGGGGCGCACGGTCAGAGACGAGGCCAGAGGCGATGGAATTGTTGTAAGTCGGGCAACCTTCGCATCCAGCTTTGCCTCCGGCGCCATTGCACCTCCCGTCACCGGGGCAAGATCCCGCTGTGAGGTGGTGGGCAGAAGCTGGCACAGTAGTAGGTGGCGGCGAGGGGAGAGGCGAGCCGTGGGGGTGTTCTGCGTACGTCAGCCCATGCTTCATATGTCCATGAATACACACGTTTTCTCCTCTTGGCAAGGTGCGCATCTTCCTCCATGAGTTGCCTCGCTTTTCTCTCCTCTTCAAGTCGGTCATGCACCGGCGCGGGAGAGTCTTCATCCAGCTCGTCCAGCTCTTCCATCGTAGACGCTTCTCTCTCTACTTCCTTTTCGTGCGCAGCGGGTGCGGACGTGGCCTCTGGCAAAGGGCTCGGTCGGCGGGTGGTAGCAGGCGAGGTATCGACAGTCTCTTCATCAGCCCCACCTCGTTCGTTCGAACTGCCGAACCCGACATGCCACTGGGGTGCAAAGCGGGATTCGAATTGGTCGCCGAGCGTGGAATCGGGACGCTCTCCGCCCGGGCGGGGAGGAGATTGCGTGTCAGACATTGTTTTATTTTTGGGATCCTAAGAGTGGGGCAGGAATGTCAGTAGATGCTTGCCATGTTTTTCACGCGAGAGGGTGGAGGAGAAATGTGGATGTATGGGTGGCAAGCACGAAAAACAGAGTACGCGGCACAGAGATAGATACCGTTTTCGCAGGCGATTTCGCCAAGTCATCATGCGCCATTCGCCATTATCACGATAAAAGGAGTGGCGTGTTGAAGGTGGGGCTGGGGTATGACTCTTAAAGTCTACTCACGATAGATGAATGGATTTTTTGTGCGGGTCAGATAGGGTGCGAGAACCAAGGAGCGAGTGTTGTTAGCTGTACGCTGGGTGGGGGGTGGTTGAAGTGGCCCGTGGCAGGGAGGCAGGGGGCAAAGGGGAGGTGGCTGGGGGGCAGCAGGGGCGGCGACGAAGAGAAGATGATGAAAAGGATGAGAAAAGGATTTGAAGCGAGATTTGATAAGAGAGATCACACCGCCCCTCGCCGCGGACGTGGCACCTTTTCCGCTATCGTATCTCTTGATCAGTCAGCCCAATCAATGCATCTTTTCGAATGCCCCCCGGCCACGATAAGCCCATGCATGTCCCCACTGCATACTGCTGGCCATTCCTGCGTGCTGCATAGATCTCGCTGCGATCGGCACTCGACGACTCTTGGGCACAGATGCAGAGATAATCTCGCCATAACAAATCGCACCATCCCCGTATCTTCGCACTCCCCCGCTGCTCCTGGATACCCGCCGCCACGCTCAACGACTCGCAGCCTGCCGCCTGCAGCCCGCGATCTGGGCAGGGATTCGTCGTCGTCGAGGCACGTCATATGCAGCCACCACGAGATCACTCACGGTCAGCTGCTGCTTCTTTTATCGGCAGCCAGGATAAGGATAACCTAAATGCGGGAATCTCCGAGGCAATCGCGCGCGGGATTGTTTGTGGCACTCCCCCAAAGACACTGCGATGGCACCGGCGATGCATGGGAAGGGGGGGCGATGGTATGGTGCAAGAGATGCTCGTGGATCGTTGGCCGATGCACAAACCCGAATGACCACATGGAGTATGCAAATCTAACCGCGAAACTCCACAAACAAGCGACCCCGCAAAACGCAATCGCAATCGCGCGAAACAAGCAAATCTCGTCAGATCCCTTGCAAACGTGGCAGCGCAACAGTGGCGTCTATTATACATGATCCATGTCTACCCAAAGCGGCCAGTCATCTTGGTCGAAGAGAGTCGGTCCCCACTCGCGGTAAGACAAACTCCCAAGCGTCCAAGACACATTCCATCGCTCGGCCGTCGTCTTTCCACCCCCAACCGGACCTTCAAATCTCATCTTCGGCGTTATCGCCCCTCAATATTCAAGGGACGAAAACACCCCAGAATTACCCCTTTAGGTAACTTTTAACGACGCACCAATGGCGTGAAAAGAGGATAAGGAGATAATCGGGGGGAATCTCGGGCATCTCGGGCCTCTCGGGGTCCGTAATCTCATCTATATCAAATCAGTTGCCCACGTTGCCATCGTTCTCGTGCCTTTTCTGTGCCACAACGTTGTGCATTCGTGTGCCACGCAGAGTAAGTTTGGCGGGTCTCATCTGGCCACAGCATTGATATCCACCAAGTGGATAAGAATAGAGTTGCTGCCATACATAGCACCAAGCTACATGTACCTCTTCGCTCCTTCGCATCATCGGCCAGAATAGGTCTGGCCTATGAGTCCTATCAAACACCAACCGAGCCATCCATCAAAACCCGAGAACAATCTTTTATCTCATCTCGCCTCAATTTTCATTCTAACCTTTTCTAACTTGTACTTACGCTCCTTGGCCGCTAACTTGAAAGGGCCCTGGAAAACTGACCCACTATCGAGTGTATCGACAAGCCCATTGCGGCAAGATTCCTACGCACATGCATGCCCACAACACAAAAATTTTCGACCCTCACCTGCTCTCTGCGCATGCGCTTGAAGACGTTATCGCCTATCACCGATTGGTCGATTGGAAGGGGAATGTGGCACTTCTCGGAGCCTTTTTTTAGTCTTCTCTTTGAGATTTGATAGGAGTCGGCCGATAAGATGCACCAAGATGCTGAGACAGCGAGCAGCGAGGCGATGGCCGACGGTTCGTGTTTCTTCTTTCTGCCACTTACAACTTGTCAATTGTCAGGAACATCTGTATGTAAGAGCTGGTCGGGTCATGCATATGTTCAGACGCCTATTTCTGACTGATATCGGCCGGGGAAAGGTTTGTAGTTTTCGCAGTGTACTGCCGAAGCTGCCGATCCCCTGCCGAAAGAGCACGTTTTTTACGTTGTTGTATCGATATCGATAGCGTTGGCATGAGGGGAGCGCCAACGCCCGCCTGTTTCGGTGATTTCCCCTTTTCAACCCTCGGCAGCAGTTCTGTGAGCAACAACGGGGGAAGGTTGGGAACGTAGTTGAAAAGATGGGTTGATGAGACAGCGACAGTGAAATAGAGAAGGTCAAGAGCATGTAGCGAGGGTGGTGTCAGCATGATGACCGTGTGTAGAACGACAGGTTTTGTCAACAGTAGTGTACCCAGTCGATGAACTAGTAATCGCCCAAGGACATGGGTCCGGGTCCATCTCTTGGGCTGTGAACTTGTTGCGTTCGGAGACGAGATGTCGGGATTTGTGGCGGAGTTGGGTCCAGGTTGGATCACGTTCAGATTATGAAGATTGTCACAGTCCAACTCGTGACCTGCCCCGGCAGCGACTTGATACCTGGATCTTTCTTTTCTGCCTCCTTGTTGTATATCTCTAAGAGCCGTTCTCAGCTTGTATCACGATGATGTTGAATCATCACGGCTGTTGTTTTCCAAAAGTCCTTCACTCAACATGGTTTCCTTGATGCTGTGTCCTGACCGCTCATACATACATGCAATCTTCAGTAGGATTCCAGAAGTGCCCAGAAAGGTCACAATCATCCAAGCAGTTCATGCATCGAATATGCGACCGCCCCGAAGGAACATCGAGTGACTCACCATTGGACAATTAGCACTTGCGACTTGTCCGCGAACGAAACACACAACCAAAAACCCATTGATCGCCATCAATGTCGCCGTGTATTGTCCTCGTGAAAAACGCCAGGCTGAATGAATCTCTTGCCACCCTGTTCTATCATTGCTTCACAATCCGAAAGAACGGCGCTAGTTGCACCATGCTCACGCTACTGTCAGTCTTGCTCGTCATAACAAGGGTGCCACAGACAAAAGCTACAATCTATCCGTTGGTGGAATCATGGCATGGCGATGGTTTTTTGTAAGTCCAGGCTGATCTTGTAGATGTAGGAGCTAGCTGACTGGTCGTAGCGATGGGTTCCGTTTTCCAGCAGAGACATATGATAACACTACAAAGTACGCCCTCTTCCACCAACATCTCCCGCAGGCTCTCCCCAGCAAGGCATACTGACCTGTCCAAAGCGGCTACACCTTTTGGGCAACCGCCCAAAACACCTCTCTCCTCCGAACCACCTCTTCGGGAACCACCATCCTCGCCGTCGACAACACCTCCTCAGTCGCCTACGATTCCAAACGCTACGCCCCCAAACTGCTGAGCAAATCGCTCTATGACGTCGGGACTGTTTGGGTGATGGATACGGTTCATATGCCTTATGGATGTAGTGTATGGCCTGCATTTTGGACTCGTGCGTGCTCTCGGAAAGCTGGGCAATCAGGGCTGACGGTAGGGCAGAGGGCGCCAATTGGCCAGAAGGCGGCGAGATCGATATCATGGAAGGTATCAACAACCAAACCACAAACGTGATAGCTCTCCATACTTCCAACACCACCACATGCACCGTCGACTCCTCTTCAACCTCCTCCTTCTCGGGTACCGTGGAAAACAACGATTGCAACAATAGCCTGAATAGCGGTGCGGGGTGTACTGTCAAGGATGGAGATGAGAAGAGTTATGGCGCAGGGTTTGCGGAGGCCGGAGGAGGCGTGTATGTTGGAGAGTACGCGGAAGATGGGATCAGAGTGTGGTTTATCACTGTATGTCTTCTCATCTCTTCTGTTATCACTGTTCATAGCTGACGCAAAGTTGTAGAGAGCCGATGTCCCAGAATCTTTGACAGCGGACGCCTCCTCTCTCGACACATCCACTCTCGGCACACCTGTTGCAGAGTATCTCGCTTCGACTTGTGAGATCGACCAGGCATTCTCGCGTAAGCTTATTCCTCTCGACAGTCACATATATTACCAAGCTGACTCGAGGAAAAGCCCAAACGTTGACTATCAACATCGCTCTCTGTGGAGATTTCGCCGGTATCCCAGCTCTCCTGGAACAAACTTGCCCTGCTCTCGTAGGCGATGCTACTTGGTAAGCTCACCTTCCCACTTTCACTTCTGAACAACATGCCGAGTATCATACAGCTACACAACCTACGTAATCAACGACCAATCCACCACCTACGCCCAAGCCTACTTTGAAATCAACTACATCAACGTCTTCTCCTCCAACCCTTCTTCCGTCACTACCATCGGCTCCTCCCCCTCTTCATCCTCTTCAGCTTCAGAAAGTGTAGCAGAGAATACATGGACGGGAGCCAAGACGACGACGACGAGCGATGTAAAGATCGGGCCAAGTGATGTGACGACGACAGTGAGGAGCGGGGGGTGGACGACGAATGCTGTTGGGGTACCGGTGCCCAATGGGATTTCCAGTGGGCTTATGCTAGACGAGTGTCGTGTGGCGGGTTCGTGGTGATGGGGGTATATATCTTTCTCGGATTCTTGGTTCTGTAACCTAGCGCACCATCTCCTTTTCTTTTCCAACATCTGTGTAGCCTGTAGCGCTACCCGCCATGGTATCAAAGTGTATAATACATAGTACAAGTACGACAACCAGAACGTCAATAAACGTAAAACGACCATCCACCAGCACCGCAAAAACGACCCCATCAAGGGGCTCATCTCCACTGCTGCTGCTGTTGTCTATGATCATACCCATACCCAGCGCCAGCGCCCCCTCCTCCCCCACTCCCATTATAATACCCCTGCTGCCCCCCTTGCCGTTGAGTCTGCGCAGTCTGATAACCCTGTTGGTAACCCCCATACGTACCCCCAGTCCCCGCCGACTCGCGCTTGACATGACTATACCCCTGTTCCGCTCCATACGGCTTGGGCGAGACCCGCCCGTTTTGGGCGCCGTATGGTGAAGGGGACATGCGCCCGTTTTGGCCGTAGGGAGAGGGGGACATGCGCCCGTTCTGGCCGTAAGGCGAAGGGGAGAGACGGCCGCTTTGGGCGTAGGGGGATACCCTGCCAGAGGGTTGGCCCCCGCCCGTCGTGTAGTCTTGCAAACTCCCATTCGATCTCGAAGCTGGGAAAGCGCCTTGTTGTGCCGGAGAGTACGGATTCGGCAGCGCACCCGTCGAGTAACTCGGCGGTAAAGAGGGGGCACCAGCCACGGCGGCAGGCGGGTACGAGATACCCAAAGGCGCAGCATGCGCAGCTAGGTTGGCCGACGATCCATCATCCTCTGCGTATGCGCCACTGGGCTCATAGACGTCGTAAGAACCGTAGCTCGCGTTGGCGGAAGGGTCGAATGCGTTGGGGACATGGAGCCCTGCGCGTTCGGCTTTGGACCGGGCACGGGAGGCGGTGTCGCCCTCGTCGTCGTCTAGGGATACCTGAGGTAAAGTAGGCTGGGGCAATCCGCCCATACTTTCCTTTGCACTCCCGCCCCCAGCGCCACCGCGCGCCTTTTCAATAGCCGCCGCCCTCGCAATCCTGTGTTTCTGCTTCTTCTTGATCAAATCTGTAATCCGCTTGTCCACCTTGTGGCACACGTATTCTTTCAAGTTGCCTTGGATATAGCAGAGCAGTGGCACGTAGGCGACGGCGGCAAAGATGAGCATGAGGAGGGAACCGGCAAAGATGAGGACGGTAAAGATCATGGAGAAGAGGAGGAGGGCGGTGACTGCGGATCCGTCCCAGTAAGCTGGGATGTCGGATGTTTGGAAATCGTTGGCGGAGGCAAAGGCGTAGAGGAGGATGCCGTTGATGGATTGACGTGGGCCGTCGGCGAGGAGGAGACGTTTCCAGTCTGCTAATTGTCAGGTTGGGATAATGAGAGGGAGAGGTGCAAGCGTACTTTTGAAAGCGAAAAAGATGAAAAAGGCAAAGTCATCTTTCTTTTTGGTGGAAGACTCGATCTGGCAAAAGAGACAAAAGTTGTCATAGTTTTCTGCAAAGAGTCAGCTTTGACTTTTGCGTGAATCGGCAGTCCGCACTGAAACAGTAGTAGTCGTTTGCCAACAGGTTGGTAAACGCGTAAGAGATGTCTCTCGAATCGACGACTTTCTTTGCCTTGTACGACTCGTAGCCGAGCTTTGGCCTGGTCAGCTACTAGCCTCGCCTGTGATATAACACTCACGAGGAGGAAAGAGAAGATGATACAGCCAACAAAGACCCATTTGGCAATACTGAACTGCACTTCAACAGGACAGTCGTCGCTGTCGTCACATTTGGAAGTAATCGCATTGGTCCACTACCCTTCATCAGCATCTCGCCGGATACCAAGAGCAGAAAAGGCGTACGTGGGTGGATGAAATCATGGTAACAGCGGAAAAGATGTCCAAGCCGTAGACGGCGAAAGACTTGAGGAGAAAGACGTATCGGAGAACATATTTGAACCGGGTCCAGAAGTCGGTTTTGTGGAATTCGCGGACGTTGATAAAGTCAAACTGTAAAAGATATGAGCTGTGGTTCTGGGACCTCCCTGGAAGCCACCTCTATGAAAGACGTCTACACTCCCATTGCCCATCAAGCGCCACCCAAGCCCCAACACAGACCAAATGACCAACTCACCTTGTGATCCGGCACAACCTCTCGCTTCCAATCAGCCTCACAACACATCTCGCGTCTCTACTGATCCTCGGTGGGAGGAGGATAGTGGTGAAAAGAGCCTGTCGAGGACCGCTGCGAAGGTGCGATAGACGTTTGATGGGGAAAGGGAGTTTCGTTCGGACGGAAGGGTGTGGTGAAAGGAGTGGCGATAGGTTGGATGGGCGGTGCTTTCTCGCTCGGTGACACCGAAGCGGTCGCAAGACTGACACGGAGATGGGCAGGGGCTGTCGTCTGCGCAGAAGGGGGTGTTGTAAACCTGACAACGGGGGATTGAACGAGTGACGGCTACGGTATCTTTGCGATTCAAGTTGGGCGTGGAATAGCGAGATAGAGGCGATTGAATATAGATGCTTGTACGGAGAAGGCCCGGGGGAAGTTCCTTGTTAGGGGTTTGGCGGAGGGGCTGCGCTCGGCCAGCGAGGACAGGGAGGGGGTCTGTGCGGAGGTGGATGCGCGGGTGGCGAGTGGGGGCGGGGAGGGGGAGGGCGAGGGGGGGATTGGAGAAGAACAAGAGAGAGAGAGAGAGAGAGAGAATGTGATTGTTAGATGGAGAGCGAGAAGGATGCGAGTGACAACGACAAAAGGCGTGAATTCAGGCACAGCAGCAGCACAAAACAGTAAACACGGGGGCTCTGCATCCATACACGGCCCATGCATCCGTCACTGTGCCCCCTCGACGTGTCATATCGAGCAGGGATGGCCATGCAGCTGGTCTGGTATGCATAGGGCATCCATCGGAGGGGCCACAGCGATTGACAGCCAGAGGAAGAGCTGCGAACGCGACGCGTCGAAGCCTGGACTTTCCTTGGCTGCGATCTCAAAGATCTAATAGTATCCTTTTGATCGAAAGAAAGCTGCGACCACATCACGCTTCTCTCATACGTTACATACATGCAGTTTGCTAGCTCAGATGCCAAACACCTCCAAAGCCAGCGGCACGCTTCTCCCCTGTCGATCGTGTATCGAAAACACCGGCACCAGCGTAAACGCAGCTGGCGAAAGCGACGGTAGAAGCGAATGGACTATGATATCCGGATGTCAGTGATCATACTAGTGGAAACAGGCAGAAGGTAGAGGCGACGCACTCTCAGCAAAACCGATGGAAAGAGTGTGGTAAACTCTGATAGAGACAGCTTTGGCGAGAAGGAGTGCGAGCTTGGCGTCCTCAGGACCCGAAGATCGGACGAGTGCATTCACATCTATACCACCTATCAGCATCGACCCATACCAGAGCAGGCATACACTTACCCTTGGCAAAAACGATACCCCTACAGCCCAGATCTCTGCCAACAGTCCTGCTACTCTCCCACCACATATCTTCTCCTGAGCATTGTTCATACACCACCTTCAACTCGTCATCGTCATCATCGTCGTCATCATTCCCTTGTGTGAGGAGCGTCTGGTCTCGACGTCCAGTGTGGAGGTTGACTTGGTACTCCACAAGAGCACCCTTAGGGAGTTCTTTAGCTTGCACAAAGAGCGCAGGAGCTTGGGTTGCTCCATTCTGACTTGCCATCAGCTAACGTTCCAAGTGTACGATCAAAAGACTTACACGCGCAGCCCATATCCTCCAAGCATCCCTCGCAACACCCACCCCCTCCCCATCTCCCCCACCCCCCGTCCTAGCCCACCACCCCACAACACTCTCCACCCACCCCTCCCACCCCCCTCCCGTCGAATTCTTGCTCCTCATAACACCCAAAATCCTGCCCACATGCTGTAACGCCAACGTCGCCTGGTGCGGATACGCCGACAACGGCGCCTGGGTAGGTGGAGGGAGGGTGAGCGAAGCTGGGATAAGGGGGATCTGTCCGGCGAGATGGAGACGGTGAGAGACGAGCACGGCTTGCGAGTACGGCCCGATATTGGCTGGGGCCCAGTAACTCAATCCCTGCACATGCAACGCCGACCTGCCCCCGACTTTAGCCCCACCGCTTTGGGAGGGCGTATCGTCGAAACCGACGACTTCCACGCGGACCCGCCCGGAAGAGAGGGGTACGGCGACAGTAGCGCGCGACGGAGGGGAGGTGCCGAAATAGGTTTTGTAGATGGCGTTGACGGGGAGGAAGAGGGACATGTCGGAGAGGAGGAGGGTTATATGGGCTGCGTGCAGGGGGAGGGAAAGGTTTTGCGATTGGAGTTTTGCTGTAGAGTTTTAGCATGAGATAGCGGTATGGGGAGTAGAGGGACGTACTGGAGATGGCGTCAAAGCAGGATTTGAGCTCTGCTCCGACATCCTCATCGGGCACAGTGCGCCCCTGGACGCCCACGGTGAACCAACGACCCTTTTGAGCAAACTGCACCTCAAAGTCATCTTCTTTGTCTTCCACTTGCAAAGGCGTCAAGTCCAATTCGTCCTGAAACGTTTCAATGGATCTAGAACCGAGCTCTTCCAGCCTTTCCTGCCCTTCTTCATCCAGCCCGGCTAGTCCCGGCTCGTCTTCATCGAGACCCAATAACTCTCTGAGCTCGTTCACAGTTGGCTTTTTCCATCCTGGCTTTTCCTCCAATTCCGCCTTGATCACCTTGAGGTACGCGACGGGGTATGGTTCCGGATCGGTGATGATGACTTTTGTCTCCACAAGGTTCAGCCTGTGCGAGAAGAGTGGTGTAGAGAGCGTCAACGTCTCGTATTCACCGCCCTCTCCAGCGGGATGAGAGCCATATTGCGCTTCCTACCACGTATCAGACACATTCTCCGCCAATAGACAAACTTACAAGTTTCGAAAGCAGCGGCATGATAGCCCCAAGTTGCTTGCCAACAATCCTCGGCCCCAACCCAACCCCAGCCACTTTCATAATAACAGCTTCCACCCCGCTCGCCAACATCCTATTCAACAAAGGCCCCTGCTCGCTCTGCCACAAATAACTCAAACTCGTCAACCCCAACCTCCCACAAACATGTTCGATCCTGATCCTCTGGTACGTCGAGAGGATCGCGCCAGATGCAAGAGCAGTAGCGTCGGGGTGTTTGGCGAGCACGGTTCGGAGAAGGGATGTGAGGTCTTCGGTCTCGTCGCCTTGCTCACCGCTGCCTTCTCCGCCCCGGAGACGGGAGCCGTATTCGGGCCCTTTTTCGACGGCGTGCCCGCGGATGATACCGGTGAAAAGGGGAATGTCCATGGATTTGGCGAGGAGGGGCAGGAGGTGGGTGCCGACTGATTGGTACAGATGCGAGTCGAGTTCGTCTGTAGGTAGAGAGTCAGGATCATTCGCGCTTGATTGGAAAAGATACATACCGATACCCTCTTCGGGAGTAAGAGTAGCTAGGGCGACAATCTCGTGCCCGTTAGCGATACAGTGCATGAGGTTGAAGCAGCTGTCCTTGCCGCCCGAGACGAGGCCGATGACCTTTTGCTTGACCCCTGGGATACTTGAGGACATCTTGATGATTTGACAAAAACTATACTGGGGAACATTTTGGGACCCGGATGGAGGTGAAAAGTGGAGGCAGGGCATTAGCGGGACCAAATAAGGCATCCAACTTTTCCTAATCCATTACCCGCCCATCTTCTCTTGCATCCGAACTTTTCTATTGTGCCAGCCTATTCCGCCCCCTGTACGACTGCAATGACTCCCCACTGGCAGACAGTATCGCCACAAACACGGCCGCTCACCCTCACCGTCCTCGACCTCACCCCGCTCGCTCTCACCGTCTCCCTCTCCCTCACTCCTTCCGCGTCGCTACCACTCCAGCCGTCCACCCACCACGCCCACGGCGTCCACGGCGGCCACCCATCTCAATCCAGTGGCAACTCTAAACGAAAACGGAATCGCCGGAAAGCAAACGGCTCAGCGCTTTCCGCGGCGGTCCAAGGCGAGGGCAGTGAAGATGACGAGCACGAAGTGGAAGATTCAGACGGCGGCGTCTCGTTCAAAGACCTGCTACGACATGGTGTACTAGTCTATGTGAATGGGGTACAGTCAAACAACTTGTTTGCGAATGTGATGGATGACGAAGACGATGATGAGTGGGAGGATGATCCAGAGTCGGTCCCTCCTGCGTCCAGCGAAGAGCTGGAGGAGAATATGGAGCAGGGTGTGACTCGTCGTCGGCCTCGGAAAGCAAGGTTTGGCGCATCAGCAGCCGAGGCGGCGGGTAAGCCACCAGGGAAGAAGAAGGACGAGAAGCACCATAAAGGAGATAAAGACCGAGCGGTGCTGGTGATTTATGGGCTGATGCCGGGAAAGGAGTACGAGGTGGAGCTGAGGGTGGTGGGCATGGGAGGCCAGGAGGCGGATCCTACGCGTACGTTGAAAGTTTCAGAGATTGTGTTGTCTGACGCCTGGATAGCATCGACGAGTGTCCTGATACCTGCATCCCCTGGACAAGCAAACTCTCTCCATCCCCGTTCGCGAGCAAACTCTCTTCGCTCACGATCACGTCCACGCTCCCGCTCCAACTCTCTCACCACCCCCCAATCCGAGCCAACGCCCGCCGAATCCACGCCTGCCCCGGCTACCGAAGCCGTCATTCCCACTCCGATTTTGAACCCCATCGACACGCAAGCCGCCCAGCTTCGCCATGCCATTGCAACCTTGCATACCGAAAAAGATGTGCTTCAAACGCAGATCAAGGAAGCGCGCCGGACTGCGCAACGGCAGGAAGCTGCTTTGAAGCAAGAGATTGAAGGGGCCAAGAAGGGTATAGACAAGGCGGGTGGGATGGATTTGAGGGCGAAGCAGAAAGCGTTGGCTTTGCAAGAGCAGGTCAAGCAAGGCTGGGCTGGTGCAGAATCGGCAGAGAAAGAGGCAGGGGAAGTGGAGAGTAACCTCGGTGATTTGGAGAAGCGATTGGAAGAGTTGAAGGCGGAGGTGGATCAGGTGGAGAGGGAATGGAAAGGTGCAAAGGACGAGGAAGACCGGGTGAAGGAGGACGACAAGAAGACCAGGGCGGAAGAAGACAAGAAATTGCAAGAAGTCGTCACCAAGATTGAAAAGCTTCGAACGAAAAAAGCTAAGCGCGAAGCCGAGGGCGCCGATCTTGAAAAGCGTATCGAAGAGCTCGAGAAGGAATGTGAAGAAGTCGAGAGGAAGAATGAGGACGAAAAGGCCTCTCGGTCGAGGACAATGTCGTACTATGCCGCGGGGTATGGGCAAAACCAGCCTCATCACGACGATGCTCCTGCATTTGGCCCTGTCGGTGCGCCAGCAAGCAGAGGTATCACACAACACCCGTCCCTCTCCAACCTCGCCGGAGGGTACGCTGCTGGTCCGGCTTATCGTCCCCGAGCCGTACCAGGCTACACCCCGCGTTTCCCATCTGGTGGCGCTCGCCCTTCCCCAAATCTGCCCAGTCCAACGCACGGCGGCAACAGCTTTTACCCCATCTCGCACCCCGTCCCGCCCTCGGCATCCGCATCTTCCCCGTCATTCCGCGCACCGAAAGTCGGACCCGTGGCTTCGAGGCCCGGGGTGAACGCTTCTGCTCTGCCTTTCCATCCTGCTACCATCGCAGCCAATGCCGCCAACGCTGCTGCCAACGCGTCCCCAGTCTCGTCCCCCGGTGCCGCCGCCCCCTCCCCCGCCGCACAAGAGCATACCACATCCCTGCTCCCTCCCGGCTTACAACACCGTATCTACCTCCCCAACAACCCTTCTCGACCCGGTAGTGTCCGGCCTTTCCAGCCTTCTCCTCTACATGCCGAACGCCCAGGGACGCCCGTGAGCGCGACAAAGGTGCCAGGCTTACCTTCTTCTCCAACGTCAGCAGACTCGGGTGCGGAGGGTGAGAGTTCACCGGCGTTCCCACCGTTACCTGGATCAGGCAGTAAATCTTCTCCCCCGCCGCCGGCTGGGGGATCTCAAAAAGGCCCGAGTTTGGCTAGTATCGTCACGAGAGCTGTTTTGAGCCCTACCAGCGCGCTCGTCCAGCCCGGCCAGCCTTCTCAGACCCCGCCCCAGTCACAGGGCTCGACTCCTCAGTCTCAGGTTCAAGGACAAGCGAGACCATCACCTCCCTCGGGCATGCTAGGCCAGCACCCGCACCCGGGGATGATCAAGCGCCAGAGCTATACCGGCGATTTCCCAGCACTCTCCCCGAAATGGGGAGCGCCTGTCCCTGCACCCGGGGCAGTGGGAGGTACTACCTCGAGAGGCCCCTCGCCGCCTGGTGCTCATCTCAACGGCAACACCAATGGGAGCGGGAGTAATAGTGGAAATGGGAGTACGGGTGCTGGATCGCCAGTGGGGCTGAGTATGAAGGAAGGTATGTCGCCGGCGCCTTCTGCTTCGCCTGGGGGCGCGATTTGGGGTGGTAATCAGGGAGGGAGTGTGAGTGGGTTGATCATGAAGAAGAGGGAAGACCAAGCTTGATGAGAGTCAGTTTTCGCGGCTATGATATGTGGATAGAGCGCTGATGATCACGCAGGCTCGAGGGAAAGATTGTAGCAGTATGACGGACAGCGAGATATGGGAAAGTTGGCGGAGAGAAAAGTGCATAGAAGAAGCAAGAAGGACAAGCATTGTGTACATATATTTCGCATACATCGGGTCTTCTAGGTTTTGATATTCACAACAGTCATGAAACGAACGTCATCTATAAGCACTTGTGTCGTCTGGTATCTACAGATGATAAGTTCTACACCGTACAACATGTTGGCACAGGGCTGCGGCGGTCTACGAGTCAGACGTCAGTACACGCCGAGCTAAAGAGTCATAGATTACGCACCTTTTCCAAAGCTCAATCGCAACTCTGCATTATCTCAGTATCCACTTCATACCTCGTCTCCACATCCAAATACTTCATCTCCGGATACCTATGTATCCACTTTTCCTTCATCTCTCTCAAACCCTTGCCCAACGCCTGATGCAGATCCCGCTCCTCTTGTTCAGCGTTGTCAGCTTCAGGAAAGGGCTGGAACAGAACGGTGTGATTGATGTAAATGGCTTGCACGTCCAGATGGGGCGAATGTTCCCCCACGACCCGCCAAGTCATCCTCTTCACCGCCGGCTTCTCCACACACTGCCGATAGAAAGACCGTCCATCCCCCCTCGCCGCATCCCACTCCCAGACCAGCCCCCTTGTATTCACCGCCATAAACAACTGCCTCACCCTCCCGCTCGGCATCCTCAGCACCCCCGGATTATCCACATGCAATACCACCTCCAGTCCGAGGGAAGGTAGGATCTTGAACATGGCGTTCCAGATGACCCAGAGAAAGTGCCCGGGCGCCCAGAGTTCTTGGTTCAGGTGTAGCTTTTGGAGGTTGGGGAAGGGAGACGGGGAGGATGTGGCGGAGGGGGAGAAGAATGTTTTGAGGGCTCTGTGGAGGGTGTTCTTCTGGCATTCTTCTTGCCAGCTGCCAAAGCAGGGTTGGCAATCGCATTGGTCGAAAGACAGGTAGAGCTCTTTGACGCATGAGAACGCTTCAAGCTTGCTTGCCGTAAATGGTGCTGTTCCCGAAAAGACAGACTCTGTGTTGGACTGGTGGACTGAGAGGTGGTGGTATATCAGGGGTAGGGCTTTGGCATAGTGGTAGCGTGAGAGCTGGAGGGATTTGACAGGGGCGATGAGGGCGAGATGCTCGAGGATGAGATCTTGGGCTTCGGCGATGGAGTCGAGCGAGGTGATTTCGAAATCCGGTGGCGAAGAGGGGAGACAGGATGTGGTATTCGAGGAGGGCCGTGATCGTTTGGGAGCAGGCGGCTGGCATGGGTCCCATCGCATCTAGTGGAGGTCAGGTTTTGTTTGGCTCGCTGTGATGTATCTCACCATGGGCCAGGAGTGTGATGTATGGCTATACGGTCTTCCCGGGTCTTCCTTCAATGTGAAGCATGCAATTCTGGATAACAATAGTACAATCACGAGAAGTACAAGCATCAAAGAATGGCCAAGCCGAATACAGCCGTGAATTTGGAGCTCCACTATCGGCCGACGACAACGGCCATCCGACGCGTCAAGAAGTCAGCATTTGTGAAGTCTAATATACATCTGAACATATTTCTAGTACAACGATAACCCATCTATGAACAAGACTACAGAGCAGGATACAATCACACCGCAGACAGACAAGAACACGACTTTGGCAGACTCAAAGCGGGCGGTGGCTTGTATTGGTATTGCGCGCAAGAAAGCAGCTTTGTCCTCGTGTAAGCGCTTCCTATGAGGTACAGTTGAAGAGATGGTACTCACAATACGGATGGCGGAGAGAGAGAAGCCACATGTAGTCGGTTTGTTCCATACCGGCGTAGAGTACTACCCAAGCATAAGCTCAGTCCACAACCCAGAATCAAACCACTCACACCATCATCACTCTCACCCTCATCCACCTCCTCTTCCTCCTCCAAGAACCAGACATCATACCGCCTCACATACCCCCCCACATCCCGTCCATAAACCATCCCAAACCGATCTTCCATCCCCCCCGCAAAATACGCCTCCAACTCGCCCCTGACGGCTTCGCTCGACCCGGCGGGTCGGAGGAGACGCGGCACGAGCCATTCGCCGAGCATGAATCTGTCGAGGTGCGGGATGGGCGAGTGGTGTAAGACCCAGAAGGCTTCGCGGTACGGTTTAGCCTCTTGAGAAGAGATTTTGGTACTCGTGGTGGCAATAGAGGCAGGGTCAAAGAGCCGGAAAGTGACGTGATACGCACTCTGCTCGTGGAAGAATACGAGCATGAAATTCGTAAGCCGTCTCATCGTCGCCAGGTTATAATCCCGGACATAATCCTGCTGACTATGGTCAATATCCAAATGATGCAAAGCCAGGTCGAAAGAGACGTGGCAAGGCGGAGGGATGTAGGAAGGGAGGAGGGCTTCAAACATGCGTTCGATACCGTTGTAGGGCTTGAAGAGGCAGTACCCGAGGTGGATGTGTTCCAAGCGGGGGAAGAGCGGGCAGGGCAGGTTGGGGATGAGGAGAGTATCGTGCAAGGCCGACCTCAAACCATTCCAGCCAACATCGTCCACCCCAATCTTCAACCCTTCCACAAAACTCAAAGCTTGCGCCTTGAACCCCTTTGGCGAGCCCAAGCCAGAGAGGATGGGGTGTACGTTGGACGAGTCGATAGTGAGGTGAGAGTAGATTTTGGGGATAAAGTGGCGGTAGAGGGATTTGGAGAGGCGGAGGGGGAGGGTGGGGGAGGAGAGGAAGAGGAGGTGGAGGATTTGGTCGTGCACTTCGGCGAGTGGCGTGAGATCTGTGAGGTCGATGTGGTAGGACATGGTGCTCTTGATTGTTGGTCGAAAGACCGCTTGTGGGTTTTATAGAAAGGCTGGTAAGAGGACTTGTGGTGTCGAAGGCGACCTTGACGGTTATGACCACGAATGAACCATTCAACAGGAGATAAAAGCTTGCATGCTCTCGCCTCTTTTGACTTTTTTCAAAAATTTTGGCAGCATGACATCAATCTCGCCATAATAACAAGTAGATTGCAAGATAACAGAAGAGGGGGAGATAATACCGTTCAAAGGCCGACGGGCACCCGAGAAACGCGAGATGACGTTTCGTCTTTTTGGCTGGTGCAGCTGCTGCAGTGGAGCGATACAGTGTACTATTGCTGGAATCCGAGGTACGGCCGAGCGCTGCAGACTCTAGGCTCGTATGCATGTAAGTGAACGTACGGCATGGAGGTACGTAGTCAACGTACGTATGCTTCACAAGGAACAGCATCAGATAGCAGGCTACGTGCTTTGCACGTGGAGAACGCCGCGATGTCCGACCAGATGCAGCCAGCTTGCTCACACGAGCACGGCGAAAGAAACGGGTGAATGATCAAGGGGTAGTGCCGCCGATGTCTGCTAAACAGGGTTAGTACAAGGCCGGAGAGCAGCTGAAAGCGGAGACTCGTAGGTTTTGACGGCTTCTTGGATGCGTGATTCGAAGAAGAGAGACTCCACAACGGACATGATGGCTATGACTGCGAAACTCCTGTGTACACATACCACATCATGGAACCGTTATGACACCATCTCAGTACACTCCCCACGTCTCGTCACATGTACCGAGTGCATCGCTGAAACGAATCATGGACACTGGCTACAGAGACATGAACAGGACAATCAGAGTGCCACAGCGACTGTTGAAATTGTTGAAAGACGTGATCTCCAAGGCACGGCATCTTCCGAGTCTACGGCCCGTATTAGGTGCTGGGTGGGCCACCGAAGAAGATGATCGTAGTAATGTCAATTCATGGGGCTCAGCCACCTCCAGAAATAGCCATCTGTCCCTATCGCCTGCATTGCCCCTCCATCACGGTATGCAAACCCATATCCAAGCCTCCATCACCGCCGCTGCCACGCTGCCTGCTGTGCATACCGCAGCGGACTCCAACATCCAAGCGAATCCCCCACTTGGCCGTTGTCTCATTTGTGACGATGGCCCGGTGCAGCGGTAAGCGCGTGTAAGCGCTCAATTAGCGTACCTGGTGCTGCATTGTAATGACATTTGCTCCCGCTAATGCTCGCTTGTGCTGGTATCTAATCAGGCAGTAACCAGCCGAGACCCGGGGCCCAGTGATATTTTGCCACGCCATAAGTGCTCACCGCCCATCTCCTCTTGCATCTCCCCTCGTCTTCCATTCCCCCCCCTGGCCGCCCCCGCAGCGACCCCGCCCCCTGCGAGTCGACCAGACAGCTCCGGTGGCCGGAAACATCCATCCCAGACTCTGGTAACTCGTCCCGTGTCTTTCCATTTTCTCCTGTACGTCGATCTTCCACGGAACTACATCTGTTAACCCTCCTAATCTTATTCTACCAGCTGTGCATAACAACAACAATGGACGAATACGCGAGCTTCCCCTCTACACCCATCTCCTCCCAGCCCAATACTCCAGGGTGGTACACCCCATCCGCAAACGGTCAAGGACGAGGAGGCTACCATGCCAATCCCTCGGAACCCCCGTCCTACTTTCCGCAATTCCAGCCAAACCCCCCTCAGGTGTCTATCAACGATAAGATCAAGGTGCCCCCGCCGATTCTTTTGCGGTATGCCGGAACAAACACTCTGAGCAACAAGGGGTGTTTGAAGATACATGTGCCGGGATGGTATGCTCTTCGAATCGACTTTGGATGGAAGGCTGACGTTCCGCAGGGCGACGACGTTGATACAGCCTCCGCAGATCTTTGCCACAGGCGAACGTTTGGCTCCGCAAGACGATACAGTCCTCACAGGCTCTCTCGAAGTCATTATGAAGGAGCGCCGCAAAGTTCAAGCCATCTCTGTCGGCGTGCAATCGGTCTGTCGTTTGTGGATGGGTGATACCAGAGGATGGGAGGAAGATGGTGTCTTTGAGCGGGGTGTAGAGGTGCTGGGCGGGAATGAAGAGGGGATTTGGTTGGAGCAGGGAAGTCAGTCGTACGTGTCCCTCTTCCGTCACTGATGGGACGGACCTCTTGCTGATTGAATGAGCAACAGATTCAGCTTTAACATCCTCCTTCCAGCTACCCTGGCCACTACCAACTGGCACAAATTTGGCCGTCTATCCTACATCATCACCGCCCGCGTCCAAGGCGTCTCTCCCGCGCCATACAGCAACTTTCCATCCCTGTTCAAAGCCAACACTTCCATGCACCTCGACCCCGAGATCCGATTCGTACACGATTTCGAAAAAGTTATTGCTCATTCCGCGCATGTATTGGAAGAAGAGCGCCGGGGCCGCGCGAGGGAGGTGGGGCTGAGCCCGGTTAGGGGGAAGGGAAGGAGCACGAGCAAAGGTGGTGTGGTGGGTCATATGCGCGACCTTTCGCTCGGATCTGGGGATACAGCTGATCCCATCACTCACGGGCGTACACCCTCCCCATCCATGGGCGGTCATTACACCCGCCGCCAGAACGCCGAAAACCCCCCAACCAGCCCTCCTACAGAGAGCGACTTGTCCAAACACTTGCAGCCCCGCTCCGAAAAGACCGGCTGGATGAAGGGCGACCTCGTACAATCGCGCGAACTCTGGATCCAAGCCACCTCGCCTGTTACTGGGGATGTGGTGCCTCTCGATATGAGGCGAGAGTCGTTTGTGGAAGGTCTCGGTCCTTGGAAGTTTAGAGCTAGCGCAGACGTGTTTGCGATCGCTGCCGTCATCCTAATCGATTTCAGATTACCTTTGCCGAGTCCGACGACATCCATCTTTCTCCTCCGTCTTACGCTTTCGCAGCGGTACACTTTGACGTCTCCGCGGACACCAGATCTTCCGCCATACGAGCCCCAGCCGGCACAGGATTTCGTCATCTATCAAGTTGGCAAACCCGGGCGGCAGGGGGAGAGGTTCCCTGGGCTGGATGTGGGAGCGCTATGGAGGGGAACCGAGGTGGAAGGGAAGATTGCTGAATCGGAGGAGGGCAAGAAAGGGGTTAGCTCGAAGGGCCAGTCGCAGGAAGGGTGGAAGATCAAGGCTGTTGCGAGGTTGCCGACGCATGATAAAATCAGGCCGTCAACCAACGAGGGGTAAGTTTTCCTACTTTTTGTGTTTTCAAGACTGACGGATGTCGTAGCACGATCACCCCTATACGCGTATCACACGAGTTGATCATACAAGTGTACTATTCATGCTATGGCGAGAAGCTGAATGGCGAGAAGATCAATGGTCCTGGAGAACTACGCCGCATGACTTCAAGGTCCCCCATCCACGTCCCATCTGTACGTTCCTTCTTACACCCTCACCCAAGAATGCAACCTAACGCCGTGCAGTGCCACTGTATCGACGAAGCCCTCCACCTTCCCCCATACGACTTCCTCCCTCCTCCCTCCTCCTCCTCCGGAATCGATTCCGTCATCTCCTCCCCGCCCGACAAGAAGAAGTGGTGCATGTGCGGCCCATCTTTTGAAGAGCTCGGCAAGGCGGCGATGGAGAAGGATCGGATAAGGGAAACGTTGGAAGAGCAAATGGAGGAGGAGGAGGGAGGTGGGGCTGGGGGGAGTCGGGATGCGGAGAGGGTTGGAAGGTTGAGGGTGAGGGCGGAGGCGAATGCGAGAAATAAGGCTACTTCGGGTGGGTCGGGAGGATCGGGCGGGTCGAGATGATGAGTGGGGTGAACTGTCTGGATGAGGCAATCAATCGATACACAATAGACTGGGGTTCACAATTGCATGGACTAATCAGGTTCTGTATGTATGTATGTAACAAGGCTGAACCGATGCACCATTATGCTCGAGTGGAAGTGCTAGATTCATGCCGACTTATTCGGAAGGATTGCGCTCCTGTTCGCTAACATGCGACTCTGACAGCAGTAACGTCGGTCTAACCGTCAACTCTAGGATCAGGACTCATGACTCTATACCTCCATCCTCAAATCACCTCATCTCTACGTTATGGTGGATGTCTTCATGACCTATCTTCTCGTAGAGTCTCGCCTACCACAACATCATCAGCCTTGAGATACATATGCTGAATCATTCCATAAAGAACTCACCGCTCGTGAGTTTGTAATGCTTACACCCAAACTTGAGCCTCTCTCCCTTGCAGACTCTTTCAGTCGGTTGAGCAACGCCGTACCAGATCCACCGCTCTGATACTCGGGGCGCGTTCCAAACACACAAAGAGTCTTTCTCATAGTTCTTTTGTGAGCTCGACCCCAAGGTAAGGCATAACGTGTGCGATGTGCCATTCACGCATAGAGTCTGTGATGTTCTTCCCAATATCCGCTTCTTGTCGGAACTGAAGCAGAAGGTATCATCTGCAACACGAGACAACATGAATTTAGACGAGACAGGTCCCCTTACTGTTGGCTGTACACCTCCTTGCCGGGGGGCGGGACACATGCGACGCTCGCAATGGTAGTCCCACCTTCTACACTATCACCTTTGACCCTTGTGACCCAGACTTCGCAGTCCACGAGTGCGATCCTGAAACTATGTCCATAAAGCTTATTGGTGAACCTGTCGTTCAAGAAGGCATCGAAGAGAACTTTGGAGCATTCAGACTGCTCTTCAACTGTGTAACAGTCAGCGAGGCCGTCACAAAACGAACGATGTGCTCATTGCTCGGATTGGCGAGACAGCCAACGCTCTCGATCGAGAGTTGTGTGCGTGACATGTTGGGATATGGACTTCTAACTATCTAGACCATTAACTGGTCAGTCATAGACGCCTACGACGTGAGTGTGTAATCGTATATCCATCTGTTTGAAGATATAGTAAGCCACAAATAACTCACCTGTGGAATATAGACGGGGGTTATACCGTTGGCGCAGCTTACTATAAACATATATGGTCATTCTCTGAGTGCCAACGTTTTCCCTGCACGAAGACCACCATGCAGGATCCCGAAAACTAATATGAGAAAGCAGGTCGGCCATACATACGAGTTTCGAACCTTCTTCCCTTCGAAAAATGGATCAACCGTTATACGAACGTCATCGTCCATGAGAAAATTTGAAAGAATGAGGGGAATATTGTGCCACAAAGTTTGGTCGTCTCAGGCCAAGAGCCCCCTGTGGCACAATGCCCACTCTCATTCCGACCTGTTGAGCCTCTAGTACTGCATGATGTACCTTGCTGACAAGGATCATATAAGGGCAGTCGCCTCATATATACATCATCATCGCATCATATACCGCGCTGCCTTGCACAGACTTGAATGTCAAGCAAGAACGTGAGCGCACACATGGATCAGGAGGTGGTCCGCGATAAGGCTGGAGACAGCATCACCATCGTACTGAGAGAGAGATGCAACAAAGACCTCATGTCAAAATCAATTCATTTGAATAGTCATCCTTAATTGTTGTGATATGTCTGGGAAAAAAGGATTGCGGAGATGGCGGGCCGACGGACGTCCACGCTGGAGTGTTCCATAGTAGTCTTCCATATGTCTTCTTCTTCCTTATCTATGAAACCTATAAAATCTTACAACATTGATGAGCTCCATCCTCATTGTTGTTTGCTTCGGAAGAAGCGGGTCTCCAGCTCTCCAGCCCACAGTCATTACACATCGTCCTGAGCTTCACAGTTTCTCCGCCATCCTCATAGCTCAACTCTGCGTTATGAATGTCTTTAAAGCCTGCCTTCTCATAGAGCCGAGCCTATGACGACCACCAGAACATCAGCTTCTTTGCGGCCGTCTTGATAACACCGGGAGGAGAACGCTCACCGCACGCTCATCCACCGTGGCCAAGCCGAGCCTCCCGCCACTCTCCCTAGCATGGTCTTCCAGTCGGCTGAGCAACGCCGTGCCCAGGCCAAGTCCCTGATACTCGCGTCGCGTCCCAAAATTTTCAATGTAGAACGTTTCGATATTGAACCCCGCTGTGCTCTCGCCCCCCATGCAAGGGATGACGTTATTGGTATACCACTGCCTTGTGGAGTCTGGAGTACACTCCATGAGTTTTTTGAACATGGCTTCTTTGTCGGGGCTTGAGAAGAAAGAACACGGGTGTCAGCAAGAGAATTCAAAAGAGACAGCAGAATTGTGCTTACTGAGTGTCGTATATATACTTCCCTGGGGGAGAGACACAGGCCACGCTTGCAATGACACTTCCACCTGTGACGCTCTCATCTTTGACTCTCGCAACCCAGACTTCGCAGTCCACTAGTGTGACTCTGATGTCAACGTCGTGAGACAGGCGCCGGAGCTCATCACTCTGCCCATAGAGCTGATCGGTAAATCTGTCCTCTGAGAAGGCATCGTATAGGACGTTGGAGCACTCTGATTGTTCATCGACTCTCGGATTGTCAGCCGGAGCTCGAATAACATGCACCAATTATAAATGAAATGTATTCACTGCTTGGATTGGTGAGACAATCAATGCTATCGATGTTCAGCCGTGATGAAGTGGGACACATTCTAAAAACGAGAAAGGGAATCTGATGTTGTCCAATCCAGATTCGTCAAATCAGTGATGGGTTGGGATGATGCAAGGGTATTTATGTCTTTGTGTAAGCCTGGCTGAAGATACTGATCATTGATCTAGGATTCGAAGTGAGGATCGGAGCTTGATACCAGCCCTGGTATCCTTCTGAGCTGGGTATCAACTCAGCGCTTTCCCTTATGAAAAGAAGCTCTTATTCTTGGTGATTAGAAAGATGTCGTTTTTGTATGTCCGACTCTTTGCTTCGGTGTTGCAATAATGATGGCTCGTTACTCAAACATCTATAATTGGCATACGCCTGCTGTTCTCGAAATGAGCATCATGGTCCATACAGGAAAGGCAAGAAGAAGCTCAAGGCTATTCGGAGTGACAATACATGTACCCTTCTTGTGTTGTCGAAGGCCGACGATAATGCCGTCTTCGATCCTAAATAGTACAGATTGCGACTGCGAATGGATGTACAACCTCGTTTCCAATAGTACAGCTCCATCAAGCCTTGCAGTAGTGTCTTCTGGTCGAGAGCAGGAAAACTACATTTGAACAGCGCGCAAACGTGGAGTTACTAATCCTTTGTCGCCACTCCTGGCGGGTTTGCCCAGTCCTACAGAGGTGTTTTCGATGAGGAGGCTCCCAATGTGACCGTTTCTGATCTTGTGAACGTTGGTCACCCCCGGCCAACACTTACCACGACATACAAACACGGACCGCGTTACTACTCCGAGGCTGTGTGTCCTTTATACAGTATGTGCGCAACCGGGCGATTCTCCCAGGGAGATGTCCTTTCTTTCTTGTCTTCACCGTTCCAACCTCTTTTCTTCCATTTCTCCTCCGCCTTCTCAAAAATGCTCCCTCTAATCGCTCTCGGGGCTCTCCTCGCCTCTCTACACGTTCAAGCAACCTCCTATCCCCGAGTCGAGTCCTTCTCCGGCCAGTCTTTCTTGTGCGTCTCGCACCTCTTCCGTTTTCGAAAACGACTGACTGATATTAGCGACGGCTTCACATACCCAGCAGAAACCTATGACAACACCACAAAGTATATACCCCCCCTTGTACACCGAGAAGGCAACTGACGATCCCCAGCGGCGATGTCTTCTGGGTCACCGCCTTCAACACCTCCCTTCTCTATCTCAACAACGACAACCACATCATCCTCAAAGTCGACAACACCTCCTCAGTCCCATACAATTCCAAACGCTACGCACCCAAACTCTTGTCCAAGTCCGCTTATGTCATTGGCACGGTGTGGGTGTTGGATGCGGTGCATATGCCTTATGGGTGCGGGGTGTGGCCTGGATTCTGGACGCAGGGTTTGGATTGGCCGAATAGAGGGGAGATTGATATCTCTGAAGGGGTGAATAAGCGGACGAACAATATGATTGCTCTACACACTGGCAATGGGTCAACGTGAGTATGATTGCCATCTTCTCCGCAGCTTGTGCTCATCCAGGAATAGCTGCACCGTCACGGGCGGATCTTCCATGTCGGGCTCGGTCACCTTTGACAACTGCGACAACTCACTCAACGGTGGCTCGGGATGCACCATCAACGACACCGACTCCAAGTCGTACGGCGAGGGGTTCGAAGCAGCTGGTGGTGGTGTCTATATCGCAGAATGGGCAAAGGACGGTATTCGGGTGTGGTTCAAGACCGTTCGTTCTCAGGCCTGATATGGATGAGATCAAAGTAGAGCTGACTGGAAGCATAGAGATCAGATGTGCCCAGCTCGTTGACCGTCAGCGCAGATAGTATCGATACCTCATCTCTCGGCACGCCCGTGGCAGAAGTCAGCTCCGACTCTTGTGACATTGAGACTCTCTTTAGCTGTACGTCCCATCTCCCTTCTCATCAAACCGCCACAGCCTTCCACTAACACCCCCCGCAGCCCAAACCCTCACAATCGACATAACCCTCTGCGGCGACTTTGCCGGCACCCCCTCCGAACTCGCCCTCACCTGCCCAGCCCTCTCTGGCGACGCCACATGCTACTCCAAATACGTCATCAACGATCAATCCGCAAACTTGGCTGCTGCATACTATGAGATCAATTATATCAATGTCTTCTCGAGCAGTGGGTCGGCGGGGCAGAGTGGGGGAAAGGTGACGGGGACAGTCACGGCCACGGCGGGGGTTGGGACTGGCACCGGAAGCTCGGGGGAGAATGCGAGTAGTAGAGGGGAGGGAAGGTGGGCAGCTGCTGGGGGCCTAATCGGGCTGGTAGGGATGTTGTTGGCGTTTGGGGCAGCAGACTTCTAGGGTGCCAGTGACGGGTTTGATGATTATGACTGACGAAATACGCGCCTTCGACAGCTCAGAAACTATAGCCGCAAGCATGCATATAATGGTGTGAGAATCTCAGGCTCACCTCTATTCACTATTTCAACTACATCCTCCGACATTCCGGAAGAGCAAGGAGCTCGACAGCACTCTCTGGTCTATTCGGATCGATCTTCTCGAACCTGCCGAGAAACAGTCATGAGCCTTTGTCGGTCTCGAGTAAGAAAGAGACATACTGGGCAGCCCTCCTCGGCAAATCCTGCTCATCTTTCCAATCCAATCCTCTTCCTTTCCACTCTGTCTTGATGAGATTGACGTAGAGCGTCCAGAGGACGGCGTAACCTTTTGTAGTCATGTGAACACCATCGCTATTGCCCAAATCAGCGACGTCCCGATGGGAAAGGTGAATATATTCACATGAAATAGGGAGCAAGCCCGTCTCCGAGCCCTACTTCCTTCTCCATAGCCCCCCAAAGATCCAACACGCCAACCTTCCACTCCTTCCCCTTCCCCTCCCTCCCCTCCGGGCCCCATTCCGCCCCAAGCGCCTTTACAACATCCACAAACTCTTTCGTCCTCTCCAACGTCCTCTCCCTCCGCCCTCGTTCATCCATCTGAGGCGCATACACCGGCGGTGGGGTGATGAGCACGATATTGAGGGCTCGGGGGTTTTGGGCGGTGGCGTATGGGGAAGAGGGAGAAGTGAGGGAGGTGAGAAAGTGGGTGAGGTTGGATTGGAAGTTTTGGATGGTGTTGTGTTGGGGATTGGGAAGGCTGGTTGCGTCGTTGGTACCTGACAGTAGGATCAGCTCAACCATCAATTTATATGTAGACAGGTGCAGAAAGGGACGAACCGAACCAAATACTGACCAGCCGAGCGACTGGTGCATTCTCCTCTTTCCTAGCGAAGACCTCGTCAAAAAGAGGCCTTGCCCTGTGACTCTTATCAGTATTCATGCTGGTGGTAAACAGAAGAAAAGCACTGACCATTTGGATGTATACCCTCCAAAGCCTCGGTTAAGGATATCGAGCTTCTTCGTGTATGCCTCTGCACCTCTGTCAGCACCTACCCCCAAACTTCGGCATTCTCGATCTTGAGTGTTGTCGAACGCACTTGAAAGCTGCTCATGCCATGACCCTGGTACGTCCTGACGATTGGTAAGGCTGTCTCCCTGTACGTACGTATACGACGTCAGTTGTCGATAGGGCAAAGTGCGTAAGGGGATGGGGTGGAAAAGAGAGCTTACGAAGAGGATGGCACAGTCCATGAATATTTTCGCCATTGTCTGGAGGGAAGAGGTGCTTTTGAACGCGCGGGAGGGCTACTTGCAAGTATCTGTAGAGCCGTCGAAAGAAGAAAGACAAGAACACGGGGAATCGGCGCATCGTGAAAAGCAAGAACGGCTTTCAGGAGTCACCGACGGAAAGCCGAACCTACGAACTTGGGTTTGTCTAAACATCTTACCGGATGATTCACCCCAGAGACTGGATACATATAAGGGAGATACACGGGAGGCGAGGTGAGCAGGAATCTTCAGCGCGATGGGATTTGATGCGTAGTTTCCCTGGTAGGTCACTCCCCTTACTTTACTCCCTGTAACCTACGAACTTGGGTTTGTCTAAACATCTTACCGGATATGAGTCACCCCAGAGACTGGATACATATAAGGGAGATACACGGGAGGCGAGGTGAGCAGGAATCTTCAGCGCGATGGGATTTGATGCGTAGTTTCCCTGGTAGGTCACTCCCCTTACTTTACTCCCTGTACAGCCAACGCATCCAGGATCGTTCTGAAGCATGATATGATAACTCCGCGAGCAGAAAAAAATGACGAGCAGAGGAGTAAAAAAACGACGGCACCCGGGATTCCCAGGTGGTCCCCCACCCTGGTACTAACCGAGCGCTCTCCTAGTTGACTTCGCGGATCAGACGGGACGCGGTACTTTGAGGAGGCTATGGCCGTCGATGTTGAACTTGCGCTTACGGCTAATAATAGCCAAGTTGACAAAGCTTACCAAACCCAACAACCCGAACCTGACCCGAACGGAGATTTTGAAAGGGGGTCGTCCTGCATCGACCTGCATTCACCTTTGTTGCACTCTTCAGCGACGTTCCCCAGTCGAACCCTCGGGCCATACGTTCGGAGGGCGTGGGCCGACTTCGGCTGTTTGAGGTCGGTCGTTCCTACTCTGTTCCTGTCGGTGGCTGGTTTGCGTCGCCATATAATTTCAGTACCATCACTCCAAGGTTTCTCTTCTGCATCAACATCTTCGCCTTCGGGGTCTTCGGCAAACATGTCGACAGTCCGTCGCCACTCTTTTGCCGACATTCTTTTCAATAATGGTGTCTTCAACCCCTATATTCAGTTTGCCGTGAACTACTCCAAAATCTATCCTCAAAGACTATATCCCATCTTCATGGCCGTGCAATTGGGAACATTTGCCCTAGTGCGATATCAACACTCAGAGATATACCATGTAAGAGGCAAATGTAGCTAAAATGACATGATCAGAACGCTGATGTCTGATTCAAGTCTGAACTGCATCACGTCGATCAGATACAACGTTATGCGAGCGGTGATTGGGGGTATCACCACCCGGACATCACATCCCCAACTCTTTGGTGGGCTTGCATTATTCTCATCACATACATCACATACTTGATTCTAATTCTTAATAGGCATGGGATGATCGCTGCCCCCTCCTACATCTTGAATATAACCCCAGGCCTCCACTCCCTGCGCCTCTTCAGTCTCATCCAAGCCCTCATCTTTCCCGCCCTCCTCACCTTGCTTACCTTGCCTCCCTCTCCCTCTTCCCCACATGCTTCAAGCTCTTCCCGCTTTTTGCATGCTCTTCGGGACCCTTCAGAATACGCCCTGGTCATCTCCTTTAATCCGCTTCTGGTGCAGGTACATCACAAAGTCGATCCTGGAATTACCGCCCTTCTCTGTCTAGTGCTATCCTGGGGTCTCTTGCGCAAAAAGAAAACATGGGCGGCCGGGGTGTTTGGGACTGTGGTGGGAGTGTTGAGTGTGCCAGGCATGATTTGGATGGTCTTCCTGGCGGGGTATCGTGTATGGGAGAGTATGTCTTTTTCTCCCCTGCCCTTGATCAAGTATGAAACTCACAGCATGCAGCGAGGCGTGACTTTACCGGTATGGTCAAAAAAAGTGCACTATCGTGGCTCTTTGCTATCTGCGTCTGGGCTCTTGCTTGGACTCTTCCCTCGATCCCTTTCATCAGATACGGTGCGTTCTTTGTCTTACCGATAGTTGTTGAGCTGACCAAATATCTCAAGACACACCAGGATCCCAAAAACTACAGACAATAGCTTTCCTCCGCTACATCTTGATGCCTTTTGTGGATACCTACTTCACTTGTTCGTTCTATTCTGTCTCTTGGATCAACCTGAAGCTGACTGCGATCTGAAACAGACCTGTCCTTGAACCAAAGCCCGTTCTTCTTGTCCTATCTCCTCACCACCGCCTTCTCCTCCTGTTTCCCATCGTCCTCTTTATCCGCTGCCTCCTGGTCAGGTATCACCGAGAGCGACAAGCTGTTAGTAGTCTTCGTCCTGAGATTATTCCTCTTCTCTGAACAGCTCAAGGAAGAAGCTATCGAAGACGACGTGACCTCTCGCTTGACGCAAGACGAAAATTATCTTTCGCATCTGGATTCGACTCCAATAGAAGGCGGTGAAGATGGGGAAGGTAGAGCTGCCAGGATCATAGCGCGAACGCCTTGGGGACGACCTTTAGGCGAAGAGGAAGTAATGTACACTACCCGCTATTCCCCTTTTCCCATCGCCCCCGACGGTAGAGAGCGGACGCTGAACGTGAGTGAGGAAGCCAGGCAGCGGAATGAAGCTACTGGCAGAGTCAATCATGCTGGAAAGATTGAGGTGGGGTGGGATCTTTTCTTCATTGGGTCGTTGGTTTTTATGGGTCTTTGAGTGGTTGTATGCGTACGTATAATGATGATGGGAAGTCGAACATGGACTGGAAGCGAGTTTTTGAAAAGGGGCTCGACATAGAATCAGGTAAAATAGCGAACTTCCCTGGGCTCTGCCAATACACATACTACACAAATACATGACCGCCATCTACACGTATCCAGAGTTGCCGACGGAAAGCCGGACACAACGAATTTGAACGTGTCTGAACATTTTGGTGAACGATTGGGGGGTGTGGTACGGTGAAGTGTTCTGTGAGCCTACTATCGTACATACTGTTGTTTAGATGTGGCGGCTGGCAGAGCTGTAATGTGGCCCGCTTCTATCATTTCTACTGTCTACATTCCGGAAGAGCCAGATCGTCCAAGACACTCTCCGGCTTGTCTAGATCAATAACGCCCCAGCTATCATCTTTGAGTCTCGCTGTAACGGGCTGCCGACTGCCGATAGTGCCGAACACCTTCAAGGCGGGCCAAGTCCGCAGAAACGTCGTTGGAAAGAGGATCCATGATCATACTCACCACTGACCCATGGTTATGTCTAGGTGTTATCATGTAGTGGAATAACGTAGATCATGGTCAGGCTTAAGGTGCTCAATTTGATATCTTTACTCTCAACCCTGTCTGTTGCCTTGTCTCCCATAAGACACAGATTTGGTAACTGTTATCGACGGCCATAGCCTCCTCAAAGTACCGCGTCCCGTCTGATCCGCGAAGTCAACTAGGAGAGCGCTCGGTTAGTACCAGGGTGGGGGACCACCTGGGAATCCCGGGTGCCGTCGTTTTCGTTTCTTTTTGCTGAACCCACCCTTCTTACCCCGGGGCCAAGAGGAAATCAGCACAGAAGCACGTAGCGGCTCCATTTGCTCCTAGCTCGTCCATATCGTATCCCCTCCTCGATACACGTACCATACAAATACATGACCGCCATCTAAACATCTCACTGTATCTACTGGTTCTCAGCCGCCCGTTGTTGCGCGTGGAACTACAAGTCCAATCAGCTCTATCCTTCTTACACGGGCTCAGCCCCGAACAGCCGAACAGAGAAAGGAGGCGAAACGTACAATATCTTTCAGCTGATTGTTGGCCTCTTCGAACTGCTTTTCCAGGTATTTCGCCTGCATCCCTGCATCAGCACAATTACACAGAGATAGTCGGGGAGCACACCTTCTTTGAGAGGTTTTGGACATCCTCAGTCAACGACTTTTCCTTATCCGCATGTTCCTTCTCCACCTCCGCTCTGGGCTGTTCCACAAACCTGCCAAACATCAGCTACTTCCTACCCCTACCCTTGGCCCTCGTGCTCTCGTGCTATCACTCAAACACAACAAAAAAAGAACTCACATCTTCCCAACCCCTTTATACATCTTTCCCCCTCCCCCCTGCCCCTGTCCGTCAACAGAAACAAACACATCCCCAATCTCCCTCCTGGTCAATGCCAATATCTTCTTTTCCTTGTCTTTAGAGGCGATCTGGGAGCGGACGATGGAGAGTTGTTTTTGGGCAGAGACGGCTTGGGTTTGGATTTGGGTTAGGATCTGTTGTTTTTGTTAGTCTTGAAGACGGAATGGAGGAGAGGAGAGGATGGGAAGGGGAAAAGGGCAAGGGGGAGAGAAGACGTACTTTGCGGAGGGTATCGTCTGAGAGGGCCGACATTGTGTTGCTTTCTATATAGATATTCTCTTGCTTTGTATTCAGGGTCTCGTGATGTCGGTAATATTTCCTGGGTACAAGAGCGTGTCTCTGGTCGTGTGCGAATGGTCAAAGTGATTTGTTGTGAGAAGGACAAGATGATCTAAAATAGTCTCAGAGAAGAATCGACGCGAACGCGAAGGATGCAACGCTGCGGCGATGGCCGACATTACCCCGGGTCTTGCTCTCTATCATGCAGGCTGCAGCACTGAGCTTCCCACTCGGAGGGGTAAGCTTGTTCGTTGGATGTTCTGATAGTATACCGTAGTCCGTGATGCAACTTCTTATTCGGTAGTATAGGTGATGTCGGCAGTTGATGGCTTTCTCTGCTGGGAAGGTGGATGAACCAGTCGGAGACGATCGCTAGCGTCTCCACTCTACACGTCTTATTGATCATTTGGATTTTCGGGGTCGACCAATATTGACGGCGATGTATCTGCTGCCCACAAGAAAGTATGCAGGGGGTACGGTAGATACAATGCAGGCATAGATCCATGCTCTCTTTTGCTTTACACAACGCTCCTACGTCCTGTCCATCAACCCTTCAGATCCCCTCTCGCTTAACCCTGGAGCTTCATGACTATTCCACCATCAGCATTTACCCCTAAAGCCAAGAAGAACACCACTCACTAGCATTGATCAAGTCTCCCTTCTCGGCAATGTACGCCTCCCTGGCCTTGGCCTCGTCCGCGCCGGTTTGGGCGACAATCAACTGAATCTCTTCCTCGTTCACCTTAAAGTCGGCGGGCTCGGCGGGAGCGGCAGCGTCGGTGGATCCCTCGGCAGACCTATGATGGTATTAGCAAAAGTCCTTGAACACCCCCACGGGCAGGTTCCGCAACAACCCCCACCCCAATCCAATCCCCGACAAGCACACTCACTCGTCCCCAACCAAGTCCTCCAAAGACTTGGGCACACCATCCTTGAACCCTCCCTGCGCGTGCGCCTGCTGGGCAGCCTGGCTGCTCGCCTGCAATTGCTGCTGAGCCAACTGCTGGGCCTGGCTGTTGGGGTCCTCCACCTTGGCCTCGCCAAAGACAATGTAGCAGTCGCTTCCGGGCGACTTGTAGACTTCGGGGTCGGCGACGACGAGGAGGATGTTTCGGGCGCGGCGGAGGGTGACTCGGGTGATGCCCTGGACACGCTTGAGGCCGAGACCTTCGAGGGCCTTGCGGGCCTTGCGTTCGGGGCGGGAGTGGAGCTCGACGGTGGCGCCGGCGGGGATCTGGTTGTTGCCGTCCTCAAGGGAGAGGTTCTCGATGTTTTCGATGGACATGGCGGATGGGTTTGTATGGCGTAGAGCGTGAAAAGAGCGAAAGAGGAGTTTGGGGGGGCAGCGTGATGTGGCATTTCGGGATTATGTAATGCCCCCGGAGGCCGGGACGGCGATGGCCGCGGGAGTTATGTCAGCCTGGATGACCGAAGGAAAGTTGGGTGAATTTGCATCTCTTTCTGTGTTTGCATCTCATTTTCACCATGGCCTCCTTCTTCCGCTCCAAGAGCGCCTCCACCAAGACAGCGAACAGCTCCGCCTCCTCCATCAAGTCCACCGACGCAAACAAGACACACGAGGTCATCCTCGTCCCCGGCGAGGGCAGCTCGGTCACAAAGAAGTGGGAGTATGATGAGCACCAGCTCGCACAGGTATGCCGCCCGTACTACGCCCTAGGACTGTGCTGACCATGCCCAGATCGCCGAGCTGCAAGAGGCGCGTCGTCTCACACTCTTACATTACGTGACCGATCTAACGCTCTCCACAGTACACCAAGACCCTTCTCCTGCCGGCCACCGACGACTACCACCCCTGGGAAGCACGTTTCCTCGCCGATCCCGGAACGCATCCCCGCTACATGCGTGCGGCGAAATGGAAGCTGCCAGACGCGAAGACGAGGATCAAGGGGACGTTGGAGTGGAGACGGGAATACAAGCCCGAGCTGATCGGCCCCGAGGACGTTGGTATTGAGGCAGAGAGCGGGAAGATGTGAGTGAACGCTTCCTTCTGTCGTTCAAAGAAGATGCGAGGTTGGGGGAGAAACAGCGCAGGGGAAGTGTGGTCTTGTTAGCGTCCGAAATGATAATTTCGCGTCATGTCTTGGCACTTTCGGCCAATTCGGCTTGGTGCCATTGCGCCCCCTTGCACTCTGTCAATCTCTTCCTCCCATCCTATCTTTTACGGAGGTCATTTCGAACACATTTGTGGCTAGAAAACAGCCCAGATCTGATCTGTGGAGCGCGTTCGCCGTTCTGGTCTATTCTTTCGGCTATACGCGTCTTTGACCCCCGAAAAGTCGCACGCCCCGCGTTTTTCGGCTCCTTGCTCTTCCTACTCTCTTCCCAGTCCAAGACATAACTGACACGAAATAGTATCATAACAGGCTTCGACAATGACGCCCGACCTATCATCTACATGCGCCCCGGCCGAGAAAACACCGAAACCAGCCCCCGCCAGATCAGGCATCTCATCTACAACCTGTCCGTATCTCTCCCTCCCCTTTTCCATCTACACCAGCTGACCCGGACTGTAGCGAACGCGCACTCGACATCATGCCCCCTGGCCAAGAACAAGTAGCTATCATTGTCGACTACAAATCAGCCACCTCCCAATCCAACCCCTCCATCGGCACTGCCCGCAAAGTGCTCAATATCCTACAGAACCATTACGTCGAGAGGCTCGGGAGGGGGCTGGTGGTGAATATGCCGTGGTGGATCAATGCCTTCTTTTCAGGTATCTCGCCTTTCATGGACCCCATCACTAGGGATAAGGTGGGTTATACCTTTGAAGAGGAGGGTAGGAGCTGATGAAAAAGTAGATCAGGTTCAACCCCAAGTTGACAGAGCTCGTACCCCCTGCTCAGTTGGATGCCGAGTTTGGTGGAGACTACAAATTTGAATACGACTTTAAGCACTACTGGAAGACCCTCACAGAGTACGCCCCATCCCCTGATTCCTATCCATTTCAGCAGAGCACTGACAACAGGCCCCACAGATTCTGCCACATCGCCCCCGACGGTACGCGCTACAACGACCAAAAAGAAACAATTATCCCTCCCTCCGGCAACGGCATCAAAGCCGCCCTCGAGGGCTACGTCCCCCGCCAAGGCGCCGTCGTCTCTGGCGATATCGTCAAAGCCTCCTCCTCCGGGTCCGCCGCCGCCGCTGGGGGCGTGAGGAACGCCCAAGATACAGCTGCAGGCGGCCACGGTACCGCCGTCTCTTCCGGCGCTGCGCCCCATGGCGTCACATCGGAAGAAGCTGAAGTTGATGGTCAGACGGATGCGCAGAAACTTGCTGCTGAGCATGGGACCTCCACCCACACTGGAGGGGCAGGGGCAGGGCTGGAGAAGGATATGGAGAAGCTTGCGGTGAAGACGGCGCCGGGAGAGCCGGTAGGTGGGGAAGAAGCTGCTTTCGACCACAAGCCTAGTCAGGAGGAGATCAAGGAGGCGAAGGAGACGCTAGCTCAGGCTTAGAGTGCCATTAATCGAGATGTGTCATGTGTGTGTCTCATTATGAGGGGGTTCAGTCTTACAATAAATAGTATTGTCAATAGAGATGTGGTACAGGTAGGTATGACTTAGAATGATTATAGCTTTCGATTTCCATGCAACGTCACTCGATTCTTGAATGTCGTTACAGTACAAGGTAGCGCCCTTGTGCATGGTCCATGATGACGTGATGGCCGTGCCACTTGGCTCACCTAAATCGTGACCTTGCAACTCAAACAGAGACAACATGTCACCAATCTGTATACATCTCCAGAAAAAGAAAGAACACCTAATAATCATTTCCAAAGATCAACACGAAAAGTAGACCAAGACTGTTCTCAATGAGATACCACGCCAACTCGGCCCTGCTCAGACTGGTTACCACTCTTCCGCCGGCTGTTAGAGGAGGCAACCGCATATGTTGTGAGGTAGGGAGAGTAGAGACTCCTCTGTTGCCTGGAAGCGGGGCATGAAGCCCGGACACATCGAACCACTCCACTTGCCGATCTCTTGCTTCTTCCAAGCTCTGAGCCTCATTACCTTTCAAGCTTGACACCTCTTTGCCGGCTATGATAAGCATCCCAAATCGCAGTAAAGAGGCGGGTACGGCTAGATCTGCTAGGACTGTATTCTTGCCAGCAGACAGGCCGGTGAGGGTGAATGTCGAGAGGAGGGAGAGGAGCCAGGCGATGAAGAAGGGGCGGTGGGACGTAAACAATTCTGAAACATACGAGTCAGATGGCAGAATGGGAGGTAAAGAGGAAGAGGAACGGGACGTACGGCCAGCGTAAATGTCGAATAGTGGGATGAGAGGGCATCGGATGATGGAAATCACAAACATGTCTGCTATGCCAAACATCTCTAAGAAAGATATGTTAGCCCCCATGACCTCTTTCACCGCTGATGATGTGGGAGGGTGCGTACGCATGGGGACGGTTTGGTGAGACCAGATGATGAGCCATGCGCTGAGTGTAACAATGTACGGGAAGTACGATCGTTTATCTGGCCTTTTGTGAGCCCTTTTGCGGACTTTCGGTATAGTGTCAGCGTATCGTCAATGTCAGATGATGCGCGTGTGTATACGCACTTTCCCAAAAAGCCCACCAGATCACAAACACCGTCTAAATCGCTACCGCACCCCTCAAACTACCCACACCAATACTCAGAACCGCCGCTGCCCAATGCTTACCTCTCACCGCCAGGCCCCAAACAAGCATCAGTCCCGAGATACTGCTGACGCCCGGGGTGAAGCGAGAAGAGAGCACGATCAAGATGGGGTTGAGGCAGACGATGAGGGCGAAGTCTGCGGGCTGGTGGAAAACGGCGGGGGAGGGGTTGATATGATGTTGTGGATGGAGGAGAGATGAGGGTGATGAGTGCGGGGAGGAGAAGGGCCTAGAGGAGGCTTGTTAGGCGGAGGGTCTGTAACGAAGAGGCAGAGATGCCGAAGAGGTGTAGGGGGAGGGCGATGATGCGTGCCTTCAGGCGAGTCAGCACCTTCTCGTGCGTGAAACGTAATATGAATCATTCTCACCAGTAAGCAGGTGACTTCAGCTGGACATCTTGAAAACTGTAATCCCCTTGCGCATAGTGAAGGCTTGGTTGATATGAGGCTTCTCTTCCTGTCGTTCCGTCAATCTCGGCTCACCTCCATTAGTCAAGAACTCACTATCCGAGGAAAAGGGTGTTTCAGAGTAATCACCGCAAACAAAAACAGATATATTCCAATGAACAGAGGGTACAAATGATTGGGGTATACGCCGAGTCGGTGAACTGCCTTGTCGAGCGAGGGATTGGCAAAACCAGCTACGAGATGATAGGCTGGGCGGAATATCAAGCTGGGTTGTTGATTCTGGGACATACTTGGATGTATGACTAGGCCACTGTTCGGAGGAGATGTACAACGTGAGGAAAAGAGGGGAAGAAGCAAAAGAAAACTGAAAGAAAGCCGCGTGCGACGCCCACCTTGTTGTTTGGTTCTCCCACGGCTTTCACGGCTTCTGTATTGCCGACACTTACCGTCGATAACCAAAAACCGGCCGAGCAATGGGGTCAATGGGGATCTGGCACCACCAAGCACCTAAAGGATTGCCGAGACTCTCGCCCAATGCTTAGTGTGGGAGAGGGCAGGTTCAAAAGGCCCATGATATATGTCTGCATCTATCAGGCCCGTTTGACTACTACAGAATGTACCCAAGCAACCCGAACACGTCCTTCTGAATAGTATCTCTGCAATCTTATAATCATCCTTCTAAATCTTCAATTATAGCATTGGTCCCTTCCATCAAGCAACGTCCTCAGCAGCATCCATGTTCAGGATGATCGCCTGGTAAAACCTTGCAAACTCGATCAAATCATACGCATTCGAGTACTCATTGATTGTGTGCGCTCCTGCCGCACCAGCCATGGGCGTGTATCTGTATCGGTAGATGTTTGGCGTAAGGTTCCAGTAGCGTCTGGTATCGGTGTTCTACGTCTCTTGTCAGCGTCAGGCGTCCAAGCTGCAGGAAGAAAACTTACACCAGTAGTCATGAAAGGCGCCATAACGATATCCTCCCCATGTCCCAATTCGACGATTGTCCCATCTTCACTGACTTCCGATCGACTGGCCCAGACACCCCTCGTCGTTCCAGCCAACACCCTCCAAGCCGGGTCTTCCACCGACACCGGGCTATGAGGCGAAGGGTCGGTAAAGTAGCCGAAAGCGACGTCCAGGGCGACCTTGGTAGAAGGGGTGCCAGAGAAGACGGTCTCGCCGTCAAAGCCGATGAGGGTGATGTTGTATTGCTGGCAGACGGGTTTGAGGAGCGAGATCGTGCGCGCTTGGAGTTCCTCGTGGTTAGAAAGGATGTTGACGCGGTGGTTGACAACGGCTTTGACAGATTCCGGCTGGGGAGACAAGTCAGCTGGATACTGTGTGGTATAAGGGAAACTCACGAGAGCGTTGACTTTGAGACCGCCGTTGATGATATCGACAGCTTGGGTAGTGCTCAACATACTCCTGATACTATCGCCCTGCCCAGGCCCAGCAGGTGCACCACCCATCCCGCTACTGATAATCTCCTCAGGCAAACTCTTCCAAGCCTTCACATCCCCATCCTCTGCCTTCACAATCAGCCCCTTCAAGCTCTTCGGAATACCTTGAGCGAAAGCGGCGGCACAGGTCACAAACTCATACACTGGCGACTCTTTGGCGATCGTGGCCTCGTGAGGGTGGGATTCAAGCTCGGCGATGAGAAGGGAGATGAGTCCGATAGCGGTGTGGGGAGGAGGGACGGAGGAGTGACCGCCAAGGGTAGAGACGGTGATACCGAGGTCGTAGTGGCCTTTCTCGGCGACAGCAGGGGTAGCGAACTCTTGGCCCCAAGTGCTGATCAAGCCGGAGCCCTCGTCAATGAGACTTGAGAAAGGTCAGTCTAGGCACTAGCGGTAGAAGGAAAGGTTCTCACAGAGCCATGGAGTTCTTACCATACTTGCCTTCGAGGTATCTGGAGATAGCAGGCGCACCGACCTGACCACCTCGTTCTTCGTCGGACCCGAATCCGAGAATGATGGTCCTCTTGGGCTTGAAGTCGGTAGTTTTGAAAAGATGTTCAAGCGCAGACATGACAGCTTGCAGGATGTCAGTATTGAGCCATTTCAAGTGGAAAAAGACATACCGATCAGACTGCTCTTGGTGTCGGATGACCCTCGCCCGTGGATGGACGTGCCATCGTACTCGCCGCCGAAGGGATCATGGATCCACTGATCACGAGTAGAAGGGAGGACAGGCACAACATCTGTACCCCCGAGTTAGCGCAAGGTCAGTTGAAATGCGATCAGCGCACCTTGATGGGCAGTGAGGAAGAGGGGCTTGAGAGACAAGTCGGAACCCTTGATCTCGTAGACGAGAGCCCAGTCGGTCTTGGTCACTTCCGCGACACCATAGCTACGGCATAGTCAGACTCAGCTGTCCAGAAAACAGCAGACAACGTACATCAGAGGGAATGTCTTCTCAAGGAAATCATGGAATTGGGAGAAGATCTGCCATCGAGGATCTTCATCCACCGAGCCCATCTCGTCAAACATCTCTGTGGGGATCCTAATCTGTCGCGTAATCAGTGAAATGCCCAACAGTATAGTACCTTGCTTACAGCATCCTGGAGTCTCTTGATGATAACATCCTTCTCCTCAAAGATCCGGGTGGTATTGTACCCCTCCGGCATGATAGGCTCGGCTTGCACACAGAGCCCCTTCTTTACATCCGCAGTAAAGCCAGAAGAGGAGAGAGAAGACTCATTGAAGACTATCTGCGGGATGGACAAGGGCCAAGAGGTGACCACTGCAGAGGTAGCGAGTAGACCGAGGGCGATAAGAGGCCATCGGCTCTTGGAAGACCTCTCGACGGGAGGGACGTCTTCAGCCGAGACTGGGAGGTAGATGGGACCTTTTGCCATAGCGAAGTAATGGGAAGAACGTATATGGCTGCGGATGAGAAGAAGAAAGGGGGAGAAGATAGATAAAGATAGAGACGCATGGGTCTAATCCACCAGAACATTTCCCGTCTTTCGCGCATGTCCGAAAGGCGGTAAGCGCCGAGTATCGGTCATAAGCGCTAGGAATTGACCGAGCGCTTGAATCTTATCTCGGGCCCCGGCTCTCATCCAAGCTGGACTCCGCTGACAAGTAGGAGGGTAAAACTAAGGAAGTGGGCAGGAAATATGTAGGAGGGGAACCAAGATGGCAGGCGCATGGATGGATACTCATATCACCTCTGACATGCCCATTTGCTCAGTCACATATTGAGTGATCAACTGCTGGTGGCACCCTATACAACCACGCATTACCCCTACGAGTTCATTCGCTGAACGGCTGCCGTCATAGGCGGATGCCATCTGCTCGCCTCAACACGTAGCCACCAATGTTGTCTGACCATCATCAATGTTGAACGACCAAGAAGCGAGTATGGTGGACGATGAGGTGCTCGGTCCGCCGCCGATTGCCGATATTTGTCTTGCAGTATGCTGCGGGTTGTTCGAAGTATATGTATAATTGGAGATGTATATAGCCATCCCGAGATATCTTCTCTCTCCCACAAAGCGACTCATACTATGACTCAGAAACGACCCAACTTTCTCGTCATCCTCGCCGACGAGTTGGGCTTTTCCGACGTCGGCTGTTTTGGAAGCGAGATCCACACCCCGAACCTCGACAAGCTTGCCAGAGAGGGTACCAGATTCAGCGACTGTGTGTCCCATCAATTAACTAGAGAAATATCGTTACTGAACTAGATGTAGATCACACCGCGTCGGCATGCTCGCCCACAAGGTCCATGCTTTTGAGCGGGACGGACGCGCATCTCGCAGGATTGGGCGTCATGTACGAATTCATCGCAAGTTCAACTGTCGTTTCTTCCACGTCTCTATTGACATCGCTCTAGGCTCGCGACCCGGAGAGATGGAACAGACCCGGTCACGAAGAATATCTCAACCACGACGTCGCTGCTATGCCCGAGGTCCTTTAAGATGCCGGTTATCATACCCTACTTTCTGGCAAATGGCATCTCGGCTTCAAGGAGGGTTTCATCCCAGCCGACAGGGGTTTCGATAAGAGCTGGGCATTATTGCCTGGGTGTAGTAATCATTTCGGATGGGAGCCGGCGTACGATGAAGCGGGAAGACCCAAGGTGAGTTCTGCTTTATTTGATACGTCGCTATGTCTAACAAAGCACAGGTTGTTGGGCATCATCCCCCGTTGTATGTCGACCAAGCGACACGCTTTATCGTGTAGGATCTTCTTCGAAATTGTGGGTAGCAAAGTTTACAAAACTCGTAGCACACCAAACAAGACCAACTCCCCGACGGCTTCTACTCTTCCCAGTTCTACGTCGATAACCTCCTCAGATACTTTCACGAACGTACCTCGTCCGAACGAGATAAACCTTTCCTCGCTTTTCTCCCCTTCTCCGCCCCCCACTGACCTCTCCAGGCCTTTCCAGAAGACCGCGACAAGCACAAAGACCTCTACGACGCCGGACCAGCCGTCCTTCGCCTTCAGCTCTTGGAGAACCTGAAAAAGCTCGGCTTGATTCCCAGGGACGTCGACCCAGTTGAGGTAGTGGCCAATGGGGCGAAGAACTGGGAAGAGATGAGCGTCTGGGAGAAGAAGATGAGTAGTCGCGCGATGGAGGTGTATGCCGGTATGGTGCATGCGATGGATAGGGAGATTGGAAAGGTTGTCGATTACTTGGAGAAGAACGGGGAGCTGGATAATACTGTGGTGATCTTCATGTCGGATAATGGGGCTGAAGGTGCTGCTCTAGGTAAGTCACGGTGCTGCCACGATGGTGACTATGATTGACGAGGGTGGTTTCAGAGGCTACGCCGACCATGGGCCCGAGGCTGCTGGAAACAATCGAGAGTACTATGACAATAGCTACGAGAATCTCGGCAACCACAACTCTTTCATCTGGTACGGTCCCCAATGGGCCCAAGCTAGTACGGCTCCGAATCGACTAATGAAAGCATTTTCCACCGAAGGTCCGTTCTCCCGTCGTCGTTTTCGCTGTTCTCACTGACTTTGGTCATCAGGCGGGATCAGGGTACCTATGCTCATTCGATACCCGGGCTTCAATCAACTTCCTCTAGGTTCCGTCTCCACCGCATTCACCACCTGCATGGACCTTATGCCCACTTTCCTCGAGCTCGCGGGCGCTCAACATCCCAACCATTCACCCACCTCCCCCACCGAGCGCGTCCCTTACAGAGGACATCAAGTTTACCCTATGCGCGGCAAATCGTGGGTTCCATACCTGCGTGATGGTTACACATCCATTGGCAAAGATGGCGACGAAAATGAAGCTGTCCACGGAGAGAACGATCATCCCGTCGGTTGGGAACTGCACGCCCGCGCGGCTCTACGCAAAGGCAGATGGAAGATTGTCAATCAACCTTTAGGCGAGCACGGTACGGGTGGATGGGAGCTGTACGATCTCTCTACCGACAGAGGGGAGAAGCACGATCTAGCTCAAAAATTGCCTGACAAGTTGAAAGAGCTGGTAGCGGATTGGGGACGGTATGAAGAAGAGACGGGGACAGTGTTTGGGCCGCCAATTAAACATGCTAGGGGGCATGGGGAGCCTATACAAAAAGAGCATGTATCAGGGGATGTAGTGCAGGATAAAAAAGCTTGGATGAGGGTTGGGCACGGGAGGAAGCTGGGGCATGAGGCCTGATGTGACGTACAAGAGACAGGCGCTCGAGTAGAGGGTACGTAGCTCCAGATGTAGTACACGATATCATATGTAAGACTTTGATCTGCAATGGGTCGTGTATTTGAATTGGGCAAGCCAAGGACGATGTGCATCATGTTCAGATCATGAGTCTCATGTTGCCTATCTATCGGTACACAATGAGTATGACAAGGCACGCCATTTCTTCTTGGAACATCAAGGGGGTGTAGCTCATTTGGCAGAGCGCGTCATTAGCATCTCTTAACTGAGTGGATTTGACGAGGTACTGAGTTCAATTCTTAGCTCCTCCATTTCTTTTTTGCTTTTTTTTTTTTACACTTCCTCTTCTTACCCTCTATCACCGATCTCACGAGCATACGCAAGCAGAGAGTATGCTACTGGTGGACATCTTCGGGGCAGATTCCAATCGTTTGCAAAGCAGGTGACAGTAATTGATTGCAGAAGAGCAGGCCACCGACGACGAGAGGCAAGACTTGTTTTCGTCGCGTGCGCCTCGTCTTTTCGACAACTTTTCGAACGGCCCATTGTGTGCTCTGACGTTGCATTTACGAATTCACAGTTCCATGTTGCTACTGATAACATGCATGATACTTGGTACTGACACCACCGTAGATTTCAGCTCTTTCTTGCAACCCGGCACTACGCTTTCAGACTAGTCTCACCCAGCCTCGCTCCATGCCCAACCTTCATCCAAGCCACCTGATCCTCCACCGGATCCCCCCCAATATAATCTGCCGGCACCTCCCCCCTCTTCTCCACCTTGAACTCCAACGGCGGCCCAAACACCGTCCCCGTCTCTTCCTGATACCTCGCCCAATCCCTCTTCAATTCCTCCAACTTTTCCGGGAGGGCTGTGGCAAGGTCGTGCAGCTCTCCGCGGTCTTTGGAGAGATCGTAGAGCTGCCAGCCGCCGGTGCCGTAGCTGCTCACGGGCATGTTGACAATTTTCCATTTGCCGCGGCGGAGAGAGGCGCGGCCGTGCATCTCCCAGCCCACGGGCAAGTCGCCTTCGGAATGGATAGCTTCGCTCTCTTCCTCCCCTTGTCCCTTCCCATCAGTGCCTTGAGACTTGATGCCATCCCGGAGGTACGGTACCCAGGATTTCCCGCGCATGCCATAAACCTGATGTCCTCTATAAGGTGCCTTCTCTGCAGGAGTGGACGGGTTCGGGTTCGGGTGGGGGGCAGAAGCGAGGTCGAGGAAGGTGGGCATGATGTCCATGCAAGTCGCGAATGAATGGCAGATGGATCCGGCAGGGTACTGTCTGAACCCAGGATATCGGATGAACATCGGCACCCTTATACCTCCTTCTAAAGTTTTAGCGACGGGACAAGGGATACAGGGATGAGAAATACTCACCTTCAGTAGCGAAACTCTTCCAAAGACGATTGGGTGCTGTACTAGCTTGAGCCCAACGAGGTCCGTACCAGATGAAGGAGTTGTGGTTTCCAAGGTTTTCGTAGCTGTTGTCGTACCACTTGTCGATAGACTCGAGCAGCTTGGTGCCCATCACTGGGATCGCTTCTGATGCGGCCGTCAGTTAAAATACACGTGCAAAAGAAGGGCGAGCATACCCAAAGCGGCTCCTTCAGCCCCATTGTCCGACATGAAGATCACCACAGTATTATCAAGATCCCCACTTTCTTCCAGATAATCGACGACCTTGCCAATCTCTCGATCCATACTGTGCACCATCCCAGCATAAACTTCCATTGCCCTGCTGCTCATCCTCTTCTCTTCTGGAGACAGCTCTTCCCAGTCTTTGGACCCTCCAGCAACCATCTCGGCGGGGTCGACATTTTCCGGGATAAGTCCAAGCTTTTTGAGATTCTCGAGCCGCCTCAGACGAAGCGCATCGGGTCCATCGTCGTACAGACCCTTGTGCTTGTCTCGATCCTCCGGCAAAGCTTGGAGAGGCCAGTGCGGCGCAGAGAAAGGGAGGTAGGCGAAGAATGGTTTCTCTGCTTCGGCGGGGGTGCGCTCGTTGAAGTATTTGAGGAGGTTGTCGACGTAGAATTGGGACGAGTAGAATCCGTCTTTGGAGTTGTTGGTGTTTGGTTCACTGATGGCAGGTCAGATTTGTGCCGGGATGGGTGTGGGAGTGAGCTTACACAATGTATCGTCTGTCACCCTCCGCATACAAACGAGGATGATGGGCAAAGACCTACACTAGTCAGCTCTGCCCTCCTGAGATCTACCAATCGCACTCACATTTGGCCAAGGTTTATTCTCCTCCAAATCTTCATAAACCGGCTCCCACCCGAAATGGTTACTACACCCCGGTAACAACGCCCAACTCTTATCAAAGCCCCTATGCGCAGGAAGATGACCGTCCTTGAAGCCGAGGTGCCATTTACCAGAGAGGAGGGTGTGATAGCCGGCATCTTGGAGGACTTCGGGGAGGGCAGCGACGTCGTGGTTGAGGTAGCCTTCATGACCGGGTTTGTTCCAGCGGTCAGGATTGAACCCCTGTAGAGCTTGTCATCAATGACGATACTAGATAAGATACAGAGGGCCCTACGATGAATTCTGACATGACGCCGACTCCGGCGAGATGGCAGTCTGTCCCAGACATGATCATAGATCTCGTGGGCGAGCAAAGCGAAGCCGTATGGTCTTGACATCTCGTCAGCTGATGCCACTGCTGACCCGGTTGGGGGAGATACACACAGTCACTGAAACGAACACCCTCACTGGCGAGCTTGTCAAGATTGGGTGTCGCAACCTCACTGCCAAAGCAGCCGACGTCGGAGAAACCCAGGTCGTCGGCGAGGATGATGAGGAAGTTGGGTCGTTTCTCGGCAGTCATGGTGAATTTGCGTACGGGCGAATGGGGTCTTCTGTGGACTTTGTGCTTATGTATCTCCTGGTGAATGCATCGGACATGTAGCTACCAGCTCGGGAAAACGTCAGGGCGCCTCATCTGCGGAAAGCCGAGCACAACATCGTCGGCCATGTCCGAACATGATGCAAGCCAGCGTGACACCTCTTGTCTCTCATTCTCGCAGGCAGGGTGTTGCCATCTCTCGACCTATCCAGATATGCGTCTCATAATTCCAGATATCATCAATACATTTGCACTATATCGACCGACGATTTACCGCTATCATATGGTACATACAACCCTTGTCACGTTTGACCAGCCATTCGTCATCACGATCGACCTATCCACCCTCCAAGTCATGCCATGCTTGCTCATTTCCCAACATTCCGAATGCCACCATACCCCCCCGCGGATCGAAGAAAGACCGAGTCTCTTACCACTCACTGCTCGCTCACAAAGATCGCCGCATAGCCCTATGTACCACCCCATCAGCTCTCCCTTCTTCTCCACCCCCAACCAATCGAAAGAAAATGCCAAAAACTCACCATCCCAGTCCCCATACACATACTCGTCACAAACACCTTCTTCCCCTCCCTCTTTGCCGTCGCAAAACCCGTCGCGATCTGTCTCGCACCCGTACACCCGAGCGGATGGCCGAGCGCGATGGCGCCGCCGACGGGGTTGACAATGGAAAGGGGTAGGCCGGTGTGTTTGATGGACATGAGGGCTTGGGATGCGAATGCCTGCGATGTGTCTAAGTCAGCGCAAGGAGGATGGGAGAGGAGAGGAGAGGGGCTGACTTCGTTGATCTCGTAAAAGTCGATGTCTTCCTTGGAGAGACCGGCTTGTTGGAGGACTTTCGGGATAGCATATGCTGGGCCCACACTACATCCAAATTAACTCACCACCCATCCGATAGCCACACCATCACCTACCCCATAATCCTCGGTGGCACTACCCAACTCATCAGCTTTCACTTCCACCTCACGACGCAAGAAGAGAAAGGAAGACTCTCACCTCCAACAAGCGCCGACGTCACATACTTGCCCAAGATCGGCAACCCCAGCTTTTGCGCCACCGATCGTCTCGCCAGGAGGACAGCAGCAGCCCCATCCGTCACTTGCGACGCATTACCAGCGTGGGTGGATCCATCCGCGGCAAAAGCAGGTTTGAGTTTGGAGAGCGATTCGGCCGTGACGCCTTGGCGTATACCGTCGTCGTGGTCGACGATGATTTCGTGTACCTCCTCCGTCTTGGGGTCTTTCCAATTTGTCTTGCCCCATCTATCAATACCCTGCGCACCCATGAATCTATAGAAGAAAAACAACCCACTTTGACAGGAACGATCTCACTCCTGAACTTGCCCTCCCTCTGCGCCTCCGCCGCCCTCCGAAAACTCTCAGCCGCAAACTCATCCTGCTCTCTCCTACTGATCCCAAACTCCTTCGCAACATTTTCAGAGGTGATACCCATGGGGATGAGACAATCGGCAGATTCGGGGTTGGAGAGGATACGGTCGGAGAGGCGTTCGGGGAGGGTGCCGGAGCCGTAGTGGGCAGTCATGGATTCGACGCCCGCGCCTTGTTTTGTTCGTTTGTTAGCTGCAGGTCCTTGGGCAGGAGGTGGAGGGGGAGGAGCTTGCCTATGCCAATGTCGATAGTACCTGCCTTGATTTCGTTTGCAATCTATAGAGGTACCACATGTCATTTATCGTATCCACTTTTACCATTTGAGAACCCACCTGTACAAAAGCCGCCAAGCCCGACGAACACTGCCTATTCACAGTATTGAGAGGTACTCTTTCCCAGATCTTGTCAGCATATTCCTAGTAAAATGAAGTGAAAGACAGACGTATGAGGTATACCCGCCGACAGCTGTGCCATACGCGCAATCTTGGCACCGCCGCCGGGCGTAGCTACCGATCCTACTGCTATATCTCTTTGACAGCATCAGTACTTCGTTGATTGTAGCGCCAGAGAATGGGATAGACACGTACCCAATGAGAGCAGGGTCCACTCCACCGCGCTTGACGACCTCAATAAAGACAGCTTCCAGCAGCTCTTCCGGCAGGGTATCCTTGAAACCGCCTTTCCTCGCCTTGCGTCTTCTATCAGCTTCTCTCTATACTAGCTCGTGTATGCGGAGTGGTGGGCTTACTTTGGTGAGAGAAGTTCTGACGGCACTGACGACGACGACATCGTCCCCCGAAGAGAAATTTGTGAGCCTTGCCTTTGCGAACGACGGGATAGAACTGGTGAGGTTGGTGAGGAATGGCATTCTTGCTGTTGCCCTTGTCAGCATGCACTGTGTTGAATTTGTTTATCTGAGGAGAAGAATGGGGTGTTATATAGAGAAAGGGGAAAAGTGGATAGGCCGCGATGCGAGATGCGCTTCGGATGGTAGCCGGGCGATCCACCGGCAGGCTCTCGGAGAGCCGAGATGGACTGTGCGTAAAGGCTTGACAGCTGCTGACATTTCTATCGCAGTACGATGCCAGACAAGTTCTGCTGGTACAAACTCGCGTACCCGGGCCCATGGTTAATAACACGCTGTTATCGAGATCCATCCTCCGTCAGAACCTTCCTCGCCTGAATGTATCTTTTTGTTTTACGCCACATATCGAAGCTAGAGTCCTAGAGGCCCTACGTCTACAAACCGGGAGGGAAACCCTAACTTCGTCTCTCTCTCTCGCCAATACGACGTGCCCGTCAAGCGATTCTGAAACCGACACACATGACAAAAAACCTATCAACAAATGTAGCCGAATGGAGGGGTGGCGTGTTGGCGACAAAATGGGGTTAGTGTGGATGTACGACTTTGACTGTTCCGACGGAGGATGAATCTTGATGACAGCTTATCAACCACCGGCGCGCCGAGCCCGAGAGCCCTCGCCGAGCTCAGTCAGAAGTGTATATTTACACCGCACCCCTCACCCTCTCGCCCCCACGAGCCATGTCTCCCCTCGCCCTGCACTCCACCCTCCCCCTCAACGACGGCCTCTCCATCCCCCACATCGGCCTCGGCACTGGCGGTCTCAGGGGGCAAGAGACCACCGACGCAGCCGCCTACGCCTTATCCATCGGGTACAGACTCTGTAAGTGCCATTTGCCTCCCTGTACTTCGCCCCCGCTGAGAGTAGGATCTAGTCGACACTTCCCAACATTATGGAAACGAAGAGCGTGAGTAACGGTCGATGCGCGTGAATGAAGGCTGACAGTATGTGTCGTAGAGTTGGGACAAGCTATATCCACCACACCCATCCCTCGCTCCGAAATATTTATAGCCACAAAGTACAAACCCCCCGCCATGGAACCTTCCTCCGACCCCTCCGTCCCCACCCCGCGCCACTCTGACGAGGAGATATACGACTCCATCAAGGCAAGCGTGTCGAAACTCGACCCGCGGGAGGGGGGTTATGTTGATTTGATGTTGTTGCACCATGCAGGCCCTGATCGGGAGGGGAGGGAAGCCGGCTGGAGGGGATTGGCGAGGGCGCAGAAAGAGGGGCTGGTGAAGAGTATCGGTGTTTCCAACTGGCACGTTCCATCCTTCAACCACTCGTACCACTCGTCCGCGGTGATCTGACAAGAAAAGCAGTAACATCAAACACCTCGAAACCCTCCCCGCCCCCCGCCCTTCCGTTGTCCAGCTCGAACTCAATCCTTTCTGCCAACAACGCGAGCTCACAGCTTATTGCGCTTCCAAAGGAATCATCTGTCAGGCATACTGCCCCACCGTCAGGTACATCGAAGACAAGATCAAAAACCCGATCATCGTCAAGATTGCCGAGAGGCTCGGGCAGAGCGAAGGACACGTCCTCTTGAGGTGGAGTCTCCAGAAGGGGCAAGCTTTCTTCTCTCAGCGGTCTAGGAGGCGCAAATACTAATGCTGCCTTGATAAGATTCATACCCATCCCCAGATCTTCGAAACCTGCGCGGCTGCAAGATAATCTCAGATCCTTCAGCTTTGAGCTTTCCCCAGAGGATATGGCCGCCCTCGATACCCTCAACATGGGCGCGGCCGGCCGTCTCACTGTGATAGACCCTGACAATCTTCCAGAGTAGTAGTCGTATATATCGTCTTTTTTCTGCGTATAAGAGATGTATAAAAGAAAGGATAGATGCTCAGAGATGTAAACTTGGCCATCTTTGATTTGAAACTTGGAGTCCTTTTTTGCAGATATGGCCGCCCTTTTGATTGTCCCATATTGAGTCCTCAGAACGCTGCAAAGTCAAAGGATCAATGCGGTAAGATGATACATACAAAAAGTGATTATACACTGCTGTCCCTGGCTTCACCGCTTATGCCCACACCGCTTATCCCCAATGCCCCCTAGAGTATCCGTTTCTATCATTCTTCGTCCTTCATACCCAGCCGCTGCTTCTCCTGCGCCAGGGCGACTTCTCTCGCGTGCAGCTCTGCCTTGGCGAGTGCTGTAGCCTGTTGTTTTGACGGTTGGTGATAGAGCACTACACTCAACATCAGTGCTAGCCCATGCACAATAAATATCAGTCAGGGGGCGGGGGACTCACCAACGATATACCTCTCCATCAAATGGAACCCATTCAGCGCCGTGATAGCCTCCTTGGCATCGTCCGGCGACTCATACACCACATACGCCGTACCCTTCGTCTTGAGCTCTTTGCCGTCTGTGCCGAGCCGGATCTGGCGGATGGGACCGTATTTGCCAAAGAGGTCGTACAGGTCTGGGCCGGTGATTTGGAAATTGAGGTTCTTTACGCTGCGTCATCGTCAGTAAGAGTTTGGTGGAGTGGCGAGGGGGGCTTACAAGAGGGCTCTTTGGGAGAGGGGATCTTGTGATCTTTGCATGTTGGCGGTGGATATGGGATACCACTTGATGTTCGAGAACGCGAAAGACAGAGGTGGATGGCGCGGAGAAAATCGAAAAACGCGCGAGAAATAATGCATCGACACTCTTTCAAAGATTTCCACCAACGCTCTCTTTCGCTCAGACATCTCCAAAATGGCCTCCGTCGTCACCCTCAGCCTCCCCCTCGCCCCTGCCCCCGCAGGCTACACAAAGCCCGCCCCCTCCAAGCCCTCCGCCCCCGCCTCCCTCCCCGTCTACCCCGCCGGCCCCTCCTTCATCTCCGCCGCCCGCCGCCAGCTCCTCCAGCGCTCCTTCGCCCAGGACGACGAGGCCGTCCTTGCCGCCCGTGCCCACGCTGCCGAGGCCAAGAGCAAAGAGTTCAACGAGAGCGACTTGTACCCCGGTCTCGGTGAAGAGGAGGAGCACGAGAGTGTCTTGAAGACCGACCCCAAGGAGTGGAAGAAGCAGGACCACTATGCCGTGCTCGGTCTTGGCCACTTGAGGTACACTGCCACCGATGACCACATCAAGGTCGCCCACCGAAGGAAGGTGCTCCGACACCACCCCGATAAGAAGGCGAGCCACCACCAGGGCCAGGACGACTCTTTCTTCAAGTGTATCCAGAAGGGTAAGTCGTCTTGTCATATATCGAAAGAGTGCTGACGAGAGTTAGCGCACGAGACGCTCACCAACAACGACCGTCGACGTCAATTCGACTCTGTCGACTGGAACATCAACGACGAAGTGCCCGACTGGAAGTCTCTCTCCCCCGAAGACTTCTGCAAGCAGGCCAACGCCGTCTTTGGTCGCGAAGGCCGATTCTCCGAGCACCAGCCCGTCCCCGCTTTCGGCGACCTCAACTCCTCCAAGCAGGACGTCGAGGGCTTCTACAACTTCTTCTACAACTTTGACTCGTGGAGAAGCTTCGAGTGGCACGACAAGGAGGTCAACGAAGGTTCCGACTCTCGTGATGACAAGCGATTCACCGAGAAGAAGAACAAGTCTGAGAGGGCTAGGAGAAAGAAGGAGGACAATGCCAGGCTCCGAGAGCTTGTGGACTCTGTGCTTGCTGTGGACCCCCGTATCAAGCGAATCAAGGCCGAGGAGAAGGCGGCTAGGGAGGCCAAGAAGAAGGGTGGTGCGGCCCCCAAGGCTTTGACCCCTGCCGAGAAGAAGAAGATTGAGGACCAGAAGAAGAAGGAGGAAGAGGAGAAGAAGGCTGCCGAGAAGAAGGCCAACGAGCCTAGCAAGGCCGAGAAGGAGGCTGCTAAGAAGGCCAAGGAGGCTGCCAGGAAGAACTTGAAGAAGTGGAAGAAGGTGCGTCCATCTTCTCTCTCCTAGTCTCACTCTGACCATGTCGTAGGCCATCGCCACTGTCATCACCGACTCCAACTACTTCCAAGCCGCCGGCTCCGCCCCCTCTGCCGCCGTCATCGAAAAGCAGCTCGCCGAGCTCGACTCTCTCGTCGAGCTCCTCGAGCCCGAGCAGGTCAAGGACCTCAAGGAGAAGATTGACAAAGCCGGCAAAGGCGAGCCTGCCAAGGCTGCCCTTAAGGAGAAGGTTGTCGAGCTCGGTGCCAAGGGTGAGGGCAAGTTTGCCGAGTTTGCTTAGAGCGATCTAGAAATGTAGAGATGAGTAGATGGGGAATGCATCGGGCTTTAGCTCTGCTTTTCAATGTGCACATGTTTCAGAGAGGAAGGCGCTGTCACGCGTCAACACGCCGTTTCTTTGACTCCTTCGCGCATGTCAAAGGACGCCGGAAGGCGTGTTTGCTTCTCCCGAGATAACGGTCTCTACATCTTTGGGTATCCATTCCACAAATATGCTCAAGATACACTTTCACAATGACAGACTACAAGAGCTCTATCGGCGACGGCATCAGGACGTTGGTACAATCTACGACAAGCGGATTGCGTGAGGCGCATGCGTTGTATACGTGGTATACTACGCCGCCAGTATCCACGTCAGCGTCTGTACGTACCTCTCTTCTTCTTCCTGTAGCTGGGACTGCATGCTGAGCTGAGATACGATAGCAAGCTCAAACAAACTACCATCAAACACCAACGAGTAAATGTCAATGGACCTTTCCAGACCAATCCCGGAATGACGACACCTCCGATATGGCCATAACCTGCGCCGTCCGGTTCAATACAGATCTCCCCATACCAACCACATGCACATGTTCATCCCTCCCCGGCCGTTTCCCACCACCCAGGTATAGCCGATCCCCACCACACAGCGCTGACAAGGAAAAAGAGATTGATGAAGAGGGTGGAGGAACGGGGAGAAGGAGGAGGGAGAGGAGTAAGTATGATTGGGAAGCTGGGATGCTTTGTGAAGACCATAGGTGTGCAGGTTGTAGGCAGGTTGTAGGATGATTTTGGATGAGGTGGGGGTTGTGGTGGAAGATAGAGGGGGGTGGGGGGTGGTTTATAGTGATAATCAGAGCTTGACAAAGACGGGGTAGGGATACGTTCTTATATAGTGAGGGGGTATTGATATAAGTGTGTACGCGTCAAGGAGGATGGATACCTTCACGTCGGTATCCTAGAGCGGCTGTATTTGTACACAAAGCATATAAGAGCCTGTCCGGCAACTTTTTGGATTTTCGCGACATTACTGTATTACGTCAAAGGTGCGCCGAAGGTCTCAGGTGGGGACCAGGCGTACTGTACGAGCAGGTAGCAGGACATGGAGAGATGATGACGCTGCTCTGGACGCTACTGGCGACTGTACGCTACGCTACAGTACAGTGCTGAAGCGATCCCAAGCACAGCGGAGATACGGTCCCAGCTATCCCTGCTGGCGAAGCCGAACCATCTCGCATCTCGCCTTCCGGGAAATGCTTCGCGGCTTCCGAGAAGTGTTTCCAGGGTTCCGAGAAACGTTCCCACGTTCCCGTCTCTCCGAGAAACGTTTCCCGCCCTCCACGAACAGCGGGAAGACCGGGCCGGCCGAGAGGGCCGAGGGAATGCCTGTCCGTCCGTCCGTTCGTCCGTTGCCCACGCCCTTGAAGGGTAAGTGCGGGCGCTTGTACAGTACCAATACTGTCAAAACTATAGTAGTTCTGTGCGAAAGGTTCCAAAACTCGACGGGCTGGAGAAGGCCGCCCTTTCGTTCTGGTCTTGTGATAGATTCTTGAAGTAGACGGAGATACTGTACAGTACTGCACTCAAGTACTCGTATGGAGGAGACCTGAGGCGCCGGACTCTTGCGCTTCGCTCTTTCAGCGGCCCGAGGTGTGACCTGATGCTCACGTCCATTTGTTCCAGGTTACATAGCCTGCATGTGCATAGAAATTAACAGTTGATGGAGGTTCAGAGTATTTCGTCGAGGAGTGAGAAGCTACTAGACCACTAGGCCACTAGCTACAGTACAGTCCCTGCTCGGTTGCTTTGCATCCGGTCTCTCGTACCTCAAGACCTGCCAAAGCCGCGCTACACTACTGCGCATCAGCGCAAACGATCTATCGTAGGTATTTTACAGTACTCGTACTTAAAGTGACAACGTCGTGCTCCGCCCATCCCTCATACAACATGAACATGGTGCGCACGTTACCCCCCTTTTCACCACGCCGGACCGCGAACGTTCCACAGCGGGCACCACGGCGATACACCCATCAGCCCGCCGAGCCGCTCGCGCTCTTGCCTGACGTCAGGTCCGTCCGGGGCGACGACGGACGCTTGGTCAAAGTCTATCAGCGCCAGTTTGGGACAGGCCGGATCGATGTCCCCATTGCCCTCGTTGCCCTCGTTGCACTCGCTGCTCTCGAGCCGGTACCGGATGTGGCGGGTCTGCAGATCGTTGTGCGCCACCCCTGCTGAATGAAGCGAATTGTAGAGCCGGATTATATCGGGCCTAGTGAAGAAAAGACGCATCAGTGAGGCAGCTCGAACGCTGGAACGCTCGAGCGGCCGAGGTCGACAGACGAGTGCTAGAACTCACTTGAGGATCGTAGGAACATGGCCCCATTCATCGCACACTGCGTTTCCTAATCGTTCGAGGATCATCATATAGACGCCATTGGTCGATCGCCAGAGCCCATAATAGCCGGGGGCAGCTTTGCTCGTCATGTTCGACAAGCACTCTTCATAGAGGTTGGCCTCGTGTTCCAGTGCTTGGATCGACTCGTTGGCCCCCAACCCAGCGTCAAATACATCTCCCCAGTCAAGTGAGGATGGTTGGACTATTTTGACGATGACTCGAATAGGTCGACTGCCGTAGCTAGGCAGCGGTGGTGAAGGAGTGGAGGTCGCAGTGGAAGTCGATCGGGTCAAGGAGGGAATCGACGAGATCGACAGAATCGATTGAGGACTGTGGTCGGAATTCGAGAGCTGAGAACGGGGTGGGGTCGATAGTTCGGGATTGTAGAATAGACCTTCGAATACGTCCCACAAGTGACCTCGATCGACGTGACGACCGATGTGGACCGACGGGGTGTCAATCGGCACGGCGCCTACAGACTTGCCCTGAATAAAGGCCTGCAAGGGTCGGCCAAGTAGGGCCTGGTGAGGCAAGAACGAGGTGCCGCGCATGGGAATGTACTGGCGGGAACGGGGGACAAAGATCTACATGGAAACAAAAACAACTCTTGGTCAGAATGACCCGGCGGAACGCAACGTGACAAGCAAAAGCGAACGACTTACAACGGCATCATCGTCCTGTCCAGCTTTGACATCAACAGTAGCAGTGCCAGGTGGCATCTCCCCGTCCGGTGCAGACTGACGCTTGTCGTCAGCGAAACCGCATCTAGATCAATGTAAAGAGCGACAACTCACCTGTAAAGGAGTATCGTAGAGCGGTGGAAGCGGACCTCGCGTTTCTTCATCATAGCTGTCGCTGACTTCTCCCAGATATATACTTGCGTCCGCCGCGTCACTCCCCCGCCTAGGATGCTGTTTACCGCCGCTGGGGGCACCCCTGTTCCCTTGAAATTGGGATCCTCGCCCGGCACCTGCATCATCTCTACCGCCCCTTCTCTTGCCGGACGACCCAGCAGACGGTCCATGGGACGGCCCTCCCTGACGGTCGGCCCCGGGAGATCTGCGATCGTCTCGGCGAGAAGGCCGTTGCCGTTCCGCTTCATCCTCCGCCTTGCGCTTCTTTTTGCTCGAGTCTCGCTTGTCCCTGAGCGTTTTCCGGTAAGCAGCGATCTGCCGTTTGGTATCGATATAGTCGCCCTGCCACGGTGAAAGGAAGCTTGGGATTTCGGGCGGAATGCCATTGTCGGGCAAGGCGAGAGCAACCATGGCCGACGCAAGGGTGAAGGTTTGTGATCGGGGCGGGCAGGGAGGTGTGTCAGACGGTGGTGGTGGGGGACCAGGAGAGTGCACTTGAGAACCGGCATTGCCTCTAATGACGTTGGATACGAGGAGGGTGGTGGCGTTGGCCAAGTAGAAGACAAGGGTCGCCGAAGTGTTGTGCAGTGTCGCCCAGCGGCATCTGTTGGCGTGCGTCTGAGCCCATATCTGATGAGACAAAATTGCAGAGCGGTCAGAATCATCACAGCAGAAGAGGTTAGGGGCTCTCACTGACCTGAAACGTTGCTTCCAGTGGCACCTCGGGGCCGGCAGTACTCCTCAGCCTTGTCCCAGCTGCCGAGTTGTCGATCCAGATAGTGAAGCCCTTGGTAGGTCGCCCGTTGCTTGGGGGGCCAGTCCTCTGGCCCGCTGCTTCGACGGTCATTTCCATGCCCCGCTCTAACAACACTTTTAATCGCTTGAGCTCTTGCATGCCTTTGGTTCCCTCTGATGACTTCAGCAATCTATCTGTCACGCCAGCTCCCGCGTCCAGGATAGGATGTGACCATCCTATTGGGCGAGACGGAGCGTGACCAGCGTTGAAGTTGCGGGGATCACTTATGTACCGGTTGACAGCTCTTGTCAGGCCGACCCGTAACGCGCCGTCGAGCTCGGCCCAGTACAAGAGCTCTTCCGAGCCCCAAGCACAGTTGGATTCTTGTACCGTCGTGTTCCAGTCGCAGAGGGCTTGGCGTGTATTTCGGTCGACGTCATCGGTCGGAGATGCCTGGACGATCGCTTGATCGAGCCTGTCGAGGAGATAGAGGCGGGTCGCATCGTCATCATGTACGACGGTGATGCCACGGCTGAGCTGAGGAATAGACTCGAACAACGGACGGAAGATCTTGCTGAGATCGGTAGAGCAGGTGGATACGGGTCCAGTGGATATCCCTCGAGACAAAGAGGACGATCCGGCAGGAGCAGGTGCGACCCACTTTGCCAGGCAGTCCCATCGAGATTCTACGTCCGGAAGCGTTGAGTTTGCGTGGGCGGAAATGGGCTGATCTAGCTGTGGGGGGAAAAGCTTGTCGAAGAGAATGACTTTGGCTTCATCGGATAGGGTGGACAGAGGGCGGGTGTGGTCGAGGGTGAGTGTGTGATGATCTGCGATAGCATGATGTAAATCGTTGAAGACCGAGGGTTGTACGTCTATACGAGGCATCGGAATGGAGGACAAGCACAAGGACGAGGAGGACGAAGTAGTGAAATACTGGGCGTTGTTGGTTGTTTACTGCAATAACGCCGATACAACCGTTTGCAAAACTCCGCAGATGTGACAGTGGCCCGTGGCAGTGGCTGTGGCCGTGGCACAAAGTCAACCGCACTCCGTTACTGCTTCAAGGCCTTGCTCAAGAGCGCAGAGTCGATAGTAGAGTAGCTTGGTACGTGGTAGACACCAGTATACATTCTTCAAGAAAAAGGGAAAGGAGAAGAAGAATAATGTATTTCAAGATCAACGCCTCAAGTACAGACAAAGTTAACGCTAATCGATATTATATAACCCAGGTCCACCACACGAATAAGTCACAGGTTGTGGAAAAACGTACCCTGCACTTGCAGCTCCGCTTTCCAGCCTTGATCTCTGCTCCCAGACCTCTGATCTTGGACCGGACGGCAAACAGCGCAGAGCACTCGACCTCGTGTAGATCTCTGTACCACCGTGCCCGTGGGCACAGGGCTGACCTGGAAAGGTATAAGCCGAGCACTCACAATCGCGGGGAACAAGCCAGGTCGCCTGTCTTGGCGTATCATACGAGATCCGGGAGGGCAGCGTGGCCACACACGTTTGTGCCGTTGCGCTGCTCAGTCTCATCGCTCGTCGCTCGTCGGGGCAGACGTCCAGCAGGACCATTACCGCCAAGACCAGTGGTCCTTGTCATCACCCCCATCGCCTCTGGCGTAAGCCTCAAGGGGCCGACTCGTCCCGGGCCAAAGGACCCACGGGGTTCCGCAAACCTGCCAGACCTTCGTCGGTCCGTTCCACAGGAGCCACCCATCAATTGACTTGCTGGTGGGGCGACTACCGTACATGCGTCGAATGGGGCGAGTTGATCCTCGCTCGGTGGGTCTGGGGTTCGCCGCGCTACGGGTTTGTTCTTCGTTTTTAATTGATCGGCAAGGGTCGTCAGATTGGCGAGCCCTGGTACCCCTGGCCGCCCTGGGGCAGGGCTGCGTGCATGGCTTATTGGCGGGCCAAAGATGACTGAAAGGAGACAGCGGGATGGAGCTGCCGCCGGCGTTGCGAAGCCGGTCGTCGCTTTGAGCAGACGATAAAGAGGTCGAGTGAGTGGGTGACGATATTGAGCGGGTCGAATAGTTCAGCAATTGGTTGGCTGCTAGTGTGAAAGAACATCTGGTCAGCGCAGTAAGGGCACAAGGGCTCATAGCGAAGGGGAGGGGGGATCGAAAGTGAGGTGGGCAGGAAAGATGTACTGTAGAAGATATGAAATGTGAAGAGTGTATGGGTATTGACGGTAAGGTGGTACTGTAACTTACGTGGAATGCCGGAAGAGTACAGTAGGCCTCACGGCGAGGGGGAGCGAGTCCCGACGCGCGGCGGGCGAGATCCGCCAAATGGACGGCCGAGGACGAGGACGATCGGAGCGGAACAGTCACATGTCTGCACATCGAAACGGACCTCGAGATGACAGAAAGTGTCGAGCTGTATTGGCGTGAGCGATAGCTCGCAGCTCATGATGGAGAGGTTGTAAACTTACAGGACTGTTTGAGTTCTCATCCCAATCTTGGCAAGCCCACAGTCCCTCCCACATGATGTAGCAGTCTACTCTACCTCCTTCTACGACACCTCTGAACACTTCCCATATCGCCTCTTCAATTCTTTGACCTTGAGAGTTATCAGACAACGGCGAAGCGAGGAGTACAGAGCCAGACGGGGAAGGGGTATTGAAGGTTTGGAGTGGCTCTTCTGGCCAGTCCATGTTAGGCGCTTGATAAGCGTCATACTGCCCGAAGTCGACTTCGCCGTTGGGAAGTAATCTAATTTATGCTACCCAGAGAATAATTATATTGGCCCGCATTTTATTAGACCGCGGACTTTTTGCTGATGCAACAACCGTCTTCCATTCTTTTGGCCCTGATTGAATTGTCCATCGAAGTATCTCGACAGCTTTCAGGCTTGCTACAACCGTCTGCTGTGCTATGTATCGATGAATGCATGAGCCAGCGACGACGAGGAGCGCTTTGCCGAAGTAGACCCCGCCGAGCCGCGCTCCCGAGATCCAATTCTTATCGCCAGCGAGTCACATTTTTATCTCGGCTTTCATCTTTTTCCATCCACATTTCATGATCCCCTGCCTCCCTCGCCTCTCCCAACGCCTCCCTGCCCGCACCATGCCCACACACCTCCCCACGCCCCCCGCCGAGCCCCTCGTCCGCGCTGCCCAGGCTACAGTCTACCTCCACACCCCTTTCCACCCCAAGGCGGAAGAATATGCTGCCACCCGCTTCGCCAAGCTCCTCCGCCCGAGCGATGGCCCATGGGAAACACTCATGCCCCAGATCGACGCCATCCGTAATCCCCCCTCCCACAAAATCCCAGCCCACGCTGACACGAAAACGACAGTGCTTCGAACGGGCACTGTAACCTCCGACATGGTCAAAGCCGCCCCCAAATGCCGTATCATCTCTCGAAACGGTACCGGCGTCGACAACGTCCCTATCCAAACCTGCCTCTCCCAATCCATCGCCGTCACCAACGTCCCGGGCGGCAACGCCAAAGTCGTCGCCGAGCTCGCCTCACCCTCATGCTCACCGTCCTTCGCCGCGCGCTCGAAGTCGATCGCCGGATCAGAGGCGGGGAGTGCGTGCCGTCCATCAAGGCTTTGAGCCCGGGACTGTTTGGCAAAGTCGTAGGTCTCGTTGGGATGGGCGATATCTCGTACGAAGTCGGAAAGCTCGTGACGGCATTCGGCTGCCGAGTCGTCGTCTTTTCCCCCACTTCCCCTCCTACCCGCTGGACCTCCTCCGACGCCAGCTACCAGACGCCCCTCCCCCCCACACCCGCGCTTCTTCCCTCGAAGAGCTTCTCCGCCAAGTCGACGTCGTCTCCCTCCACTGCCCCCTCAACGACAGCACGCGCAACTTGATAGGAGAGAAGGAGCTGGGGTGGATGAAGGACACGGCGGTGGTGGTCAACACGGCGAGGGGAGGGATCGTGGATGAGAGGGCGTTGGAGAAGGCGCTCAAGGCGAGGAAGCTGGGAGGAGCGGGGCTGGATGTGTTTGTGGTCGAGCCGGCGTACGGAGAGTCTTTGGGCGGGTTGAGAGAGCTGGACAATGTCGTTCTGTTGCCTCATCTGTAAGCTTTCCTTGCCTCTTTCCTCCCCCTTCTCCTCCTTTCGCTGACTATTGCTGTAGCGGTGGTAGTACCGACGGCGTCACTCTCGACGGCTGCAATATGGCTATCGACATCATGGCCGATTATCTCGACGGCAAGGGGGCCATCAACCGCGTTGTATAGAGGGTTTCCGTTTATGGTTGTATAGAATGATCAGCGTTTAGACATTGGGTTAGATTCAGCATTAGAGATTCTACAGTATACCTTAAATGAGATCGTATGGATTGACGACATTGTCGTACTCGAGCGTAACATGGCGGTCGCCTGATTTGAACGAACATTTATACACGAAGACGCCCCACGTCAAAGCTCGCCCCTTGTCAGCCCCTCATTCGACTCGTCCACTCTCTTCCACGCAAATCGATCAAGATTCAAAGATGTCCACCGCCCTCGCCGTCAACGCCCTTAGACCAAATCCCACTCGATCTCCCCGCACCCTACACATCACAAACCCCCGCACCACCCCTCACATCACTCCCAAAGCAAACAACCAAGTCCCAACCCAAAACATCGAACCTGATATGCTATGCATCCGACTACTCCCATACACCTCCACCTCCGCCCCGGCTTCTTGGTCCTTAAGCCAAAGTAACGGTGGCGCCCAGATCTTGCAGCGTCTTTTGGAGCTTCTCGGCGTCTTCTTTGGGAACGTTCTCTTTGAGGGTTTGGGGCACGGATTCGACGAATTTCTTGGCCTAGAGGGGGGGAGGGGGTGTTGTTCGGTGGAGATTGATGCTAGGGGGAAGGGGAGGGGATTGGGATTTTTGCGAAGACAAGGAAAGATCATGAGAAAGAGATACGAGACGCTCGACCTTCGACGCTCGACGCTCAACACTCGACGTTGAAGGAATGGGGTCTGAGCGATACGTCTCCCTTGGCTCGCAAGCACCCCAAACAGCAAAAAGAGCCTGCCGCGGCCGCCTCCTCTGCCCAAGCCTCCCACCGAAAAGAGAATAGCCAGGACTCCTACTCCTCCAACTGATCGTTCGCCCATGAACGACCAGAACACCACACGTCTCACAGCCTTCCCCCTTTCGCGAAACGCCCCCGCACGCTACACCGCCTCGTCTGCATGGTTTTCGTCCATCGATCGTAGCCCCCTCCACTCCCCACATCTCGCCCACCTCATCGACGTATTTCTCCCTCCCCAAACAAACCCTTCCCCCAACCAAACAACAATAACACACTCACCTCAACCAAGTTCATATTGGGCAACATAGCCTTGACCTCCCTGATAATCTTTGCCTTTGCAGCCGCATCAAACTTTTCGAGCTTGACGGTGAAAATAGTCTTCTCCTTGGGCTTCTCCTCGACCGGGGCTTCGGCAGCTGCTGCTGAGGGCGCGGCGGCAGCAGAGGCGGCGGGCATGGCGATCTCGGTGATGTTCAATCTTGTCTGTACACCCAGTCAGCCCCCCCTTCTCCATGGCAAAAGTCACTGGGGTGAAGGAGAGCGAAACGCACCTTGAGGGCAGAAACGAGCTCAGAAACCTCCAAAAGACTCAATGTAGAGATGGTCTCGACGATGGGGGCGATCTTGGGGGATACGGGGGCGGCGGCTTCAGGCTCGGCGAAAGAGGGGCGGGATGAGGAGAAGGAGCGGAGGGCGAGTCGGGAGGAAGAGGCGATTGGTCGGGCGGACGGAGGAGAGATCTGGAGAGCTGTGATGAAAGTGAGAAGGGTAAAGATGGGGACGAGAGACGGACGTACGCTCATGGTGACTGCAGTTGTTTTGTACGAGTATAGGGAGTAAGCCGGGGGATTGACCGATGACTTGCACGAAAATGCAGAGATGAACGGAATCAATCAGGTGCCACAACCAAAACATCCCGCGTTTCGCCGTCCCAATGTTTGGTCCTCTTTCTCCTCTTTGTGTTGTGTTTGCATCGTTCACCAGCTCTTGGCGGGAACACTCGAGCTCATGCGAGCCTTCTTGTATGTAGAATATTGATATGCATGCTTTGTTATAGACAGTGATAGGCATCTTGACAGCTCCGAAAGAGCCGCCCTTCGGACCTTCCCGATGGGGCAATTTTGCCAGTTTAAGACCGCCAAGTTTAACTAAGTTTAATAATGGGTCAGAGCCACTCTTAAACAGACCGCACTGCATTCAACTTGAGAACGCGTTCAACTGACAGAAGAATGCGACGCGTTGACATTTTATTTCTCTTCTCTATCCATCGCAAAATCACCCCTTCATCCGTCCAGGGATTTGCTGCGGTCAACCGAGAGCTGGAGGAGGCTGAGGCTGAGCTTCAGATAATGGATGATGAGGACGACATGGAGGGTATCGAAGAGGAAGAGAGCGACGAGCGCGGCTTCAACATGATGTTCTTGGGTGCCACGATTAACGGCGAGGCCGACCAGGATATCGATCCCTATGTGAGTGTTGCCTCATAGGTTTATCACTTTTGCTGTTTTTCTGACTCGACATTCACTTGCAGGAGCAACCAGTTGACGGACGCACTCCTCGCTCCAGGAAGCGCTCGCGGCCGTATACAGATGGCCCTTACTACGAAGATGACAGTCGGGGTGTCGCACGACGGTGAGCAGAGTTCCTATTGCCTATGTGTATCTTTAACTGCTACTGACCAGTTGTCAGTCTTTTGTGACCGATAATATCTTATCATATCCGGCACAAGCTTTACTCCATCCCGATGCTCCTCCGATCCCCCCCCTTCCATCTTCATCAACATCTTCACTTCCTTCTTCAACATCTTTCCTTCCATCTTCATCAACGTCCACTCTTCCGATATCGTCCTCCATCAGCCACCCAGGCTCATCGACCGTCGCTGCGACCCTTTCTACAACGGCGTCCGTCGCTACTTCTATGTTCTCCAATGCCTCATAGTTCCTCAGGGTCTTCTGGCCCCTGCAGCTGTTGGGGGAAATGCGTCGGCCATTATCGCTGGCTCTAGCTCGCTCAGCACCCACAGAATTGGTGCCGCAGGGCTGTCTCGGTCCGAGGTCTTGTACAGTGCACGTACTGGAAGCTCCCTCCAGAAGGAAAGGCGCAATGGCACCGAATACTTTCGTATCTGTGAGTACTTTGCGTGCTCCAGTCTTTTTGCCACCTGACCCAAGCTGCGTAGGTGCTTTGCGGCTGATGTTTAAATGGGACTCAGCTGCCGACTCAAAAGAGTGGGAAGAGGCGGCCAAGCGGTATAACGACCCCAACCTCGAACTAAACCCCCATCACTATTTCACCCATCACGGGCAGCCTCCGGGTGATGGGCCTCGACATGGAAGCTATCTAAGGGCGGAATGTAAGAAAATAGATAGTACAATAAGAAGGAAGATGGCGAAGGCGGTTGCGACTGGTAGTGAGTGCCAAATGATCTTTGACGTTCTCTGGTCTCTCCGCTCGGCGTTGTCAGGCAATCAGTATGCTGATTGTCCTTTAGGTACCCTTTCACGCTTTTGGGCCATGCAGACCAAGTGGGTCGCACCGATGAATTCAAGGAGGAAGCGGATAACAGCAAACGGATGCCCCGCAAAGGACAACATATGCCGCCGGTGCCGAAAAGTCAAAACTTGTCACGCTATCAGGAGTATGAATCACGCCAAGCACCATTGCGATGACGGCTTCCTGTTGAGAACGAGGTTGATCCCCTACCCGATTGGGCCGCCTGCAGGCAAGGATAACAACGCTTTCCTGGTTGACGTGGCACCAGAAGGGAAGGTGAAGAAGACGGAAAGGCGGATGAACGGGTACATGTAGCGTGCTAGGTGCCTGCACGCCCCATGGACTCTTTTTAGCTTTGCTCGCCTCCGCCTTCGCTCCGTCTTCGCTTCCGTTACTCGTCTTCGTTCTCTTTCTCTCTTCTAGTAAGGCTGTCCGACGTACGTCGACACGCCCATACTCGCTACCCTGACTTTCTTCCACCCGTCTCTCCTTTCTTATTGTCTTTAGCCTTTCGTACACTTCGCTGGTTGACTTGTACCCTTATTCGCTTCGTGCCGTAGACGTATCACGTAGTCGCTCCGTCTATCGTCTCGTCACTCATACATGTATATAAGAAAGGCTGGGTGTTGGGACAGAGACCTCAAACCACATTCTTTGACTTTCTTCTCTCCCCTCCTCTTCTTCCTTTACCTCGACACTTCCTCTCGAGACCTCATCCAAGCACATCCGTGTCTTCCTCTTCACGTACTTGGACTAAACCTTCAATTACACGTGGTGATAGTTTCGGCTGTCACCCCCAGAGCAGGCCTGGTCACTACAGTACAGAGTGAAGGTGATGTTGAATGAGGCGGTGGAGCGTGAGCGGAGTATGACTGAGAGCGAGCGGCAGGGAATGGAAGACTTGGAGCGACTTTATCACGGAAATCGTGTCCGCTTCGCAGCTCTGGCTTGGAATGAGGAATTACAGGATTTTATTCTGGACGAGAGGAGACTTGGTAGTCAGAAGTGAAGAGTTGTTGTGTGAGCATGAGCAATGTACAATGGTTGCTACCTATGTTTACTTCAAGGGATCTACACTCTGGAATTGCAATCTGGAAGTGACAGGCTATTTTGGATAAAAGGAAATGGGTAAGCAGCAATGAAGAATGATGGGAAGAGGCAACATTGTGGCGTGTTGTGGAGAAAAGGGGAATAGCGTCCCGATTGCTTGGACGTACCGTGCGTCCGGCAGTCGCGTGCAGCAAGTCAGGTATGATTGGAGTAATGGCCACTGTGGGTCCTGTGGAAACAGAGGATGCTCATTGCCTGTGTTGCATCACGCGGGCGCTACAAGACATCAAGGGTTGAACGCGTGACATGGTTTGTAAGATGGGTTCCTGATAGCGAACAAGTGTCCTCACCAAGTGACCCCTGAGCGCTAGGGGAAAGACTTAGCCTCTCTACCTCTCTGATGAAATAAAGAGCAAGGAAGCGTAATGCATGTCATGGGAGGAGGATATGTCAAGAGAAACTATAGGCATTCTTAGTTAGTGGACGCGCGCCGGTTTAAGGAGGTGCGCAAAGGTCTTTTGGGTTTATCTCAAGCCATGCATAGTGAAGTCAGAGATCAGTCATACCTGAGGATTACTGTGAGCCTCGAAAACGCTCTGTAGAAAGGAGAAACTCCATCAGAATATTGTGGTGTATATAAAAGGCTGTTAGAAGTCTGCAAGAAGCCAAATCTGAGGCGACGGCGGCTGCCGAGAGTGCGCCGGCTGAGCACTGTGACCAGATTTCCCAAACTTCTCCCGGAGTCACTCACACGCTCAATAATAATGACCGCAGACATTTCCTCATGCTCTCAATTCCCCCTTCCACCCTCCTAGAAGAGCAAAAAAAAATAAGGAGCAGGCAGGACTCGAACCTGCGCGCCTGACGGCATTCGATGAAGGAATTAACTAATTCTAATCGAACCGAGTAACCACTGTCGCACTACTCCATTGATATTTTCCTTGCTCAACCGTTGTCCAGGAGTGAAGTGTGGTAAGTGTTGCTTGAAAGCGCAGGCAAATATGTGTTGGAACAGCAATGAAGCGATGATAAATGCTCAAGAATTCAAGATAGAAGCGTCAGCAGCCTCGGCGCATGACTACAGGCAGTCACGCTCGGGCATCGACCATGTCAGCAATCCCATGAGCCCATCCAGGAGTATCAGTCAACATAAATCCGGACGGGAACATGGAGTACGTGTATGACATCGACATCGTGAGCATTAAACATATAGGATCATATCCACGACGTTCAGAGGGGGGGTATAATTCAAACATGAAAAAACCAGTTCTTCATGCTCATGGAAACGAAACCACGCAAGAAACAGCAAACAAAGCAAGGAGAATTGGGTTTATCGATAAGAGGCAGGACGCCCGAGATATTTTCGTTTCAATCTTGAAAAATGCAAAAAGATCCCGGGGGATAGAGTTAAAGCAGCGAGATATCTATAAAGATTAAATGAGAGATGGTTCTCAGTACGTTTAGTGGTACTTGGCAAGGGCGGTGGTGTAAGTCTGACCAGACTCACTGTCAAAAGCATCAGCACTCTGCCTCGCGATCATGGAGACAGGACTCACGTAAGAACACCGTTAGAGACCAAAGCCCACTCGTCAGAGAGACCTTCACCGGTAGAGTACGCGTAAGCGTAGACCCGGTCATCGGCCTGGAAGAGGTCGACAATGTCCTGGATGAAGGTGTTGATCTCGGACTGGTCGGTACAGGGGACAAAGTCGGTAGAGTCGTCGACACAAGCAAACTCGGTAACCCAGATGGGCTTCTGGCCAAAGTTGTTGTAGTAGTAGTCGATGTCGGCCTTGACACCGTCCATGCTGTTCTTGTTGATGTGCAAGTTGAGAATGTCAAAGTCGGTAGAGATCTGAGACTCGAAAGAGCTCAACCATCCGATGTACTGCTCGGCGGCCTGGTGGCACATGGAAGGAGAAAGGAGGAGAGAGCCCTTGTCCTTCCACTGGGCAATGTTGTTCTCCCAGACGGTGACGGCTGCATACGAGTTAGCGGAATCAACAGCAAGATGCGAAGGAGCGTACCATCGGAAACAGCGATGTTGGAGGAACCGTCGGTAGAGCAGTCGGGCTCCTCGAAACCGATAATGTAGGCAGGAGTATCGGTGATGGCCTGGAAAGCGGCGAGTCGAGAAGCGTCGGTGTCGTCGACGGTACCACTATTCTCATGTTAAATCTTCATTCTGTCTTTGATTGTTCCAGACTTACGCGCCCCAGAGCATGTTGACACCGATAGCGGCAGAGCCAGTGTGGCCAGAAGGCACGGCGTTCCAATCGTACCACCAACCTACAACAAATCAATACTGTCATCACAACCTCCAGAAATAGCACTTACCGATGTGGTCACCAATCATGCTGTAAGCATCACCACCGGCAATACCAGCCTTGATGTTGTTAGGGGTGTAGGCGCTGGTAGAGGTGGAGGTAGAAGCCGAAGAGGTAGAAGAGGCCGCAACGGAGCTGGAGGAGTCGGACTGCGCATACAGTCAGCTTTGACCTCTTTTTGGATTGATCCCGACTTACAGAGACTTCATAGGCGGCGACGGCGGCGACGCTGGAAGAGGCAGCGGCGGTGGTAGAAGCGGTCTCGACAGCTGCCTCGGTGGAAGAGGCGGTCTCGGCAGCGGCAGAGGACTCGACAGAGGTGGCGGACTCGGTGGCAGACTCGACGGCAGAGTCGGTAGAGACAGCGGCGTCGGAGGAAGACTCGACGTCGGAAACAGCGCTGGCAGCATAAGTCTCGGCGGCGGCGCTGGTGGCGGAAGCAGTCTCAGACACAGTGGCAGAGGCAGAAGAGTCCTTCACTCGGCAAGTGGTACCTCGTCGAACGACCTTTCTCCTCTTCTGGACCTTGGGCTTCTCGGCGAGGGCTCGAGGGTGGGCCGCAGCAAGCTCGTCACGTCGCTGCTCGACGGCACCGGCGATACGCTCGTGCTGGCCGACGGATCGTCGGTGGGCAGCGGCATGGGGATGGAGAGAGGATCGCGCGAGAGCGGGGGTGGCGAGGAGGGCAATCACGGGGATAAGAGCGGTGAGCTGCATTGTGATTGGTTTTTTTGTGTCGAATCAATAGGTCGTCGAGGGGGTCGTTGGGGTGAAAAGAACGTGGGGGTGAGTAAAAGAGTGTTGGGTGTCTAGACGTCGAGCCGTAGTGTCGAAGGAGATGAACAGAGAAGAGATAAAGAGTTGGCGAACCACGTTAGCTTTGCACTTGCAGGATGAACAAAACGGAAAGCAATAGGGTTGTTGTTGTGTGGCGCGCTGCGATGGGCTCGAGCAGATCGCAGATGGGCATTTGTTTTTCCGCTTGCAGTAAATGTGACGCGTGTTCGAGACCGAATGAGACAGACGTGCCCAAAGCGACATGCCCAGTCAAGACACGGTCGCTAGGCCGCAGTAGATCGCAGGTTTTGCAGGAAAAAGACAAAGGGCAAACAACGGGGCACACGATGCACGACGCGTTTCACGGCGCAAGAGAAAGGGAGAGGGATGTGACTCACGGGTGGTACGTACGAGATGCTCAAGCCAGTTGAGGGGGCGGTGTATGTAGATATAAGTTGAGGGATGAAGAAAAGAGAGAAGAAAGAGGGTTGTTGTGGCCTGTGCGTGACAGACGCGTCCAGCCCTGAACACTCAGGGAACGCCGTAAATAGAGCCGAGACCCGACGCGGGAACCGCCGCTGGCGCTCAACGCATCAACGTGGTGGCTCTTGAGTGGGAGTTGATGTTGTTCACGTGTTGCTCGTTGATGGGCGAGGGCAGCAAGGGGGGACCGTTATGTGGCAATCACGCTTGACAGAGGGTGGACTAGGTCCCGGGGAAAGCCTTTCGGCCCCATCCAACGACAGCAGAGCTATACTTAGGTCATCCCCGATGCGTGCTCGGTGTACTTGTATATGCACCCCTTTGTACAGGGCAGTGTCCAAAAGAAAGCCGGTAGCGAAGAAAGAGGGATGTTGAAGTCCTGGGGGGCTGAGTAGGCTGCTTCTTGGGGACGTTCAATGACCTTGAAGACATCTGCGCACTCTGTCTGACTGGTCTGATCCAGGACGTACTAGCTATGCAAAGCCGCGTACACAGCTGGTTTGATAGGGATCTCGGGAATGCATGCCATTAGAGAACGGTGAGTTGAAAGATTGAGAGATGTGTTTGGTCGGACGAAAATGGAAGCGGTACATCAGTGATGTTGCCAGGGCTCAGTACCTCAAGTGAAAACCTGGGACTTCGGTTAGCAATTGGTGAGTTTTTTTTTTTTTTTTACTGGAAGCTATGGAAGCTCGAAAAGTCTCAGGAAGATGGAAGGTTGGATGATCGAGACAGACGTACCGCTATCCTCGCCAGATGATGATTTGCTCGCAAAAAAGCTGTTGGCGATGAGCTAGGCGAGGGACATCTACTGTTGACATTGCTGTCACGTGGCTGTCGCCACTTGACCAAACACCCGAGCCAAACACCCGAACCTCCACCTCCCACGTCCGCGTCGAGCCCACATCTTGCCACCATCTGACTATAACATCCATCCATCTACCTCCGCGGCCGAGCTATACCAGCACCGCCTTCGAGATCAAACCTTCACGGGCAAGAATGGAAATACGCGGAGATAGAGAGAGCAAACCCATTCCACCACTTTCGAGAACATTCTTTCGCCACCAGGTTGGCCGATGTAGTTGATTCTAGAGGTTTCGACGGAGGATACGATGAGTAAGCAGACTTGAGGTGCCAGGGTATATAAGGACGTGTCTCCATAGCTGTAGATACTTCGTCGATCCACTATTGTTGTCTTCTCTAGTACACACTTTTCTCTCTCGCTCAACACACTCGTACAAACGCTATCTTCCTTCGGCATTGGTCTGGCCACTCACTTCGAGTTCTCAGACCATTTCGTCTCTACCCCTCGGCGAGCTCTGAAGGCATAGCCTAAGGAAGGTAGCCCCTTGACAATTGCACAGATGGGTGGTTGTACAGAAGAAATAGATTCTGGAAAGACAAAAGCAAGAATAATAATTGAATTCAGAAGCTTATGAATATACACAACTAGTGGTTCGAGCGCATCGAGTTATGTAAGCGCCATGTTCTTGGCATCTTATTGTTTTTGGCATCTTATTGTTTTGGTCAGGATTTGGTCAGAATGCAGTCTGAGCACATTCAAACGTCGGGTAGAGAGCCATTTCCGACAGTGTACATCTCGATGCCGTTCATTGTTGAATGTGATTCATCCGGAGCTGACGTGAGTGCGGTGGCTGCCTGAGATATCACTCAACTGTGAACTGTTCTGCTACCGCGCGCGTGTCGTACGTCCCCCTTTTCTCCCGTCTTCCGCATCGAATTATCTCCCCCATATCTCTACTCACTCCATCCGAGCTACTTATCATCTTCGCTCCACAGCACAATACAACATGGGCGACATCGATAAGGCCGAGATCAAAGTCCATCCCGACTGGAAAGACGAAGTCCCCAATGCCAACGGCGACACCGATCCCATTGCTACCACTGTGACTCTTGTCAGCAGCGACGAAGTTCACTTTCACGTACCCAGGTACCTACTCATGGCAAACAGGTATGTCGGTACCATCGTACACTTTCCGCCCAATCTCACTTTCTCGCTATAGCCCCGTCCTGAAAGATATGCTCTCCGTCCGCACGACCAACAATTCCCAAAAAGTAGAATTCTCCGATGACGCCCCGAATCTGCTGCCTCCCTTGCATTTTACCTCTCCGTCCTCATCGGAAAAGATGGCAAGGTCACTTTGGAGGAAGAGTACAAGACGAGGATCGTGAGGACGTGTCATGTTGCTATACTCCTGGCGGTCAAGTGGGAGTCGGCCTTGGTTTTGAGAGGCATTGCGGAAGCTTTGTCGTCTTTCAATATCCCTTCCAACCTTGAAAAGCAGGGAGAAGTTCGGGCTTTGGACACATTCTTGCTGGCACACAAGGGGGACATGACAGCGGTTGCTGCGACGGTCTTACAGACATATGAACCTGATGTCGGGGGCGGCAAGCCCGATCCGAGTCATCGGGGAGGCTTCATATGCGAACAGGGAAGAAACTCGCTTTGGCTGGACTCTCTCAACCACGATGTGTGGGCCCAGCTTGGAACGGACTACATCTTCGCCCTTACCAAGAGCCAGAGAATCAATATTGGGCTTCGTGGATGCTATCGCTCTATATCGTTTGTGAATTATCTGAAAAACATTCGTGAAGCACAAAAGCAATCTCCGTTGTCGAAATGAGAGTGATACCTTCGGACGTCTCAAACACTTGAAATTGTTTATCAGCCATGTATATGATCTGTGCACACCGCGAAAAGGCCAGGTCTCTTCGCTGTAACAGTGTCCAGATAATACAAGCGACTTACAGGATGTTATAGGCTGCTATTGTGCTCAGATTCTACACTCTATCATGTTTCTGGTTGGAGGTCGAGATCCAGCTTGAGATCTTCTTCTCTTGAATCCCACGACAAGGCTCCTCTCGTTGACGCAACTCCAACCCCAGCATGACCTTCACGTATTCCATCTCCTCTGCCAACACCTCGTCGCCGTCCTCATCGCTCGACACGAGTCTTCCACCTTCAAAGTCTATGAGGCACAGGCTACCGTCTGTCTGCACGCCGGAAAATCTGATGCCGCTCAAGATCGTGTCGAATGTTGCAGACCTTAGCCGAGTACGTAGCTCGTTCATGACCAGAGATTCGACCGGACATTCTAAAGCGGCTCGGGAAGCCGTCGAAGTGCGTTTCTCGTCGCACTGTTGATCGTCGCACGCCCCACTTTACTTCCCGCCTTTCGTCTTCCGCACCTTTAATCGTCTTTTTCAACAGCTCTCTGTTAGTCATTTCGCCTTCCATTCCGCAAATAAACACAATGGGCGACGATGAGACAGAAATCAAAGTCCATCCCGACTGGAAAGATGAATTCACCAATCCCAACGGCGACACTGAGCTCATTGCGACCACTGTGACGCTTATCAGCAGCGATGAGGTCCATTTCCATGTACCCAGATATTTACTCATGGCCAGCAGGTGAGTGAGATTGAGCTCTCCTTTCTATCTGACCTCACCATCTTGCTGCAGTCCCGTGTTAAAAAATATGCTCTCCCTTCCCGCCGGCAATGAACCCCAGAACGTCGAACTTTCCGACCGTTTTCTCGAAAACTCTTCGCCGATTGCGTTCTATCTTTCCTTGCTGGCTGGAGAGAATGGGAAGACCACTTTGGAAAACAAACATCAAGGGAATATTGTCAAAACAAGTCACGCTGCTATACTCTTGGCGGCCAAATGGGAGTCAGTGCTGGTCTTGAGCGGCATTGAGGCCGCATTGGCGTCTTTCAACATTCCTTCCACTCTCAAGGGACATAAGGAGGTCCGAGCTTTGGACATGTTTCTTCTGGCTTCCAAAGGAGACATGACTAGCATCGCAGCGGCGGTCATACAGACGTACAATCCTCAGGTCGGAGACGGACAGCCCCAACCCAGCTATTGGGGGCATCATCTGAGTCGAGCTCATGATGGCCAAATATTGAGACTGGATACTTTGAATTCTGACATTTGGGCTGAGCTAGAGACCGACTACGTATATGCTCTCAGTAAGAGTGGCAGTAACGATCCTATTCAACGATCTGTCTCTTTTATAGAGTCACTGAAGAAGGTTTGTTCAGCTCAAGCGAAGTCTCGCTCGAGAACATGGTAGAACAAGTTCACTCAGCATATGTATGACGGACGACATTACAATGCCCAAATTATTCATCTATTATATACAGCTGTAACATGATGTCCATTCTCATGCGAGAGTACAGTACACAGATATCTGCTTATGGCGAGCAGGTAAGTGAAATCGAACTCCCTTTTCTATCTTTTCTCACCATCATGCTGCGGTCCCGTCCTGAGAGATATGCTATCCCTTCCTATTGGCGAGTCCCATAAAGTCGAGCTATCCGACCCATTCTTCGAAACCTCTTCACCCATTGCATGCTATCTTTCCCTCATCACCGGAGAGGATGGCAAGACCACTCTGGAAACCAAGCATACAGGGGCAGTTGTGAAGACTTGTTATGCTGCCATACAGCTGGCGATCAAGTGGGAGTCGGTGCTTGTGCTGAAGAGTATTGAGGCGACCTTGCTGGCTATCAACATCCCTTCGATTCTCAAGGGGCATCCAGAGGTTAGATCTCTGGATATCTTCCTGCTGGGGTGCAAAGGGGACATGATCAATGTCGCCGCGACCGTTATACAGACGTACAACCTCGAGGTCGGTGACGGAAGACCTGAACCCAATCTTTGGGGTCATTATCTAGATCGAAACCATGAAGGTCAATAGTTCCTAGGGCATTTAGCAGCTGATATTTGGGGCGAGCTGGAGACTGACGACATATATGCTCTTTGTGCGAGTGCGCATGAAGATACCAGCGATCTGATCCATCAATCTGTTTGTTTTATAGAGTCACTAGAGCAGATTCGTTCAGCTCGCGAGAAGTCTCGTTCGAGAGTATGGTAGTGCGGGTAAACTGCGCATTGGGATTGAAGTACATCATACATCAATCCCATCAATACCTCACCGGGCCTCTGCACCGATGTTGAAAGAAAGCCACGCTCTTGCCACGCTCACGGGTCACGTGGTTTCGAGGGACCAAGCGCGTCGCTTGTTGTTTGCGGCACGCGCCGGCGTTCTTTCGTCTGTCCATCTTTTTGTCAAGGCCTATATTTTATCCAAACAAGGACAACGACAATGGCGGACACTTCGGTCACAGAGGACATCACCCTCCAGACCCTCGGCGACGTCCACTCGGACATGGACGACGGACACGTGGCGGAAGCCCAGGCGGACCGAGCGGGCAGTGCTGAGAGGCTCGTGAACGGGGATGACGGCAAGGAGGCAGAGAATGGGGAGGCTGTAGAGCATGAGGAGGCTGGCCATGGCGCTGAGAACGGGAAACCTGAGGAAGAGGCTGCGCCCGTGGAGACCGCCCAGGAGCCCGAGACCAAGGAGGAACCAAAGAAGGAGGCATCAGGCGTGATGAAGGTGCTCAAGAGCGGCGTGTTTGGAGGTGAGTGGACACGATGTTTCTCACGATATCCGTTCTGATGTGGCTGAAACATAGCAGGCGCTCCCAAACCGAGCCCCCCTCAGTCCAAGGCTGCTACCGGTGCCGCCGCATCAGCTCGTCTTTCCAGGCCTTCTTTGGCGCCGGTGAAGACTGGCCCTACCGCCTCCAAGCCAGCGACTTCAGCTACCAAGCCGACCAGTGCTTCTTCCACGGCTGCTGCTCGACCCACCCACGCTTCTCGAGCATCTGTCACGACTCGTCCCACGGCAAGCACCACTACCAGACCTTCAGCGACCAGACCCACCGGCACCTCGTCCACTGCAGCCAAGCCTGAAGTCAAGCCCAGGCCGACTGCATCTGCTTCCGACAGGACTGCAAGCTCGAGTACTGCCCGACCGACTGCATCTTTGACTGCCGGTACCGCTTCCCGGACTAGACCTGCTCCCAGCAAGCCATCAGTCCCCACTGCTGCGTCTGCCCGTACGACTACAACCACGGCGACTCGCCCAACAGCCACTCGACCTACTGCTGCCAGTGCTTCTACCATTGCCAGTAAGCCCGAGGCGAAGCCGACTACCATCACAGCTTCCCGGGTGACCCGACCTTCTACTACCACCACCACTCGACAGCCCCTCACTGCCCAGCGCACGGGCACTTCGACCACCGCTGCCACCCGTCCCGCTGCCACCCGCCCTGCAGCCGGCCGAGCAAGTATGGCGCCTTCCACCACCGCCCGAGCTCCCATATCTGGCGTCCCTCCCAAGGTACGAGCTGGATCGGGGCCGAGTGTTGTGGCTGGAGGTGCGAAGGAGTTGACCGAACTCAAGGGGAAGGTGGGAGAGTTGGAGAAGCAGATCGAAGAGGAGAAGGTAAAGTATGAGGAAAAGGTTGCGGGGTTGGAGCAGGAGAAGGTGGAGCTGGAGGAAAAGTGAGTTTATCCAGCTTTCCTTGGCTGAATCGGCTGACATGGGATGAAGGCATGTGAAGGCGATTGAAGAGCTCAAAGCCGAGATTGAGGTTGCCACTGAAAAGGCTGGTGCCGGCGACGGACAGGTACGTCAAGCCGCCTCCCTGAAAGGACGTGGCACTGACTTTTGACTAGCTTGAGGAGCTGAAGGCGTTGCACGAGACACAGCTCAAGGCTGCTGAAGAGGAAAAGATGGCTATCATGTCCGAGATGATGTCCAAGCTCCAAAAGTATGTCTCTTCCCGGCCACTAGAGTGTGCGCTGACAAATCACCAGACTTGGTACCGAGTACCACTCTGTCCAAACCCAACTCAAATCCGCACAAGCCGAGCTTTCATCTTCCTCCTCCGCCCTCTCAACCCTCCAGACTACCCTCGAATCAACCCAATCCGAACTCGAGTCCCTCCGCTCATCTTCCCAGACATTCGAATCTTCCATCGCATCTCTACAGTCCTCCAAGGCCGAGCTCGAAGCGCAACTTGAGAATGTCGAAGCGGAGAAGAAGGCGCTGGATGAAAAGCTTAAAGAGGGCGAAGCGGATGCTGAGAGGAGCTTGGCGGATGCTTCTGGGCTTGGGGGGAAGGTGCAAGAGCTGGAAGAGAAGATCCAGCAGCTTGAGGATGAGCTTGAGAAGAAGAAGGAGGCTTTGAAGGCTGAGGAGGCGAAGGCGCAAGAGCACAAGGCTGTGAGTGACTACAGGGTACGATGGACGGCGCTTATACCAGTTTAGGCTCTTGAGACCGAGATTGAAGCGCTCAAGGGCGACGGTGCTACTCATACCGAGGCTCTTGCTCGAGCCACTTCCGACCACGCTGCCAGCAAAGAAGAGCTCGATGTGAGTCTCTTCCTCTTCCAGAACTACCAATCTGACAGTCCCGCAGAATATCAAGATCGCTCACGAACAACTCTCCACCACCTACGCCGACCTCCTGCACTCCTCCTCCCGCCACCCGGAGGATATCGCCAACCTTCAACGCCAGCTCTCGGAGGCTACAGAAAAGCACGAAGCTCTGCTCGTTGAAGCTGCTTCCCATGCAGGTGCTAGTGAGAAGACGGCAGAGCTGGAGAAGAAGGTGGAAGAGCTCGGACAGGCAAGGAAGGCTGGGCAGGAAGAGGTTGAGGCGCTGAGGGTGAAGTTGGAGGAGGTTGAGAAGGAGGTTGAGGTGTTGCAGGGGTTGAAGAAGGATGCTGAAGAGAAGGAGAAGAACTTGAATGAGGTGCGTTGACCGCGATGGCTGGGGATGAGGCTGACTGTTTGTAGATCATCTCGGGTCTTGAGGCGGAGATTGCAAAGTCTAAAGCCGAGTTTGAGCAGAAGTACAATTCTGCTTTCAAAGACGCCAAGGTATGTCATACCGCCTCATGCCGACTGGATACTAACCCAGTCGACAGGCTGTCGCCGACAAGGAACACCAACAAGAACTCTCCTTCTTCCGCAACGAGATCGCCACCTCTCAAGGCCAACTGCAAGAAGCCCACACCGCCGAAATCTCGTCCCTCCAAAACGCCCACTCCACCTCCCTCTCCGAGATTAGCGTCCAACACCAATCAGAGCTCACAACCCTGGAGCTGTCGCTGCAGGCTGCCACCCAACAGGTGGAGCAGGACCAGAAACGGTTGACGGACGTCAAGGAAGAAAAGGAAAAGCTGGAGGAAGAGGTGAAGAGGCTCAAGAGTGAGGTAGAAACTGTTAGGGCTGAGGGTGAGGGGAAGGGGAAAGAGGCGAGTGGGGGGCTGGAGGTGGAGCTGAAGAGAGTCAAGGGCGAGCTGCAGCATGTGACCGATGAGCTCGCGGGCGCACGAGAAGTAAGCCATCGCATAAGTTCAGGTGAATGTTGCTGACGTTACTCCAGATGGCCGAGATGAACAAGTCATCTTTCCAACAGACCCTGGAAGCCATTCAACAGCAGCACCAAGAAGAGGCTAGGGAGTCTGCTGAAAAGCGTGAAGCGCAGTTTGCCGCAGAGAAGAAGGCTCTGGCGGAAGAGGTGGAGAAGGCCAAGGCGGAGGCTGTCAAGCTGAGATCGGATCTGGAGGACGAGCAGGTCGAGAAGAACACCGCCCTTGCCAAGCTTTCCGTATGTTGACCCATGGATCACGGGGTTTTGCTTACCACAACACAGGAAAAGGTCGCAACGCCCCCTACATCGCCCCACTCTGAGCTTCCCAGCTCACCTTCCATCACTCGACTGCACGAGGCTCACAATGCCAAGGTCACACAGTTGGAGAAGTGCGTTATCGTGGTTTTATCTGTCACGGCAAATTGCTGACGCTGGGCGTTTAGTGAGATTGTCAGACTCAAGGCGTTGCTCTCCAAGACTCCTGCTGGTGCTGCTGCTGTGGCCGCCGGAGACCATGGAGATGTTGGGGAAGAAAGCATGGAATTTACGGTACGTCTCCCGGGTCAAAATCTGATCGGTGAGGCTGACTCGATACAGGACGATGAAACGATGACGTTTTGATCTATTTGTCTATCTCATGCCTTTTTCCACAAGGAGTTGACTCGATATGAAGAGTCTCTCAAGGACGATTGTGCATAGTCGTGTGTGGTACAGAAGAAAAGGTTTATAAACAACTTGTAGATCCAGCTTGGGATGGCGATACCAAATATCAGGTGACTGATCTTAAAGATACCATGCATCATAGCGTTCACACCGTCAGCTCGATAGCTCTTCACTCTCTTGAGACTGCAATGACAAGCGGAATCATCGACCAGCGAAAGTTGAAGGAACGCGAAAAGCTCGGCGAGTGCCGGAGGTGCCAAACATCGAGTTGGGTGAGGGCGCAACAACACTGGATTTCGTTCTTCAGGGTCCTTTCTCTTCACCATCCCTCTCAAATATCTCGCCGCCATGGGGGACGATCCCTCGGATGGCCAGCTGCTCGGCACTCGCACACCCCCTCCCCGCAACGATGACCTGGTCAGCCAGGGCTCGCCGGGCACGACAAACACCGAGAAGCCCCTCATCAACAACACTGCTGCCGACGCGCGCACCAATGAAGAATGGACGTTGGCGGAGCAGCTCTTGGCAAGTCCGCAGTGGTAGAGGACCAGACGGAGCTGACAACTGAGTGCAGGCTGATCACTCGTTGATCGAATCCCGGGGACTTCTCCCTTACAAATCCCTCTCACTCGCCTATCACCACCTATCCGTACGCGGCGTCGGCGGCCTCGACAACATCGAGTACGGTACCACCATGTCTACCATCCTAGCCCCCTGGCTTTGCCGTACGTATCGTAGAAAGGCTTCGCAGCTTGCGACTGTGCGAAGTGATCTTCCCAATGCCGAAACGAGCGAAGAAGACGCCATGTCCTGGCGACCTGGATTGGTCAAGCCGGCGGGCAAACGTGATCCCGGTCTCAGGAAGGGGGAGCGGTATCTGTTGAAAGACTTTTCTGGTTTGGTGAAAGCAGGAGAGATGATGCTTGTCGTTGGAAGGCCGGGGAGCGGTTGTTCAACCTTTCTCAAAGCTCTGGCGGGGCATAGAGACGTCTTTGCCGGGGTCGACCGGTCGGTCAAGTATGGCGATATTGAAGCTGGCCCAGACTTCAAGCCATACGCCAGAGAAGTCATCTTCAGTTCGGAAGACGATCTACACGATCCCAACCTACACGTGGGCAAGACTCTCGACTTTGCTTTACGAATGACCACACCGTCCCGTCGATCCCGGATACCAAACAAAGACGGGGGAGAGAGTATGTCGAGAGCGGCCTTCCAGGAAAAGAGAAAGTGGGAGCTGTTGAGAATGTTTGGGTTGTCGCATACGCACGACACCAAAGTCGGTGATCAGTATGTCCGAGGTGTTTCAGGTGCGACAATGATCTCCGTCTTTATTCACTCTTTACTAACGCTTTGTAGGCGGCGAGCGAAGACGCATATCGATAACCGAAGTCCTCACCACCAAAGCTTCTATCCAGCTATGGGACAATGCCACCCGCGGACTCGATGCCGACACTGCTCTCCGTTTCGCCAGAAACCTTCGTACCCTCACCGACATTGACCGCAATACAACCGTCGTCAGTCTCTACCAAGCTGGCAACGGCATCTACGACCTCTTTGACAAGGTTACTGTCATTGCAGGGGGGAGGGTGATCTATTATGGGCCGGGTGAAGAGGCAAGAGCGTATTTTGAGAACCTTGGATTCGTGCATCCAGACGGGGGCAACACTGCCGACTTTTTGACAGCCGTCACCGCTGTGAGTGTCTTTTCCTCTTTGCCAGTCTAGTGCATGTACTAAGGCGTCTTCAGACTAATGAACGTCAAGTCAGACCCGACTTTCAAGGTCGTGTGCTCACTACTCCTGCCGAGTTTGCGACCGCCTATAATCAGTCCGACATTGCCCATCGCATGCGCCAAGAGTTGGAGGCTCACCTGGTGGATCCCAGGGTTGCCAATGATACTCAAAATGCAAAGGTTATGATACAGCTAGAGAAGAGTAGATGGGCATCCAAGAACAGGCCGGAGGAGGTCAATTTTCTTGATCAGGTGAGCATGCTCAAGCCCGAGCAGTCTCTGGCTAATGGTCTGCGTAGGTGCGAGCGGCAATGACACGGAATCGACAACAGCGATGGGGTGATAAGTGGACATTTTGGATGAGTCCTGCTACTCTTCTGCTCCAATCTCTCCTTGCTGGTTCGGTAAGTTCAGTCTCAAGATCCGGCAGTAGCTGACAAGATGATCAGATGTTTTACGAGATGCCAGTGTCAACCGGAGGCCTGTTTCTTCGTGGCGGTACTCTGTTTCTGTCTCTATTCTGTGAGCACGCTCCGAGTAGGATCATGCCACCATCATGAACTCATCCGCCGCATAGTCCCATCCAGCATCAGCTTTAGCGAAACCACAGCTGTCTTCTCTGGCCGTGCAGTGCTCTCCAAACACAAAGGCTTCTCGATGTATCGGCCTTCTGCTCTCTTAATCGCCCAAACTCTGAACGACCTGCCAGTCTACTTTGTCATGCTGTTGATGTTCACCCTCATCATCTACTTCATGACAGGGCTCAAGGTCGGGGCGGGCTACTACTTCACTTATCTCTTGTTTGTGTATTGCACGACTCTCTGTACGACGGCTTTGTTTCGATTCATCGGTTACTCTTTCAGCACTTTCAACGGCGCCTCAAAACTCTCTGGTTTCGTTTTCCTTCTGCTGTCCACGGTGAGATCAATTTCCAGGACTAGCGTGTTTTCTAATGCTGACAACGTCGCAGTATGCCGGCTATCTGATCTACATCCCGCAAATGCACCCATGGTTCTCTTGGCTCCGTTGGATAGACCCCTTCCATTACTCCCTAGAAGCTCTCATGGCCAACGAGATTGACGGCCTCAACCTGGAGTGTACAGCTCCGAATCTAGCGCCTTACGGAGGCGATTATGTCAGTCACAGCCAGGGCTGCGCTATCACAGGCGCAAAGCCAAACGATATTGTCCTCTCTGGGACCGCTTGGCTCGACTCTGCTCTCAGATTCTACAAGAGACATGTATGGCGAAACTTTGGGATTCTCGTCGGTTTCTGGGTCTTCTTTCTGGTTTTATGCGCATACGCCATCGAAAATGTTCCAGCTGCGGGATCCACCAAGTCGGTACTGTTGTACAAACCTGGAGGGAGGGGCAAGTATATACGACAAGCTCAGAGAAAAGGTGAAGCCTCGAAGCATGAGGAGGATGGACCGGGGGAAAATATCAAGTTGAATGACTTGAATGGCGTGGGTTCGGAGTCTTTGGCTCCTGCTGATGTCCACGCAGCTCAGTCGTGAGTCAATGATCAGGCCGCCTTGAACTGCTGCTAAATACAAGTAGCGTTCTTACTTGGAAAAACCTGTCCTACGCCGTAAATGTCGATGGCGAACCGCGCAAACTTCTCGACAATGTCTTTGGCTACTGCAAAGCCGGTACCCTCACTGCTCTCATGGGCTCATCTGGCGCTGGAAAGACGACCCTCATGGATGTACTGGCTGCCAGAAAGACGGAAGGCGAGATCCAAGGGGAAGTATTGATGAACGGAAAGCAGTTGCCGGTTTCTTTCCAGCGTGCTACAGGTTACTGCGAGCAGATGGACGTCCACTTACCTCAGGCTACCGTCAGAGAGGCTTTGGAGTTTTCAGCGCTTCTCCGGCAGCCGCGGCATCTATCGAACAAGGTATGAGCTTTTTGCGATATCGCCTCTTACTGATAGCATTGTAGGAGAAACTTGCATATGTGGATACTATTGTTGACCTTCTCGAGCTGCAAGATATTGAAGATGCTTTGATCGGGACACCTGGTGCTGGGCTGGGTATCGAGCAGAGGAAGAGGTTGACCATCGGCGTGAAGCTCGTCAGCAAACCGTGGGGTTTTCTCTGCTTCACTACTGTAGGGACAAGATGCTGATAAACCATAGAACTCTTCTTTTCCTTGACGAACCAACCTCTGGTCTCGATGGCCAAAGCTCGTATCTCATTGTATCATTCCTACGAAAACTAGCGGTCGCAGGGCAAGCAGTCTTGTGTACAATACATCAGCCTTCCGCCTCGTTATTCGCCAGGTTTGATCAGCTTTTGCTTCTGAGGGGTGGCGGGCAGACTGTGTACTGTGAGTAGTACATCTTGTGCATTAATGGGCCTGACAAGTTGTAGTCGGCGCGGTCGATCAACTTTCGGACTACTTTGAGAAACACGGCATCAGCATTCCCGCAAACGTCAACCCGGCAGAGAGAATGATTGAGATAGTCTCCGGAGATATCTCAAAAGGCCATGACTGGCATAAGACGTGGCTTGACTCTGAAGAATGCAGAGCACGCGCAGAAGAGCTGGATGATCTGATTGACACGGGGAGCAAATTGGCGAGTGCGGTAGAAGGTGATGAGTTTGAGTATGCTTCGACCAAGGGTGCCCAACTACGGTTGGTGACGAAGAGGGCTTCTGTCCAGCTTTGGAGGAACACAGAATACGTCATGAACAAAGTGAGTTTCCCGCGTGTTTGCGACCACTAAACTGATACCGTAAAGGTTACTCTACACATTTCTGCCGCCCTTATCAACGGATTCAGTTTCTGGAAGCTTGGTGACGAGTGAGTACCGCGACTGGAAACAAGTTCACCCGTTCTGATAACATGAATAGCTACGCGGACATCAAAAATCGTATCTTTACCATCTTCCTCTTCGTCTTTGTCGCACGTAAGTGAACTTGTATAGAGACCGGTGTTTACTATGCTGAAGGCCCTCAGCTGGCGTTATTGCCCAGACTCAACCCAAATTCCTACGCAACAGAGACATCTTTGAAGCACGCGAGAAAAAGGCCAAGATATACTCATGGCAAGCATTTTGCTTTGCTGAGATAGCAGCAGAGATCCCATACCTTCTGGTTTGCGCGTTGCTGTACTTTGCCTGCTGGTACGTTGATCGAAAAAATCACCCCATAATGCTAATCAGAAGACGATAAAGGTATCCTGTTGTTGGGTTTAGTTTCAGCCCCGCCATCGCTGGACCCGTCTATCTTCAAATGACGTTCTACGGATTCTTGTACACCGGTATCGGCCAGTCTATAGCTGCGTACGCCCCTCACGAGACGTTCGCTGCTTTAGTCAACCCTCTTGCCATCGGAGGTGAGCAGCCCCGAATAAGACAGCGGTGGACGCTGACGAGTCGTATAGTCATGGTGATGTTCTGTGGTGTATTGGTACCTTATGATCAGATCACCGCTTTCTGGCGATATTGGAGTGAGAGTCCACCCACAAAGATCTATCAGCTCACTGACTGTTGATTCTAGTGTACTATCTCGACCCTTTCCAGTACTTGATGGGCGGCCTCGTCTCTCTCACCCTTTGGGACCTCAAAGTCCACTGCTCCCCTGACGAGTACGCTGTCTTCGACCCTCCCTCTGGCATGACCTGCACGCAGTACATGGCCGATTTCCTCTCGCATGCCCCCGGGTACTTGAGCAACCCAGAGTCAACCTCAAAGTGCGAGTATTGCCTGATCTCCAAAGGAAGTGATTTTCTGGAGGGCTTGCATCTATCAAGGAAGCTGGATGCGTGGAGGGACATTGGGATGACGTTGTGAGCACTTCGTCAATCAAAAGCTCAACGGCAAGCTGATCAGCACCAGTTTATTTGTCGTGTCGTCTTACGGAATGGTCCTGCTACTTCTGTGAACAATTCAACCCTTGCTCGAGCTTGTACACTGTGCTAATGTAGGTCATAGCAAATTGAGAAGCAAGCGATCAAAGACTGCTCAGTAGAGGTAGAGAATTATAGAGATACATGAACCTAGTCACTTGTCCGTCTTTGCACTGTGAACCTCGATCTAGTTAATGAATCAGCTGTAATACATCATGTCATGTACGAAGATTATACAGAAGATTACGAGTACAGTACGTGTATATGGAGATATATTATGATTAAGTTATTAGATTCGTGTACTATCCCGATACCCCCAACCCCTTCATTGCATAGATTCATCAGCCCATCTGCGGGAAGAGTTGGCTCATGCCCGAGTCGGGCCCGAGGATAAAGTCCCAAAGAGGATCACCCGTCCCTGCCACATCATTATTCCCCATCATTGCATCCGTAAACATGCCCACGTCCTGATATGACTCTGGCATCCCAAACACCTGCTTCCTCATCAGCATCGCCCTTGGAGAATTAGAAAGAGTACTCACAGCAGGATAAGGATATTCCATCTCTACCGCCGGCATATTCTGCAGCTGCACCTCCAGCCCATTTCTCAGACGCTCCAAGACCGGTAACAGACGGCGATAGAATCGGTAGGTAAAGTACAGCGGATGATCGTTGTGCGCGCCGAGCATGTTGCTGCACATCTGCATGATGCTGTTGAGGGCTGGCAGGATACGGTCCCACTCCGCCGGGGAATACGCTAAACGCGCCTATATATCCTGTCAGTTTGAGGGGACAGGGTGAAGGATGTAGACGCACCTGGTAGAATAAAGCCCCCGGCATGGTCACCCCGACACTGATCATGTCCGACCAGAAAACCAGCCCCTCATCGGAGAACTGCGTCAACGCTTTCGCAAGCTTCTCAGTCGTCTCCACAATCCTGCCCTTGACCGCCTCTGTCGGGCCCTCAAATTCGATAGCCATCGCCCGCATATGCAAGCACACGATGGTAGTCACAATGTCTGCCATTTGGCGGTACATTGGCGAGAGACGGTGGGCCAGTCGGCTGAGGTCGTTGACGAGGGTGGTTTCGGCGAGCGCGAGGGAGCTGCCGAGCGTACCGCTGGGGACTTCGTCGGTGTGGGGAATGGTGGCGGGCAGTTGGCTTGACGTGTGTGTGTTCCTACAGCATATTGTTAGACGCCTCGCACCAGTGGCTTTCGAGGGACGTACGCCACACTCCAAGCTAGGTAAAAGTCGCCAGGGATATTCAGATACTCGTGTTCAGCGGCCCACTCGAACGCCTCGTCGAAACCAAATCCAGGAGGCGGCAGCATCATCGGCTGCCCAAATACCCTCGCAAATCCAGCATCCATGACTGCACCCTCATCAGCTTACTCCCCCCCCCCAAACATAAACAACCACAACTCACTCAACAGTGCAATCCAAGTCCTTTCCCCATCCAGCACCTCCCTCGCCTCCTCTTCGTTCTCCGGCAAAGGCCTCTCCTCCCTCTTCCACAGCTTCAGATGCGCCGCTGCCCTCACCGCCACCCCACTCTTCATATACCCCGATTTGTCATTCGGCAGCCCCCAATACGCCAAAATCATGAGTGCCTGAATGGACGGCTTGTCGACGGCGCCGGCCATGATCATGCGGTTGAGCAGTACGTTGGCGTGATTGTAGAGCGGGCGGCAGATTTCGGGGTGGTAGAATCGGGCAGAGGCGTAGAGGATGGCGGTGAATAGGGTGTCGGATGATCTGGCGCGGTCGTAGGTTATGTAGACGATGTCGATACCAGCTAGCACCGGACAGAGATTTTGCGCAAAACTGCAGAAACGTCAACACTCGCCCACCCACCAACCAACCAGACGAAGGACACTCACTTGGTATACAAACTCTGCGCTTCGGACTCACTGACCATGCCGAGCTCCAAAGGCGACAGGGAAGACTGCGACGTCCCCGCCTTGGACGATTTTGAAGCAGACGTCAACCTCGCCGAATCTGACGGATGAAGCGAAGGCAACAACGGCCCCGTCGCCCCCGTCAACCGTGGATTATCCAACGGCCTCGGCGACGGCGACCTCGACCCCTCATCACTGTCCAGCCTCGGCTCACTATAATCCAGTATATTCGTGCTCATCTGGCCTGCGCGGCGGCGTCTGTCAGACGACGTCCACGAAGGCGTGGAGGAGGATTGGCTTTTGCGGGTAACGCCAGGAGCTGTCGCGGGTCGTCTTTGAGAGATATTGGAGTCGATGGGGGGTAGCTGGACAGGTGGGGGAGGGGGAGGGGGGTATGCGCCAGAGCGATAGTGCGTGTTGCTCATCATATCCGGCAGATCCATCGTTCCCATAGACCGTCTCCCACTGGTGGAAGCAGGCGGAAGCATAGGTGGTAGCTGTGTAGGCAGCGCTTCATGTTGGGGATAAGAGTGCTGGGATTGGATAGAAGACTCTGGGGGATATGGGGGAGGTTGGTATGATGGGAAGGACGGTTCGGGTTGTGGATAGGGATGGGACGTTGGCTGCTGTATATTACGGGAGAAGCTGGTAGAATAGCCAGATGGCTGGCTTTGATTCCCGACTCCCCATGCTGCTGCACATGTCAGCAATGTCGAGAGAGGGCCAACATCGACTTACCGGATCGCTCATAGCTTGCGCGTTCCGAAGACATCATGCCCTCATTCGATTGATACGCCATATACTCGTGTCGTCTATCGTCGGGCACACCCATGGGTACCGTGGATGTAGGCCCAGTCTGGTACTCTGCATGGTCTCTGCTGGGCGAGCCTTGGGAATGCGAATGCGTGAATGAAGCCCGACTTTCCGACTTTGCACCGTGTTCTGGCGTAACTTGTTCGTCCTTTGGTCTGTAGAAGCTCAGCATGGGTCCCCCTATACTTTCAGTACTCACTTTCCGCGCGGCCTTCGGACATAGTCACAAGAGAGGCTGTACTTTGTACATCGCGCACACGGGTCTTTCGAGGTTAGCGCTTTATCAGGACACGGCAGACATCGCGTCTTTTAGAGGTATCAGCTCCATTCCAACGGTATCGAGAGTTTTACTCACTTTGAGAGCCCGGCAGTTGACGCAGCTGAAGGATACTCGTAAGCTTTTCATCGCGACACCAGGCGGACATTAGGCTGTAAAAACTGAAAGAGTATGACGCACGCTTCACGGGGCCGCTTGATGAGGGTCGTCCTGGCGTACGGCGAGGGGCCACCATGTGAGCCGCCTGGCTGGTATTTGGTGTTCATATGACGTGCGAGGGGAGTGGATGGCGAGGGGGGAGAAGGAGAACAAGCGGCTGGGGGGCGATGTTTGGCACTTGACAGCGGCGTCTGCGTTAAACGCCGAAGGGGCGAACTTTATTCGGACATGCGAGACCCTCGGAGTCATGGCTGGGTGGTTGGAAGCGGGCGAGGGGGAGGGGAAGGGATGGCATGGGGTGCTCCTTATATATCACACTGTCCTTCGAAAAAGATGCGGGACGAGGGAGATCGACGCCATCACCTAAAGGGTCGGATGTCGGTAGTCACAGCCAATAAACAACGCATGCCCTTACAGGGTGCAGCTACGTCTGATTCGGCCATGGCCGTGCTTTGCACTCTGCATCGTCGGTGCAGCGGCTGTCAAGGAGGGCAGGAGGGCAGACTGCGGATGCGATTGCAGAGCCGAGGTGTAGAAAGCCAGAGCATCAATCATACTGTTGGGTTCCCCTCGTTCAACGGCGGCGGGCGGCGCCCTGGTTGCGGGAGCTCGTTGTCTCAGATATTCATCGATATATGTACCAGGTGGGGGACTTGTAACCAATCCGACCAGCAATTAGGATGGATAGACGGGTACAAACAACAGGAACATACAAACAAGCAGCCGTCGATGAAGAGATAATCGGCTGTCGGTGACGGGACCAAGCATCTTATCGACGTTCCTTCATCACGGCTTCACGGCATCCCTCGCTAGTTTCTTCTTCACTACCGGTTTGCGATCTCTGGCAGCCGTCTATCGATAATCGCCATCATTTACCTCGGCTCGACAGGCCAAGACGACCATCACATACATGCATCAGTGCATGTTGCTCATTTATATGCAAGGCCCTAGCGGCGCGATTGAGGGATCATCGACACCGACCCCGGTTGCGCGGTGCGGGCTCTATGCCCGGTGCTTGAGATTGTTAGACAAGTACAGTCAGGGAGGGTTTGCCAATGGTCCCGACATGCAAAGAACAACATCAACACTACAAGTACATAGGTAGTACGCACTGCTTGACCGTATCAGTGGTACACTATAGGGCACTTGCCGGCAGACATCCCGTATGTCCCGACGATCTCAGCCTCCCAATCGACAAGTCAGCGAGATTGACCAACAGTCCCCAGTCATTCCATCGCTCGCATGGTACTATACAATCTATCTATCCACCCATCTCCGATATTCTTGATCAAGTGTCAGAACAACAACACATCCAGCGTCGGATCATGCTGGATAGCTTCCCTAATATGACAATTCTCTTGCCCTATATCATGATAAAACCAGACGTACGTCAACATCTACCCCAACATCAGTCTTTTCATCATCCGCTTGTTCCACTCGGGGTTTAGGAGTGAGGAGGGAGGGGGCAGGGAAGGACATACGCGATGAGCGACCTCCAAATTATCTCGATCCCCAATAGGTCCTTTCGCATGCCTCAAAAACCCCACAAACCCCTGTCTCTGGACTGGGTCTGTACAAGCACAAGCGGTGATGAGGAGCGGCCAGAGCCAGCCTGTCAGATGTCTACAAGCCTGTCAGGACAGTGACCTCTCGAAAGAACGGAAGAAAGGAAGGAGGAGACTGACCCGATTTCTGTAACAGCCTCAGACAAGAGCTCGTACACTGTACTGACTTGTGCAATCAGGTCCGGCGAGAAGAGCGGCACGTGCTGGGTCTTGCTCATCACAAGTATCAAAATAGCGAGTCGCCATATTCGCTGTCAACTTGTCAGTTGTCCAATACACCTATCAATGAGGATGAAATTTACCCCACCATAGTACACCCTCCGCGTATCCCGCCTGCCTTCCAGTCTACCGGGCCAGACATGCTCCAACTCGCTCCGGAAGGCTAGTACCTCAAAATCCAACTGCTCCCTCTCCATCTCCCCCATCTCCCCTTCTCCCTCAACGCCCTCGGCCCCACCAGCCGCTGCTCCAACCTTCGCAACAAGCCCGATGGCCCGTGCAAAAGCCAGCATCAAGATCCTCGGCGTCCCAAACATTGTTTCGATCGTATCCGGTATATCCTTGGAAGCCCTCATTTGCGCCGAGCGAGAAGCGATGAGCCAGGGGACGGTTTCAAAACTGTGAGGGCCGAGGAGGAAAGGTGTCGTGCCGTCCGTCAAACAAGCTAATCGTCTTTCAGTCTCAAAGATGGAGATGGTTGATATGGATGCAGGAGCGTACCGTATAGTTCAGCAACAGCTGCCATCTCCGCATAGAAAGCGAAAGCCAGCGGCTGTAGATTATCCAGCCTCTCCCCATACCCTCCTCTACCAAACCCCGCCCCATTCTGTCCTAGCCCAAGACTCCTCCCCGGCCCACCCCTCTCTTTCGACCGTCCCACCAACACCCCTACATGCTCCCTCCACATCCCCGGCCTAGCAGGGTCCAGCGCCTCAGAAAGCAGCAGAGTGAAGCCCGCGCCGGCGAGCTTACCGGTGATGGTAGAGTCGGTTTTGGATTTGAGAAGCTGGGTGTAGAAGGGGAAGATGTTGGGGCGATGACTCCCGGCTGGGGACGAGGGGGCGGAGTAGGAGCTGGTGGTGTTGGAGTAGGATGGAGGTGTAGTATATGAAGGGGAGGAAGAAGAGGTGAGGAGGGCGGTGGCTGCACACAAAAGGCGGGCTTGTGGGTCATCGGCGAGGGCTGAAGAACACCGCCGGACGAGGGAGGTGTGAAACTGCAAGAGGCTCGAAAAGTCTATGAACGCTGAAGAGGGGAGCTGTCGACAGTATCAACATGGATCAAGAGAAAAAGTGAGAGAGTCGTACTTTGGTGATGAGCGATTCTGCGAGAAGAGCAGTATCACGCATCGGCCTGGCAGGAGTATAAGCCAGCATGAATCGGTATTTTATGGAACACTTACTGCAGTAAGTGTAGCTCTGAAATCTCTCTTGCCATAGCTCGTGATACTTGACTCCTCATAAGATACTCTTCGTACTGAGGCGTTATCACGGGCGCTGGACAGGACTCGTCCGTTTTGGGATCCAAAGTCACTCGTGAGCTACTGGCGACTGAGTGTAAGTTTGCCTATAGTCAGGTCAGCCAACATTCTCTCGATTTGTCTGAAATCACTCACGGTCCCCTGCCTCTGCGGACTTGCTGTACGCGTACGCTCAGACTCTGGCACCCCAAACTCATACTCGCACACCCTGAGCGGATGTCGCAGACAATTCCCACATTTCGGCTACTCTATCCCATTAGCCTGCATCCAAATCACAGTCACAGACCATCTGGTATGACTCACCCTCTGTTCATCGCATTTAACTCGACGAGCGCGGCAGGTCCTGCAGCCAGTAACAGTGCGCACGCGTTTCCTCTTTGGTCGACCGGTTGATGTGAGCTCGACGGGTGGTTCCGTGGAGCCCTCCTTGTTGATGGAAGACATGGCGATGGATACGAGGAAGTGCCTGAAAGAGATCGATCGTGTGGAGCTGAAGATGGTCACAACAAAAGAAGCAAACCGCCCAGATTTATCGTTAACCAGTGCCTGGGCGGTGACCAGATTTGATGCCGCTCGGCTGTTGTTTGCCGTAATATGCTGGGTATGCAGCCAAGGTCAAGCTCAAGAGGAGCGAGAAGTATGTTCCTTCTCCACTGAGCGAATGGTATGGACTGGCAATAGTGCCATCTCGAAGCGCAGCTGCGCATTAACAGTTTGCAGCAGTACGAAGTATGCGTGCTCGGAATCCCGGGATTCGGCGGCCGAGGCAGATCGCACCATCTCCTGAGAGGGAATCGCAAATCATGAAACGAACTTGACGAGAGGCCAAGTCAAGACAGCGGATGACTCACAGCTCGATCCATCTATCGCACTTGACACCACTCAGAGAATGCGCCACAAATCTTCTCGTGAGACACTCACAGCCCATGTCAAACAGCCAGACTCGGCCAAGAGAGAGAGACCGGAGAAGCCCAACATGTGAGCACATTGTCGAGTCTTTTGTCAGCGATCTAACCTGTATGTCAGAGTATTGATCATGGCCGATAATCTAGGCTGGGGCGAGCTAGGCTGCTACGGCGGTGGAGCTCTACGCGGGGCGCCTACCCCCAGGATCGACGCCCTCGCCAAAGAAGGTCTTCTTCTCCAAAACTATAATGTCGAAGTACGCCCCATCCCCGACCCCCTTCTTGCGATCCAGCTAAACTTCTGCCAGAGCGACTGCGTACCCACAAGGTCGGCTCTGATGACAGGCCGCCACCCCATCCGGACTGGCTGCACCCAAAGCGTCCCCGCCGGCCTGCCGCAAGGCCTCGACCCCAGCGAGATCACGCTCGCCGAGCTGCTGAAAGGACAAGGGTACAGGACGGCGCATTATGGTAAATGGCATCTCGGTGATGTGCCTGGGCGGTTCCCAAGTGATAGGGGGTTCGAACATTGGAAAGGGATACCCCGAACTTCTGACGAAAGTGGGTCTCTCAATTTCTCTTACTTCGGTTCGTGGTAGAGAACCGGGCTGATGAGAATCGGAAGCGATGTTTATGGACAGTCAGGGGTTCGATCCCAGCAGCGTGGAGCTTCCATACATCATGGAAGGCTTTGAGTAAGTCTTTCAATTAAGGGTACTGAGCGCTATGGAACTGACAATACCAGAGGCGAGCCGTCGAGAAACGTCCTGCTCTACGATATCCCCGCAAGAAAGACAATCGACAGTGACCTCGTCGACCTCTCAATCGAGTTTATAAACACCCACGCTCATGCTAAACAACCCTTCTTTCTCTACCTTCCGCTCATCCATCTCCACTTTCCTACGTACGTTTCCTTTCCCTGCCCGCTTCGCCTTCTTCAACTCCACACCATATCATCCTGACCCCCCCTCGTTAGCCTACCTCATCCAGATTTTCAAGGCCGGACAGGGAATGGAAACTTTGCAGATTCCATCGTAGAACTCGACTATCGCGTGGGGCAGGTGTACGACTGTGTGAAAGAAGCTGGTATCGAAGATGATACAGTATTCATATTCTGTTCCGAGTACGTCCCCCTCTCCTTCCCGGTAGTTGTAAATCATTTTGGGACAAAAGCTGATTAAGAGGTATAGCAATGGCCCAGAATTTCGCATCCCGTATCGGGGTACAGCCGGGCCCGTAAATCCCACCCCCCTCTCTTGAAGCAATGAGCTCATACAAATGACGTATAGTGGACAGGGACATATCACACAGCAATGGAAGGTTCCCTCCGCGTTCCCTTCATCCTCCGCTGGCCCGGGCGCGTACCCGCCGGTGTGGTGAGTAACGAGATCGTCCATTGTGTTGATATATTCACTACCTTGGCGCATATCGGCGGGGCAACGCTCGTACGTCCTGTGTAGTAATCTAAGCGGCACGGGGAGAAAGTGCTGATGGCGCGAAGCCGGACGATAGGCTTTATGATGGAGTCGACCAACTCGCCTTTTTCACTCAAAAACAAGCCTGCTCGAATCGAGAAGGGTGAGTCTTCTCCTCTCCCCTCTTTCCTCGGATCGTCCTATACCAACCTCATCCCCCAGATTCTTATTCTACATTAAATCTGAGCTCCGCGCCATCAAATGGCGCCACTACAAACTCCACTTCTACAATCAACCTCAAGTCGACTCTCTTCTCTCCCCCGGCAAACTGGAGTCGCCACTGATCTTCAACCTCATCACCGACCCGAAGGAGGAGGTCGACGTGGCGACGGAACAACATTGGATGGTGGGTGCAATGATGCGGATGAAAGAGGCGTTTTGGGAGAGACCTGGGGCGAAAGCGCCGCCGCCTAGAATGCAGCCTTTGCCGCCTGCGCCGGCGGCGGGGTATGAGGTTGGGGAACGATGTAGGGAGTGAAGAGAATGATGGGATTTGGAGAGTTAAAGCTCTAATGATTGTTATACATGCACACTACACGTGCAGACCTTGGACAAGTACTGTACTACAGCCTTCAGAACGCCTTGTGCGTCCAATCACCACCCAACATGGTCCCCTTCACCTTCATCGCCCTCAATCCAGCGGCATCACAGCTCAGGGGATCATTACTAATAATCAACAGATCGGCTCGGTCGCCTACTTCAAGTTTTGATTTACCATTCTACCACCAGCGTCAGCTCTATCCACGCTTTGAAAGGAAGGGGACTTACAGAAGTCGAAGCCGCCCAAGCCACTTTCAGATCAATGATCTGTTCTTTGCAGAACGGATTCTCCTCGTCCCCTGCCCCCGCACGGGTGATAGCCACAGCCATAGCTTCCCACGGCTGTAAAGGCGCCACCGGACAATCACTCCCCATCTTTATCGGGATCCCCGCATCGACCAACCACCTAAACGCATACGCCCTCCCTTCCCTCTCCGGCCAGAATTTGTGGCACAAATCCCGGTCATCGACAAGATGACACGGCTGGATAGACGCGATAAGACCGAGGGATTTGAAGAGGGCGAGGTCGGAGTGGGAGAGGAGTTGGGCATGTTCGATGGTAGAGCCTGGAAGGATGGCCTCGGCGCGGGCGAGAGTTTGGAGTGTAAGTTGATTGGCGTGGTCCCCGATAGCATGGATGGCCATCCTAAACCCATTATCCGCCCCTCTCTTCACAAGCGCCCCCAGTTCCTCCGGCTCATACGTCTTCAACCCAAAATTCCCCGGCGTCCCCGGATAAGCATCATGGCAGAACGCCGTCTGCGACCCCAAGGACCCGTCTGTGACGATTTTGAAGGGACCGACAGTGATGAGGCCGTTGGTGTTTGGAACGGGGTCGCCAGTCTTGAGGGAGAGGTCGATGGAGTGCTGAAGGTGTTCGGTGTACATACCCACGTGTACCCGGAGGGAGCGGAAGCCTTTGGCGTAGCGGCGTTGCCAGTTGGGGATACCAAAGTCCCATTCGAGGTCCACTATCTCTGTCACACCCAGAGACCTGTCAAGTATCAGTGCAACACAAGGAGGAGAGGAAGAAGGAGCTCACGCAGCATATCTCGATTCGTCCCAAACCCACTCATCCATAGCATCCACATCCACCTTTCCTATAACCCTCGCCATCGCAAAAGCTTCATCCTCGAATAGATACCCGCTATGTCCCTCTGGCTCATACCCCCCAAGTTCCAGCCCTACCGAATTCGCGCAGATGGAGTGGTAGCCATTGAAGAACAGGTATATCGGCCTCTTGGTCGAGATCTTGTCCAGCGCCTGGCGCGTGAGCACCTCGGGGTCGGGCCAGCCGGCGTTACGCATATTGATGCCCGTAAAGTCATTGCACCCCTTTACAGCGGCGTATTTAGGATCATCGAAAGCATCGAGGACGCGGTCGAGGACGTCTTGGGCGGACTTGGCTGTTTGGAGGTCGAGCCGGTGGGAGTGCAGGGCGTTGAGGGTGGTGTGGGTGTGCCAGTCGATCAAGCTCTGTTTGGAGTTGGCAGTGGACAGAGGAGAATGGAGAGGAAGCTTACGGGGCTGACCCATTGTGCGTCTAGGTCGTTGACATCGATGATCTCGTCTGCTTCTTCCTCTTGGCTTCCTGTTTCAGTGATGCTGACGACGGTGCCGTCTTTGACAAAGACAGAGTAGGTACTGCCTGTGGGATAGCCAACAAGACGGGCGTTACGGATGAGGGTGGTGGGCATGGCGGGTGGAGATGAGAGACGCATGATGCGATGGAATGTCTCCTCTGATATCAAGAAGATATCAAGAAGCGCTGTGGTGCCAAAAGTTGTCGAAATAGCCGCGCGTCCAGTGCCTGAAAGCCGATTGATAACAGATCAGCGCTAATTCAGAGATAGAGTAGATCTCGTGCAGGGGCAGCCGGAGGGCTTGGAGGGTGAATCTTTGAGCACTGCGTCGCGGGTGGTCTCTGGGGCAGGTAGGATGTACTGGAAGGGGCATTTTCATAGACTTGCCCCTCCTCCACGCTCCACAGCGAGAAACCATCACAGTGGAGCCTCTCGGCCGGGCGCAGAAATTTGTCCCTCGTCGGTTATCGCCGGTATCAGTGTCGACTTTGGTTCCGTTGCTGATACGGAGATCGCGTCTCTCTGCGGAGTGCGAGGTGTTGAGAGGGTGTCGTTGGGATCCATAGGCGCCTTGAGACCTGAAGGTCCCACTGTCGCTATGTAAAGTATACTATCGCGTGGTGGTACTCGTGATCGTAGGAAAGGCGCCCCATTCGATCTGGCGCCTCGACGTTCGTATGTCGTCGAAAATCATGCCAAGTGTTGTTCAAGTGTTGTTATACGTACACTTTGGCCTATACCGCGTCAAGGTGATCATATATGGGTACCGACTCAATAGCTCGCACTGCCATGTACTCAAAGCTCGCTCGTGCTACATCTGCAGCCGACGGCAAAAATCCCAGCGCGAGTCGACTTTTGCCGAGTCGGTCAAGAATTGGTTTGCCGAGCTCTCTCTAACCCACCACTATTTATTGGCCCATCTCCCATCTCCGTCTCCTCTGCTCCCTCTCTCCAACGACCATACCAGCTCACTCCTCACTAATCAAGATGCACCTCCCCCCAGCGCACGCCGAACACTCCATCCCCATCCTCCACTCTTTCATCCGCCAGCACCCCCTCGGCATCTTTACCACCGCCCTCCCCAACCCCTCTTTTTCCACTCTCCAAACCTCACACGTACCCTTCATCCTTGACGTGGATGAGGAAGATCCAGACGATAGAGGGAGATTGAGAGCCCATATGGCTAGGGCCAACCCGCAGGCGAAAGCTATCGTCGATGCCTTGGCTTCCAAAACTTCGGGCCCTGGAGGGGACGAGGATGGTGGTGTACTAGAAGAAGACGTCCTCATCGTCTTCTCCGCCCCTGTCCATTCATACGTCACTCCCAAATTCTACACCTCCACCAAACCTAGCACCGGCAAAGTCGTGCCCACATGGGACTATGCCGCCGTCCAAGCTTACGGCAAGGCCCGAATCTACCACGCCCCTTCCACCGAGACGGGGGAGTTCTTGGCAAAAGCTTTGGGGGATCTGTCGCAACAGGAGGAGAGAACGATGCTGGAAAGGATGGGGAATGAAGATGGCAAACCCTGGGACCTGAGCGAAGCTCCCGAGAAATACGTAGAGATCCTGAAAAAAGCAATCATCGGTATAGAAATCACCCTCACCAAACTCGAAGGCCGGTTCAAGCTGAGCCAAGAAAAGGCTGGCGGGGATTGGCAAGGTGTTGTGGAAGGGTTTCGAGCGATGGGTACGGGGGAGGGGGATGTTATGGCGGATATGATTAAGGAGAGGGGACCGGTGTGAAGAACAAGGGATTAATGGATCGGACGTGGTGAGTTGATCCTCTGGTACGGTTCTGTCTGACCATGATGATAGGGAAGAGAGCATTGGACCAAGATCGTTAATCGGTGTAGGTACCGCTCCCGGCCAGATCCCGGTCTAGCCTCCCAAATAGAGTCGATATGTTGGATAGAAATGACATGCACAAGTACCGACATATTCAGTACTACAGACACCCAAAATGAAACTCAGTATCACCGAGATACCTCTCACACGCATTGACGTCCATTACACCTACGACATGAGCGCTATAAGACCCAGCTCCCTATCCAGATCGTCTCAGCGATCCTTCTTCTTATACGAAACAGAGCAGTGGAAGAACGTACCGCCTCACTTGATCTCCCACAAGCATCTTCCCATAATCTTCCTGCTTCCCAAACGCCTCTTCCGCTTTCTTTCTCAGACTCGGAATGGGGGAGAGTTTAAAGTCTGATGAGAGGTGCCAGAACTGTCAAGAACAGTTCGTAAGCGATGATTTGACGTGTGGGGGAAAAAGGGACGTACAAAGGTGGAAGAGATACGGATGGAAGGTCTATCAGGAAACTCGGCCCGTCTTCTTGCGAGCGTCTACATCCTCATCAGTCGCTTGAACAAGGTATCAAATCGAAGCGCTTACATCCAGAGTACCTTGCGTACAAACGACTTCATGATAACCCGCTATACCCGCCAGTCAGATACTCGAGAATCATTAGATGTGGACGATGGAGGACTTACCTTTGACAAGACCGCCAGTGAGCCATTCAATCTGTTTGCCTGCTTGTACGAGCAGACAGCCTGGTGGAATTTTGACTTGAATCTTTTTGCCAGAATTACGTGCCCAGATATGCACTACCCTGTATTGTCAGCGACGATTCAGGGAGCAGCTTGAGCCGGAGGACGTACATCCAGGGTACCGAGACTGGCCATGGATAGTCAGAAAGTTGAGATCCGTATGGAACCCAGCATAGATCCTGTCTCCCAGCTCCTTATCAGCTCGTGTATCGAATGTACGGTAGAAGAATGGCTTACGTGCCGAGTTGGCCGTATTTCTCAAGGTCGGTAGCAGTTGGCGCAAGGAGATGGTTACTATCGCCCCATGAGCATCCCACACCAAAGATAGGGACAAGAAAACATACCCGAACTGGCCAGCTTCCAAGAATGCCCCTTCATCCAATCCCAACCCCTTTGCCGCCATCCTCGATACCCCTTCAACGCTGTATTGTCTCTATCAGCTCCTAATTCCAGATAGTTACCATACAAGGAGACGAGACAAGACGACTTACGCTTCTTTCATATGCGTCCCCCACTCCTTCACCCTTCCTTCCCACGTCCCCTCAAAAGCCTTGGGCGTCACATTCGGTGCGTCCAGGTTTGGAAATGCAGATTGATACGGAGGATCTTCCGACATCCTGTGGAAGAAGCTGGTCACCCGATCCATCAGCTTCATGTACCTTCATGACAGCCGGGAGAGGGGGGTAGGAGGGGCTTACCGGCACTTGGGATCCGCGCTATACCCTTCAAGGTCTTCTGGTCTTTCGGAAGGATGCAGGGAAGCTATCACTGCTTTACACCCTTCATCAGAGGAACATTTAGGTTTCTCAGTGTTCTCCAGAGTCACGCCCTACACATCCATCAGCTCTTTATCCACTTATCACCATCCGCCGCCTTGTCGCCGCCCTCAAGCCTAAAGTATCTATGGTAGATGTCAGAAGCACTCACAACCTGAAACCCCAGCTCCGGCCTCTCATCTTCTTTCAGCACCTCATCGTCCTGTGCGAAATAGTCTTCAAACAGGTCCAGGAACCTGTCATTGGCCTCTTTCGGCGCTCTGCTATCTCTCACGATCAGCGCGCCAGTCAAGACGAGGGACTCGGCGGCGAGGCGGGCTTGTTTCAAGGCATCGGGAGAGGAGGGGTCGAGGAGGAATGTATCCAGAGAGACGGTAGCAATTTCGGTGGACATTGGGGGGTATGAAGTGGTGGGTGGAAGGAAAGTGGACAGTGACAAAAGACGATTCGCGGTTGGCCGCAGATAAAAAGAACACAGAAATGTACGCGACGCGTCCGTCTGCTCTCTGTGTGATTGGTCGCACAAGTGTCCGCATAAGCAGCACGCTGAGGCCCTGTTTGGACCTTGCCCATCACTGCATAATGGTGCCCCGGGTGCGATACAAAAGTCCATGAAAACCTAATTCATGATTCTACCTTGGTATTGTAATGAGAGTTTAGACACAAACGATTCCACGGACACCGGAAAATGATAAGACAAATGAGAGGTATATATGTCTTCTGTCATATATATATATATATAAAGAGCGTGAATCTAATTGCAGAATTTATGGGTAGGTTATACAGAAGAATACAACGGCCAGATGGTTTTAGAAACCATCCTAAACTCGCTCGCCAGTACCGATGGTGACGACCTTGAAACCAATGTCGGTGAGCTCCTTTCGGTTGAGGATGAGTCGACCGTCAAAGACGAAAGCGGGTCGGGGGCAGTTGGCGTAGACTGCGCGACATATCAGCATATTGCACATGAATGGCTGGCGGGAGACGCACTCTTCTTCCAGTCAAGAGTCTTGAACTCGTCCCACTCGGTGCAGATGACAATAGCCTCGGCACCGGCACAAGCCTCCTCAACAGACTTGACAATGTTGACGTGGGGCTTGATGGGCTCGGCGGGGATGTCTCCGTACTCGGTCAAGTCGAGCCAGATCTGAGACTCGGTAACCTGGGGGTCGTAGATAGACACACGGGCCTTCTCGGAGAGGAAGTGGTTGGCGATGGAGATGGAGGGGGACTCTCGGGCTGAGTAGGCCGTTAGCTGGTGCTACAATTGAGATTGAAAATCGACTTACTGTCACCAGTGTCCTTCTTGAAGGCCCAACCGAGGAGAGCAATCTTCTTGCCAGTGATGGTGTTGAAAAGAGTCTCGACGACCTTCTTGGAGAATCGGTCCTTCTGGTACTCGTTCATCTCAACGACAGCCCTCCAGTACTTGGCGACCTCGGGCAAGTGGAGAGACTCGGAGAGGTAGACCAAGTTGAGGATGTCCTTCTGGAAACAAGAACCACCGAAACCGACGGACGCCTTGAGGAACTTGGGACCCATTCGGGAGTCCTTGCCGACGGCGAAAGCGACTTCGTCGATGTTGGCGCCGGTAGCCTCACAGATGGCAGAGAGGGCGTTGACGGAAGAGATACGCTGGGCCAACATGGCGTTAGCAGCGAGCTTGGAGAGCTCGGAAGACCAGAGGCCGACGGTGAGGATCCGGTCCCTGGGAACCCAGTTGGCGTAGACGTTGGCAAGAGCCTGACAAGCGTCGAGACCCTGCTCGGTCTGGAGGGAACCGATGAGGACACGGTCAGGGGCGAAGAGGTCGGAAATGGCGGTACCCTCGGCCAAGAACTCGGGGTTGGAGAGAATGTCAAAGTGGCATCCGGGCTTGGAGTTGGCCTCGAGGATGGTTCGCATAGACTCGGCGGTTCGGCAAGGAACGGTAGACTTCTCGACGACGATCTTGGAGGAGTTGGCGACCTCGGCAATTCGTCGGGTAGCGAGCTGAAGGAACCTAGGACGGGTCAGTACTGACTGGGGCGATCATAAGGTGAACTCACTTCAAGTCGGCGGCGTAACCGGCTCCGACACCAGACTTCTTGGTGGGGGTGTTCACGGAGACAAAGATGAGGCTATCACTGGTTAGTTCTGTACCTCGCCTGATAACAAACAACTTACTCAGCCTCCTCGATGGCCTTGTCGACATCAGTGCTGAAGAAGAGGTTCTTGCCTCGGGAGGCCTTGACGACCTCGTCGAGTCCAGGCTCGTAGATAGGGAGCTGGTCAGAGTTCCAAGCGTCGATTCGCTGCTGGTTAAGGTCGACGATGGTGACAATGATGTTGGGGCTGCGCACATGGGTCAGCAGTGTTCTCATGCAGTCTCGAATCAGGGGGGAAAGTGAAAGGGGATAGAGGTGCAGAGGTACGGTAACATGGCAACATGCGGGGACAAGCACAAGGTTGGGAAGGATGTTAAACGAGACATCGGGCAGGAACGCGAAGAAGCAAAATGAACTAGTACTCACCACTTGTTGGCACTGTTATCGCACGCGAAAAAGAGGGCAAACGCGTCAGTAAGTTAGCTTTATGGAAAGAGGAGAAGCAGGCGCACATGACAGCACAAGTGGGGCCACCTGAGAGGACAAGGGAGTCAGCCAAGAACGCGTCTACTGCGGTAGGAAAAGCGTGACTCACCAACGTAGCCGGCGCCGACTGGAGGGGAGAAGAGGCGTGGTCAGCATGTATTTGAAAGACGGACGTAGCATGGCGGCAGTAGGAGATAGGAGATGCGATAGAGCGGGAGGCGAGGCCATGTTGATTCAAGATGGACACCGGAAGAGATAGGAGGTGGGTGGAGAGGGAGCTGTGGGGCGCGCCCGTTCGGGGGTAAAAGTACTTACTGCAGCAGATCTTCTTGACGGTGATGGGAGCCATGGTGGAGATGGAGAGGTGATGGAGAGTAAGAGAGGAAGGGTTTTAGGGAGCGAGGAGAAAGAAAGAAAGAGGAGATGGAAATGCGATGCTGGGGGGCATCCTCAGAGGCGGAGGGGGCCGGCTGCACGCGAAAGTTAGGCGCAGGGCCCAGAAATTCGCCCTAGTGGGGGTACCGCACGTGGCACCACGTGGCATCCCAGGCGCACCGCAAGAGGCTCAGGGCACATCGGGACCTGCCGCCTGCCGCGCCCAACCTTTTTTTGCCTGCCTAAATCGCCGGGGCGAATCGACTTGCCGCTTTCGGCGCTGCATGCTGGTGACTGCCCCTTCAAGAGTGACTCAAAGGTCAGAGGTGTTTCCACAGTTGGGTTCCTGTCCCTCCTTCGGCACGATCGATATGGCATGCGCAACAGCTTTGCTCGTTCGTACCTCTCGTGAAGCTCTGCCAACCCCAAATCATCTCTTCCTGGTATTTTCAGCCTTACGAGATAGGGGCAAGGTTTTTCTTCAGGCCCGAGGTCCAAGATCTTCCGATCTAACCCAGTCTGTAATGTGTCGTTCCATCTTAGTTATTTGATTTTTTTCGATTTTATTTGATTTGATTTTTTGTTTTTGGTTAGCTTAATGCTCATTTGATTTATTTAATTTTAATAATTTCTTATTACTTATATTAAAAATTTTATTTATATC